TATAATTAAAATTATTTTAAAAGTTAAAAAACGAAAATTATTATATATAACGGTAATTTAAACGTATAACGAATAAAAAAAAAGTTAAAAGTTTTTTTTAAATAAATTCCGGTTATTTATATAAACAATTACGAATATTTATAAAATTAAAAAAGTGAAATTATTAACGTTTTAACGAAAATACGTAAAATTATAAAAAGTAATTATTTTTAATATAAAATAAAAAGTAAATCGTGAATTTTACGTTTAAGTTTAAGATTTTACGTTTTTATTTATTAATTTTATATCGAAAAATTAGTTTTTTTTTTATTTATACGAAAAAAAACGGTTTAAAATTCGAATTTTTAAACGATATTTTCGTTTATAAACGTTCGTTTAAATAAAAAATATATTACGAAATTTAATATATTACCGTAAATTATATAATTAATACGCGAAGCGTATTTATTTACGTAATTTTAATTTAATTAAAACGGGTATAAAATTACGTTTTTTTTAAAAAAACGTAATTTTTATATTTTAATTTATTAAACTTTTTTTTCGATTTAATATTTTTACGTAACTTTTACTCGTATTATAATAACTTATATTTTTTTAAATTTTTTACGTAATAAAAATTATAATAATTATTTTTTAATATTTTACATTTATACTTTTTTATTAATTCGGGAATTTTATTATAATAATAAAAATTTTTAATTAATAATTAAAAACTTTTAAACTTATAATTTTTTAAAATAAATGCAAGTTATAAATATTATATATATTAATTAATTAATTAAGTTATTAATTTTAAATAATAATTCGTAAATAATATATATATATCCCGTAAGTATAAAGTGTAGATTTTTAGCTACCTAATATTCTAGCAGGCTAAGATTTGACATCTTTGATATAAGGGGGGGGGGGGGGGAGGTTGTTGTTGAATCGTGGTGAGCATCATCGCGATTCGCGTCCTAGACCGATCGTAATCAGAACCTATGGTTAGGGGCTCTGATAGTTAACCTAGCATTTTAATTGAAAGCACGCGCAACCCATTCAACTCCCACGGAAGCAGTTTGCGAGAACGGTGTGGTTTTAAACCTTGTATTGCCATGATTCCACGTGTTTCTTCAAATACATCCCACCCATGCAGGTAATACTGTATCTCGGTCTCTCCGACTTGGAATCAAGCGTTTGAGTCAAGTGCACGTACAAACAGAGATATCCAAATTATCTGTTATTGTTCTCATTCCCAAGAATCTGATATTGCCCCTGAATTGCTTTGCCCAATATCTGGGACACCAAATTAGTTCCCATGAGTTCAGATGATGCCGACATAGCCGCTATTCCGATCTCAAGATTGCCGATACGATCATCTGCAGTCTAAAGATGTAGCGAATTTGTTAAATATCTTGGCACGATCACCATTTAAGTTAGGAGGAACTAGGTTCGGTACACTCCGCAAGCTCGGATGCGCAACCGCCAGCCGCGTACGTGAACTAGATACCTAGGGTGAGGGGAGCTATCTCTCATTTGATGGGAATGCACTTGGTTGACATGGTATCTAATTTATTCCAACTGTTAATATAATTGCATCAGACCTGCCTTTTTAAAAAGTCACTTTTTTTATACGAATAGTGAAGTTTGTCTGAGTTCTCGCAGGTCGTACATATCTCATCCAAAGGAAGGGGGAAGAGGAATGTACCGAAAAAAACAACTTATTTAATGTTAAATCCTTATAATTAACTAAATATATCGAAATTCTCTTTAAGACACGATGCCAAGAAGAAAATATCCAACCTTTGGTATACAGATTGGATTTAATTAGGGGAGATCCGAAAGTGGACCGCTCCGATCACAAAATCGCGCCAAACCTACACCGTCCTACATTTTAAAATGGCAAGCTGCTTTTACCCCTTATGGAAGTAATAAAGGTAGATCATGGATTTGCGACTCTTTGTTATGTTAAAATATACGTCTAGATATTTGTCTAGCTTGAACTCATGATTTCATAGTGAAATCAACGAGAAATATGAGAAAATACCTACCTACCTAGTAGGTAGCTGGTAACGGCATCCCAATATCGTGTGTTTTACGGGTTCTAGGCTCTTCTCTATTCTGATATATTCTTCCCTTGATCCTTCCTTTGGAGCGATCGTATAGTATGTGTGGAAGAGTTCGGATCTCGCCAGACTTAACGCGATCCTACCCCGATCCAAACACTCGGGACGCATGCATTTTCAGATTCCGATGCAGAAAAGATGGGAATTAATCCAAGGAAGAACTTTTGCAAAGCCTTTCGCTTAAATCCTACCAATAAAAACTGTTTACTACAAGTGCCTAAGTCTACTAGTCTTCACCTTCGAAGCTTAGATCTAGTTAGCATAGGGGCGAGATGTTTACCTGTATCTTATTGGCCAGGTCCCGACATGTATGTTAGGGTGGAGTAGCTTGATCTAGTAAATGGGTCACTATCCACAACTTAGGTTTGAGATCGTGGGACGAAAGGCTTGTGCTAACCTTCCGTCTGATGGGTATCTTTAAGTCTGCGGCTGTCGATCCTGTCAACATGAAGTAAATATGTAGATAGGTACATAGTAATAGATGCCAAATTATACCTAGTTACTCTAAGATAATACTGGGATGGGAAGCTTATATTTGATACCGCAAATTGCAGTAATTTTTAACTGTAATATAGAACGAAAGACCATGATCACGTGGCGCGAGAACCATATCTCTGTTGTGTATGATCGGATAAATCGAATCTAATTCAAATCGATCATATGATCCATCATAGTAATATTTAGGTAGTTTAGCTGGAGAGCCAGAACTTTGACCATGGCAAAGAAGCGCGTGGGGGACGCGTATGAATTTCCAAGCCAGTTCCTCCTTTGGAACCTCGGAGAAGCATCCGATAATTCGGACTTTATCGACGTCTTCGAATGCCGGATAAGACATCTGTGAATTCGGTAGAAAACTAGACAGGATCGAGCTAGATGCTCACTAGCTGGTAAAATTTCAGCCCACGGGTTGTTTAGAGCTGTCTTGGATACGCAGGTCCGCACCGTCTCCCCTAGCTGGGATCCTCAAGTCCCCGGATCAACGAAGCTAGACAGGGAATCGTGCATGAGGCTGTAAGGTTACTGTAAGGTTCGCGGACAGTCCGGGGTAGACTTCTATATCGAAGGTTGTGCTCCAATCATTTTGTAGAATTCCTAGCTTCTCTATTCGCTGGAGGTTCCTACGTACTGGAGGCTCTTTAGGGATAGGGGCCGAGAAGAGAGTTCAACGGACTATGGAGCTGTCCTTTTTCACAATTTTCGACCAATCATAAATTCTTCACGGGACACCCTCATGATCTCATCCTTAGTCAAACTACGAGGCGATTACAAAAGGACAAAGTCTGCTGACACATACTTCCCTGCCGAATAAGCCACGCCAGCCCCAACGCTGCCAACCTGGGCCCCCATTCCATCATGAATGCATATTGCAAAGGTCCCAAAGGGTGTCTTAACTAGATATCACGTTTAAATGTGATGAGACGTAATATTAGAGACACCTCAACATCAAGCGTGAATTATTAACTTCTATTATCGCTTCAATCGAGGTTGGTCTTATAACGTCGGTCGTCGCGGAGTAAACAATATGATTCTATCAAACAATCTATTAGTACTAGGTGACTTATGAGTTTATTCGCACGTATCAATTTACTTTTACCGTAAATTAGAGTGCGGTACCTACCTAAGCTTCTCTACCCATATAATTCAAAATCCCAATGACTAAGGTGGAATACGGTACTGGGTGGTCAAGTACATCTGTACCCCCAACGCTTACGACGGCGTATCCGTGGGGCAACACCGTTTGGTGCATCTACTAGGGTACGAGACCGATTACTAAAGACTGGATAGCTGGGGCTAGTTTCTTTTCTAGTCGAAGATTTCTGCTAGGCTAATTCGTCGGAAAAGGGGTTACCGGTCTTGATAGAGTAGCTTCTAGCTATTAGTTCGAGTTGGTTGAATATAGAATCAGCTATCTCTAATAATGAATGACTTATTGCATAGGAACTTGGGGAAGGAGGGGGGGTCTTTTTCCTCGAGGGATTCTACCCATCCATAGGTACCCAGTATAATCTTCATAGAAGCTATGTAACGGCAACAGTTTGCGAGATCCATAGTGGAGACGTTGTAGCTTAACTGGACGGCGTCTTAGGCTAAGCGTAGTTACTTGCTTAGACAGCATAGAGATGGTAGAGAGCTTGGCCTGTAAGTATGGAGCTAATTGAGATCTGGTAAAGTACACGGTTAGCTTGATATCAGATTGATGTAGTTGAGCCAATTGTCCACAAAATTCAAGATCGATCAGAATTAAAGGTGGATTAAAGATCGAAATCGACCCTGTATTTAGATAAGGCTAGCTTGTATATCCAAATCTATTCTAAGGGCTTCCCAATAAATTCGGGGCTCACTAAGAATTCTTCATATTTCTCGTAGTGTTTGGCTGTACCAAATCATTGACTCATCCATCCCAATCCGGTACTGCCATAGATAGTGTAATGTAGAGCGGCCGTCTCTTCATATTGGTTATGTAAGCTGCCATCCAATTGGAAATGGCGTCGTGTGAATGTATCGTCCAGTGATTGGCTGTCATTTTTCACACGTAGTCGTCAAATTGATTTTTGACGAAAATAGCTCCGGTAGGGTGGTCCGTAAATAGTGACTCGAAGAACCCCGCCGTATTAGTTTTATGTTCGGAGGCTCGTACTCTAGGTACGGCGCAAGTCCGTAATCATGTAGATCCTTTGTCATCTTATGACAGCATCACCCAGTGGGGTCCACAAGTAGATCGGTTGCTGATCCGGTACCATCCATTGATCGCGCGAGGGGGAAATGACACTCGATTCCGAAAAACTTTTCCCTGTCGGCCGAATAGCGAAGCTGGGAATCCGGCAGGACGGTCGTGGTTGAACGGCGTAATTGTTAGGCTGGTAGGTGGATACGAAAGGGACAATTGTTCCCTATGATAAAATAAATTCAGGGCGTTTTTGCGTTTACTATTGTAAAAGAGGGGTATATGTAATCTCTGCGTAATCCTCCTGGGACGTTCTTCCATTTGAGCGAGTAGGCTCGAAAATGACGACCAGTTGTGGTCATCCTCGTTCCATTTCCACCGAGCGTCGGCAATGCTCGGCATGTGATATGTCCTGCATCTCGTTCCGATACGAGGATATATGATCAAAATTGACATCTCCCAATTTGAGAAATCTGGTGAACATGATCCAGAGTTGTTGGGGAAGCCTGGTATTGCATAGGGTACGTGTTCCACGGTTGAAAGTGGTAAGTCGGGTTGATGGGCATGGCGTTGATTTGTGAACATCCAAATTCTAAAAGTACTGAGTCAGAATCTCATATCTACCTTAATCTTGTGGAGTAGAGACATACCTGGCTTCATGCTTTCGAAACCGCTATCACTACGTTCAAATGAAGCAGTAGTAGGAGAGTGACTGTTCGATGGGAGACTAGATCTCTCAAGAGAGGTGGTTGGAGCGCTTGTGGAAATGTAATTACTTCCAAAATCATCTGTACCTCCAGATGAGGCAGGGCTTGAAGCGGTAGACGTTATAGAGTATGCTACGCTTGAAGACCACGGTTCCGTAGTGTCAGGTAAATTATGGTAAGCAGCCATGTTCTGTAAGATAGGGTAACTTGTAGCAGCATGAGGAAATGAAGATGGACGAGGAGGACTAGAACTGTGGAATACTACACGGTTGTTAGTGAGCTTACAGCAAGGATAAGATTGAATCAAGACGAAGGACATACCAGCCTGGTACGGGTCGTTGGCGTCGCTATTACGCAAACCCATAGATCCTCGTAGTTGGCGAACTTCTTCCTCGAGCGCCTCATTTTTTCGGAGTAAATTCTGAATGGTTTGGTCACGGTTTTGATGATTGCGAAGATCTTCTATCTCTCTTTCAAGGGTTTCAATATGTTCTTTTGTCCGTGCCCGAATTGCCCTTTGAGCTTCCCGGTCATTGGCACGCTTTCGTGCAAGTTGTGCAGGAGTAAGGCTTGACACGCTCCTGGTACCTACAACCAGCATGTTAATTCTATTTCCTGGTAAAAACAGATATTGAGACCAACCTTTGCGCTTTCCGCTCTTGGTGGATTCTGGTGCTGACATGTTGCCTGGCATCTCTAACGTGAATTTGGCGAAGGCCTGCTTTTGGCTTATGAGTGGGTAGTGACCGTGCCTAGAAGCACACGGTATACAGAATACCGATATAGTGGAAGATGTTCGTTGGAGTTAAGGTGAGTTCAACTTTAAGATTGTTTAATATCAAGAAGACAGCCCCTGGAGACATTACTCATGGGGAGGGCACATAATAAATAATGGGAAATAGATTACCTCCCCAGATGTAGCTACTGTATGTAGCCGCATTTCTGTAAGAAGATGGGTGGTGGGTACCATGAAGCTAATCTAGCACGATTCGAAGAGTTCTCTCACGGGAGAGTTGACGGCCGGGACTCTCCCTGGAATCGTAAGTATGCAAGTACGCAAGCTACCTATAACAACTAGCTTGTCAGTGTATTTTGAGATGTTCAACACAGTAATTGTGATACCTATGCATACGGTCAACTTTGAGAATATGCTGGATAGATATGTGTGGCGGCGTTGTGGCACACAGTTAAAATTTTTCGAGGGTCTCCCGTGGTGTACAACACAACGACTAACCCAAGTTTTCTGCTATCCAAGGGGCGGGCCCGAACGTTAAGATCCGCTAGGTACTAGCCCAGGAATCGTTGACAGCTCAACCCTGTCTCCTACCTGGAGAAGATACTAACAGCAAGGTTGGGGATAGTAAATAGACTTTGCGCTGCGTTATTAGTTGCAGATCGTTGATCGCGCACTCCTGGACATGGAAGCTCCGTATACAATTGCACGTTAGTATGAGGCGTGAGATGAAGAAGATGCGTTGATGTCCGGGAATGTGGAGCCAGACTCCGCGTGATGACCTCGAGGGGCGTAAGGTGGACATTCTAAGGGAAGCTTAGATGATATCTCAACGAATAGGAAGATATACCAGTCCAAAGAACACCCTTCTCTCACTGGTTGATGTCTCACATCGGTGAAAACAGTAAGTTTGCCATCACCCATGCCAAGATGATATTACAAGCCTTTGGGTGAAGATTACATACTGTGGACATGGCTTTGCGGAGAGCACTATCTCAGCTGCCTAAGTTAGATATATCTTCATGTAAGAGACACTGATCCCCTTAACATAGCCCAAAGAGACCTAGATAGCTAATACTGAAAATAAAAATTAGGCGATAGCTTGGAGAAACAGGAGGGTTTAGAGGATATGCCATATTCATTTGGCCTAGATTCGAGCCTAGACCTTTGTGTCTGATAACTAGGTACTAACTTGTAAGAGTTCAATTCAAACAAGCTGTCTTAGCGCTATAAGCAACATCTGTCAGGTGGATTGCGTAATGCGCCAGACTTGAAGGTAAAAACAGGCAAGAAGTTGAAAGGAATCTTTTCGTGAATGGTGGTGGTTATCAATGGACATTCGACTGTATGTTATCAACATCGAGACTTCCAAGGCTCATTCTAGCCCGTTTGTCATATGGTCGATGAGGACCATCTGAAGCGTTTTCCTGGCCTCATGTGGTATTGTTCTCTCTCACATCGAGGGCTTATAACTTAGAGATGCAGGTAAAGGGCATAGCCGAAGAACACTTGTATCATGCTGCAGTATCAAACCCAATTCCTCCGTACTCCCGAATTTGCGAGGTAGAAAATGCGGCGGTAGGCCACATCATACGAGGCCGTCTGCCGCACTCCGCAGCTGAGGCTAGGGTACTTAGGTACCATTCTGCTTAGGGCCTAGTAAATATGGTAGGGGAAGTTTATGCTATGCTGAGGTATCTATGCGTCTAGATCAGTCGGTTATTTCAAACGAATGCTAGAGCTAGACCATCTATTCGTCAGGATATGGCGGGGAAGTATTTGATATCTGAAGTTGGAAGGATGGTCATCCTGCCGTCTTTTGCTTCGACCGGAGGTTATGCTATTTCGGGGTTGACGTCTTTTACTGCTGATACCAACTCTTCCATGCCCCCCACCTCTGTAGGTCCCGACATGCCAGACGGGGGGAGAGCCCAGCCAGGGAGGGGACTGACATAACTCCAATCGCCGCCTGCATCTTCATATCGTAAACTATGCAACCACAGTGATAGTTCTTGCAATCCGGGGTCCGTGTATAAGGGAGTGTCGCAAACTTCACATAGCTCGCCAGACATCTTCTCTGCTTTCCTCTTATAATACTGGTCAACCATCTCGTCATGGTAAGCGACGGCGTCTGCAACTTCTTCTTTCCCCATGCGGTTGAGACGCGTAATGATGTCATCATCTGTATTTTCTAGGGCCTCGGGATCATTATAACCAAGGTTAAAGCCCCAAACCCTTTGATTAGCATAGATTGGATCATTTTCGATTGGATATCCTAGATGCTGAAGATGAACGCGGATTTGGTGAGTTCGACCGGTGACGGGAAGACACCGTACGATTGAATACCCCTCGTTTCGCAACCACGGCTTGCTCTTCCCCGCGACGATATTTTCTGCGTTTTGAGAATCTTTATCCTGTTCCGGTCCTTGAGGCGCACGTGGAGGGTAATATGCGAGCTTCTTGAAGACTGTCCGAGCCGTTTTCCCACTAGCTCGTACTCGGTTCAACCCAAGTTTGGGAGAGATCTGAAGTAAAGGTTGATTGCACACTATTTCCTCATCCGGAAAATTGCCAATCACTCTAGCGACGTATTCTTTTCGCACAGTTCTCTGCTTGATCTGTTCACTTAGACGGTCGGCGGCCTTTGGGTGTTTTGCAACGAACATGATTCCGCTGGTTAACCTGTCAAGCCTGTTGCAGGTATATGCAATCCATTCCGGACTCCTCTCGGCTTTCATGATTTCGATGACCGAATTAAAGTTATATCGTCCAGCAGGGTGAACTGGTATACCAGAAGGCTTGTTAATGACGATCATGTCATCATCCTCGTGGAGAATTCCAATAGGATCTGCTGTGACAGGAGGCTCGTGGCGATGTATCGTATGCGATACTAACTCTCCGTTGACGAGGATATGATCTGGGCTAGTCGGCTTGCCGTTGACGCATATTTGGCCGGTTTCCATGGCATTCTTATAATATGCTAATGGACGGTCTCTAAACTCGCTCTCGAATACGTCTATAAGTTTTCTCCCTCTCCATCGTTGTTTACACCAGGTCTTGTATGTGAAATGGTAGGGAGCAACACGTCGTAAACCATTTTCGATATAATATGGCTGTGGCGTAGTTTTTTCATTAGAAGAAAATGCATCTGACGATAGTGTTTCCTTCTTGTCCGTGTACTTTTCAGGTTCGTTGATAGTTAATGCTTCAATTTCGGGTGTAACAAGTGCGACAGATGTCGCTGCCGTAGGATTCAGCAACTCTGTAACTTGACTCATAATGGGCTAATGAAGCTGATTCGTCTACTTTTCCAGTGAAATTCTGACTTCCCTGATCAAGTCCTACTAATGTCGCAAGCACTGAAGTATCGCAAATAATTGTTTAAGAGATGGTAGGGTTCATAATAGCATCATACCGAGAGAATTGCTAGCTGTAGATCATCCCTGATTGTGATCTCGCAGGTTGGTGGGGTTCCGTGATATTGAAGATTGGCTGAGTGGGGACCAAGAAAAAAGTTGGCGGTGAATTCTGGCAATATTTGGATTTCAGTTAGATCGCGGAATGGACTAACCAAATTCCCGCTTATGAAACCTGAGAATTCTTACATAATCACGGCAAGTCAAATTGGGGTCAAATTACCACCTCGGCTTCCGAGAGCCGCTTTAACTAAACTTTTATCTCTACATCCATCGTTCGCTCACATTGGCTACATTAGTCACACAGTCTTTTATTTCCACTTAATTATCTTCAGCCATGGCTGTAGGCAAGGAATTAAAGACTAGAAGTCGAAAGGACTACCGTTTCGTACTTGAGTATAGGACAAGATGGTGCGCCCTCAAAACCGAAGCTCACCAATTATCTGTCTAACAATGGATAGGAACGATAACGACATGTATGATCATATGAATAATTCAGTCTATAACTTCCTGTCCGTAAGATCAGCAATCCTTCACATATTCCTACCTAACTTTAGAGATAAACCAGTTTTGATTCTGTGATTAATTCTTATTTAATCGATTACTGTGCTCTTCACCCACCTACATCAGTTCAACATCCTCTAATAGCTCAAACACATTGCGACTACTTTTCACCCATCTCATACCCTAAAGTAGCCGAGCTCTGCTTGCGCGTCAATAAGTTAGGGAAATCCAGCGTCGTCTATGAAGTCGCATTGTTCGAGAAAGACGTTGATCAGGTCAAGGCCGTCGGCGAATTTGTTCACGTCTTTGTGGATCGCGCCACTCAACGGCCGAATACTACTAATGGTATGAATAATCAATTACGACAAGGACTCGAGAAGCTACTTGTGGGGCCAACCTCTAGTAAATTATAGCAGCAGCCGCTATACGAAATGCTGATACACCAACTTCTGGCGCGCCCCATCCTGATCACCACTCGTCAGCATCTTCTCCATTAGCTCCAGGTCTCCAAGGGCTAGTTCAGGTGTCTGGTTCGGGTTTGGTATTCCCGACAAGATAGACTCTGCCCAAGCGTGCACTTCTTCCTTGACTCCGCTACTCCTCTCGAAAACCTTTTCCTCTATTATCGCATCTTTACCAATCCCTCGGGTCGTCACTACTTTAGCTCCTTCCGCCTTCACAACACCTTGTTCAGTCGCGACGTGGAACTCGAAAGCGTCCATTGTCGTCCCCACAGATGTGATATACGAGCCCACCACACCAGACTTTGTCTTCAGCACAGCGTTGATAGAGTCCACCGGAGGCAAGTGGCTAGATACCAACGCGGTATTGGCTACTAGACTTTCGACCGCATTTTCAGGCCCTAGCAGTTTTCTGAGGGCGGCTGTGAAGTGCACACCCCCATCAAGGAGGAATCCACCCTGGTATTCAGGCACTGTGCGCCAGGGAGTGTTGTAGTATTTGTTCTCCTTCGCCATCATCGAGTTCAGCCTTACAACGAAGCCTGTCACCTTGCCAAGCTTCTTGATCTGCTCGGCGCCATAAGCCCAACCTTGGAGAAAACGGAAGTTCTCCGCAATGGCGAATGACGCGTTAGTCTCGGCCGAGACCTTCTTGTAGTATTCGATAAGCTTAACCGCAGTAGCGACATCCTTAGCGATCGGCTTTTCTGCAAGCACATGCTTTCCTGCAGCCAATGCCTTCTCGATATACGAGGGTTGATCTACGATTGGCAGGGCAAGGATTACTCCAGATATGTCCTCGCGTTTGAGGATGTCCTCGTAAGCTTTGCCCTCTCCCGAATCAGTCGAGTACAAATCCACAGAAGAAGCAGCCTTGCTAGGGATTTCCTTCGCGGCATCTTCCGCGGTCTTACGGGACCGAGACCAGATTGCCTTGATATCTAGGAGGGGAGATGCCAGAGCAGCAGGCTAGTTACATGTTAGCTAAGTCACGATTTAGAGCTCTAGATCTATCCGTTGAGATCGCGTAGATCTTGCTTAGCTTAACGCTGAGGTTCTAGTGAACCATTGAGATGGATAGAGCCACAGATACCCCGAAAATACTCACTATATGCTGCTCCTTGACGAAAATCCCCCCACCAATGATTGCCACTCCTACGCGATCCATATTTTCCGAAAATTCGAACTCCAGATGTCAGTTAGGATAAGAGATACGTATTGATTATTAATGCAAAAATTCTTTTTTCAATAGCGACAGGAAAGAAAACGAAGAAACTTCAAGTCAAGTGCTTCTTTAACATAGCCCTGATTTTAGTTGCGAAGCCGTACCCTTTTATTATCAATCTCCGCTCCATCGGAGCGCCTAATTCGGTATCTCTAACAGCCCCGCTATTGGATTGGCCCTCGATGCCCCTCTCATTCTTGGGGCGGCGTTATAATCCGACGTCAACCGCATAGGTACCAAGACTGAGGTCACCGGCGTGACGCATTCATAATCAGGAAACCTGCCGCTCAATTACGCCATGCATTGAATTAATAATGATGCAGTTTCCACAGCATAGATCTACAACACGGAAACCCCAAAAGGATCATAGCCGCCACTGCGGCCAAGCCATGTTTCACACGGTGCGTGGGGGTAAAGGGAGGCAGATACCTTCTAGTATAGAGGTAACGATAAAAAGAATAATTAAAGAAAAGATGTGATATTCAAGGAGAATTACCATAGCCCAAGTGTTCTACTATACTCCAATCAAGAATACGCGATATTAAACCCTGTTAACAAAAGATAAGCCGCCTTCACTTACATATGGAAGTCAATGATTCAAGTAAAACATCCCAATCTACAAACCCGAAATTCTTCCTCACGTCCTCAAATAATTGAAGACAGCAACGAAAAAAGAAAAAAAAAAAAAAAAAAAAAAAAAAAAAAAAGTGTGCAATGCTTCACGTCTAGCGCAGGGCTTTCATGCTCCCCTATCCATGTACATGTTTCGCGTCCAAGACTAAAAAAAAGCGTCTTGACACAAGGCGACATGCTGCCCTCTCTGTAATATGGGTATATGCTTCGAAAGGCCGGAGCCAATCAGGCGGCATAGTGCCTTGATATGAACAAAAAATTTGTGCAACCTTTATTGTCTGCTGGTCCTACAAGAGGATGCAGACAGGTGCTAAGTTTGGGGTCCTTGGTCGTGGTGGGAGCTTGGCTCGATCGAAATGGGGAGCGCTGAATTCGGTTGGGAGGGAGGATTGTCGGTCGAAGAGGAGGATTGTCGGTCGAAGAGGCGGTCGGACTCGAGCAGGCGGGAGTAGGCGGGACCGGGACGGAAGACATCGGTCAAGGAGGGAGGAGGGAGGTCGGTTGGGAGGTGGCGAATAGTAAGAAGAGTATACTTCTCCTCAGCATACTCGGAATAAAAATATTTACGGATTTTAGAAGATAATAATACTAGGGTTGCGGATAAGAAGAGTGAGTATACTGAGGAGAATGGCGAGGATAAAAATGTCTAGGTTGCCGAGAGTAAGACGTGTACACTTCTCCCCAGCATGCTCAAAATAAAAATATTTGCGGATTTAAAGAAGATAAGGATACTAAGGTTGCGGATAGTGAGAGCGAGCATACTGGGGGGAATAGTAAGGATAATAATATTTAGGTTGTCGAAAGTAAGAAGAGTGTACTACTCCTCAGCATACTCGGAATAAAAATATTTGCGGATTTTAGAAGATAAAAATACTGAGGTTGCGGATTATAAGAGTGAGTATACTGAGGAGAATGGTCGTAGAGAAATGAGGATGAGCCTAGATGCCTAGTTAGTATCATATCCATAGTTGGCCTAGATGGTTTGGTTAGTATTAGGAAGAGGTGGATAAAATAGAAGTAGAAGGGTATGAGGTCGAAGATTTGAAGAAAAAAAGTGTGAAGAAGGAAAGATAGTTTTCAGAATTTGAAGAGGGGAGCCGAAATTATATAGTGTCGGGTACGAGAGGAGTGATTAGAGGAGTGATATGATCAGTACAAAATAAAAAATGGCGGTTGACCGAATTAGGCAACGAGAATAAATCGTGGGAGTTCACGAAAGTGACGCCGGCTACAATCAGTAAAAATAGTAGAATTTACGTACCTAAATCAATAGAGAGGAGTATATATATCGTACATAGGCACACTTATTAAGCTCATGTGGTTAAATATGTCTACTTATTAAAATACATCATCGGTTCCTGAGTACATAAACAACCCCTTTTAAGCCCCTTTTATTTGATTGGCTAGAAATTGTATATAGTTGTTGATTTATGTACATTGATACTTCGATACTATAGGTACTTAGACATCTGCTTCCAGTAGGTAATCCATGGATGTCATTGGGTATATCAGTATGTACCTATGTATCATTGTTTAGAATCACCGCCACCTTACGGATCGTCGGCGCATAGGGGGTTTATCCGATATGCAGGTAGGCCAGGTCCACCTCGTCAGACGCAGCCTCATCCATTGCTAACATCACAAACAGCCAGCACACAAGTTTATGTTGATATTCCTCTTTCTATACTTGAAGATTCGGTACCGCGTTTAAAGACGAATACTGATAGTGGTCACATAAGTTCTTTTTATAATCTGACATGCGGCTTCTCAATGTTCACGAGTTGGTAATCAACGAATACCAGCAAGATATTCCACCATATGCCATACTTTCGCACACCTGGAGTGACGATGAAGTCTCATTTGTTGATTTCGTTGAAGGAAAAGCTCCATCCCGAAAAGGATACTATAAGATCTTAGGTTGCTGCAAACAAGCCATCTACGATGGTCTCGAATATGTGGTACGTATGGGTTGATCTTACTTCTAATTTCTCGCACTCCAGATTCTAATAAAAGTAGTGGATCGATACTTGTTGTATAGATAAACGCAGCTCGGCGGAGCTCTCCGAAGCTGTCAATTCCATGTTTAATTGGTACCGAGATTCAACTGTCTGTTATGCCCATCTTGAAGATGTTCCAAGCAGAAAAATGGGGGAATACAGGAACAGTTCGACAGGCTATTATTGTTCTTCAAGCTTCAAACACATCCGCTGGATAACTCGAGGATGGACTCTGCAGGAGCTCATAGCTCCATCAGTTCTCGTGTTCTTCACGTCTGATTGGATTAGTATTGGAAGTCGAGATGAACTCAAACATGTTATTGCCGAGATCACCCACATAGACCCTGATTTCTTCCTCTATGGACGACTAAGCGACTTTAGTATCGCTCGCAGGATGTCTTGGGCATCACACAGGCAAACCTCTCGAATCGAAGACCAAGCTTATTGTTTGCTGGGACTCTTCGGCATTACCATGCCTCTTGTTTATGGCGAAGGTAAACGCGCGTTCGTGAGACTCCAGGAAGAAATTATTAAGGAATCAAACGACCAATCTATTTTTGCTTGGTGCCCTAACGGACTGGGGTATCAAAATTCCAGCTTCGTTGATCCCATTCAATGTGGTCTTCTGGCCCCATCCCCTCTCTATTTCGCTACTTCTGGGAGTATTGTGAGGTGCGGGAACAGTAACCGCGTACGGTGTATAAACGAGGATGATGAGGATGAGTCGCCATATACAATAACCAACAGAGGCATTCAAATATCCTTGCCAATAATTGAACATCGATTCGGGGATGGGCTATCTTTTACATTCTTACAAGGAAAGGGACCATATATTTATCCCTCAATGTTCGAGCCATCACATACAGTTGCTGTTTTAAATTGCCGATTCACGAATCCTCGATCTCAGATTGTGATATTCCTCCGAGAAGATAAAAGAGAGCAAAGATACGTTCGAATGCTCCACAAGTTTGAACTTACCGAGCTGCCCCAAATCGAGATTAGAAGAGTAGCTATGAAGAAACAAATATTTATACGGGCCCGCAATGCATTGGATACTATACCACTGTGGCTAAGATCTAAGAGTGAAAGAATCGTTATCATCGAGGCTTTGACTAGCTACCCATTATCCACCTTCCAATTCATAAAAGTCGAACCAGAAATTCGGTGGCAACGTCAGGGAACGGGGGCTCTATTTCTATATACTCATAATCTAAACGGGGTCGTCCTCTTATTCCGAAACCCCGTAGGCGAAGCATTGCTTCTCCTTATAGATCCATCGGCCTACAGCTTTCCATTTAACAATGGTGTTCATCTCGTTCATAGTTTTGGAATACCGGACAATACAGACTTATCCCAATGTTGGCAAGAATACGATCGAGGCACTCTAAAATATAAAAAATCTCCAAACGGTCCTCTTTCTATACGCCTTATCGCAAGACAAGCCGCACATGCGTATATTATAAGGCTGGAATTAGCCACCGAATTGGACGTCTCGGATACCACTATGAAATAATATTGTCCTGATTTAACTATGGGCATCTAGGGTCATTACAATCACTTCCTAAATGTTACCTTTAGCATAACGTAGCAATATAATTCGGTGGCCGGCAGTGCGGGTAATCTTGCCGCCCAACAACATAGAGGCGTGCCCAATTGGGACGAGGATACGATATGGCCGGGTCTAGACTCGGTGCTGTGCCGTCGGAACAGAAGCTTGAATCACACGATACCCAGGTGTAGGAAATTCGAGTTAGCTGCCTAATGCGACGATGGAGGCTGGTGTAAAATCTCGCAGTATTACATTTCACTCACTTACTTTTCCTTGAATCATTTCTTAGTCGAAAGGCAGGATAGAAGGGCAATCACCAACAAATCACGACACCAACTTTTCCAAACTCTACCAGTCCCACACCAAACTCGCACAGCAACCTCACCAAGCAAAATGAAGCTCCGAGCCTCACCCCTCCTGCTCCTCCTAACCCCCCACCGCACCCTCGCCCAAGACATCAACGACCCCTCAACATCGTACATAACCTCCGTCTGCTCGCCCGCCACCCCACCCGACCAATCCGCCGCAGCGCCATGCGTCGCAATCCAAACAATCGAAACCGCCTGTCTCCCCAACGGGACCTCGTCCCTCGCCCTAGAAGCACACGCGCAATGTCTCTGCCACGGGTCCTATTTCGCAGAATGGCTCGGCTGTCGACGATGTCTACGCCAGCACGGCGCGCTAACGCCGCAGAACTACACGTACTACAGCAGCGTGCTCTCGCTCGCTAGTAAACAGCTATGTACCGGAACCCCGACAGCCGCGTTCGCGACGTTGTTTACGGAAGCGCAGTACGCGGTACCGCAGCCGACGGCGGATGGGGGACCGCAGGTGGGCGATCTGAGGAGTGGCGATGCGGCGGTGAGTTGGTATTACACGGCGAGCGGGCAGCAGGGTCCGGGGGTGATTACTGGGAGTGCGACGGCGGCTACGACGCGGGTTTCGTATTCCGCGCCGTATAGGGTTTCGGAGGCATCGGGGTCGGTGGGGACGAGTGGGTCGACGGACGCGGGTGTGGCTGCGAGTACGACGGCGAGTACAGAGGGCGCATTGGTGACTTCGGGTAGTTCGAGTAGTCCGACTAGCTCTAGTAGTATTGCGGCAGCTACGGGGGTGGCAGGGGGTGCGAAAGGGGTGTTGTTCGCAGCAGCGGCGGTGGGTGGTGCGCTGGTGGCGGCATTGTAGGGGGGATCATGATACCCTAACGACCTACTATCTACTATCCACCTAATGTATAATGTAGACAATCTAATATCTACCTCCCTATCTATCTACATAATTAGCAAAAGGAGCAAGCGACGATAGACCGGGAGTCTCTTACCTAAGAACGTGCTCAGGGCCAAGGCAATATATTTATACCCGGAGAACCCACCTTGGCTAATGGCGTAATATATTTACATTACCTATCCCACGTCGAGTCCTTACTCAACGCAGTATAACGGATTACTGTACCTGTCTGGGTGATATAGCGCGCTCCCCTCCCCAGATACCTTGATGGCCAACCTTGCTGGCTGATGACCGAGACTGGCCAATCATACCGTCTGCACTGCCTCGATAGCTCAGCAATATACCTGCTCGAGTCTAGACGATCGGGATGAGTTCGAGTATATGAAACGACCTTAGATCTCGTGCGGCCCCGCGGCTCCGCGGCTGTGCCTGCGTTAGCTTGCTTCGGAGACGGGGAGGCCACGTGTGAGCGCGGTTAAATTCAACTTCACCTCATTGCGCCGGATGTGATATTCCCGGACCTTATTCTTAGGATCGAAGCGAAAGACATCTTCACATCATCATTCCCTCGCCTAACTTTAGGTGACAAGTACTTGTATAAGGAACTAGCATGAAGGGAAAGCTTCGCCGAGAACACATAATAGCGCTTCAAGTTATGAATATCTTTCAATTGACAATATTCTAAACCCCAGGTATCCCTATACTCCACGAACAACACTCCGCTCAAACTTTTATCCTGGCTTCGATCCAATCGATCCGAAAGCCCTCTACTGGGGCATATGCTCGAACGGCTTCGCGAGGTGTTCCTGGCAGAAAGGTAGCTTGCCGACAGTCCAGATCTCGGTGTCCTATCATCAATTGAACTCATTAGTTTATGTCTTTCATCTTTATACCCCACATCACGATATATTACGTCAGGGCAGAACATACAGGCTTCAAAGCTTTCCGGTCGGCTTCACTGAGGGTACCGCCCTTTAGGGCGATGATTGGGGGCGCCGCCTCGGGGTCGTGTGCGATCGGGGATCCGCACTCGGGACAGAAGACGCGATGGACAGGCTTGCCGGAGGAGCCTGCCTTGGAGTAGCTCTTAGTCGTGCCGGTGATAGTTAGCTTGTCCTTAGGGACGACGACTACGAGGGCTATTTGCGTCGTGTTAGACTTGTGGTTTCCAGACGAATGAGGAGCGGATAGAATGGTATGAACTTACAGTAAGTAGAGCCCGTCTGACGTTGGCAGTCGTCGCAGTGATCGTAACCAACGACCAGAGGATCGGAATCGACGGTGTACGTGACGGCGCCGCAAAGGCAGTGACCTGAGAGACCCATTGTGCTTGTGAGGTTGGTTTCTTGTGTGGTAGGAATGGCTTCTTCCGAATATGAGTGATTGTGTTGGAGAATATCACAAAAGAAACTTGAACGAGGACTCGACCCCTTTATATATACATATAACTGACGGATGGCTATAGTAACCGAGGCGGAGGTCAAGTAAAACCCGAAGCATGCACAAAGACTCCTATGACATACCAAGTCTGCCCAGCTAGGATAATCGACTCGAAGAGCTCCCCAGTTCTACCATGCATGCAGGCAGGCATAGTAGGCAATCAATGGTACCAGATTGGCGGATTCATGCCACCTCTGTTATCACTCTTACGTGTAACAGGTTCCCATAATGACGATTACTAACTACCTTGTACCTCAACATGCTGACATATGTATAGCCAACCGGAGACAGGTTTATGTATCCGTTATTAGTAACGAAACATTACATGTAGTCAGTTAGTTAACTATCCCTAGAACTATTGTTTCTTTCACCTTCTCCGGGGTAGAGAGCTTCGGTTCCTTGCCGGTGGGGTTGATAGTTGATAGCTTAAAGGAGGAAGGGTTGTCAGTTAGGTAGCGGGGTATGCGTCCTATTACTGTTAGACTACGTCAGGGGCTAAGCTTATGTCCTTAGTATCGGATCTAAAGTCTTACAGCCCTACCCTTGAATATTGGTAGCCGTACAAATACTGCCCCAACATACTAAAAGCAAGTTGCAGAGTATGTACTTGTACATGTTTATGATCTATCAAATGATGTCCGCCGTGGCTTTCTGATCTGTTCTTACGAGCTAGATCAAACCAATTCAACCAGTCAGAACGTTATCACAGATAGCCATGGCTTGCAACAATGATGCTACCAAGGTTATATGAAACAATGGGATCAATATTGCTGTTGTGGTACAACAGTGTAGGCGAGAAGAATGTACCAACCTACAAGCCACATGGAGGTATTTGTCAAAGATCCTAGTCCGAGCTCCGTCGTCCGAAGCCACCAACCTCCACCTTCTAGCTTGAAAATCAAATACCAAATGTTTGATTATCTTCCCAGGTGGATATCCGGCTTATGAGTGGCTCTTTGTATTTGGAATAACTTGCGGGTAACCTGCGTTTGCCGATAATCGCGCTTCTGCCGGGTACTGCATCACAGCTTGCAGATGAGGTGCCTAAGCTGAACCGCGCGTAACAGACCTGAAAATCCTCCAAGGATCTTCATCCGTGCCCCCAATGCCACCATCGCGGTTCCCAGTGGATCTTGCGGCTAAACCATCCACTCCACGAATTGGTGTTTATCTAGATAGATAGATCCTCATTGTGTTTAGTGCCATTGAAACATGCGCCGCTCGTATCATATTGACTTATTTGCTCCTTGATCCAACTTCGATCGCATACCGACTATTCGGCCTCATATCGGTGAACATGTTGGTTCATGTGCAAGATCAATGCAACGTCCAAGTCGAGTGACACTTACAATGGGGTGACTCTGAAAGGTATTACAAATATATCCTTGAAAGTGATAGATCGGCTCGAGTAAAGGTGGAGGTTATTCGCGACACCCTGGCAGAACAACTAATAAATCCTTAAACATGCCCAGGCTAGCGACAACTGGAGAATAAGAGTTTCAAGCCAGAGGATATTCAAATTGCCCATAGCAATCCTTTCGGCAATGAATAATCTCAATATCACTGATCGATAGGCATTGAGTGATTTGCTATCCTCATGAGCCAAAAAATATCCATCCATGGACGAAAGTCGAAAACCTCGAATATCTTCTCGAGGATAAATGCTAGTGCTGGTCTGACTCGAAGTCAGAGGCCGCTCTATTCGTTCGGGTCTCCGCCGCAAGTTCTTTATGAGTGTGAAATACCCATAATCCAGATAACTCGTGGTTTGGAGCGGCATCGGTACCGATAGCTTGACGAATAGATTCAGCAATAATTTTGGTTCCGATACCCATATCGTATGACTCTCGTTTAGCTCGGAAAATACAGCCTCGAAATCGTGAGCATAATGAATAAATCTTGAATAAAATTCCGGGGTTAGGACCTTGAATTCCATTGTTTCGGCAAGACGAAGACTTTCCTCGTTATGGTCTGACATCAGCGATTCGGCCGGCGCATCTGCAACACCACTAGGAATGTATTTCACAATTAAGGGGTCACGCGACTCTTTGACGAGATGCTTCAGATATTTCCTGAATAACGGCTCGAGTTGACGTTCCGTTGCATCAGCGTGTCTTCCAATGCTTGTCTTGAGTGGTTCAGGCCGATACCAGACGTGAAGCCCTCTCCGAAAGAATAAGGCTGCCGCTTCTTTCACGATCCTAGGGAAAGTAACGAAGCCAACCCACCACCAAGAAGCTAAAAATTTAAACTTCTGAAAAGGAGTCATCTCCGTGGGGTCGATGGCATCACCATCTGAGAAGATACGGGCAACCAATTTCGCATGCTCTTTCGTGGATATCAGATTGATCGTGCAATTGATCGGACCTCGCCCTTCCATATTCGAGGATAGTGGGTCATACGCGACCACCGAATATGCTCCCTTTCTCGAATTAAAGGGAGACACATGGAAATCCTTCTTCCAGGTTTTCCGTATGGGCTTCGGATCATTAGGCCGATGGTCCACAGATGCTTCTACTAGCTCCTCTGTGCTATCAGCTGTTAAGAAATACATCCGTCTTTCGTCAAATGTATTATTAACCTCAAGAACTATCGCTGCCAAGCGTCTCTCGGCGGAATAAAGGTACCAAAAAGATACAGGGTTGAAATGGTAACCCAGAAATTTCGCAGCAGTAACCAAATACGCGTATGGATATAGAGAAGTATCGACATCCTGATTTACATTAGCTCTAAATACTCTCAAGTAGAGGGGAGGCTGATGTACTTGAGATTTAAGGTAATCATCTAGCTTGCCTCTCAAACCCAGATGACCGTTACCTCTTTCTAGGTAGTCAGCAGCATTAACTTCATACCAGCCTTTTGCGCCCGTGCCGTTTTGGTCGTTTGATATCATACCGCCAGCGGCACCGGACCAACCGACAGGGATCCCAACTAAAAGATACGAATAAACGAAAGAATGCTTCTTAGGGAAAAATCTTGTATGTGTTGTTGTACAAGGGAACAACAAAGGCCGCCCTGGGCCATTCCACACTGACAAGTCCATTACTCGACTGGTCCATCGCGAGTACTTGGAATAAGCGAGAAAAGATACACATGCCGCAGCTACTAGCACGAGTATCTCGATTTGTCGAGCTTGATAAGTCTCGCGAAGATTGAGGTCCGGAAGGCTACTTCCCCAGAGAAAAGCAAGGAGGAACAGGAAATCTCCAAGGCCTCCAATGGTGAAGCAAACCCATAATGCAGTTGCTCGCAGAATGGCGGCATATGGTGACATCCCAAGAACGATATCCATCTAGAGAACACCAACTCGCTAGAACTCCTCAACCCGTTTGATTCGAATTCGTACTATCATCCCAATATTTTTGGTATTAATTGAGGAGATTGCCCAGCCTAAATCATTGCTGTCTGAATCATAACAGCACAGACACCTGACCGTATGATTGTTTATCCTAAGAATGGAAGTATTCATGCATGTCTATGGTGTTTGAGACAATCCCCATATGTATCTTATCGCTTATCTTATCTAGGCGGTCGGACTGTTGAGGTTCGGTATGAATCATCGATTGAATTTAACAGTGAAGGTTATTCGCCCAAATCATGATGTAGACAGATAGTTTGAATTGGCGTCTATTGTTAAAATATTTCTATTTCGATATTCAATAAAGAAAGAAATAAAAATAACTAGATGAATACGCTTAATAAGCTTTAGGCTTTAAGAGTCAATTGAAAAAGAATACCTACAGAAAGTCCGTTTCAGTGAAAAGCAGGGGCAATGGTTCGGTGTTAAGACCGTCAAGGTTGCCTCTCCGATTGAGTCAGCGGGCAGCGGCGGCTCCGCTTTCAGCCCACCCAACCCACCTTCCACCATCATTCCTTCGCCTTCCACAGCCCCAAAAAGGACATGTATATCATCCATTGACCTCACGAGCGCTTTCTCAGTCCAACTTCTTTCATCCAAACACCATACAAATCGATCGTTCGTGATATACACAACAACCCGAACATCCAGACCCGTTTATAACCTGACCAATCGTACCAATCCCATATCCGACCGTTGGGACGCAATTGCAATTGCAAATTAACATTACCCCGCCAGAAACGAAAAAAATACCTAACCAAGGTGCATAAGCAAAGACAACAGCCTCAACCCCAAATCGAACAATATCATTCAAAATGTCTGAAGAGTGGGATACCGTCACCAAGATTGGAAGCAAAGCCCGTGGCGGCGCATCTCAACGCGAGACCGTCGTGCGCGGGAGCTCAGCCCTAAACGCCGCGAAGCGCTCCGGAGGAGCTATTTCAACTGAGAAGAAGTACGCCACCGGTAACACTGTAAGTCCCTCATCTCCCATCCCTTAATAAACATAAACTAACCACCCCCTCTCTCAGGTCGGCAAAGGCCCCGAAGGCCAACGCCTAACGAAAGTAGACCGAAGCGACGACATCATCAAACCGAACACCGTAGGCAAGGAGGTCGGCGACGTGATCAGCCAGTCGCGGCAGAAGATGGAGCCGAAGATGACGCAGAAAGATCTCGCGACAAAGTGCAACACAACACCCTCTGTGATCGCTGACTTCGAGCGCGGCACCGCCACCCCCGACCAGAAGGTACTCTCCTCTATGGAGCGCATCCTCAACGTCAAGCTCCGCGGCACCGGTATCGGCGAGCCCAAGTTCAAGTCCAAGAAATAAGAGAAACGCAGTGAACCTTACTGAAAGGATGATCCCAACCCATCACTCGGTAACCCTAAGAGATATAACCAGGGTGTTCGCGAGTATGTAAGGGATGGGAAGACGATGATCTGGTTGATATTAATCAGATCACAGTCGAGTTGCTTGTATGATGAGATTATTTAAGAGGCTCAACGGGGATCGGGATGAATGACACATAGCAATGTCATATATCTCACCCCTTTAGCCATATACGGCTGAGCTGCGTAGCATAGCACATGCGTGGGTCGGCTTCCGTTGCGAAGGAGAGTCGACGACGGATCGACTCTCGTGCATTCCGCTGCTTTAGACAGGAAATAGAAAAAGTTACCATTAAAACATATACGTTCTACATTTATGTCACATTCTAGTAACACTGATGTTCTGTTTAAATTTCACTATATTAGACCCGTGATTTGAGTCTCTTGGGGTTTCCTATGCTAAGTTCTCCGTGATAAAACATGCGATGCTTCGACCAGCGTGTCCGTTCATCATTTGACTATGTGGTATATCCCATCTCAGCAGTAGAAACGCAACGCAACGCAATGCAATGCTGGCTTAGAAAAACAAATTCGCCCGACACCGTTCAGTGAAGCTCATCTCCCTCCCCTGATCATCCTCATTACCACATCCACTCATGGACTGTAATGTATTATGTATATCGCTCTTACTCCCGTCCAAGTAAGCCTTGAACCCGACCCTCCACGTCCGCCTTACTCAACTGTCTATCCGTTTCCACAACCACGTTCTCCCGTCCACCAATCGTGATCACGCGCACCCACTCCGGTGCCACCTCACTCGCTAACAACCGCAAGCAAGTAGCGCCCTCCTCCTTCGAGATCCCCATGCGGAACGAATCCTTCAGCTTTTCCAGCGTAGCTGCCATCGAAAACGATACTCTGCTACCCCCTTGGCCGCCTGCTCGGCTCAGCATGCCCAAGCAAGCGGCGACTTCGGACGCACGCTGCAGTGCCGCTCTCCGCTCGATCTCAGCTTGTGAAAGTCCGGCGGGCAAGGCAGCTTTCTGTAGGGACTTTAGGCGAATGCGGTCGAGCAGGCTCATCTTAGATCCGTCTGCGTTGGTCATAGGTGTATCGGCACTGGGTTGTGTTGGTTTCTTCTGTGCCTTGTTTTCTTTCTCCTGCTTCTTCTGAGCGATGCCGAATTTGAGTTCCTCGAGACGCTTCTGGCCCTTTGCAAGTACGGGGGCCGCTTTGGCGACAGATTCGCAGACGGTGACGGGCGCCTTTGGTAGTGTGCTCGAAAAGGCTGAAGAGTCTGTTTGACTGGTTGCTGTATATTGGCTCCAGAGGCCTACCAGGTTCTCGCGGAATACATTGTTGAGCTTGTCTTCTTCGAGCGGGCGACCGCCGCGTTGCTGCTTAGCATCGATCTCGATGCAGATTTTGCCGCGTCCATAGTTCGAGAGAGTAAAGAGTGGGTTAGACTGCGATGAGAGGGTCAAGACGCCGAGGCAGATACGGATGTCCCCATCCGTAACCTTCTTCTTGCCCCATGCGCGTGCGACATTGGGACATAAAACGCGCAGGTCCGCGGGGACACGGTATCCATTGTGAGCGTAGTGTAACGTGAGGGTTTTAAGAAGGGCGGAGTGCAGATCAAGGAGAGCTAGGACCTCATCGGGAAGTTGGTCGGCCTTCGACGTGGTTGGATCGCAGTCCTCATCGAAGTCCGAGTAGACGGTGATCGGTGTATCGGCCGTGAGAGGAGAGGAGCAGCGAGATGGTGATGATTCGAGACGAAGTCTCTTGAAAAGAGCGCCAGCATTTATGGCCGATTCATCCGAGTCAGAAACACTGGGGCTTCGTACTCTCTTTCTTGGCGTTGGTTTCGGGCGGACCTCCTTCGACGGACGACTACGACTGGGTTTGGCAGGAGTCACGACCTTCGCTGATTTGATGGCAGGACGTGACTTCTTGGTTGGCGTCTCATCAGCTAGGTCCTCTTCGACGCTCGGAACTATCTTTCGCTTTCGGGAAGCAGGTGTAAGTGCTTCGATAGTATTGCTCTTTTTCGGTGTAGAGGAAAGAACATTCTCCTTTTTGACGTCTGTCTTAGTAGTGGGTGTCTTGGACACGCGGGTGAAGCTGCTGAGGTTCGACGATGCATGCTGTTTAGTACTGGGTGTTTTTGCTTTGGTCAATGTCGTCTTCAGACGTTGCTGCTTGACAGCAGGACCAGCCATGATGAAATGTACAATGTCGGTGTCTGTTGCAATTGTTTACCCTCTTTCTTCTTTCCCCTTAGAGTGTTCGTGAAGGTATAGCGAAAACTCGCAGAGCCCGAAAACAATTGATGGTTCTTTCTGCGTTAATAAGAAAGTAGGCAAGCAAGTAGGGGTTAATTAATGTACAACATAAATGGAAGGTTGAGTATGAAGTACGTATGAATTGGCAATGATAAAAATTGTGTCAAAACAAACTATGCACAGTCAATTGAAGTTGAGAGAGAAAGTATTATTATGACAGGAGGCTAGCCCCATAGCAAGACCCACGCGTAACAAAAGACGCGAGAAGCCACTACTCGAGACATCAGGCGCGACGCGCTTCAGGAACGCGTTAAGTGGACTAAATATTCCCGATTAGGAAAGACCCTACAATGCCAAGACTTTTTGAAAAGAAAAGAGAAAGTGCAACACCCACAACACGGACCCCAACTCGGTACCTCGAAAAATCATAGCCGAGGGAAAAATGTGCATATGAATTATTTTAATTTTTGTTTGTTCTTGGAGAATGCATTCGCATATTATTCTCCAGCTCTCCATTGGTGACGTTACTATTTTCTTAGGGCTTAACATTCGGCAGTCCTAATGATCTTCTCCAGCATTCGCGCTAGACCCGTTCTCGTTTAATTCTCTATATTGACGACGCTGCAGATGTACGAATGTAGATGCGGAATTTGACTTCCGACTACTTGCGATCAATTTCCGACCAACTTTCACTTCTCTTAGCTGCAATTCATTAACTTCTAACTCATATCCCGAGGCAATATTATTACTTAAAAGTTGTGCCAATGTTGTATCAATTATCATACGAATCTGGTGCTACCTATCCCTTAGGAGAGTTTGGCCTACCGAGATGTACGTGGCTGAGAGTGATGGCTCTCATATGGCACTAGTGAATAGAACTGATGAATGGGATCGCGAACTGAGGGCCGCCAAGGCCACCTCAACCAGAGCAAAGCTATGAATCCAGCATGTTTCCACGAACCAGAGTTCTCCTTCCCGAAAACACACGCCATGCCCCTAGACTTTTGTGTAGACCGATTATCTTGTTTCCCTTATGCCCTTACTAATTCACATCCGTAAACTCCCGAGCAATAAACCAGTGAACCCCCTACCGATACAGACAGACACGGAGATGAGAACATGGAGGTGCCGAATGCCTCACATGTTAGTGTTGCGCGACCCGCGTCGAGCATGTCAATCAATGACGAAGGGTTCGCTGCCAGTGATCCGGGTGGAAGCTCACAGGGCTAGGCGGCGGCGGTGCCGGAACATCCCAGTCACGCTCTTGAATGGTGCGGATAGGGGTAGCTCGTTGGTTGTCCTTGGCCGCAAGAGTGGCATTCAGACTCGTGAAAAGGTCTGTAGAAGAGTAAGGCCGGAGGCTCTTGCGAGGCGGCGTTACCGGAATGGGCGCGGCAATTTGGCTAGGCATGTTGAAGTCTTCTGCGACGAGAGTTAGGAATTACGTTGGGTCACGCGAGTAGCTTCGAGCACACATGCGGGTAACTTACAATGTGACTATGACTCTAGAATGAATGATGAGAAAGAATCAAGTGAGACCGCGATAACTTCCAAGGTTTCGCACTGCAAAGAAGAAATAATCTATGGTTGTAGTTGCGTTGGTAAGCTTTTGGAAGTATGTCGAAAGCTTGCCTTGATATTGACGGTTGTAGTTGTTGGTGGGAAGAAGTGTGGAGTGTGGAGTTAGAAAATGTTATGTTAGGTAGAAAGCTAAGATTGGTGTAATATTTATTAAAGTTTGTCGAGGGTGGATAGAAGATGGAAGATTGAAAAAAGTTTGCTCGAAAGTTGTCGTGGTGACGAAGCAAGAACAGTGGGAATTAGATATAGATATATGAGATGGAAGGTGCCAGTACCCAGTGCCGGTTACAGGACAAGGGACTAGGCAGCTAGGGCCACGATAAAATAAAGTATTAAGAAACAAGCGGAAAGGGCGGTCGGTGGGTATGCGTGTAAGTCGTGTGTACACTTCTGTGTACAGTTCAAGGTTGTGAGTACAATCGTATACAATCGTGCACACACACACACAAGTGTACACCAATAATAAGACCAAGTCCCTGACTGTGCGGCGACCACCCCACGCGAAATAGGTCTTAGCAAAGCTGATGCCGAACGGGATGAATTTCACGGGTGATAAGAATCGATGCTTCTGGCGCCCTTCCGTCCAAGATGTCAGATCCCGAAGCTAATTTGACCACCGGTGGATGTGGGCTCTCGGTTAGGCAGGTGAAATCACGTCGGCAGGATGAAGAATGAGGAGCTAAGAAGATAGTAGTGAGGAGTTGACAAGCTGGGCAAATAGGTTTGAAGTTTCTAAAGTGTTTGGCCAGATTAGATGTCGCACTCCAAATATATGTCCAGATATTCGATGTTGACGTGGATATATTGGGGATATTGGGGGTGTAAGTGTGTGGGAAGGGGGCTACGATACGAACCTTGAACGTTGGGAAAGGTCACAGGTATTTATTGATTAAGCCACATAAACTGGTGAATCTGAGACGAGACGAAAGGAGAATCCATTAATGATTTCCCCGGCACTATGTATTACTGGGCATGAATGTCTGATAAATTAATACCTGGGGAAGTTGTACACGAACAGCTGCTGGCCATGTTCTGACCCCAGATTCACTCATTCCGGGGAGCCGTCACTCAAGCAGCATTCGTTGACATAATGTCTGGGACGTCCACGCCATGCGTGAGGCACTTACCTATTCGAGCAATGTCCGTACTGGGTACAAGGGATAGTATGGGGAACAGGAACCAGGGCAGCAAGGCTATCGGGATTTTGGGGGGCAACGGACCCAGACAGACGGGCGGGAAGTTGTAGAGGTACATGGTAGATCTATTGAAATAATCGCATGACATGGCATGTGTTTTTTCATAGGCATTCTATTAGAAATAATCGGCACAACTGGCACGTTGATGACATGAGCGAAACGTTAGTAGGAATGATGGAATGGCAAATGGGTAGTATCGTGGCCTAAGCCTTGCGTTTTCCAAGAAGCCGATGCGTCTGGGTAAGATTATGTATGTTTTTTTTATTTTTATTATTATTCTTGTCCTTCTTGTTCTTCTGCACCTCTGTAACTTTTACCTTACGTGGCAACGAGTTGTAGTAAGATTCCTGCGAGGATATTTTTGATTAATGTGTAAGGTACTAGGTAGGTAAATCGTAAGCCCTCACTTCGGAGTATTGTAAGCGATAAATTCAAACACGTAGCGCACCAAGAGAACGGTTGGCCGAGATTTCAGCTAGGTACAGAATCCTGATGGATCGGTGCTGGCGAGATTTCACGGAGTCGACCTAATAAAAGTCAGGACCTGGGACCTAGCTAGGGGATGACGGATCTGGGGGCCGTTACGTGCTAACATCTGCTTGGGTATTACAACAACCTGGGCATAGAAGCCCTTGGAGACTTTCGGAATATGGCAAGATGTCCAGGAGACCGACCCTAATGAAGCTACTCAGGGCTGAAACGAGAAGAATAGGAGGATAAGTGCCGCTAGTTGAGTTTCCTTTTTGTACACGTATACCGTAAAAAGTAATCCGTAAACCTTCTCCCGAAAGTGCCTAGCTTTATTCTCTTCACCTTTTCATTAGAGCTCATCCAAATTCAAAAGTGCCTGTAACAGGCAAATAACCCGCAGATGGCTCAAGTCACGTTTTTAAGCACTCGAGATGGTGTCGTGTGCTAGCTACTATATTGAAATATGACCGGTAGTAGATGCTAGGTAGGTACTATAGGAGATAAGAAGCATCCATATAAACGAAGACTGACGTAGATATTGATACCTAAATAAATAGGAAAAGACTCGTATATGTCGGTGTGCATAACGGCAAGTATGGTTGGATAATAAAATCCCAAGTTCCAAGTTTCGAGGCTCTCTTAAAAAGAACTGTGCGTTCTGTGCGTTCTGTGCGTCCTGTACTGCGTATGCCCTGTGTGTCGTAACCATGAACATTTAATGCGAAATGATAATTGACGAACCAATACGGTCCATTTTAGGACCGAGACAGCGAGGTTTGGGGGTCGCTGGCTGGCTGGCTGGCTAGGAAATTTGCGAGGTTGCGCCGCGCCTCAAATTGATGAAAGCTTCAAATGTTCTTAGCACCTACCTAGGTAGGCACTTAAAGAATTTATTTGGGAAAGCTTGAGATTATGAAAGTTGCATGTCCCCAATTAAACTCCAGTTGGAAATGATTGGACTATCCCGTCCTTCCCCGGGCTGTCCGGTCTAAAACAAGCGGGGCATTCTGTGGGGTAGAATGATTCAAGCGGTGGAATGGAAGCTCGAAAGAAGGAGCCAAGTGCCTAACTTTCAACACTTTCCAAAAGTTATCTTATTTTGTTAATATTTTGTTCTCTCCCACAAATTTGGGGGGCATAAAAGCCATGTGGAAGGCAAGGGCTCATTAGTGGCGGGAGTGGATTATTATATGGGTCGACCAGGGCTTTAACGGGTAACTATGTACTTACTCCAGGCAGTTCCAGGCTACCCGGACCCAGCAATCCCAGCGATTGCCACCACTATGGCACCCCCCCCCTTCTTCCCGTTCTACGCACCCGTCTTATTCAATCTGTTAATCCTCACCATTCACTTCAATGGTTAACGTTACGGGCTATCTTCGTACTCAACGCCCAAAAACTACCTTACCCAGCCTGGGCGTCGATCAATGATCAGCGGTTTCTTCCCGTGGAAAACCCGCTGTAGCCATATGAATTTACAGCTATTTAGTGTCGTATCGGACGAGATTTGATTAATCTTGTTACGAGATTAAAAAGAATGGTTTCTCCCTCAAGCCGTCATAAGAATCACCGGCACACGAACGGCTAAGATACTCGGATAGTAGATACTCGAATAAGAGTGTAACAACGAATAGTAAGCTCGGTTATTATCTCTATTCCCAGTCCGAGTCTACTACGTACCTACCAGGTCCTACCTACGCAGCTAGGCAGCTAGGCTAGAAAGGTTTGAATTGAAGATGATTCCCTATGCGAGAAAAAGTCTATCATCTATCATCTGGCACCTAACTATAGGGATAGGGATAGGGATAAGTGCAGTGCCCAGACGGGCCAATATTTCTACCAAATTATCCTGTTTGCTACCATTTAATATTTCTAGTGTTAGGCTACCCCTATCCTACTGAAACGGAGGGCTTACTAGTTTGTAGTAGTCTCGCAAATCATGGCGGCCCGTTGCCTAGTGTTGTGCCTACGTAGGGCCAACACATGCCCTACCTAGGTACACACCACCGCTTGCTGCAAGATCGTGTTAGCTGAGTCCAATTATTTGCCTGCCGTGCCTACAGTACCGTAGGTACCTACGGAAGCGCCATTAAGGTCTTTGCTAAAATACTTGGGGGTATACCTCCTTATTTAGCTTCCGAGCCCCGCCTTTGTAATCCTTCGAATAACAATCTATGTTGGGCTTTGTGCAATAACATCATCATCCCACAATCTGACAAAGCTTACAGGATCTCGTTGACTCACAAAAGATCCCATTCCCGCGCCTAGATGATCCGTGGGGTGCGTGTGTAGCCATCCGCGAGAACACGGAGAGGTGCCTAACCATCTCGGACTTCGGTGAGACAATCTCCTATTTGTCTCTCCATCCAGGTACTATTCCTCTTATCATGAATTACCTATTCAAGACGATAGATCTGGGATATGGTGCCGAAAGCTCGAGTTGCATGTCTTAATTTGAGCAGCACGCCACATCAAAGTTCTCAAGTGACAGTCAAAGATGTAGTAAATATATCAAGGTATAGGGGGGTAACGTATCCTGTCGTTGAGAACGAAAAACGGCCAACTATTTCCTAGCCCGAGACCTGCATTCGTGCAAAGTCTGTCCCCGGACAAGTTTGCTTTCTTCATTGGTTACTTTCCAAGACGGAGTTGCGGTGAGTTGTCTGAGGCTGCAGAATTCAGCCGCTCTTTGTTGGAAGAAGTTGGTTTTCCGGCGAGATATTTACTTAAGTGGCCTTGAATTATCATAGTTCTCCGCCAATAATTGGCGATTCGACAGTCCGTCGCATCCTGCCTGCGGTGATCAGGGGTTAACTTAAGCATCCTCACCCAGGACTGGTTGAACTGAGATTGCAGGTTGCAGATTTACCTTGAACATTACGCCACAGTCTAAATTCGGAAAGCAAGTCTTTGCTTCTTTCGTCAGGCTGCGGGAGGCACGCGCTGCATATGCACGTCACGATCGATGGTGAAGTCACTAGCATATCGTTCGATAATACCATGGAATCTCCAGGGTTCTGCGAGGTCAAAATGTTCTTATCTAATTCTGCCCAAATGATGGAAGTCCCCTTTATCACTCCGTGGGGTACGCTCCAGTGAAGACCTAGGACTTACTACGTACCTCGCCAGCACAACACATCTATTAAGTTGCTTCCGCATCGAACATAACGCTTACCTATATTGACGTATGTTCTGCCAAACATGTGCATTCATCGGAGAAATACCTACTTCAGAAGGAGATTGTGAAAACTCTAACAAGCTCTTGTGTAGCAGCCGGCTTGGCAGACGACGGAGGCGTTCTTGAAATGGCGCGTTGTCATGGTCCTGTACAGGTTCAAAATCCAAACCAGGCAGCTATGCAGATGGAAACATGCATCATGCCGTTTGGATAGGGTATCTGTCCCCTGCCAAGCCTATATCCGATCCCTAATATGTTCATCTTCCCAAAAGCTTCCTCTCTGCAAATCGAGCCGGTACATAGACAACAAGGGTGAAGAAGAGACTAAGCTCGTTCCCGATATCACCACCCGAGTCACCGATTAGCTTGGCAATAACACCAGTATACCAGGTCGTCGCCATTCCCAGAATAGCTATAGGTCGGGTCAGTATCAAGGTACCATCTAGTGAAGTGACTGTAGCACCAACCTCCAACTATTCCACAAAACAAAGCAGGACCTCCAGCCCATCCAACTGGTAACATCTCAGGATTATCCCAAGCTTCCAAAATGTAATTGTCGAATGAACCACCGCGGAACGCGTAATGTTCTGTGACCAAACAGACGAAAACAGCGGTTGCATAGTAACCCAATAAACTGAGGAAGTCTTGGAGAAATACCAAGAGCCGATCACTGCCAGCCAAGCTCAAGGCGACAACCGCAGCAAAGCAGACCAATGTCCAAACAAACCTCGGTACAACCGCCAGCTTTCTCGTGGACAGTTGGATTGAAAGGCTTGCACTATACATTGATGCGCAATTCAATCCGATGGCCGTAAACATCAGCAGAAACAGCATCAGCTTCGCCAGCCCACTAGGGTATACCATGGCCTGGATCAGAAACCCAATTCCTCTATTATACTGTGCGTCCCATACCTCGTTGTGGGGTAAAGCTGAAGCGACCACAGCTCCTATAATAGCACAGAGGCTAGTAGGAATGACTTGAGCAACGGTTAGCAATAATCTAGACCTGTTCAGACGCTTGGTGATTGAACTCACGAAGACCCAGGAAAGTGATTAGGAATACATTTATCTTCGGAATGGTGGCTGGGTATTCGACATAAAAGTCTGAGACATAGCCCGCACAGCAAGCACTACAGCCATACATGACGCAAAAGAATGATAGTGCTGCTCCAGAACCTGTAGGACCAGTAACGGATGGTGGGGTAGAGAGGTCACCGAATCTGACGGTTTCTCCAAGTATGACCAAGAAGATGGTCATGAAGACGAACCAGGTGTACTTCATAAATCGATAGCATGCTGTCAAGCCGAAGAAAGAGAATACCAGGCTCGCCACACTGCAAATCACGACACCGACAGCAGTCCCGACTTTGCCGTCCGAAAAGGCCGAGAGCGCTTGTCCGCCTGTGATCGAACCGGAGGCGCACCATCCTATCTCCTGGATGACATTGAGTATGGCGATAGCTAGAATGTTTCTTTCAATTCGTCAACTTTTCTAGCAATAGAAGCATCAAGCGACTCACCCTTAGCAGGATACCAACCGAGGGAATATCGACAGATCGAAACTTGACGAAGGCCTGTCGGCGCTCCCATCGTTGCACACCATCCCTATAAACGATTAGGCATTTGTGGTTTTAATAGGTTTGTTGTATGAAAACCCACAGTTACTGCGGCGCCCGCGATTGAACCGAATACGATGATCAAGATGCTCTGTCGTAGATCTAGGCCTAACTCCCAGCCTAAGAAACCTGTTGCGAAAGAGCTAAGGTTCACTACAACGGCGAAAATTAGCAATGGTTTCTTTACGGAGTCTGGAAGCTCCAAGCATGCCCTGAAGGCTTTGAATTAACCAGGACGTTTTAACCCCTGGATTGGAACAAAATGAGGGACGAAAGAATTCTCAGTATACATACTACAGCCGCCAACCCAGAAACCAAACATAGACTAAAGTCCAGTCAACTTTGTCCTTTACCAACTACCCTTTTACGCCGTTAAACCAGGGGGTTCAGACTGACCAGTTGGCCCGACCATCCGGCATAAAACGGGTTCCTCTCATTTGGCAATCTGCGTTGGATACTATGTCCTTCGACTCCGAGCTTTCGATCAAGAGCGTCCTCGTAACCTCGCAACTTGCCCAAAAATCCTGTCTTAGACTCGGGTTGCGATCGTGCGGGAATCTCTTCGCTAGATGAATCAGTCACAACTCCCACAACCGGCACCTGGTTCTTCTCCTCGTCGATCATGATGGGATTCATGCTAAGCGTTTCTTGAAATTGAGGTTGTACTCTTGGATCGTTGCGCGGAAGGAATAAGGAGCTAACTCCTCAGTCTCCCTCGTTGTTTCGAGCCCGGGTGATCAGCCGTACATATAAGTAAATGCCGCCTCTAGTCCTCCATCCACTCAGCATGCGCCGATCCCATATTGTAGATAGGGGACGAAACATTCAAGAAATGTTGTAGTACAAAGTCCTGCGTGTCCAGGCTGCCAGGTAGCTAAGACCAATTCCAGGCCGTGCGTCGACGGACAAGTGCAGGCGATCCGAGACATTTCCAAGGTCGTGCATCATGGTAAGGGAACTTCCTTGCAAACCTCTCCCTTGCGCCGTCACTGTGGCTAACGAAAACCTTGATTAAAGCTCCAGAGCTCTTGTCTCCCGATTTCATATCATATTATCGATAGGATAGAGCGCCCGCCCCCTTCGGATACCTGCATAAGTGCCACTGAAGACGAACCTTGTGGGCTGGGCGCTCGGATTGGCATTGACAGCTGAGATGCCGTTAGAGCCGGCCTCAACTGACGATAATCGAAGGCGAGCCCGAACTGCGGGGGAACGGACGCGTCCGTCCTCGCGTCGGCAAGAACCTGGAGCTGCACGACATCAGCTAGCCTTTCGTGCAGCCGAGAAGCATGTCAGATTGGTGAGACAGGCTTTCAGACGGATCTTCGTGGCCGGTATCCCTTGGAATGCCGCTTGTGCGCACGTACTTCTGGGCTCCGTGGGAATTTGTGGGGGTTTGTAAGAGCAGATGTTCCACGAATTCGGGCCTACCTCCCGACTAGGCTGGGAAGATATCTGAACGAGCTGCCCTTGATCATATCATATAAGGGGGAAAGGAGTGAGTAGTGTCAGTTCTACGTGCTTGTGATGTTCGTGGCTATTGTATCTTCCGATCCGTACACGGATATGCCCTTGGACGAAATATCGATCCGTTGAGTATCATCAAGAAATTTACGTCACTCGGGATTTCTATCCTTTAACACTCGATCTAGACAGCATGTGATTGTCTCTACTTGTCAAATATCTTCCAAATCGTCATATAGGTACTACTCAGTCGGATCGGGCTCGTTGTTGATCTGATAAGTGATCCCTATTCCTCATATTATGTCTGTTCCGTTTAATTTGGTGATATTTTTACCCTGTAGCTATTAGTTTTAGTATTTCCCCTCAAAACATATTCTTTTGTTGTTAACGACCGGGCCTCTAGTCTAGGTCCCCAGCCGAGGACAAGAATCTCGATGTGTATGAGACACTTGTTTTAGGAAGTCGTGGCCATCGAAAACGAGCCTTTTTGTCTGTTAAGGAGAAAGGGGTAATAACTCGACTCCGCGTTATACATACACATTTCTTCACTTATCTCTCCTAAACAAGTTTTGTCGTGGTTATAATAATCTTGTTGGTTCGAAGAGGGATGCTAGGCCCTCATACTGGGCATAGCACTCTATTATAAAAAACATTAGCAGCAGGATTGGTGATGTCTAAAGTCAACATAAGGTTTCCAGTAGCCTTAAAATCATCTTAATTAAGGCTCGGATTATAAAGGAGTCTAAATATAACCTTAATCCAAGTTCTTTCAATGACAACCTTATCATGCTTACGACTTCGAGGGTTGAATGTGACACGCAAACGTAGACGTAAGCATAGCGGGTTGCCGTTTCCAAGTCCAAATGATGGTATCCTGTGAGATCCTAAAGGTCGTCTTCAATTCGTCTTCAACACTTTATCTTAGAATAATCCCTTCTTTCACTTTTTTGCCAAAATGATATTTATTTTCACACCCTAAACTATACCTGCGTACCTAAATGTAATTTTCATTGTAACCCCTACAGTCCAGGTTGAATATTACCTAGAACTCTCTATGAAGATCATCAGAAACGGCTTCTTGTTAGAACTGTAGACTTCTAAGATTGTATCTCATTAGCTCTGGGACCACGCCTATATACCTATATATATATATATGTAGTTTACAAATAGATTAACCAACGGACCTGAGAGTATATGTCGTATGAGACTGGAGGTAGACCAGAACAAAGATGTCTGTAGATTCACCATTAACATATGTTAACGACTGTCTAGATGTAGGCCAGCACGGAGTCGCCGTTGATTCTGAGATACTTGTATAGAGGCAAATAAGCAGAATGTGACTAGGTGAATGAGGGTGTATCCATTGTCCTTGTCCACCTTACCGAAGTATCTCACATGTAATACCAATATGGCGGATGCTCAGATGCTTAGAAGCGGTAGGATAGGCACCCAGCTATCCATAGAGACGGCCTCGTGTTGGAAGCCGTCGACGTAGTTCAAGATAGTTATTTTCAGGGGCGTCACTACATACTGGTTAGAAATTATATCATAGACGAGAGAGGCATTCATAAACAACACCTCTCAGCAATTCCTGCCATCCAAAAAATATCTTCCCTACACGTTTCCTCCCCTTCTCCCCTCAATTTCATCCTCTTCCCTTCCAAATTTCGCGCCTTTCTGCGAAGAAATCCAATACTCTACCTCCAATACCTTTTTTCCAGTAACGATTTCATCGTTTCTGGAACTTGGTAGTCATAAAAGCAGGAGTAGAAGACAGGTTTCTCACGTCTTTGCGCGTTTACTACGCTGTCAAGTATTTAAGCCGTAAGTTTCATCACTTTTTATTGGCCTCCTTCGATAGAAATCATCTAATATTTCCTAGTCAGTCCCGTCACCGACGGAACCTTTCACTATCTCCATTAGGAAATCACACTTCACTACTAGCCGTATGGATTCAGTATCAGCACCGGCAGCCTCAAGCCTGCCTATGGCGCGCGTGGTATTGTACTGCTGTGAGGTGTCGCCGACAAGCAAGCTCATTCAGTGGTACCTGATTCTGCGCCGTATTCCTTTCACGCAGACTGTAAGTTCCAATAACCTCATTGATTTCGCGTCTCTATTATCTTGATTCAATTATTTCATCCACTTGAAACCCGTCTTTTGGTAGATCACCTACTATATGTTCTCGTCGAACCATATCAAAACTAACAGAGTACCTTAGTTCAAGTCGACCGCGAACTTGCAACCGGATATCAAACCGTATCTCGGAATCAAGTACCAATGCGTTCCTATCCTTTGCATTGGACGAGATGTCTACTTTGACATCGATCTCATGACGTCGGCATTGGACAAGGCCTTCCCGCCGTCTTCCACGAACCCCGACCTGAACGGACATACCTCCTTCGAGGGTGCGGTGGCATTCGTGCGAAGCGTGGCCACCGAGGGAGGTCTCCTACTACACGCGATGTCCCTTTCGGAGCGTCCCCTACCGCAGTTGGAATTCATCCTGGCCCATGCAGACGTTATCGGTTCGGGATTATCTGACACCTATTCGCAGAATGACAGCCCTGTTGAACAACTACGGGAGACGGCTATCACGAGTTTTAAATCCTACATGGATCTCATCACTCAGAATTTCTTCGTGGGCGAGACAAGCCATCTAGGATTAACTCCAACCCCGACGTTGTTGGAGCTTTACGTCGCTTGGCCTCTGAGTTGGCTATACTATGCGGCCGGAGAACGCGGCCGGGACATCATCGACGAACCCCAATTCCCACTAGCGTTTGCGTGGTTCGAGAATTTCAAGCAAGTCATGGATGTCGCCGAGGCACAAGTACTCCCACAGGTGTCAAGTGGTTACCACGCCGCGCTCATGGCCATGTCGGCTCCGTTCGTGGAACCGGAAGGCGATGTGGATCTTGTGGCTCTTAGTCAACACCAGCCCATACTCGACAGATTTGCGAAAGGAGACGCCGTCAAGATGCACTCGGTATACTGGGGAGTGACCGAGAAGGATAAGGGCAAACTGGTGAGCGTCGACGAACGTCAGATCGTCATTGAAGTCGAGGGGATGTTCGGATCCATTCTAGTTCATGCACCGACTAAGACGTTCCGCTTGGAGAAATACGACGACACGATTGAGCGTGTCGGTCTGCGGGAGTTTCTTCTTGATGTCAATTAGGGGCTTATCGACGACCAAAAACTGAGGACTGGATTTGCTGTTATCTGTATGCCTAGGTGGCTGTCAGGCTGGCTCACTTGAGGAATACCAATCGGAATGACAATTGATATTAACTCTGACTGCGTAGATTTTGTGACATGTTAACCATCATGTGTTATTGACACTTGATGCTTGGTGCTCAATATATCTATGCCAAGATAAGGGGCATATTCGCGAGTGTGGACTTTGCTGTAAATCAACATGAGACTACTGAGACTATACTAGTAACGGTAATTCATTGAAGTCTCAAGTGTTCTAATATGAGAAGTAATAAGAAACGAAGAAACGCTTAATTAAGCTTTGTATAGTAACTCGGAAGCTCCTTGATTGATTGGCCAAGCTGAAGTTGGTTCACGAATCTGTATGGCCTTTTGGGGTCAATTTCCGAATGGCATTTCTAGTAGCTTTAACCGGAGTCGACTGCCGAGAGGACCGGTAGTATGTAGTGCGACGCTAATGTATTCAGATGCTGTGTGATGACTTGGATGTTACCGTATTATGTAGCTGAGGTATGGTGGATGAGGCAATGTACCGAGAATGATGCGCGTCAAGATATAATCTAGTCCGTTTGAAGCCGACATGCGGCGATAAGCTCGTGTTTACTATTGAAATTGTCAAATAACACGAGTTTTCGAGAGCTTTACATATATATCTTCAAAATAGTGACGGGAATAGGGGCTAGAAAGTGATACTTAAAATGATAGCGTGTTTGTAAGCAGCCTCAGATTTTAGGCGACGCGAGTGTCTAGAACTTATGTAGCAAGGTTCTATGATTAGCGGCAATGTTCTAATGATGCCATAAGACTTGCGTCATCGTCTATGCGTAGATAATACAGAATCTCCGTGTTAAGCTCGCGGATAAAATCACGACGGAGTATTGGAATCTTCTTCACACGTGTGCATATATAAGAATAGAAGGGCAACAGGAGTTGAGATTCCGTCTACCAAAGATGGAATAAAAGGGAGGATATCCATGCGAAGATCGTTTCCAAAATATGTAGGCTCGAGCTTCTGTTAGCAGACCGGCAGACTGGCAGACCACTGATATGTATCTAAATGTTGGATGAGGCGATCTCCATGTGCGTGATCAGTCAACCCGCGATCTTGGATCTCGAACGGCAGTCAATCACGAAAGCGCCTAAGATAGCGAAATACTGCAACGGCCTGAACTGCTTACATCCGTAGTAGTCCTTGGTCATTCGAAGCCTGTCCGGTTTGGGAAACATCCCAGGAGCGAGACTTTTAGAGATGAAAAAAAACTAAAAAGAAAAAAAATTACGATGGAAAAAAATAATAATAAAGAAAAGATACAGTTTGCCAAGGATTAAATTGCACTGGGTGTGGTACTTAGAGAGTGACGTAATTCGTTGCGAATTTCCCGCCCTGACCACCTCTTCCAATCTTCCTTCTAAATTTTCTTTCTCCACGCGAAATTCATCACATCCCTGGCAGTTGCGACCGCTCAGTTGTATTCTCGAATTCCATAAGAAGGCGCAAAGTTGAAATGTAACCAAACAGTCAGGCAATGGGCAGGTAAGTACGGTATGGAAAGAATAGGGGGGATGGCCATCGTAAACTTGAATATCTGAGGAAGGTAAGTCTATTGCATGCAAGTCGTTCTTAATCAAGGATAGAAATTCTTGGATGGGCGAATCATGTAAATGATAAAAATCCATCCCTTCGATTCAACAAACCACCCAAATGTTTTCATTCAGTTTATTTCTCTTTGCATACATATACTTCGTACGAAGTACATACGTATTATTAACTATTTGTCTCCCGCGGAGCCTCCCCCCTTCGATTGTCGTGCTCTAATTTGTTAGACGCGACGGGATGTATCCGGGAAGGCAAAATTGACTAGGTCTTTGCATCTCAGCCGGGATATTTGATTCGAAGAAAGAGTCTGACTTTACTGGAATATATTCTTTTTGCCACCTCTCAGAGCGATTAAGAGTTGTTGGATGGACTGGATGGGTAGGATGGTGTGGATGTGCCTGCCGCATTTTACCTAGCGTCATTCTAAGAGTCTGGTACATAAAGAGTGGTAAAAGACTAGAGTTCCGGCAGGCTTAGGCTGCGTGGTTGGTACGAGACCTGTCTTGACTCCCCTGTAATTGAACTCGAGCCTCCATTACATATCAGACACCCTTCATCCCCCTTCCCGCTTTTCTTGGCCATCTTTTTTTTTTATTCCTCGTGTCCTTGATCGCGATCGCACCAGTCTTTGTAATCGAGCTTCAGATCCGCATTTCCAATTTTTGCTTACCCATCTATGGATGTACCCAGATACTTGATATTGGGGAATCCAGTTGTCAACTATTAACGTGTCTGCTGCGTGTCTGGCTTGCTTGGCTGCTCCTACATAGTATCTAACCATTATACGCATTTGATATACATGTATACATATGCGCATGTGTACTACTACATCATGTAGAATGAATGAATACAAGATCAGAATCGTTATCTACCACCTATTACACACCTTTCAGATGCTGTAGACTTGCGAAATGGCAATGGGAAACTGGGTTGGTGTGACTCAATAAAAGCGCTGACAAACCGGAGATATTAGAGATAAGGTTTATGTAGAATGTGGATGACGATGTCATTGTCATCTAAGAATATGTAAAGTCATCATGTACATATAATATTTATCGCGCTCGAGTAAGAGCATTTTAGAACACTCAGAGCCAAAAAGTGAGTTTATGTTTCTGAAGCGTAAAAAAGCCGATTTGGTTTCTAATAAACGTATGTTTTTTAACGTGTAATCTCCAATCTAAGAGAACTTCACCGTTCCGATCCAAATCAAACTGGGGCCGTCGGTTCGAAGAAGGTAAAAAGCCCGTCCAGTTCAAGCAACCGGACGAATCACAGTCAAGGTAAGTATCATACGTACATGTAATTATCATACGTGTACCTAGGTATCCTAGCTAACCTCCCTTGACAGCGTGTACTACGCCAGAGAGACTGGCTGGTAGGAAATCGGTAAGGAACTGGTAGGATAATTTGGTAATTGGTAGGCACGAATATAATAGTGGACACTAGCAGGCTACCCAAACAGGCTTAACCAAAGCTAAAACAAATGGGGAATTACGTAGGCGCACTGTCCGGGTACTTAGGGATCTTCGATCACGCCTTCCACACGTCCATTGGATGATCAATCCATGTCTAGTGCGGGCCTTGTCCACCTTCGGCTCCAAGCATTTTTCGGGGGGCTTTTACGTCTGCTGTGCCTGCCTCTTCTCCCAAAAACCACCCCTTATGTCACTTCTTCCCTCATGACCTCATCGCCCAACATCTCCCTCTAACACCTGCAACTTATCATTCCCATCCAAACTGCGTCAACGCCAATTCACAGCAACACAACGCCCCAAGTACAGCAGCAACCATACAAAATTCAATAGCAAATACGTATCTCTCATTTAGTCTAGCCTATATCGTCACTCATTCATCAATTAAACGCCACGATATCCTAGGTTAGCGACCCGTTCGCTCCTAATTTCCCAGAGGTAGTTTGCCTTTTTTTTCTTTGCAAGCTGCCTCCCCCCAAGTCAGCCGTTGTGCGTCAAGCGTATCGTTACATCATATACCTTCCCCAGAACGCACGTACACACGCATACACATAACCCAGCGCCATAAAACCAACTTCGTCATCGTCGTCACTATGGCTCCGACCGAGACCAAATCATCAGATAATCCTTTGTCAGGTGAGCTCACCGATTGTCTGCCGTTCTTTCGCACTGACCCTTACACATCGGTCACTGGTCACTATACCGTGCCGTCGTTGCTTATCGGCATCATCTATTATCCCTATTCCCTAGTTATAATCCTTCCCGATTAATAATTGGGATGCGCTCAATTGGACGTCATTGCTAACAGTCGTCGTCACGTCTCTGCAGAAACAAACGGCGACAAGAAACCCGAGCTGAAGTCGGAGAGTGCTGCCAACAACGAACCTGGTCGACCGTTGGCGCCTCCACCCAAACCCGGCGACGATTACTTCTCGAGTAACCTGAGCCTCGAGCCCAACCCATTTGAACAATCATTTGGCACGGGAGGCACGGTGGAAACCCCCGGTGGTACTAAGTTGCCCAGTGTGGCTGCCTTGACCTCGCCGTCGTCGTTGTTGCCGGGGAACGGAAGCACGCCATTCAACTGGGGAGGCGGATCTCTTAGGACGGGACCGCTCAGTCCGGCGATGCTTTCCGGTCCGGCGAATGACTACTTCGGCGACACGTCGCATACACTGCGCGGTGGATTTACACCTAATGAGAGTTCACTACGAACCGGCCTGACACCGGGTGGAAGTGGCTCTATGTTCCCTGCCCCGAGTCCCAACTCGCAAGCTCTCTTTGCACAATTAGCAAGTGGTACCGCCACCCCTAGCACGCTCGACTTTCATCGAACCGCCATGAGTGCAGCAGCCGCGAAAGCAAATCGTGACAAGCAGCAAGCACAACCCGTGACGTCGCAACCAGAGACGAACGGGGCACAGGTGAAGACCGAAGCCAAGCAATCTTCGGGTGCATTTGATCCCCATGACAACGACGCTGCCAACGGTTTGTTCATGTTAGCCCAGGGCGCCCAGGGCCGAAACGGCACCCAAACGCAGTATCCTGTCGGTGGTAATCAGCCAGTTCATGCTCACCCTGCTCCACCACCACCCAACCAAGCTAGTAGTACATCGCCACAGATGAATGGTAATGGTGCTACGGCTGCGTCGCCGACGAGGGGAGTCAGCGAGGCAGCTAGTGGGATTTCGGACGACAGCGAACCCGCGAAGCCAAACATGAGGGGGAAGGGAAAGCGTGGCAGTGGTGCAGCTACCAACGGACGACGTAAAGCCGAGGAGGCACCCGCGAAGCAGCCTGCTAATAAAAAGCCAAAGACAGCTCCATCATTGAATGGCAATGACATGTCCTCAGATGAAGAGGATGATGAAAAGGGCGGTGATTCGCATGGTAAATCGAAAATGACAGATGAAGAAAAGCGGAAGAACTTCCTTGAACGAAACAGGTATGTTTATTCGGATGTTGCATCTTGACTTCTGTTGCTGACATAGCTATCCAGGGTTGCCGCGTTGAAATGTCGCCAACGTAAGAAGCAATGGTTGGCTAATCTCCAAAGTAAAGTGGAGATGTTCAGTAGTGAGAACGATGCCTTAACAGCGCAGATTTCTCAGCTCAGGGAAGAAGTCGTTAATCTTAAGACCCTTCTGCTTGCCCATAAGGATTGTCCGGTGACGCAGCAGCAAGGGTTGCACGGGGCGTTCATGCAACAAGCGATGGAGACTTACAACCCACAGATCAACCCCTATGGGATGGCAGCACCCATCACGAACCAACCCGTTATGGCGGGTCAGGGAGTGCAGCGACGCTTCTCATAGGATGAACTGGTCTCTCCCGAAAGTTCCGTCTATTCGAATATAGATTACTACAACGAAGAGCAAAGAGGAGTGATCAATATCGCGGGTCCTGGGCAGTAGACGTCTCAGTCCCTGTGGATGTTTGGTCACCATGCGTTTGGCTGTTTTTTTCAAGAAAAAAGAAAACACCTTAATGGTATTGGGTGGTAGGAAAAGTGATTAGGCGCTCCTGCTCTTCTGACGACAGTAGAGGTTGGCGAACGTTCCCAGACGAGGGGACGTCTGCCTGTTAACTCTTGCGTCTGTAATAACATTCGGAAATTCACGAGAGCACGATAGGGCGTTTAGGCTATGGCTGCATTGTGGCACGTCTTACCGCGTTAGCGGGTGACGTATCGCCTACAGCTTCGCCATATTATCGGGTGATATTGATATATGTACGTATCTGGCTGGGCATACACATTAAAAACGGTGTTTAAGGAGGGGAACACTGGAAGTATTTTGCTATTACAACCTAGGCGTTGAGAAGGGACGGGATGATGCGCAAATAGGGACTCGCGCCATCAACGTCTATCTCGGGAGTTTCTGGTCTTCGTTTCGGCCGTTTATATTAGCTAGCTGATACACGTAGGCTCTTAGCGAACGATTTACTGTCTTAAAAGAGGTCTTGCTGATGTGCCCATGTGATTGTCTTATAATTCTATAGAATATAAATAACTGGTAACTAGCTATCTAGTAGTGACATGTTATGCATGTCGAGATATGAATGATTTTGAATATTGATACGTAGTAAATTCATAATCCCCTTTAATTGGCTAAATTGGCTTCATTTACTCGCATAAGCGGTCGTATGTAGAGAGAGGGGGCTAAGTGGGTCACGGCGAGGCTACATTAGTGGTGGCCTGTGCATAAACAGTTCTATGTAAACATTGAGAATGAGTGGAAGGAACATCTTCGCGCCTCGTCACTACTCCCTGTAACGCCAACACCGACGACCAAAAACTTAACGATCCGCTTACGAAATAAAGTCAACGCCAAAAAAGCAACATTTATATTTACCGTACCCGAAGATCTACGCGATTCGAGATATCATCCGGTATAATTGATCCCACCGCCAATTGATTGACGCGGTCAAAGCTATACATTTTTCGCGCTACTGCCCGATCGAGGCGTTCGTCAAACTTCACCAAATCCGCGCGACTCCAACTCCGAAATAATCTCGAACAGATGCGCACTCTACCCCAGCGTCCATGACTACCCTCGTGCAAACCCGTCAGCCACTACAAGTCCTGAGCATGAGCAATCAGCCCAAGCGTCGTAGGAGCTCGCGCCTCGCCGGTACGTTGACCCTTTAATCCGCCGCGGGGGAATTCAGTTTGGAAGTATCGGTGTTTGTTGATAGCCGAACGACTGACCGCAATTTGTGTTTTTAGCATATGATGAGCAGGATGGTGACTTTCATTTCACGCGAGGATCGAAGCGGATAAAGACGCAGCCAGAAGCGATACCTGAGGACGAACCAGCGCCAGCGCCAGCTCCAGCTCCAGCACCAAAACAAAAATCAGCACCCATAGCAAGAAGAGGCAGACCGAAACAGAATAAAGAAGTACCGTCACCACAACCCGCTCCGGTATCTGCACCAGCACCAGCACCTGCCCCTGCACCCAGGAGAAATGCGAAGAGGAGGTCTAGTCAAATGTCAGATGATCAAGATGAAGCGCAAACACCGCCACAACCACCACCTGGACCGGCACAGAGAAGTACACGGCGAAGAGGTCGACCGTCTGCGGAAAAGACAGAGAAGGAACCGGTGAAGGCTACGAATGGGATTATTAATAAAAAGAAGAAGCGGGTCGAAGAGGTGCACGAGGAGGAAGAGCCCCAAGAAGAAATTCAAGCAATCGAATCAACGCCCAGAGACGAGCCCAGAGGAAGAAATGGAGATAATGCTTTGGAGTCTAAGAAGATCGCGCTGCCGTTTAGTGATACGCCGATCATGAACCGAAACAAAGAGATGCGGAGGAAAACAGGTGCCCGAAGAAGCAGTCTAGGCATGCGCGGACGGCGAGCAAGCTCACTCATAGAAAATGGCCACAATGCGATACCGCACAAGGCGGTGGACTCCGGCGAGTTCTACAAGCATATCGAGGCCGAGCTGATGGAACCGCGCCGGATGAAGCAGCTATTAACGTGGTGTGGAGAACGAGCATTATCAGAGAAACCACCGTTAGGGTCTACGAATTCTAATGAGATTCTAGGGGGTAAGATATTTCCTTAAAGGTAGCAATACCTACGACCTACTCTATAACTAACGTTGATTTTCTAGCCCGAGCGATTCAGGATCAACTATTGAAGGATTTTGCTTCGAGGTCGGAGTTCTCTGACTGGTTTGCTCGAGAAGATATACCGCGCCCTCCGGCTATAGTGAAGCCGAACCCGCGAAATATCGAGCACGAGGAAAAAATAAGTGAGCTTGAGGAGAGGATAAAACGGTACGTTTCATACGACTCATTATCATTAAAATAGCTTATAGACGATGCTAACAAATCCCAGATTAAAAGCAGAAAAGCGAACATGGCAATCCCTCAAACAGCCGCCCCCCGAACTCCCACCGCTCTTCCCCGAAACAGACACGAAGTCTCTCCCGCTCCCAGACGCCTCCCTCCTCGACGCAGACGAAGCTCAGATTCTAAACTCCCTCATGAACCCGCCCGCCTCTTCTTCCTCTATCCTAAAGCCGCAGAAACTGCAGCAACGGCTCCGTGCTATGCACGAATCCCTCGAGTACAGCATCGACCAACTCTCCGCAAACGTGCACAAGCTAGAGCGAACAGTGGCTTCAGGCACCTTCCAAGCAGACAAAGTTCTCGCTCTCAGCGCGGCGAGATTGAAGGAACGGGAGGAGAAGGAGAGAAAGAGCGCCGGCACGAAGGATATGCCTGTTATGGAGGTCCTGAGAAGTCTGGGTAGGATACTGCCGCCAGAGAGCGGGGGCGGGGGTTGATGTGTATTGGTATATCAACCTCTAACCGAGGAAAGAAAAAAAAGAATTACCCCCGTCCGGATTACTTGTCCGTCTGTCTGTCCGTGTTGCCTCGGCTCCGGGAGCAGGAGAATGGAATGGGGAATGACCTTTTTTAAGGCTGCTTGTTTGCTTGACTGATTACTTGTTGTGCTTTTTTGGTTTGGAAGATACCACTACCGTCGAATGAATGGCGAATGGCATTGAGGGGGGTAAACGGCGTTTCGTGGACGTGTTGGGGTTGTTTTCAAGACACAAGAGAAGAGAAGAGAAGAAAAGAGAAGAGGAAGAGGAGGAGCAAGAAAGAGAGGAGAGATTAGGTTAGGTACCTATGTAGCCTACCTAGGTATGGTGAGAGTGAGTGAGAGAATATGGCATTCTACATATATTTTTGTTCCAGACTTTTTTCGAACTCGAGTTCTTCATGAGAGTCCATGCGATTGATGATTATGAATGGCATTTGGGTGTGGCATTCTAGGGGGAGGGTTTGGGGGCGTATTGGTGTATTGGTTAGGTTAGCTGTTGACTTCTTGTTTTATTATTTGCTATTGCTGTTGTTATTGTAATTGTTGCTTCTTCTGCTTGAGCTGTGTGGTTTGTTGAATGTGTTGATCTGTTGTTTGTTTGCTTCTTTGGTGTTATACATTAAGTGAGTCTATTATATGTTCGATTCGATTAATTAAACCATCAAGTAATTTTACTGTATTTGATGAGAGACTGGGAATAATGTTTCATACTCTTCCAAAATCCTCAAGTATTATGGGTGCTAGGAAGGTTTCAAGCATAGCTTCGGCTTGAAATATGCGTATTAAAATAATTTTGCTACATCGTTTGTTCATAGAATAACAGACGAGAGACGCATTTTCTCAATGAATCCTTCAAGTCCTCTTCCCACCATATACGACCAGTTGTCGCAACGAGAAAGCCCTTAGTTAATCATGATTACACCATTTTATTTTTTTCCCCTTTTCCTTCCTTCCCCCATAACCACTCCATGAACTCACGGATGTCGCAAAGGCGGCATAAAAGCCATCCCACCCCTCTCCTTCGCCCGCGCCTTTACATGTTCCCGCACCAACCTCAACACCTCACTTCCCCTCCACCGCTCCGGCACAGGGCGGTACGCCGGCTTAAACGTCCCCACCGTCTGCGCCCACTCCCCCGTCTCTCCTTGCTGTTTATACGGCTCCTCGCTTGCGGCGGACGCAGCTGCAGCTGCTTCCTTGCCCTCTCCTGCGTCCCCGGTGGCGGGGGTTCCGCCTGTGCTTAGCGTTTCGGAGAGGTGGTGCGGGGAGGAAGAGGGGGTTGAGACGGTGGAGGTGGAGCGTGTGGGGATTGAGGTCTCTTGCGACGAGGGCGAGGTGTCGAGCGGTGTGGCTTCGGAGATCGCGGCCTCGACGCCGCCGGCGTAGTCCGCGGAGCTTGTGTCTTGGGTTTCTATGGATGGGGTGGGAACTGAGGTGGAAGTGGAGGTGGGAGAGGGGGCGTCGTAGGATACGGTGTTGGAGGGAGGTTCCTGCGTCGCCCAGTAGTATATGTCCCAGTCGTTTTCGTCGAGGAAGAGGTCGTATTGGGTCATTTGCTCCCGTGTCATGGTAGGGAGGTGGGCGTCGGCGAAGGTGGAGAGGAGGAGGTCGGTTTCGAGGATGCCGCGTTTGCGGCTTTGGTCTGGGGGTGGGGTTGGTTAGTCTACGCTTGTTCGAATAGTAGGGTGGATTTCTCAGCGGGTTGTGTATGTATGTATAACGGATATTGAATATATAGTATATATAACGAGGATATATAAAAGGTAATGAGACTGGGTGGACATACAAACCAATCTCGCTCGCATCGTACTATCATCCTCACTAACTCTTTTTATGGGCTCAATGCGGAAGTCAGTACCCTCGAGCTCGCCAACCTGGGCATCTCCTTCAGTCTGCACACCACGCTGCTTTTGCGGCTCCATGGGCGGCAGATTGCCTGGGAAGATGCCAGCACGGTGGGCGCTTGTGCTGCTTAACGGGCGATAGAGCAGGAATCGTCTAGCAGCAGAGACAGACGAAGGCCTTTGCGCCACACGCAAGATGCTGCGGGGAATTGTTGAAGCTGCCGACGCCATTGTTCTTAATCAATTGAGCAAGACAGTACTTTATTTTGCACGATATTGGCGCTATTTCAAATCGAATTGTCGTTTTCCCTTAATCGTATCTTCACATCCCACTATGTGATATGAGAGATAAAAGGAAAGGTGGGATTCGTGTAGTCAAATCGTTGACGTAGTTGGAGAGAGCTCTTAGCTTAAAAAGCTTGGAGCTTTGTAGCTCCGAGTCAATTGTCAATTGAAGCTTTGTAATTCGCGAATCATATGAAAATTACCGAGGCCGCCCCTCCCCGCCGATCCGGATTCTTAGGGACCGGGTGCTCTTGGCTTCCGTTTGTATCCGATCGATCGGCTTCAAAAGAATTGGAAACAACTATGTTGATAATATACGAAGTACTAGGATACCAGGATACTTCAGGGGGGATCTACGATTTCACGTGAAAGTCGGTTTACGAGCATAACAATTCAAATATTGAGTCGTTCATTTTTATATTCGTCTCCAGACTCCGCAGCGTCAGGCGACGCCTATACAGATTATGCGTACAAAAGCATGAAAGAATCGTGTTCCATGCCACCGTAACCATTTTTGCCCTCCAAAAATACTCGTATCACGCCTTTACCCCCTTCTGCCTTGAAGCTCTGCAAAAGTCTTAACTCCTTAACTGCGATAAGTCATAAGTCCTGTCCAAGACGGATATTAGGTGACTAATTGCTTGCTTGTCCCTTGATATACCTAGACCAACGCAATCCTCGATCTTGCGAGAAATATGATTTAGGTGCTTAGGTAGGTATTGTATACTCTTAAATCAAGTGCTTCGATCGGAAGTAAGCGCGCAGGTACATGATCTGCCAGCCCCACAGCGCAACAAGCAGCATCGTGGTACCTATACCAAACCACTTAACTCGGGTATTCGTGCTCTCGTTGGTGTCGCGCAGCTTCTGCTCTCTCGCCCTCAGGTAATCCATCTCTCGGACAATATCCGCAATGGACTCCTCGATGCGGCGCAGTTCCGTCTCGACGGGCTTTAGCTTCTCGGTGGCCTGGATGGCGGACCAGTCTTTCGCGTCGGCACCGATATCGATGTCGAGTTCTACGTGTCGGCTCGGGTTGTTCATGCGCGCTGGTTTGAACTGGTTAAGAGCTTATTTCGGTGGGTATTTTTTTAGCCCATTCCTTTTTTTCCCACTATCGACTCGACACACACAAGTAGAGATAGTAGAAAATGGAGGAAATGACGGACAGGGAATAGGGGGACATACAGTGTGTCATGATGTTCTCGAAGCACACGTCGAAGGCGGCGTCGGCGTGGGAGGTAAAGACGGTGCGTTGTTCGCCTACAACGTCTTTTGGCTTTCCGTACTCGTTGCCTACATTATCTAAGATCTGTAGCCCGATTCACAATCCTTTGTTAGTTCAACCCTTCGTGGTGTGTTGCCTCACTCGTGGTGTGTTGCCTCACTCGCGATGCGATGCATCAGAGGTGTAGATGTAGCTTTTTGGGATCGACATACGTGCATATTGACAATCATGCCATCTCCTTTACTCCCGCCAACAGTGGCCGTGACAACAACCAAAGTGTCCTTCGCGACGAAGTTCCGTATGCATCGTTCTGTTTTCTTGTCGCTCTGACCGCGTGCCGTCAGATCGAATTTCAAAGCGTTAACTGAGGCGATCAAGAGCACGAAGCCGCAGATATACTGCAGCAATGCTCGTGGCAAAGCCATAATGTCTGTGTTCGGGTTTGCGTCGTCGTGTTCGTCTCCCAAGGAATTGGATCTTGGGAAGGGGAGAATGTCGAACCAGGAGCTTCAACGTTCAGAGCTAACAACTTTAGGAACTTTAGGGATCTGAGTGTTTCGATGTAACTTTGTACCGGGTTGTAATACGTGTTCAAGTTTCCATCCAATCACACGCTACGGATCTTAGTGGCTCCAATAGCCTTGCAGCGATTAAGTCACGTGTGATCGAGCCTCACCTAAATGACAGGGGTGGACCCAATTCTTTTTCGCGTCTAAGCTTCCAACCTTTTGTATCTTTTGTATCGTCCGCATTCGCAAACTTCATCTCCAAAGTGTATCTCTTCTTTTCAATCATACCCCATCTCTAGATTGCATTGAAGACCACGCCGTCAAGATGCCGAAGTGTAAGTCCCTATCTCCAAACCACACCTACTCTCTTCAAAGTACCTATCATACAGCAATACTAACAAACGTAAACAGTCTTCTGCGACTACTGCGACGTCTACCTAACGCACGACAGCATGAGCGTGCGCAAGGCCCACAACAGCGGCCGCAACCACCTCCGCAACGTCGTCGACTACTACCAGCAGATCGGGCACGAGAAAGCCCAATCCGTCATCGACTCCATCACCTCCTCCTACGCCGCCGAGGGCCAGGCCCACGCTAACCCCATGCTGCCCCAAAACCAGCCCGGAGGCGCGGCCGCCGCAGCGGCGGCAGCAGCAGCAGCAGGTGGCTTCCCAGGAATGCCACCTCCCCCCTTCAACTTCCCCGGCGGAATGCCTCCTCCGTTCCCCGGCCTACCAGGCGGAATGCCACCACCGCCCGGCGGCGCCTTCCCAGGGGGTATGCCTCGTAAGTACACCACCACAAAACCCAGCATCCGTCATCCGCGCTTCTAACACGTCCACCCAGCACCACCAGGCCAAGGCGGCCGCGGCCTCCCTCCACCGCCCTTTCCCGGCCCCAGCGGCCTACCCATGCCACCGCCAGGCTCCGGTCTCCCGTTCCCTCCTCCCCCAGGTGGTCTCCCGTTCCCGCCCCCGGGCGCCGGTGGAGCCAACGCGCCTCCCTTCCCGTTCCCAGGCATGCCGCCTCCAGGACAGGGCTTCCCGGGTGGTCCTACGCCTCCTGGTGGACTCGGGTTCCCGCCTCCACCTGGACAGTCTGGGCCTCCTGGGCGTTAGGATCGCGGTGTTGGGTTTGGCGGTGAGAAGCATAGACGACGGGACGATGATTACTGGGATGGAAGAGTTGCGGGAAGGCCGCCGTTCAAGAGGGCTAGGATGTAGGCCACGTTCGATTGCTTAAACCGGGGCTATAGAAAATGGTCGAAGATCGGGCGGACAGCTTTCGCGGATTGTCTAAGCAGACGACTGGATGTTGGCAACGGATTCATGGTTAGAACGACATCGAGCTACGATCGCCCAAGGCTTCTCCCACGTCTCCGCGTGTACAGGCTAAGTGTACAACAGAAGCTCTCGCTCTCACGAGAGTAGAGAAAGCATAGTGAAGGGAAAAGAAAAGAAAAGAACAACAAGTCAATTACTCGAGGAACTGTAACTGGATCGACGAACAGCCATGGAACATTGGTTGCGAGGCAAGGCGTTAGGGGGTTACCTTTTCCTGCATTGCCCGAAAAGAATGGCAATTCAAGGCGTTTCTTCGTTTGAGGCATATACCATACCACTTTAGTCAGTAGTTTTTCTGACCGAGAATACAACAATTTTTGTGTTAGACTACGATGCATACATAGGGTGTGGTGACGGTACTAGCAGTATGGGGTATTAAGGTCCAAAATGCTGTAATGTGATCAATGTTTCACTCTTCATTTTCGTTATTCCTCGTTGTCAGATCAAAACATCTATCTCCATACAATACATCACCACCAGCGGCGACGTAAACAAGGCAAGACAGACAAGTACCTAAGCAAAAGCACCAAAAAAACGGAAACGCCCAAAAGCCGAGAAGCAAAGTCTCAATCCAGAGTAGCATAAAACTCATCGTCATTGGTATTCATAGCAGGTTTCTTCTCTTCATTCGTAACTCCGAAGTAAATAAAAAAAGGGGGGGTAACAAATATGCCAAGGAAAAGGAACAACTTCGTCAGTTACATTCCCTCCATTCATCCATTGATTCCCCTTTACACCCTCCCAGTTCTCCGAAACTCTCACATCCAACATGCTGTCCGTAGTAGAAATAGAAAAACCCTTTATCCTTTTTAATCCGGTTTCATGTCGGAAATGAAAACCGGCTAGAAATCATTCGTAACTCAAGTCGTGATGTGGGGGAATATGTAAGGTCGTTTTTATCGTAGCTCGTATGCATCATCAGGGGGTAAATGACAGGTCGTTAAGGGGGGTGGAATTGTTGTTAGTTGTGGTAGGTGTTTAGTAGTAATCATGGCGATGATGATAACGGGAGTATGGAAAGTCATCAGTCAAACACTACACTTAGTCGCAAGACAAAGTCGTCCATCAATAGAACCTATACGAATATAATTCAGAACAAAATCCAGAAATCGCAATGTAACTAGACTCGGATAGGTCCCCGGCGTCGATGTATTTCCGGTTGTTGGTAGTATGTCTTGCCGTTTGCTGAAGATTGGATATTCGATGCAGTCTGATAAGAAGGACCCTTATAACTGTTGCGCTTGATGACCTCGCCTACGCCATCGCGGACTTCGCGCGGCCCACTAATCTTTTGTCGGAGAACCTCGGTACGCTTCTGTCGGCGATGCTCACTCAATCTGCGCTGAAGATTCTGCGGTCGATACTGTTCTAGCTTGTCCTGCCAACTAGGGAAAAGCCTGCGTCCTCTATCGTCCACACGTTTCTCGATGCCCCAAACGCGTCGATTTGAATCGTCAGGAGCAGTTGATGGTCGTCCTTCGGACTCGTAGTCGCGGGAATACCGGCGATTACCCCAGTCAAGACTACTAGAGCTATCATGGTGTCTCATCACCCGAAGTCTACCACTCGGCGTACGCTTGACTGTTCGACGTTCTGGGCTGCGCTGGCCGGAAGCTGTGTAGTGATCTTCATCCTCTATCGGAAGGATGGCAAATGTACGTTTCATTCGTTCGCTCAAACTTCTGCGGCGAGCGACTGGCGGGTACCGATACACAGTATCTACCTCCGGAGGAATATCATGCTCCCAGTCATCGAATTCTTCGTCATCATCATCGAAGGTAGGTCGCCAGAATGGGTGTAATTTAGACTCATCAGGTGGCGAGTCGTCGATTGTTGGATACTGGCGTGGTTTGGCATCCTTACTCTTATCGATAGTGTGATTCTCGGTGGTGTCTTTTCGAAGTGTCCTCGAGAGAGACAGAGTCCGCGAGAGGAAACCAGGTGGCCGAACATTATCAGAGCTCTTGCGAAGGCTAAAAGCACGACGCACTAGGGAAGGTCGTTTTTGGGTCTCTTCAAAGTAGTTTCCAAGCATCTTTTCTTTTTCGGCGGTCGGGGTAAGTCCAGACGGCGTAGCTGGAATAAACTTAATTGCAGGCGGCTCAGGAGGGGCGCGCGGGTTTCTTAGAGGGGAATCTACATCGTCCATCGAAAACTGGGGTTGGGGAGGTGTCGCGGGTGCTCCATCCGGACCACTCGCTATAATTTTAGGAGTGTTTAGGAATTTTCCCGTTCCCGCGACATTTCCATTCTGGGGAGGCTCTAGCTTCCGCAGGGCGTTTGCAGAATCAACAGGATCGGCGGGTTTCGACATATGATGAACCATCAAAACAGATTTGTTTTGGTGTGGGTAAATATTCACCGCCATCGCTTCAGAGATATCTGCCGCAGAGTGAGTCCCGTTTGTCTCGACAGATGCCTGAGAAAATGGGGTGTTGTGCGCTGTCAACCGTTTGCCGAAGAAGGGGTCCCCGTTATTATCGACAAGTGGCCTGTGGTCATGGGAGGCATCTTTGTGCGACTCAACTGATAGAGCCGGCTCAGGTTGTCTCTGATCGGGAGGAGTATTCATATACTCGACGGGAGGCGCACGTTCCACTGTTACATGTGGTGGTGGTTGGTGCTGCTGTTGGTGCTGTTGGTGCTGTTGTTTGCCCTCTTCCTCCAAGAAAGTATTGTGCGCCTTCAAGCTTTCGGCGGTCAGTGATCCAGCACGAGATCCCGCCCTAGACCCATTCCTACTAGTTGGTGCCGAAAGAGAAGATCTACGCATAGGAACGATTGGAGGATAGTCCATGGTTAATTCATCCACCCGAACCGACCCTTCGGATTCCGAAGTTGATCTACCTCTTCGAGACGGTTTGTCAAAATAGGGTGTCAAGTCCTTCACTTTAGAGTAATTTGATAGCGGTGCCGAACTTAAACTATTGCTTCTCTTGGAGTGGTGACTACTCGTAGATCTTAGTGACGGTGGTTCAGTAGCTTTCATCGAGGTTCTGCGATCAGGAATGACAACTACGGGAATTCCTCCGTTCTTCCAAACTTCCTTGCGGGCCTTTCGACTAGCGACAGAGTAAGCCGTATTGGTAGATGCAAGACTTTCTGATCGCACAGTGGTATCGATAGCCCTCCTAGGAGGTCTTGCACGCTGAGCACTGTCCGTCTGGCGAAGGGACGTATTTGCCGATGAGCTCGACGGTGAGATCTCGGAGCTAGAATCCCTAAGGGCCGGTTGTTTTCTGACATGGCGCAACGTCTTACGCCTCTGAGGAGGCGTCCCGACTAAAATAGCCTCTACGACCGTAGAGACCGTAGATCTCGAGGACATTCCGGAGGACCGCCTAACGTCAGTACTTACCGAGGACTCGGAAGTAGACGGCGCGGTCCAACGCGTATCCCTGTTCGTAGATTCCGGAGGTGGTGAGGGTTGCGTATGTAATCGGTCAGATAGGGGCATCGATCGTAAAGCCTTTGTCGCATTGGTCGGAGTAATTGTCACATCCTCAACTACTTCAGCTTTTGATCCATTAGTCTTAGATTGGACACGTCGCTTCTCCACTCTAGCATTCCTTTCGTGTTTACCATCACATCCCTTCTTAGCTTCGCTGGCAGTATTACCCCAGTCACCATCAAAAGCTGAGAATTCTCGTTTCGTCCCAGGTGTAAGATTATCGTCAGACTCGAGACCTAAGCCTAGCCCCACGTCCGCCGCTTTTCTTTGTCTTGCGTCGATTACGCGTCTCGCTACGGTCTGGGTCGCCTTGCTAGAGGTCAGGATGGGTCGAGGTGTCAACTGGAGTTTATCGTCTTCTTCAGAAGACTCCAGGTTTTCGGGTGCTGTGGTGAATGATTCCGCCTGAGAATCCGCTGTGGCCTTAGATGGGACGCGATCTGCTAAAACGGGGCGAGAGGGTCTCGATCGACGCTCGGGCTGCGGAGGGGTCACGTCTGGCGTGGGTGGACTCGTCTGGTGAGGTGGAGTTCTCGGTGTCGTGTCCACTGGGGTGTTTGCAGCACTTCGCACCGGACTACCGACATAGGTCGGACTTGACGGCCGAATCGAGTGGCTTTCCGAAGAAGTACGAGAGTGTGCCGGTGGCGTAGGAGGGAGAGCAGGCCCAGGAACTTTAACGTTGGGACTATCGTCGTGCTTCGGGTCAGTCGGGGTGGACGGTGCTTCTGGCTTCACATGCGATTCCGGGATTGACGTCGTATCGATGGATAGGTCACGGGAATGGCGATTCCTAGTTGTCGAAGTCGGCCGATTATTTCTCGGATGCGGGAGAATTTTATGTTTCTTAAAAGCCTGTGGACTACCATAGATAGGTTTACCAAGTGGAGGTTGATCGTTTAGAGGGTCGAAATAAAGGGTTGTCGACGCCGCGGGCGAGACGGTTTCGGCAGAAGCGAGCATAGTTGAGTGGGAAAGAATAGCATCTATCATTGTTGCCGACAATCTTAAAATCTATTTAGCTGGGTTGCACCAGACCAGATGATCCTTCGCATTGTAGAGGAACGATACTGTTTTGGGGGGCAAGAACTGGTTGCGTATTTTTTTTATAAAAACGAGCACGTAGTCCGCAGGTGCCCCCTTTCAGGTGTTTCTTGTCCTCTGCAAACCCCCTACGTGATGCAGACGCAGGTAGCTCTGAGGTCCTCGCAAAGTCGACCTGCCTGGGGGTGGCTTTTTTGATAAAATGTGCCGACTATTGGACCACTCACAGCGATCGGAACCGAATTGGGGATCAGATCGAAGGTGAAATGCTTAGGACCTTGCAGGACATGTTACAAAAAGCATCTTCCCTAGGCGCTGTCCATTGGACAATATATTCGAGGAAGCATAAAAAATTGAATCAGATGTTTAAGAAATATTACGGCTTGCGACAGCAATAAGCCACAGTATATCAGACGAACAGATTAAAAGACCGGAGTAGGATAGATAGATTCTAACAAGCAAAATGTGTAATGTATAATGTGTAATGATCTATGAAAAGAACCTTGAACGGACTGTGGACAGTGGATTCTGGACTTCTGGCATTAGTTCCAAGGTCCAAGGTTGCGCAAAGCACTATCAGGAGACGTATCGTATATGTGTATTGTATTGTATGTAGGTATGTATGTATGTACTTTCAAGGTTTGCGACTGCAACGAATAAATGACTTTAATTGAGTGCAGCTGATAGCCCTGGAGACGATGTCGGGTCCTTCCCACTTCCAACCTTCCTTCACGCACTAAAACACTAAAACACTAGTGAATGAGGAACGGCTCGAGGAAACAACGTCAGAGAATTGAGTTTCTTTCCAGGTGCCCCTCCTCCCCTGTTCCCCTGCTCAAAGATAGAGGAGAAGGATGGATGGTTCTTGTTCGGAAGTCGGGGGCTGGGGGGCTGGGAAGTGCTGAAAGTGTTCGGCATCTAACCTTAGTTGGTTAGTGCTAGAATCTTTGCTAGCTTCTAAAAGGCACCTGAGGGTTGTTACTGGCTGTACTACATAACGTCAAGCTCACATGTATGATACAAGCGAGGAACAACTTCCCGGATAAGCGTAGTTCGATTCCTTGTTTTTTCCACTTTCTTTTTACTTTCTCCATGTCCGTTGGAGTACTTGGAGTACATATGTACATCTTCCGAAAGAGAAGACGAGGTAACGCAATTAGGACCTCGACATCTACGATCCTGCCTAGATCTGGCTCGTTACATTAGATATTTCGTACATGATCCTTTGAATCTCTAAATCTCAGACTTGCTGCGGGTGTTGGCGCGGGCGCGTGCACTACGCATCACAGCAGAGAGAGAGAGATACGTAAGTATATGCGCCCAGTCTCCGACGAAAGAGACGAGAAACTAACAAGTTACGTTGTATCGTCGAAGTATGGGAGCTGGGGAGTTAGTATGGAAGTGTGGGAGGTCGACTTATTCTTCATCTGCAGCTATGAGTGGATCATGACCATCTTTTCTGCAGCCACTTAAGTCACCAGGACAAATGAGCTTCTCGAACTGCACAAGGCTGTTCGGCCTCATGCCAGTCTTGCTTAGCCTGCAGACATCTCGAGACGAATCAGATGGAGCAATGCACGACACCCTAGACCGACGTGCGACTTCGCCGTCGTCTGGGTCCCAACATGGTCAAAAGGGCGGCTGGCGTTTCCCACACCTCTCACACCTCTTAGAAAAGGACACACAAAAAGAGTGCGACGTTCTAGGCGCATAATATACGCATACCATACCTGTACCTACTACATAGTAAGTACGCATACCTTACGCATAACCGGAACCATACGGCCCTTCCTCCTCAATCCATCCAAATCCCAAGAATATTTAATGAGCCACGGTACTACTAATCAAATACGAATAAATATAAAATCCCATCGTCATGACGAAATCCCTATTCCCAAGGATTCGGCAATGGTGGGGGCTGTAGGACTGTCGGGAAAAACATGACAAGCTGTCGCTGCGACTCACGGTCGCAGAATCGAAGGCCACAGTTCCAATTTAATTAATCCAATCCAGCAAATATTCTTACTATTGAGGTACAGAAGGGAACATCGACGAGTGGCATGAATGGTAAGGGGAAATGGCCAGATCGCCCCCTTTTTAATAATCAGGAGAGTCCACTAAGACGACGAATCACTACATGAAAAGCAATACGATACAGTACCTAATACGATACGATACCAACAGACCTGCAGGTATCCGTCTTGAAACGGACCGTAGACCTACCCACTTCCTTACTCATCGTACGGATATATCTTTATAATAGAGACATGCAGATCTATGTTCTTATCTCAGTGGCTATCACTATATCACTCCTTCGCGCTCGTAACGCCTGGCCGGGGAAGAGGACTAGCCGACCCGGCAGTTCGCAATTCGCAATCAGCTTTAACCTACCTATCTTTTGGCCAAGTCTGTCGAATCCTGCCACGTGGGATTTCTACTTTCGGTCCCCTATCCGAAAAAGGCACACAAATATAATCTATATAAGTCGTCGGACCCCTTTCACTTCCGCCAATGCCCATGCTTCATTTCTCATGCTGATAGCTAGAGCATATAACCTATAATAAGATGAGTGAGTTGTCCCTTCATGCAATGCCGCAAGAACTTACCTAGTCTGTGAACTCAAACAGTATAGATCTTAGCTCACGAAGCTTTATCTAATGCCCCCGCATTCGAAGAGCTATGTCATTAGTGCTTGTAGCCGTCTCCGACTATCTAGTTACCTAACAAGAAACCTCTGGATGACATCTACTGGCATATACTGACATCTCCACTATGCAAGTCAAGCATCGATCTCCAGTCGAGATGGATCTTTCCAGCAATATTCTACTCTCTCAGTGGACGAGAATAGTTCATGATAAGCTCCCGGCCTTAGTCGAGCATTGCCATCATTGCGGCATTGATATCGGTGTTCTATCGGTAAGAGAAGATCTTAGGAGTAAGCCGTAGATACACAAGACTTATAATGGGATGAATTCCCATAGGATGATAGAAGTTCCAATTTCTTGCATATGTGCTATGTTGTGAGAATCGACAGTTTTCAATATGTTGACGGCTCTCTTCACTCTTGGCTATGTAGCTTATGCTACCGCCCATGGAACGCATGATAATCAGAAGACGCTCTCCGGTCCGCATCAGTCTTTGTGGTATAACACCCTTCCTGGTGATGGTGGAACACAGGCCGATTCGGTCTTCTCTGGGATCACAACGTTTGGACGCTTGCCGTACCAGCCTTGCCTTGGTCATGATGACATAGATTATGATCTCGCCTTCATTGGTTGGTCAATTGGATATGGTTATAGACCCTTACACTAACTAAGGGTCAAGGTGCTCCTTTCGATACCGGTACATCATACCGACCTGGTGCAAGATTCGGTCCTTCAGGTATTCGTCAAGGATCACGACGTCTAAATCTCTAGTATATAACCTTTTATATCCATATACGACGTTACCCTTACGGTCAGCTGACCTTATGATGCAGTGGAGGTTACAACGTCCCGTTAGACACGAACCCCTTTAACTCATGGGCAAAGGTCCTCGACTGCGGAGACATCCCAGTGACATCGTATGAACAATATTCCATATTCCATCCAACACTTTTCTAATCAAGTCATAGTTACGATAACACATGGGCCCTCAAGCAGATCGAGGAAGGCCACTACAACATCCTATCCCGACCACCAAAGACAGCCTGGGACAAGCCCGGACCATCTAAGAAGGGAAAGACTCTACCACGAGTCATCACCCTCGGCGGCGACCACACCATCACCCTCCCACTCCTCCGCTCCATCAACCGAGCATACGGCCCCGTCTCCGTCATCCACTTCGACAGCCATCTGGACACCTGCAAGTCCCCCCTCCCTTCCCCAACCCCCTAACCGCTAACCCCACAACAGGGCGTCCCAAAGTCTTCGGCGGCTCCCCCTCCGAAGTCGCCAGCATCAACCACGGGACATACTTCTACCACGCAGCACAAGAAGGTCTTCTCGCGAACGACACCAACATCCACGCAGGCATCCGCACGACGCTCAGCGGGCCCTCGGACTACGCCAACGACGGGTACTGCGGGTTCGCGATCGTCGAGGCGCGCGAGGTCGACACCATTGGCACTGATGGCATTATCAAGAAGATACTGGAACGTGTGGGCACGGAGAAGCCCGTTTACTTGTCGCTTGATATCGATACCCTGGACCCGGCTTTTGCGCCGGCTACGGGGACCCCGGAAACTGGGGGGTGGAGTACAAGGGAGCTGAGGACGATTTTGAGGGGGCTGGAGGGGGTTAATTTGATTGGGGCGGATATTGTTGAGGTTGCTGTGAGTGTTTCTCTCTTTTTTTTTTTTCAAGTTATATCCTACGTTCAATGGTGACTTGGCTTGGGATGATGATGGTGATGAATGCCACTGCTGACATATTTTATGACTAGCCTGCCTACGATACGAACGCTGAGCACACCACTATGGCGGCTGCGGATGCGTTGTATGAGATCATGAGCATCATGCTTAAGAAGGGTCCCCTTAGCAATATGATTGCCAACAGCACGGAGGAAGAGCTGTGAGATTGACCTCTACGCTATAGTTCCCAGGTTAGTTCTAGTGATCTATTGAGTGGAGTGTTTACTTGATTGAGAGGCCGCAATAGGGGTTATGGGATGTGGCGGGGGTGTAGCGAGTATATATGCATGGTTAGGTGTTGAGGATAGGGTGGTTGTAGGTCAATGACGAGAATTTCGGGTTAAGGGGTTATACCCGAGCAGTTTTGGTAGCTGGAGTAGTATTCGTAGGGTTAGAGCAATATTACTGAGATAAAACACTATGATCTCGAGCTGTGCGTGATCTGCAGGGCAAGCCCTGGTGGCGCTGATATAGCACGGGAGTTTCGGGATTGGAGTGAAAAGCAGATTGAGAAATTCATTCGATAACGACTGTAAGTATTTGAAAAGGCAAGAATATAACATGCGACAGCGACCAATTCTCACTACATATTCCTCAAGACATCTAGTTGCCCCTTAAAATCTATATTAAGTATTCCCTCAAAGGGACTGAAATATACCCTTTAACTAACACATTCCAAAATAATCTAATTATGTAGAATCGAATACCATGTCCTCCCCCTCGCCATTTTAGAAATAATCAACCGCCACATTATCCTCGTCCAGCAAACCGTCCGATCTAATTGTACGTAACATTGAGTTCAGACTCGCAGAAAAACATCGAAGATCCCTCCAGATTAACGAAGTTACCACCATCAGGGCACCTCAGATAGAAAACCTTCGATCTATTCTCGTAGCATTGGCCAGTCTGCCTCCCGTCCACGTCGAACATGGCGAATCCGCGATCCTTGTAGATGGCTGGATAGGCATCAACCACGTTAGCATAGCCCCATTCTCATATCTTTACCCTGGGAGGGGAATGGTTGCGGTCATGACTTACTGTGATGGCCGGGCTTCCCTGCGCCGGTGTTAAACTCGACGATATCAAGGGGGTCTCTGAAGTAGGGCGAGGCGACCCTGTTACCAGGGACGGTGCGCATGCCGACGTGTTTGCCGCTCACGTCGTCGGTGTCAGAGTAAATCATCGATTTCTTGTGTTGATCACAGCTGATCTCGGGTTCCTTGTGGAATATAGCACCGTGGTTGTTGCCGCCGACGACGGATGGCACACCTGGCACTTCTCTAGACATATAGCTGATCCAGAAGTCGGCCATAGCTCCAGGGGCGGCCGCGGCGGCGATTGCGATGATAGAGAACTTCATGTTGAGAAGGGGGGTGGTATATTAGTTGATACGCGTAAGTTTAAGATGAGAATGAGAGATCTCCGTGCTCGGGAAAGTTACCACAATGTGGATGATGAACCTGACACTGAATGTTCTGAGTAACTGATGACGAGTAGCAACATATCAGGTAGAACGAGGTCATACTGGCCTTCTTATATCTTATTTCTTCAACCATCGGTTCACAGTGAAGACGTACATCTACGATGCCATTGAGCTACAAACGGAATGTGCCACCATCAACGCATGTTTGTGATCGTCTATTACCTCCTTAGGTATCCAGATAGGAAAGTAATCTTCCATAATGATACTAGTTATCCATTATGATGTCGTCGTGTAATGTTTGTTTTCATATACCATACCTATGTTTTCCAGAATATTCTGTACGATATAGCCGTTCATAAATCAAGGGTCTTGGTCAGCTTAGGCGGCCCAATTCCTAGTCCTGTACACATAGAGAGTTACGGTGTAGGCTATTCCCTGCGAGGGGAGTACAAGACCGTTGATCCAGAATAGATCAGGTACCTATCTGATGGAAATTCCTGCTATTGTGCTTTGGAGTTTCTTTGGGATGATGGGTATCTGTCATCTATCTTGAAGTAAATTTGTCCTATCACAAACCCTCATAATTGGATATTCTAGTATAGCCTCTCTAGAAATGTATGATGGCTACCAACTCAACACATCGTAGAGCAAATCCAGAGTTATCCACAAGTCTGTCCATTATAGTTACCCCAGATCTGTCATCCTCATTGAACTTTACTGTACTACCTGGACCTCATGTCTGGTAACTGTCAACAGTCTAGACGTCCTCCTACCGAAAACCATTTCAGCCCCAATAATCGGACCGAGAAGTTTCAAGTCTGTAGGTACGATTAAAAACACGACTGAATTTGGACTCGTATTCTAACGAAGACAGGCAAACAAGGGGTAAGATCGACCAGATCCAAACTCCTTGGAGTTTGAGTGACACAGGCATGTGCTGTGCGATGTTACCTACTGGGTGGGCAAATGTTCCACTGCCTACGCGGTGTAATTGTTAGTCTGTATAGATATCATATGTGCTACTATAAGATTCTCGGCAACTGGTCTAGAAATAGCTTCATAGGATCTGTTTGGGAGATTGCAGTAATCGAATAGGAAGAAGATCATCTATTATTGCATGCATCAATGGGGACAATGATTGGACAGCTGTTTGATGGGAAAGACCACAGACCCATCTGGATAACTGACTTAGCTGTCAAAGAAACAAGCTCAACCATGATCTTGATCATGTATGTAGCATTGATGTTGCGTTTTCAGGAACCGAGAAAGCAAGTTTCCAACGGGAAGACCGAACGGGGATTTGTTTGCAATGGCGACCCACGATAGAACAATCCTAGAAAAATATCTCAAAGCTGTAATATATGGTAGAAAGACTGGTCGATAATTAGAATGCATACGCATCATATATACCGAGAGTGTCGGCTCCAGGGCACCTCGGCCGTATGAAGCTCATCATACACTGAATTCCACAAGTGTATGGTCTTCCTAGCACATCTGCGAAGACAGGCACCCATAGATATACCAAGCAACATATTTTCATCCTAAGTCTTTCCTAGATAGAGGATAACTCCTTTTCGACAATGCCTCGTCCCAACCTAGAAGATAATATCACTCGGCGATGAGCATGGCCTGATTCGATAGGCCCCTAATGAAAAGGGGGGTCATCTTCGAGAAATAGGGATAACTAGATGGAAAAAGATCAAGGTAGTAGATACCACCCACAGAATTATGCTCGCCGACAAGATATATGAATGGTATGACAAATAGTCGATGCCTAGGCGATAGGCAACTTGAGTTTAAGGGGATAGTATGAGCCCGGTTTCTTATTAGAACATAGTTCCGTACAAGGAAACTAGGCTCTGGACAGACCCTTAACATGTGAAGATAATTGCAGAGATACCCGTATTTAAAGAACCAGCTAGGCTAAATGTAGAGTGTTTGATTATGGAAATAATTTAGTATTTTAAAGGGAAATACTGGCTGCAGAGCTGTTAGTTGGTATATATGAGGCTTTGAGCAGTCATATGGCCGCCATCGGTCCAAGCGGTTGTAATGAAAGGGGTTTTTGTTTGGTTGGAGCCAGCAAGCCGCGGCTATCATCGACGACAATGCCATATAAGAACATTTACTTAGATTGATTGGATATGCCCTAAGGGAAATATTACATTCTTCGAGTGGGCTCGTTGGCCCTTGTACTTGGTCCGTTCTGAGGGACATGTAACACAAAACTCTCAAGAGTGAATCTCGAGCGCTGATAAAGGTTAGAAGGGTTCTTTAGAAATTGAAATAAACTATTTCGAATTTCCTGGATTCGTTGGCTGTGAGATGTTAGACTGAAGGATTTGAACGTTGAAGGAGTAGTAAGAAGCTTAAGGATCCTGGAGACTAGGTGACAGCTCTTTCCCGGCAGTCAACAAGCTTTCGGATAGATTCCTATGTCGTGCTTAAAGTGGGGGAATGGTGGCGGAGCTTGGCTGGGGTTGGTTGGTAAATTTAGACTCTTCAGGGATTGTGACGTCAAGTAAGGGAAAGCGGCTAGCTGAGAAACTAGGGTTCTAGCGTTAGCTCCCGATCTCGGTAGTAGACTTAATTGACTTGTCTAAGACATCAAACGCCAGAACACGCCAGAACACGGCATGGCGGCTGGGGATTCCCGAATACTCCGAAGAAATCAATTCACCGGTAACTTAAAGGTGATCAGACCTTTGATTGTAAGTTTAAGCTGGCCATGCAGACATGTTGTCGCGCAGGGACTATCTTGCCTTGAACTAAACTGTCTTCTCTTGACAGTTTCAGAGAATGGACTCCAGGGTCGTGCTGACGACCTCGTTTTGCACGTAATCAATCGTTCATGCAAAAACGAGGACGCCACGTTGCTATCCGCACACTAAAACGATTTATCCCTTGGCAATATTCAAAGTGTACTGGCGATGCGCCCTTCGACAAAAGTCCTTACATAGCTGCATAGGTACCTACCTACTAAGTAGGTACATATGAATAACTACTATCCGAATAAACGCCTAATGTTTGCTACAAGTCAGGTGCATCTCAAAGTAGGGCACCATTAGAAAAATCAACTCAGTAAAAATTACCTATGGCTTGCCTGCTTGTGACGCATGAGAAGTCTTTCATGTGCGGGTTTAGAACAAGTTTGCAAGAAACACTTCGTAATAATTGGGTGGCTCAGAATTCCAGATGACGCAGCGCCACATCGAAAATGTTCTAAATCGGTTCAGATGTGGCGTCCTTTTACCCTGGCAGCTGCCTGGATGCAGATGGTTACCTCCTTCAGCCTCCTTTGCAACTGCCCAGGTGGTTTGTTGCATTTCACAGCCGCGATTGGACCACTTTTATTCCCTGTTATCGATAGCTGCCGGGCGTGCCGGTAGTGCGTAGTCCAGCCATTTTGAGACATTCTACCAACCTAAACCAACCTAAGCCGAGTATTCTTCTGGAAACATCCACTTTCGTACAAAGTCCACGCGTATGATGGAATACCCCGAGGTGGCCCGTCAAATGTCAAATGCCAGGAGCGCATAGCATGACATGGCATAACCGATGAGATCGTTAGTTGCCTCAGTCGCCTCCGTCTGCGTAAGCTGTTTAAGGTTTGTATAAAGCTTGGCCCGGGTCTCCTTCATCTAACGGACTTCTGATATGTTGGTATACTACCATCTTGACCAAGCGCCTATATAAGTGATTCCATTTGATTATCTCTTTGGTTAGTTCCGGACACTCACTACTCACATATAAACGAGTGTTATTTCTGTCTATTTCCGTCTATCACTTACAACTTACAACTCTCAACTATCGTGAGATCTTATATAAATAGTACTTCGAATCGATATCTCGAGTCATCTCACTAGAGCCCTTTCTCTAGCTTACTACTCTATTATACACCCCAGTTCACTACAGTTACCAGACTACCTACGAAAATGAAGGCCTCATCTATCCTCACTCTTTTCGCGGCTACCGCCGCTATGGCTCAATCCCAGAGTGGCAGCTCTGCCGCTTCGGGAGCCTCTGCTACAGCTGATAGCACCAACGCTGGAACAAGTGCTGCTGTCCAAGCCTCAAGCGCTGCTTCCGAAAGCAGCTCAAGCACTGTCGGAGGAACAAGCGCCGTAGTTGCTGCGTCGAGCAGCTCCAGCTCTTCTGCCGCCGTCGCTACTGTCGCCACTGTTGCTACCGTTGCTTCTGCCGCGGCCAGCAGCTCGTCCTCAAGCGCCTCGGTTCCCACAATTCTATCCGCTGCAACAGGAACTGGAGTGACTGTTTCTGCTGTCGCCTCTGGCACCGCCGGTACAGCCGGTACCGGCGCTGCTTCGGCTTCTTTCAGCTCTGCCGCCGGCGTCAACGCTACTCTAGTAACAAGCGCTACGGGCAGTGGTCAGGCTACCGCTACACCCACCGGCCCAACCACCACATTCGCCACTGGCGAATCTGCTACTGGAACTGCCGTGCCAGATTCAAGTGCATTCCAAACTGGCAGCAACAGCCTGTTGGCTCTCGTCGGCTTTGCTGCGGCGTTCTTGCTCTCCTAAGCGGACGGACTAGGAGACAGACGAATATAATATGCGGACCCGAGCACCAGATTACCACCACACGCTTAGCACTTACCTGGATACATAGTATCTACCCGCATACTACTAAATTCTGAATTTTCCTTCGATTACTTGTGGTCACAACATACCAACCGAACCAGGCTGGCCCTCGGGAGGCTGGTGGGCTTGGTTAACACCAGTCGTTCGTCATCACACCTCTTCTTAATACAATTTGGTCGGGTCTAAGCTTCATACTTTTGAAACAAAAAGTTGGGATGGTGGTGACGTGGTCTCGGCTTAATAGTGGTAAATTGGCATAGGGTCCCGGTCAGCATCGGCAGGCGTTGCGGCAACATTCTTTGAGATTAGACTTGGACTTGGGACATCCCGATTACCCCCACCTTCGACTTGGCTTGTCGGATATGAGTTTACGGTCGAGGTGGTTTTTTGGATGGTTAAGAAACTTGGTTACTTGTAATTACCCCTATTTAGAGTTGAGAGTTGCTTCGGCTGGTTTAATAGGGTCTGGTATAAGTAGTTTGGTTCAACGAATAGAATTGTTGATGTTATAATATAAATGAATTAACTTACACCTGTTTTACTTACTAATGTGACTGATCGATTGTATAAATAAGACCCCCTACTATAGACTTACGAATAGTTTCAGGGGAAGTGTTTTGAAAGCCTTGGTATATACGATTTATTATTTACCCCTTGGAATTGCGTTTGAACTCTCCCCTTACAGCTCACGAAACAATACCAAGATTCAAATCGTCTCTAATGTTTTCTCATATATAATTTCTACTCATTATCATCCTATCCATTCTCTTTCAGCCACATATGCGCAAGTGGGACCACGCAATATACGTAATATGTATGTAAAAACTCCGTCGAACTTGAAATATGACTGATCAATAAACCATGTTCTCATCTAATAAGAATCGTAATGCTTTTAACTCCGTCCCATGCTGATGTGAATGTAAATGCAATAGCGCTTCCTTCGCAAATGCTGCGTTGCCTCTTCGATCTATATGCAATGGCCCCTTCTATGATGTCTCTCTTTCTGTCTCTCTCGCTCTGCCCGAGTCTATGTTCCGTCTTCCTTTCTTTCGATGGTCTCGTCGCTTAGGGAATAACTGGTCTCCAGCCCTGCAATCAGTATTTCAAACCACCACCTCACTCAAACAAACCCCCAAACCAAACCCCCCACCACAACCCCAGCATTCACCCACCCCCACACACCTAACCCACACCCGCGTCCAACCCCCCCCGAGCTAGGCAACTCCTTCAACACAGTCGCCGTAGCCGTACTCGCACTAAGCGTACAACTCGCCGTGCCACACCCATACCCATCCGGACAACACCCCGGCGTCGGCCCCGCCCCCTCGCCACACATAAACCAACCCGCCGCACACGTCGCCGTCGCGGTTGCCGTGGCAGCCACCGCCTGCGCATCGCTCAGCGGCACCACGATCGTCGCGCCGTTCGCGTTGACAATCGTGGTGCTCGGCGCCGCCGCCGGACACGACGTCGTGCTGCAGTCGCGCCCGGTGCGGCAGCACCCGCCTCCGGCGCGGGCTAGACAGGGGTAGAAGCCCGTCGGGCAGTACGAGGTGCTGGGTGTAGGGGATGAGGAAGGGGGGGTGGTGGTTAGAGCGGAAGACCCGCTTGTGGGGCGGTAGGGCGGGATGCCGCCGGAGGCGGTGATGGTGGTGGGGTTTGTGACGGTTGCGGTTGTGGTTATTATTTGGGTCGTTGGCGATATGGTGGTCATGGGGGAGGTGAGGCTGCTGCTTTGGGTTATTACTGAGACGGCGCTTGCTATGCCTTAAAGGGGGGGTGGTTAGCGGATTGGTCGGTTGGTTTGGATAGGGGGGAGGGGAGGGGGCTTACATCCTACTTCCGCACACACGAAGCCCGCGATGCAGCACCCGCCGCCGACGTTGGCGGGACAGGCTGTGGCGCCGCTTGCGCATGCACCGACTGTTACGCCGCAGTTTTGCCCGACGGGACAGCAGCCTACGTTTCCTGCTTCGGGCGCGTTCGTGACGACGAAGCATGTGGTGCGGCTTGCGCAGCAGTAGTTCGGTTGGTCGATGTTCGTGCAGCTGTGGGTGTCGGACGGACATGCAAACTGCCGGCCTTGGAGTTTGGATAGGATGTCGCGGCTACGTCGAAACTCGCTCACTCCTTCGTTATAGTCCTCCCCATCTTGTCCTTGCCCCTCTGCTTCTGCTGCTCGTGGTTCCGGTGAACGGTAGTGATAGTCTAAGTGTCGCGGATACGGGGGAAGGAACGGCACGGCGGCGGAGCTGTTGCCGGAGAGAAGGAGCTCTTCGGAGTCTTGTCGGGGGAGCACTTGCGCCGGCGCGGGGCCGAAGGCGTAGTATTCTGGAAAGATCTTCTCGCCCTCGTCGAGGGACATCTTGCGGATTGCTGTCGGGTGATGTTGCGCAAGTGTTTGGGTCGCGGCTGCGAGGAGGACGAGGAGGGAGGGCGGGAGGCTGAGCATGGTGTTCGAGAGATACATTGTCGCGGACTTGAGGTTGATGTTGTTTATTGCTTAGTAGTTCGGTAGGTAAGTCTATCTTTGTTTGTATGAGAAACAAAATATGTTTCTGTCGGTACCTCGCTAGGTATTCAAGTCGTCTACAAGCATTTGGATTGTCGGTGTAGTTTGTGAGTACGGAAATACGCTAAATAGGTAGGGCGGTGACGTTGCGGACGATGCAGGTGCGGCTGCACAACGCGACGGGTTTGCCTTATCGTCAGCTCGGTCCAATACGTGGGAGCATCGGAATGAATTAAAACATCGTCATCGGCACTTTTCTTTTTGTGTAACTTATTTCCTTAAGAAAGATCAAGATTAGTTCTTTAGGAGAATTTATTTATTGAATGGAGCTCAGAGAGGGACCGCCAGTTCTGGTCCCGGCGTCATCAACAAACAACTCAACCAAAGTGGCTGGGTCTAAGGATCGACAAGGATCGTATTCGAGTCCCGACTTTGACAACGCATAAAAAGGGGCCAACACAGTTCACAATTTTCTCAACGTGGAAATTCAAAAGACATTCGAAATACTTCAAGACTTAGAAGACTAAGGAATTCTAAAATAGGTACATAAACGAGGACGATGAAGCGATGCAAGATCGTTGATGCAAGCCAATAGAAACTAGAATTTAGGTCATCAATCCAGATATTCGGTAACAGATCCGAACCCTTGTATGTATATCAAGCTCTATGATAATCAGCATTAAATATGCGACCACTTACTCTTCTACATTTTCTAACATTTATCCATTCCTCAGAGGCTGCTTTATTTATTTATTTAGAATAATGAGTAAAGAGTGAATTTAGGTAGGTTACAAACAAAACATCGTGTTTCAATGTTGCATTATATTCCCAATGAGGAAAGCTTCTAGAAATGCAGGACCCTGCATAGGATCGACCGGGAACTAATACCGGAGCTACATTCAGAAATAGTAGCACGAAGTAAATAAAGTCATGTCTCATTTATCTCGTAGCATAGGGAGTTAACATGATCTACGATATAATAGCTAGAAATACCAAAGACCGGTTAACGAACATACTTCTGAAGGTTTGAGGTTTAACTTTTTAATTTTGTATTTTGAGTGGAGCTAAACACCACTCCCAGATCTGTGTACGCAGACCAGGTAGACTAGATGTTACAGGATACTATGTAGTAATCCGAAAATAGATGCGCCGACCCCTCTCGTAAAAGATTTTGATGATCAGATAACTCATTAGACCGGATTGGTATCGTCTAAAAGGCATTTCTATGCGTAATGTTACAGTAGAGCTCTGTGCTCAGTTCCACAGTGCGTCCGACTCCGATTCCGATTCCTTTTCATTAATCTCAAGTATTTTATCGAATTGACCTCCAGAATGTTGGTTCTTCAGGAAAGCAGAGCAAAGAATACCCGTCGCCACGCCAACATTGAGACTTTCCACAAGAGGAGAATTGGCATTGTTTGGTATCGATACCTCGTAATCCGCCAGACGCCTCGTGTCTTTCGTGAGTCCTTCACCCTCGCTTCCGACCACTAGGATCGTGGGGCTAGTAGACAACGGATCATATGTATCCACCCTATCCAAGAAGAGATGTTTGCCTCCCTTAGGCCGACCAGTGGGCGCTACTGCAGCATATACAACCCAGTCGTTCTCCTTAGAACGAGTAAGGAAATTAAGAATAGAGTCGACGGAAAATAGCTTCATGACTTCGGAAGCACCAGCAGAAGCTTTAGAAGCTATAGAGTTCAAAGTGGCTGAGTGGCCTTTGGTGATACCGATCGCATTGACACCTAGGAATGCTGCTGTCCGCAAGATAGAACCCAGATTTCCTGGATCCTGAATTCGATCCAACAATAGAATAAATGGTTTTCTATTGGCCGGCAGGTCGCACCTGATGAAATCGTCGGTGCCATTGATCTGGGCTTCCTCAACGGATTGATGATTTAGCATGACATGGAATCCTTTCTCCGCAAGAGCGCCTAGGTGCTTGACTGGCAGCTGGGGCAATGGAGATGCCTCGAGGATACAACCATTATGTGGTCGACCCTCACTCATCTTATCCATCCTTCGTAGGCCATCAGAATCTATTACTTGTACGACGGGGATACCGGCTCGGGTAGCCTGTCTTTCAAGACCAGCGGTTTGAGAAATGTCTTGACGATTCTCGCCACAATATAGATAGAGTTTATAAATTTGTCGAGTCGTTTTCCTCAGCACAGCATCAACTACAGACCTGCCGTATAGAAATTGGGATGCTGCAGTGGTGCGAGGAATGCGAATAGGGCCCTTGTCATGGTCTTTTAATCCAATCCGGCGGACAGCGGGGTGTTGGTCCTCTTCATCGTTTTGCGGCTCTCTCGAGGACTGAAAATTGCGCTCCTCTCTTTTATTCTCCTGGTCCTCTTGATTACCCCATTCATTTCGAGTTGGCCTATCGTCACTCCCTACTCTAGTAAAATCTCTTCTCCCAGATGATCTGTCGAATGATCTATCGGATGGTTTGTCAAACGTCCTGCCGGGTGTTGATCTGGCTGAGTCCCTCCTCTCGAATGACTTGTCGGGCGATCTATCAAATTTGCCAAATGTTGATCTAGGTGAATCTCTCCTCTCGTATGGCTTGTCAAACTTCCTGTCGGATGTTGATCCAGCTGAGTCTCTCCTGTTGTACGACTTTTCGAACTTTCCGTCGGACGTGGATTCAGTAGAGTCTCTTCTCTCATATGGCTTGTCGAACTTCCTGTCAAATGTTGATCCAGTTGAATTTCTTCTCTCATATGGTTTATCAAACTTCTTTCCAAAGGTCGATCTTGTTGAATCTTTCCTTTCATATGGCTTGTCAAAGTTTCTGTCAAATGATGATCCATTTGATCCAGCTGAATCTCTCCTCTCATATGGTTTATCGAACTTCTTGTCAAATGTCGACCCAGTTGAATCTCTCCTCTCGTATGGCTTGTCGAACTTCTTACTGAACGTCGATTTGGTTGAGTCTCTCCCGCCAAACGTATTAGGCGCATCAGAACGGGCTGAGTATGACGATGATCGTGGCTTCTCCCGTCCTTCTGATTGCCTTCCCCTAGGAGCTGAGCGAAAGTCTCTCGGTTTTGACAAAGATGATCGACCTGACGATCGATCTGAACCCCCAAGAAAAGTGTTCATGAATTGTTCTGGTGTCAACCTATCGCTTTTCTCGGCCGGAAACCCCTTTCCCCTTTGATTTGAGCCGGCTTTCAGCTTATACACTAGACTCTTCTTTCCAAAAGAGTCATCTGGGTCATAGAAACGTGCCTGTCTCGATTTTGGTTTCGGTCCCTCGTCCAAGATAAGCTTTTTCCCCTTTCTGATTTTGAAGTCAGGTCGGTTTGAAGGGGAACTTCTTGACCCAGTAGGTGTCAAGGAAGACTTGTTAAAACCTTGGGGCCTAGATTTCTCTGAATTGCGCAGTCCGCGATGGATGGCAGAGAGGGAAGATGCTCTAGAGAGAACATTGATAGGCGTGAGGGAAACCTGGCTTCTAAGTAATATATGAGGTCTACAACGTAAACACGAAGAATTGAAGGAAATCATCGCATATTTCAGTCATTGACTGGAAAAAGGTGGAAGAAAACTTCCAATAATACAAATGATGGCAAAATATATTTAAAGCTAAGGAATTTTTCTAAGTATCTATGTAGATATCCATGTTATCGGGACGCTAGAGCTTATCGATTATCTTATCCACGATCTCATTAACAACCATCTGAAATTTTTGTCTTGGCGCCATGCTGCGTAGTGGGGCAGCGCCAATTCCCAAATCAGTTAGACCCATTCTGCCGCTTCACTTAGACCGGGCTGCCGGGGTACTTAGCTTAGGTACTGGGGTACATGTGTAAGTGCTTCTATTAACGGAACGCGTGAACTGAATTCTAAGTTATCGCGTGTTTCTAAATTGACGAACGTCATAAACATAAACCCTTTTAATTATACAACTTTCCGTCTTTTCTTGGCGTGGTTATCTTCTTTCTCTTTGGAATAAGAGCTACTATAGTAGTTTATACCATGCCTTTAACCTGGTATTTCGCCGAATTTCTTTAATTGCGCATATCGTGCCTTTCGCACCTTTCGCATAATTTCAAACAATCGCTAACTAGCAACTAGATCGATACTCTACCCTTCCGTCGCATTATACCCTACTATACGGCGTCGACATGCTTTCACCTTCTCTGTTTATACACCTATAGAGATTTATATTGGGACATAGATGGATAGCTCCGAGGCGGAAGACGACGCCATGAGGCGAGAGCTACTTGGGCTCTCCGAAAATTCATCCTACGATGGGAACGATATGGATGATTCGCTCGTGAGCCGCACACGTCGCTCACGGGGCACAAGGAGTGAACCTCCACCGAGGTCTAAACAGTACCCTATTCAGGTCGTCCTGAGACCTCCACCAGATCCGACTGAGTATCAACGAATAGAGCCCAGTCAGTCTGTTGAAAGGGTGCTCGGCGAGATAGAGGTGGAAGACGAAGTTTTCTATAGTGTCGAGTACGACGATGGATACATAGAAAAGGTGGGTGGTTTTATTCACTCTCCTTCACAAGCGCTATCATACATGCTATCTACGTCTTCCCTCTGCGTCCGAACCATATTACTCTGCCGACGTACATGAGTCTCACGGATCTACGACGATATCACATACAAGTCCTGCTGGTAGTTGTGCCAGTGAGGCTAAGCGCGCGTGTTGCTCCCCCCTTCCTTTACTCCCGCCAGGTTCGAGTTGCCCCGGCAAACGCCAACGTTTGTGAATACTGGATAACATTCGCGGGTGTTACCCATTCAACGACTCAACCCCCGAGATCAGCACACCTGATATCCCCATATACTTTCCTCTAAGATCATTATCTATCTTGGATGGGTTCAAGCAAGCCCAAATATGCCCACTGAGACCGAGATCGAGACCGACGCAGCAGCAATGTCCATAGGCATATCTTACATGCCCTTAAACTTTTCTCTCATTTTATCTTTGGTTTCCCACAACAACTCTCACTCCCTACTCCATACATATCCAACAATTTTCCTATTCTCGACACCCACTTCTCTATTCACATCTGCACAAAACCTATCATACCTACCCTACCCGTTTACGACTCTCTTCTGCCTACCTACTATCTAATCCACACCATCGAACTTCTTCTATCCACGTCTCCAGTGGCATATTCTTGGCTGCATCTCTAAGATATCGAGTGCTATCTTTTCCCTCCTATAGCATTCAACAAGATGGTATGTTAATCACTGCGTAAACTGCATATCGCCTTGATCTCATCTCATTTGAGCGATGTCCATTATTCACATATTTCTCATGATGATACCCTTACTCGATACGGACGCGTAATACTCGACGTACACTATTAATTCTGTTTTATTATGAATTAACATGATTCACCTTTCACCTATTTATCCCAATACAATTAGCAGTTTTTTATACTGACAAGTATTTTTTTTTGGATAGGTTGCTTATGACGACATACTGCAGCTGCAGAACGGCCCTGAGGCTGCACAACAGTTCCAGCAGCAAAGATATGTAGATCCTACAGTCTCCGCTAGATCCACTAGCAAACGCCCTCATTCTGAGGATGAATATTATGATTCTTCGGATACCGATCACCGCCGTAAGAAAAGGCAAAGGCCACCGGCCCGGCTTGACTATGTAAGCGCTCGACACTCCGTGACACGCATGTCGGGCCAGATATCTGGACGAGCGTCGATGGAGAATGACCAAGCCAATGGCGCCGTAGATGAATGGGATGAAGTAGACTCTAAAAACCGCTATTCCGACTTTGTTGGTCCTTCCGCGGGAAGAATTACCAGGTCTAAGAACCCGGTATTTCGAAGCCGTCAGGTGCAAGATGACTCCGAGGATGAGTTGGCGCAGAGCGGCCCCACCGCTAATCAGGATGACGAAGACGGCGACGATGATTTTATCCCAATCGTTCGCTCTGATATTAACGGTGCGACGAGAACTTCATCGCGCAAGAGGCGAAAGCCTAAAACGTTGCACAAGCCTATTCAACGCTTAGATAGCGACTCAGAGATCGAATTTGAGACTCGCAGATCAACGAGATCAAACAGACCCGCAAAGAGCATGCGGGATCCCGACATCGATGAAGATTATGACGCAGTAGAAGACTATGCGCCATATGTACCTAAGATTGCGGCGATCAAGGAGACCTTTCATGAGGTCTCTGAGGAATCTGGACTAGGAGAAGTCCATTCAGCCGTATGCGAAACATGCGGCACTATGGCGAGCCACGGAAAAGGGTCTCTTATCCCATGCCAAGGATGTTCTTACTCCTACCATAAGCTATGTATCGGCAACAGATCCCAACGTGATCATAGAGTAACCAAAGTCAGCGAGAATCAATTCGTTCTACAATGCAGATTCTGCATTAGATCATCCCAGAAGGATAAACGGGTACCTGATTATTCAATTTGCCAGACTTGCAAGATCCCCGGTCTCTCATGTGCAGAATTCTCGACGAAGAAGACTCCAAAGCAAGAAGAGAAAGCCAGACTTGAAAACGGAGGAGAAGATCCGATCACACACGTCCAGCCTAATCTAGTTAACAACGCTGCCAATGTGTTGTTCCGATGTTCAACATGCAAGCGTGGCTACCATCTTGAGCATTTGCCTCCGATAGACCCCGACCGTGTTGGTAGCGGAGATGTCCGATATGATCGGATTCACGAATACTCACTTGAGGGATGGAAATGCAAAGAATGCTTAGAAGCTACGCACAAGATCCATGCACTGGTTGCTTGGCGACCTGCCGATCAGAGCAGCTACCAGAATGGTCGAATATGCGATGAGTTCGGTAGTGATGAGATCGAATATCTGGTGAAGTGGGATGGTCGGTCCCACGCCCACGACAGTTGGATGCCTGGCGCTTGGGTCTATGGTATAGCTGCATCAGCTATGCGCACTGCGTTCCACAAACGCGAAGAAAACAAGTTCCCCAAGATGACAATAGAGTCTGCGGTTGAGGAAGAATGGGTGTTGTCCGACGTCTTCCTCGAAGTTAAATACCGACGCGGCTTTTCCTCTATCTCCAAAGAAAAGGATTTGGCCGGTGTTAAAGATGTGGTCTCGGTATTCGTGAAATTTCAAGGCCTTAGCTACGAAGAAGCCGTCTGGGACGAGCCGCCTCCTCGTAGCTCAAAAAGTCGTTGGGATGCGTTTAATGCCGCTTACGAAGAGTTCCTAAATGGAAAATACTTCCCTTCAGCTAACGAAGAGAAGATGAGACAACGTGTTAAGATATATCGAGGTCTCGACTTCAAGACCGAGTGCGAGCTGAAGACCCAACCCGTATGCCTCAAGGCAGGACGTACTCTAATGCCCTATCAGATGGAGGGTGTCAATTGGCTCCTTTACAATTTCCATCAGCAGGTGAACGTCGTTCTCGCCGACGAAATGGGACTAGGTAAGACGATTCAAATCGTCTCTTTCGTAAGCTCGCTCGCCCTAGGACAACCAAAGTGCTGGCCATTCCTTATCGTTGTCCCTAATGCCACCTGTCCCAATTGGCGCCGTGAACTCAAAGATTGGTCCCCCTCACTCAGGGTTGTGACATATCATGGCGGCAAAGCGTCTCAAGAGTTGGCCTACAGACATGAGCTTTTCCCTAACGGGGTTAAGGATGGAATGAAGGCACACGTCGTCATTATGTCCTTCGAAGCAGCTAGTACCATCAAGGGTACATTCCAAGGTGTCAAATGGGCAGGTTTAATCGTGGACGAAGGTCAAAGATTAAAAAACGACGAGACGCAGCTTTACAAGACGCTAGTCGACTTGAACATCCCTTGTAGGATCTTGCTAACAGGTAAGCAATAATAAGTAACCGCCCACCCAGTAGCACGAATTTTCTAACCTTCAATAGGCACGCCTCTACAAAACAACAAGAGAGAACTATTCAATCTTCTACAGTTCATCCAATCCGACTTCAACGCCGAGAAGATGGACGCTGAATATGGCGAGTTGACCAAGGAGAATCTCCCTAAACTCCATGATCTAATACGTCCCCATTTTCTACGACGTACCAAAGTTCAAGTTCTGAAATTCCTGCCGCCGATGGCCCAGGTCATTGTCCCCGTGACCATGACAGTTTTGCAAGAGAGGTTATCGAAATCCATCATGGCTCGAAATCCCGAGCTAATCAAGGCCATCGTTTCCAAAGGGAAGATGAAGGCCGCCGACCGCAAGAATTTGAGTAACATCGTAGCAGATCTCCGCCAATGTCTTTGCCATCCGTTCTGTTTTAACCAGAACATCGAAGACAAGGAAGCTGTTGGAGAGCAGATGCGGCGGAACCTAATTGAAGCATCGCCAAAGTTCATGCTTTTAGAGATCATGCTTCCGAAGCTCAAAGAGCGAGGTCATCGCATATTGATATTTAGCCAGTTCTTGCGTTGCCTTGACATCCTCGAAGACTTTTTGAACGAGCTAGGCCTTCAATATGGACGAATCGATGGTAATCTCAGCGCTTTGAAGAAACAGAAGCAGATCGATGCGTTCAACGCCCCTGATTCCCCGATGTTCGCAATGCTCTTATCAACTCGTGCCGGAGGTGTTGGTATCAATCTTGCCTCAGCAGATACAGTCATAATATATGACCCGGATTGGAATCCGCATCAAGATATCCAGGCTATCTCTCGAGCTCACCGAATCGGTCAGAAAGAAAAAGTCTTGTGTTTCCAACTGACAACGAAGAATACGATTGAAGAGAACATAATGCAGGCGGGCAGGAAGAAGATGGCCCTCGATCATGCTCTCATCGAGAGTTTGGATGCCGAAGATGATGGCAACCGTGATTTAGAATCAATTTTGAAGCAAGGTGCCGAATCTTTATTTAGCGATAAGGACAAGGTCAAGATCACGTACGACTCAGCATCAGTTGACAGATTACTCGATAGGAGTCAGATGGAAAGTACAAATGCTGACGACGAAACCGCTGAGACTCAATTCTCGATCGCTCGTGTTTGGGCTAACGATTCGGGCTCGCTGACGAACAATTTCGATACTAGCGATAAGGTCGCATCGGCAGCAGACGCGAGTGTTTGGGAAAATATTCTCAAATTACGAGAAGAGGAGCATCAACGAGAGCTTGCCGCCAAGCAAGAGGTGTATGGTCGCGGTGCCAGGCGACGTGCAAAGGTGAGATTATGTATAATCCAGCTATTTCCCAGCTAGCGACTAATATGTTCTAGGGGGTTGATTACAACAACGGCCAAGTAAGTTCCATCAACGGTAGTAACGTCTTAGTTTTGACAAAGAAACAGCAACCGGGACCAGATAGTGGTGGTTCCGGTATTGACGATGACTTATACACCGACGCCGGTATCGATCCTGACAACGACGACGATGAGGATGACGAAGCTTACGGAGAAGAAGAGCGGGCGTTATCCAAGAACAAAAGGGCCAAAGGTAATTGCCCAATATCAACACCTTCAGCACCTTCAACACCGTCACACAAGACTTCACCAAACAAGCGAGTAAGATTCAGAATTGTTAACAATACTAGCACCGATGCTCGCAACGACCACACCTTCCGCGAACCCGACCGCCGCATACGTCGCAACAGCACACGGCGAGCCTCTAGCAATGGCCAAGGAGTTAGCGACGCAGGCCATCAACACTTCACACGACAATCATCGCAACAAGAATCATCCGGCAGGCGCAATTCCGCAAGCCAGGGCAACACCAACGACAACATTGCCACCCAATCAACCGATGTCATGGACGCAGATACCGCCGCCCCAACGTCCCCAACTTCATACATCGTTACACTCAAATACACACCTAAATCCTAATGGTGTAGTTCCGATGCCCAATCGAGTATTGCCTTCTTCGACAAATATATCCCACCCAATCTCGAATGCATCCCCGTCGATACCTTCGCAAAAGGCATTGAGGTGGAGGACTCAAATCCTCACACCACAACCACAACCACAACCGCCACCACCTAATAGCCAACATTCGAATGGTTTGACAACTTCTCTCCATTTCCCTACTGACATAAGAGGGTGTTGCTTAATCTGCAAGGCCCCACACCCGCCTAACAGGACTTGCGTTGATTTCGGATCACAAATCTCACTTAGGATCGCAATCGATTCTCTCAGAATTAACGGAGACCAGCCTGATATTCGGGCATTCCGAGATCTACTTGTTAATCAGCTAAGACGAATTTCCGGGGGGCAATAACGTTGCTCATGCCGGAGTTCGTGGCAAACCTCTGATGAAGACGCAGATTTCGTGCATTGGACCTCCAACGGATTGCCTGTAGATAGCTAGATACCTCACTGCTTGCTCCGGAGGAAGGAAAGCATGCTGCCATTGTTGCTATTGGCCACGTTCTTCTTCTACCTTAGCATGATACAGGCAGATAGTCAATGCACTTGTATGAATTTAAAAGGACTACCCCCATATTTGATTTGCAAGTAAGACATTCCCAAGGGTTTTTGTCTGCTGTCCAACATAGATACCTAGGTGTAAAGGCCGTTTGTCACGTGGAAAACACAAGACAGAGCTGCAGGTAACCGTATTATGCACCTAACCTTATTTGAGGTTTCTCGGCAAACGGCTGTGATAGTACTAGATAATGCGTGTATGTGTGTGCGTAGGGCATGGATAGGTGCGGTGTGTGCGTCCTAGCTTGCCCAAGGAGAAGAAATGGTGTTAATGTTCCTTTTAAAGAGTCAGCTTCTTTCTCTTCAAGGTTCCTAGAGATCTTGTCCGTGCCTTTTTATGATCGCTTGGTCGGTAACATCGTTACGGGCCGCTCTAATTCAAAAGTCAACCGACTCAGATCCCATCTTGTATCACTCATCCGAAGTTGCTAATCCGGTATAAATAATACGGCTCGTGGCCCCTTTCCCTTCCGAATTTTGCCCGTTTGCTGTCAAGCTACCTTCCTTTGATATTCTGTTACCAAAGCTCATGCGGCAGTCGTTCCTTTAACGCAGTTTCCTATTACCTTTCTTTTCTCCTTCAATATGGATACTGCAAGCCCAATTTCTTCCTCTTCACCTACACACGCACCTGCCTCCGGAACAGCACCCACCAAGTCTCCCTCCGGCTTGTCTTATACTTCTTCCGGTGCCTCCCCTCCACTCTCTTCTACTCACCATCCATCCTGCCCTACCTCACCTAATCCCATCACTGCTACTCCTTCATCTTCTCCTTCTCATCAACAATCCACACTAGTCGATATTTCATCTCACATCGACTTACAGTGTATCCCCACTTCTTCTTCTCTTCCCAATCAGACACATAAAATGGAACGTAACCCATTCCAGTCCGTCAACGAACGCAGAAACAAGCTGGCCATGGATCAGAATACCGCTACTGGCAACCAGATCCAGCAGCAAACCCAGCAGTCCCCTTCGCAGGCACACTTCCCATCTCAAACCTTGCGATCTAACATGCAGCAGCTAGCCATCTCCCCACGAGGCCCCGCCTCTTCTAACTGGCGTTCCCAGGGCGCCACCGACGACCAAGCTTACGCTTCTTCCTCTCGCGGCAGCAGTGGCGAGTACGCTCCATTCGACAACATGACTGCTCCCCTCTCCCACCCATCTACCATCCTGCGACAGCAATCTCAGCAAACCTCTTCCTACATTAGTCCTCGTGCTGAGCACTTCCCGCAGCACCAACTAGATTTCATGTCCGCCTCTACTAACCACAACGCCGGCCCCGCTGCAGTTTCGGGCATGGGCGCTGGTACCGGTCCGGGTATGAACACGGGAATGAGCACGGGCGAAGGTGCGACCGCTGCGACAGCCGGATCGTTCTTTCCTCAGGTGCATCCAGATGGCATTTACGCATACTGTTTCGATCGTGGCAACGGCCAATACACGCGTCTGATCCCGGCCGACATGCTACCCCCACTTAAGGACGTTCCTGCCTTGCAACCAGGCTGTGCCGGAATGATGGTGTTGCCGCTTCCGCGAGGACTGCCTCAGAACGGACGTTCCAGCAATACCGAGATGGTGATTCTTAAGGTACGTTACTTCTTTTTTTTCTCTTTTACCACATCAGTACACGGCTATGACATGACATCTACGCGACCTCGAGTGCCATCATGAATCCTTCGTAACCAATCGAATGCGAATGACTAATGAGCCTCGAAGACTCCCAACACCCCGACTTCGCCTTCGGACACTATTCAGGTAAGTACGGGACATCCCCAAAGCACCTTCCCAAAAGAACACCAGTGTGACTTCCTTCCTTTTTCGATCGAAAGTTAAATCAAGATCCGTGACTTCCTTTCGGGGTGTCGACGATTCCGGGGCAAGTCGCGATGTTGGGAAAGTGCAAACGCGGCTCCTGGTCCGGGCTTTAGTCTTCAAGCTTCATCCAATCCCATTCCTACATCTCCCTTGTACTATCTGCATGATGTCAATCTGCTGTATGTCAAATGCCAAGTGTCACATGTCAGACACGTGTAAACATTATCACACACATAACCCATCAACATAATCAACCAAAGCTAACCCACTCTCCGCCCTCACAGAACCGCATCGACACAATCGTCGCATCCACGCCCCCCACCCCGCCCCACCACCAGTCCTCCCACTCCATCTCAAGCGGCGGCATCAACGGCACCACGGGCCCCAACGCCAGCGGTCCAGGAGGCCAAGGACCTCACCACAACCACGGCGCTCCGTACCCCACCACCGGCGCCGTTCAACAACCCTTCGACACCCCCAACCCCAACGGTAGCCACGGCGGACGCGCAACATCAGGAGGCCAGGGAACTCACGGCGGCAGCGGGCACCACGGGCACGGAGCGGGCGGGCAGCAGCCGCAGCGGCGGCCGAAGGTGTACTGCGACAAGTGGGTGCACGAGGGCGTGTGCGCGTTCACGCAGCAGGGCTGCAAGTACAAGCACGAGATGCCGTTCGATAAGGTGACGCAGCACGCTCTGGGCTTGTTCCACGGCTTCCCTGCTTGGTGGAAGAAGCACCAGGCTGACCTGTCGCGACAGCGCGAGGGACCCGGTCCGGCGGTCTCGGCGTTGGGGTTGGGGTTGGGACTGGGGATTGTGGGGGAGGGCGAGGGGAAGGGTGGTAGGTTTGGTGCGCGTGCAGGCGCGCTGCAGGGTGCTGCTGGTGGCGCTGGTCCTTCGTCTGCTGGCGTGGGCTTCGTTGAGGGGAAAGCCGATCCGGCGGGATTGGCTGCGAGCCCGACTACGCCTGGTTTACCGTCCTGGCGACGCGGTGGGGAGAACGCTTCTGTTGAGCAGAAGTCTTTGGGAACGGGTCGTGGTATGGCTCGAAATGTGGGATCCGGTGTGAGAAACCCGTTAGGTATGTTTTTTTCTCGTTGTCCTATTTCTCCTCTATTATATCTCCATGAGGTTGAAGATCCTATAAGGCTAACTCGTCATAGTATCGTACGGTTCTCCTTTTGGACCGATTGCACCCCCTGCTCGCACTTTTGGCGCGGGACCATCGGCAGCCGGAAACCCGTATACGTCCCTCGAGTCTCTAGGCGATAGCAACACGGGCGTCGACAATGGCGAAGAGGAAGTTGCAGGCGAGACCACACGCTCTAGCGGAGCGCGTCTGAATTAAGGCCTGCAAAGCAAGCACACACCTCTAATCCAACATCCTTATGGAAACAGATTATCATCACGGTTAGGTTGGAGATGGGAAAGTATTCACATGGCATACGTTGACGCCGCGGCGTCCTTTCACATATCTCCGTCAGATCTCACATCGCTCTTTGCACTTACGATTAGCATATTGGCACCATTTCTCGTTCTTTCAACTGGAACACAACACTTTGCATCAACGATTCATTTGCGCGCCTGCATTTACGCACTTTCGTGGATTTTCTCTCCACTCTCCGGTATTAGGGGGGTACCAAAAAAAACGATATTTCTTATGTTGAAAACGCGCACGAAACTTACGACACGATAACGAGCTAGACTGAAGCATCTATCCGGGCGGCACCACGTCGTCTCGCAGATCGGAGTTCTCACGAACCGAATGATTCACGACCCTGCATTCTCAACGTTATTTCTCTCCGCCGGCGTTCTTATCCGCGGGGTTAGGGGAAAAGTTATTCGTTTCGGTCGATGGGAAGGAGTACGAAAAAGAAAATGGGGGGAATGGATTTATAGGAAGGAAAAAAAGAAAAAAAAAAAGGGGGGACACTTGCAGGTGTATAATAGATTAGCTGACGCGAACACGCGAGCACGAACTAGCTTACACAGACTGGCACTTCGATCCATTACATACTAGGGCGTCCATCTATCAATGGGCTAAATACTACGTTGACTTTCAGTTAGTAAATACCAGTTGCGAGAAAATAGTTGCGTAGATAAGTGGTTTACTCGTAGTGAATTGATATTAAGAAGGTTGGTTTGTTAATGTGCCATCTTTGCGAAGAGTTCTCTAGAGCTAGCTCTGAGCCAGCCCATAAGCGAAGTCCATTGACGATATCTCAGCTCTCGGAAACTTTTCAACCCGTCCTTCACCGGTCTACGGACATCGTATTCTTACGGCGATCTTTTAATCTTTCGAAGTCCGACATGACGACACTCATTTTAAGAAATCCAATCAACACACGTTCATCTCTCTGTGGCTAACACATGGCGTTCGTTAGTACCTAGGAACTGGGAAGGTAATGGTACAAATACAGTACATATCGCCAAGCCCCATCGGCAGTGCTACCCTCGGACCTCAAACGGTGGGTCTCTCTTACATAGCTGCATAGTAGCGCCAATCCGGAACTTACTATGTAAACTGTTTTTACTAACTCTATTTTCATTCGCCACTCCGGATATCATCCAGTAGCCCGTCTAGCTCACCGGTAGAGCGCCTCACTAGTAGGCCCCTCAGTAATACGAGAAGTTCTCTGCTGCAATGAGGAGGCAACAGGTTCGACTCCTGTGATGGGCAATTTCTTTTGCATTTTTTTTTATATCGTGCTTCATCAATGTTAGTTTCAAAGTTTCGTAATTACTTCGATTGGTCAAGCAAGTCTTTCTTTTTTTTTAATTTAGTGACAATGAATAACGAAGAGTCAGGGGAGATAGATAGGTACTTCGCAGTATATAATAAACTCAGGGAAAGCGCCACATGCTATATGGGGGTGTACTTTATACATCCATGAATTCCAAGGTTGTTTCAACTTATGCGAATTCTAGTTCCTTACAACAACGCAACATTACACGCTTTCCTAATTATTTCGGGCGAACCGTTCAACGATATCGCCTTCAACCCATTATGCCATACAGCATGCCAGTTGAGAATGTATGGTTACATCTGATGGCAAAGCACGTGACATCATGGATATGTTATTCAGGTCGTGATGACGCAAATACGTTCCATCCAATCTTCACCAAGGCATTATTTCAAGCTATCATGACCATGGCCACAGCCACGGCGATCTATACGATATATACGATGGTCAGTACCCCTAGGGGTATTGCTGTATGTACGGCCCAAGATCATTCAATAAAGCAGCCTTTAGGATGTAGGCTGTAGATGAAAGACGCCCAGATATGGAGAAGGCATTTTCCCAATCAGCCATGTGGGTTACGAAATAAAACCTGTAAAGGGAACACACAACCCCTCTTCGAAATGAGAGGATATACGTTGGTTATCATGTTAACATTCGATCCCCTTGTTAACCCTGACGATTTAGTACTGTAGGGTTCTATTATGGAACCCGTAGCAGCCGTGTCACTCGTCTGTAACGTGTTCGATCTGACCGAGCGAGCAATTAAATGCGCCAAAATGGCAAGAGACATTTACAATTCGACTACAGGCCTGTCAAAGGAACATGAACAGTTATCCGAGCTCACTAACGAGTTAAACACTATTCTCAGCGAGGTCCGAAGTAGCTATGGAGAATTACAAAAGATTGATGTTGGAGATATCAACATCCAAGCCGTGGCCAGCGAGTGTCAAAACTTCTCCTCGGATATCAGTACCCTGCTAGATCGATGTCGTATTAAAAAGCCTTCTTCGATGAAAAGTGCAATTGGCGCAACTAAGAGATCATATCACAATAAGGACAATCTTCAAACCCTCCAAATCAATCTAGAAAAACGCCAACAAATGCTCCATCTAGCTCTTACAGCATCTGTAAGGTATACACATACATATATGTTATTTATCTATACTCAGCCAGCCTTTTCTACCTAGGAATCCGCATACTCTTGTCGTTTCATCGCATTCACTGTTATATCTACTCTTGAGACGGAGGAAAATAAGGCTACAGCCAGTCAATGAGATCGGCTTTCGTAGGTATATACTGACTCTATGACTATTAGAAACCAGATAATCAAGGTTGAGAAAACCCTCAATGAAGAACATGTTACGAATTATACCTTAAAACAAGAACTCGGCGCCATTCAACAGAAATTTGACACATTGGTCGATATACCTGGTCAACTGCAGCAAGCTTTAGACCTCTGCCGTGAGGCGCAAAAGGAGCGAGTGCTACATAACGTCTTTCGGGTACTAAGCAACAAGAACAATGGCATGAAATCGAATCCTAGATACGACGAAGTGCACGATGCCTACGGAAATACCTTCGAATGGATTCTTCTCGAGCCAGAAAAGGTCTTCAAAGTCGAACCAGACCTCACATTGTCCTTTGTCGATTGGCTACGCGACGGTCATGGTATTTTTCATATTCTTGGGAAACCCGGCTCCGGCAAATCTACATTGATGAAGTTCATTTGGAATCAAAAAGTAAGAAAAGACATGCTCCAGCAGTGGGCAGGAGAATCGCGGCTCCTCTGCATGAAATATTTCTTTTGGAAACCTGGATCGGGCCAGAACGGGCTGCAAGACCTGAGGCGTTCTTTACTGAAGTCTGCCTTGGAACAGGCCCCCGAACTCCTGAGCTTACTTCTGCCTAGGATCAGTGAGCACAACACAACACTTGATGAATATCTCAACGATGGCGAAATCTCTCAAGCGTGTCAAACATTAATGAGTAATCAGCATGTCCTCGCGAAACATAAGATATTCATACTTATCGACGGCCTCGATGAATTCGATGAGGAAAGAAACCACGAGGATTTCAATGACCTGGTGCGGGTCCTCCAAGGCTGGACTTATCAGTCAGAAGGGAAGGTCAAAGCCTGTGTTTCCAGTAGAGAGTACGATGCTTTCAGAACAATTACTCACAACCAGAAATTCCATTTACAGAACCTCACGAGAGAAGATATGGAGACTTTCGTCACTAAGCGCTTGGAAGAACATTCCCAATTCTCAAAATTGGAATGCGCTTGTGAGAAAAACACCCGCAATTTATGCGGTCGTGACAAGAAGCTACACACATGCAATCTTGACTGCCTGGTGGAACACATTGTCGATGCAGCTCACGGTGTCTTCCTTTGGATTTCGCTTATGGTATCTGAAATAAGAAGGAATCTGGAGTGTAGCCTGAATAAGTTGTGGAAACTTGTCGACACCGAACCCAAAAGACTAACGGGCTTTATAGAGCATATGCTTGATTCAATATCTCCTCCATACCAACGCGAAGCATATATTCTACTAGCTGTTGCCCATAAATACGCAACAATGGGATGTCCAAGTCACACCCTCTCTAAGCTTCATCTGCCTACCAAGGGAGCATGCTATTTGTGGAAAAAGCTACTCCAAGATAAAACCGAGCCAGGTTCTCAAGAGTCCGAGATAAACGAGTCTGTCAACTGGGATATTTTTACAAGCGAAGAAGTCGACGCTCGTTTCAATGGACTACTTGAACGGTTCCATGTTGATCTGCCCTCGGAACTATTGTCATTCCTCTTCTTTTCCCATCGTTCAATTATAGAAGTCCTAGACGATTGCATCGACGCGAAACTACGCACACACGGCATAACGCAGGTAGAACTGGGCAAGTGCATTTGCCAAACCTTTCTTGGTGATATGATTTTCGTTTACAAGGAGATCGAGCGAACTGGATTGACAATAGACCATTTTGAGACCATTGTATCCGGCCAGCCCTTCCGTGTTCTAACCATACTCCGGGATATGGGCCTACACGCAGAGCCCTGGTTCGCGCAGCAACTCGACCAGATCGAAGACTTCTATCAAAGAATTCAATTTGGGATCCCACATCCTTCAGAGGCACATTGGCAAAGTGCCACGCCTTCACTTCCAGGTTATCGTTCTTTGGTATGGGTTCCGAGCTATCTGGGGTTGCATGAGCTTTTGCCTTGGGTCTTGAAAAGACTAAGCGACGTACCTAAACGAGGACATACTGCATTGGAGACAGTTCTGTGGAGCTCACCCGAGTCCACGGATTCTGTCAATAAATCTGGCCAGCTAATAATCTTAGCGGGGCTTCTTAAGCATGGATACGTCGGCGTTGATATATTGAAGAGAGGCACCGGGCTACAGATGACCAAGGATAGATGCCATACCAGTGTGGCATGGATCAGCTGTGTTATGCAGCTTGTGCGGAGACAAGGAAATTCACATACTATAGACTGGGAGGCTCCTAAACTTTGGCTAGAATCCAGAGCTAATCCCCGAGTTTATATCCCTAAACACCCCGATGATGAGCTATGTTATGTAAAGATCGACGGAGGATGGTATCTAGTGAAACAGAAGAATACGCAATCAATCGACTTCCCGATAACTGGGCGGATTTCTCAACTGCCCGAAGGCCCCGGATCAACACTTGGAGGCCTTATCGACCGTTTAGATCCCCCCAATAAAGAACGGCTACTAGAACTCATAGATCGGAACACTGCCTGGATGGAAGCCGACGAGGCAGCAGAAACCCTGGCAAATTTTGAGGAACTTCCATCAGTGGATGTGCTCGACATACCCGAATACACACCTACACGCAAGACAGTATGGACTATCTGGAGTGCCTATATCCAAGAACTTCGCTACATGCTCCCCGGGGTTAAGGTCAAAGCCATCGATGGGAGTATTCTGACTCAACTAGCCTATAAGTGCGTCTCGAGTCCAGGGAACTTAGCGATTACCGTACTGGGATTCTTGGTGCTAGTTATATCCATTGCTATGAGACGGGGCGTCATGTCGGATTAGAATCGCTTGAAAGGGGAGAAAACAGCCTTCAAACGTAAAGATGAGTTGAGCAAAGTATGCTTTAATGGGCTATGGAATTGGGATGAATAAGGGGGTAAGGGGGTGAGAGAAAGGAGAAGGATCTTTCTTATTAACAGTTACTGGCGCTATCTTATATTTTCCTAAAAATATAAACTACCTAATTAAGTATAAAAGCTCTATGAATTACATGAGTCCAATAATCAGGCTTCATTCATATGACCAATTGCCTTCGTAGTTTCTACCTAAGCAACACTATGGATTATATTAGCATCAACACCGTCTAGAAAACGAGGCCATCTATATGAATTATACTTAGATAAAACAACTTATACCTACGTAGCCACCTTCCACGCAAAACCAGTCGACCAAATCCAACACCATAGAACACACGAATACTCCAACAATCGCAAAGCCTAGCACATAATACCTACTACCACACCGTACCGTACCACACTGCACCGCACCAAACAAACTAGCTGCCTAAAGCACCTACCCCAAAATGACATATGACAACCCCTACACACCCCAGGAAGTGCACACACCTGCATCCCATCACATGACTCAGCATAAGCAAAAGCAAAAGGCGCAGAAGACTTGCACATTCACAAAGAACACAGGTATATTTCTCATCTACTAGATAACCTACCTAACCTACATACCTACGTAGCTACCTAGCAGGCGAGCAAGTTCAGTACAGAAGCACAGGTAAGGGTAATGGAAAAGGTATACAACAAGCCGAGGCTTGAACCTCAAACCAACAGACCCCGCCGTTTCGCCCGCTCTCCTCCCGGATATCTATGAAGTCTCACAAAGCAAACAAAAAAAACAAGTGCCTAATCACGCATGCTCTTCGACCCAACTTTTAGGAATATTCCGATATTCCGATATTTCGATATTTCAACGGGAGGCAGGGCAAGATATCTCCCACCCCCCTTTCCCTCACTACCTAGCTACCCTGATCCTCTTGTATTTTTCTTTCTCGCTTTTCCGCATGAGGGGGGAAATTCGGGTATGATAAACCCCAGCTGAAATGAACACGAACTAAGAAACGCTCGAGGGCTGCCTATAGATACATGACACCTATCTCGGCTCGCCCCTTGTATCAATCACATAAGAAGCAGCAGTAGCGGCAGCAGTAGCGCCCTTGTGTTGGGCGGGTCAACGACAAAACCAGCAATGGAAAAGAGATCTTGGATAAAAACCAGAGTAACAACAGTGGCTCGAGGACCATATGACGACAAGATATCTCCGACCCGTATAACCAAGAAAATGTCAGACACAATTAAATAGCAACGGTATATGGTAACAATATGACCCCCGAACGCCAGTGCCCCGTGTCGTCGTCATCAGCAAACTCCACTAGATTTCGCCTCGTACATCATGATATGCCAGTGCCAAACCGTGAAAATCTAAAATGCAACAATCTAACATCATTTCCCAACGCCTAAATGTTTACTCGGAGGATCGCTATCTTCATAGACTCGGAAGGCCTCCTCGGCACCTGTCCATGCGCGGTGGGTGCTCGGATACTCGCTTGGGACGCTCGACCTCTGACTCCTGTTTTCGAAGTCTTCGGCGCCGCTCATGGCGTCATCGTCGACGTGGATATCGATCGTCTCGTCTGGATCGCGGTTCTCCGCATCTTCAATACCCGGCCACGGCTCGTCTTCTGGACCGGGCAGTTGCCCATCTTGCCAGGACTCCTGTGTGCCTTCTGCATGGGTGAAGTCGAGCATAGGACTATCGTTATTCTCTGAGTCTTCGTCTTCGTCCATGTATTCATTTCCTTGGCCGTCCTGGTCGGTGCCACTACCGCTCTCACCATCATCAACGATAACTACACCACGACCAGGCCGTGTTTCGAAGACGGGGGCGTTGCTATACGGCGTAGCGTAGAACGGAGTCGTAGCGCGATTGGCATAGTTTTCGGGCATCGGGCTGGGTGACCCTGTACTCCATCGTGGTGTATTTCGTGGTCGGGCGGAAGGCGAACGGGTACTGCGACGTTTCACAATGGCTGCGACATGTGCGATCGAAGAGGCAACCCGAACTTGCGGCGAGGATCGTCGTTCAGTTTGATGAACGTATGACGTAACTCGACGTTTTGATGGTATTAGTGCTGGCGACAGGAAAGACTGCGCAACCGGGGGTAAAGAATTGGTGCGAATATGAGGTGGCTTGGAGGCTTTGCGTTCTTTAAGTACGGTAGGAGTTTTGGCGCGGGAAGCAGAACGCGCAGTCCCAAGAGGAGGCGAAGCGCCCGTCATGCTAGTGAGAAGTCTGCGGGCTGGAGACATTGATGTTGCCCGCAAGTTACGTTGTGCTGCTTGTCGAAGGCTCAGGGATTGAGAGCTAACAGCGCTTGCGGGATGCTCGTCGAGGGTGTCGTTCCATGCCCAACAGTCTTCCATGGCATCTGCTTCAGGGACCTCTTGGGTGTGTTGGCTTTGTGAATCTGCGTAGACTCGGCTAAGTTCGCGAAGGCGTTGCCAATTCCACCCATTATCATACGCCCCTTGATCCTGCAAGTACGCCTCGGGGTGAGTGATAAAGAGGCGCTGAACACCGGTTGCCTTCATGACTACGCTTGAACGCAGGAATGGGACATCCCATGTTACTGGCGTCACCATCTCAGGCGGTGATAGAAAGCGAAGCTTTGCGTCTTTATGGATTTTGCGTAGGGGTACCCATGGGGACTGGAGACCAAGGAATTTGGTCACACGGTGATGCTGGGTCGAGCCGTGATGAACGTTCGCTTGCATACGGGAGAAAGTTCTGAACAGGGGTCCGAATGCGTCAGAAATGGCTTGGTGGACACATCGAGCGTCTGGACTACGGACGGTCACGTTTTTAACAAGACCCCGACTTCTAAGCCGCTGCTCAATGGTGCGGTTAGGCGCACAGGCCCGAGCGAGAAGCCATTCGGACTCCGATTCAGGCCCGGCCCAATCGCTGAAATCAGGCGAATGAGGGTCGAAGGTGGAATAGCTGCTAGGCAGCTGTGTCCACGGATCGGGTTCACCACTGATGCCGTTTGAAAGGGGTTGGCTCGCAAAGTCGTGGGACTCTACCCACACGTTCTTAAGAGGGAAGGGTAGAAAGACGACTTCAATATCCCACGGGCGGGTATAGGAAGGGAATGAAGAAAGGCCTTGTAGTTGACTTAATTGAGACTTTAAAGCTTGAAGTTGGCTGTATAGCTCTGCGCGGCTTGCTATGCATTCGCTTCCTACGGTGGAAACCGATGCCACACTACCCATAGATTCGTTTATGCCTGGGTGTCGGAGACGGGTCGAAATTTGGCTGCTGCTGTCGTTAATCATCTTCTCGACTTCTTCAACACGCGACTCGAGCTCGGTAATTCTCATGTCGCCGTGTTCATGTCTCTCATCGCACACATCATGGCCAGCGGCTGAGATGGATGGGTTTTCTAGTCGATCTAAGCGCTGCTCGTGGCCCTGAACAGTATCAGATAGTTGCCTAAGCTCCTCTTGATGGTGTCTTGACGGAGATAGGCTTCGCCTCGCGGCTGCATCTCCACGTCCGGTAGACCTTGGCGTATTTGCGATGGTCTGTCCATCATCCATGGATTGGTCCATACTTGGGGTAACGGTATCATCCTCCTGTGGCACTTCGTCATCCAGTTCCAGTGGCTCGCGTAACTTGGACTTGACACCACTTAGTGTCCCGAGTCCTTTTCCGGCAAAAGGCCGAAGGTATCCCACCTTAGCGGATGATGTCGTAGAGCTCGGTTGAGAAGACATCAGACACTGGCTCGGAATTGGGGGAAGCAAGCCTGCTTCATCCGTGTTAGACTGTATGAGGTTGGTCCAATTCAACGTATCAGGAATGGAGGATTCCTGTGCAGGCGTCGCGGCTTCACCTCGCGGCGCATACTCCTGCTCCGCTAGGTGGTTAACAAAAGAAGCGATATCATTCAAGGTATGAAAGTCCGGGTTATGTTCAGTTGGCGCAGGCATTTTGAAGGGCAACTCCTGTACTACTGGTGTGAGAGGTTCCCTGCTAGCTCTTGGCCGTTCATTTTCCTGGCCATTATTTACGACATCGTTATTGGCGGCGATAGCAAGATGAGGTTGGGTGTCGCGGACATCATCATGGAAACAAGCATGATGAGAACACATACACCAAGCAGCATCATCAGCTAGGCCGCCGGTATTTCCATTGGAGAATCCATTGGCATATCCGGGAGAAATTCCTGCCGAACTCCTTCTATCCGTCCTGGTTAACAACGCGCCGCGACTCCAGAAACGACGACATCCGCACTTAGGTCCTGAGGCGCCATGAGATAAGTCCACGAAATTGCATTGTCCGTTGGGAAGATTCGTTGAGTTCGAACCGGGTATCACTGTCGCGTCATTATAAATATTAAAGAAAGAGCTGTTTGGTAATGAGAAGTCGGGAATTGGTCCTGCCATTGGGTTGAGCTTTCCTCGGTCCAGGGCATTGGATGGATGAAGAAGACGAAGCGGCGGATGGGTTGATGGGGGAAGAGCTCCCTATTTATTTTCGATCGAGATGGAGATGCGGATGTTGACGTTGGGATCCTAGGCGACCCTGCCAGACGCAGCTGGGTCGCGGTCCGGAAAATCTAATACATAGCACTGCTTCTCGATATTAGTCTTAGCTTTGCGGAAGCTATTGTAGCTTCACAGAATTCAAAATCCTCGGAGGTATACGAACCGTATAGGAATCCTAGTAAGGAGAGCAGCGAGATGAGAGGGAGGTGGGCTGTAACTTATATACAGGAGGCAGTGGTTGAAAGTAGGCGTACAGCTTCGAGAATGATGCGAAGTTCGAAGTTCGAGGAAGATTATGGGAGTCAAAGTGAGGCGTCCAGATAGGATTAGATCAAGGACTGGGTCAAAACTGGTGGGTGGTGGGGTGGACGAAGGGAGGGCGACAGTACAGCGTAAATGGGGAGGAATACCAATGCGGGTGTCGTGACGGGTGTGGAGAAAGAACAGGTAGTCTTGTACAGTGTACTACATATATGTATATGTATGTAATCAAGATGCACTGGATCTGGTGAGACAAGTACAGAATATGACTCGACTATGCATGGGTTGGTCGAAGAGTTGATAGCATGGGATATGGATAGAATAGGGAAAAAGTAGTGGGATGAAGTTGGACAACTCAGGCAACCTCTAGCTTCAAGTTGTTGGAGGTTCCCTTAAAGTGGGACGGTGGCACCGCAAATACTGAGGTACTTAGCGGGTACTTGCTTGGATCAAGCAAATACCATGCCATACCTCTTTCCCACTTAACGCGTCGACTCAAAAAGAAAAGAGCGAATGAGAGTCACCGATGAAGGCGCGAGCGTCGCGCGTCAGGTGAAGCGGAAGACCGCTTATTGGATGGGAACCTCCTGAGACCCTTGTGAAAAGGAATGCACTCGCAGGGGATGCGGGGAGTATCGACATGAGTACCTGCTCCGAGTCTACCACCAAATCTGTATGTAAAATATTGTGTATCACCCCAGTTCGTAACTCCCCGATTGTTCTTTGGAAACCGGCAGCCTCACTGGAAAGCCATCTTAATGGCAGGATCGGCCGAATTACATGGAAACGAATGCAAGCCTCAAAGCTACCTAAGCACAAGCAAGTAGGCAACTTTAGGCTTACGCCCACCCCGCGACCCAGAATGTGTCCACCCCTGAAGGTAGGCAATGTGAAAACCAGACACGAGAATGTATCTCGGAGTCACTCTTATTCTTCAGCCTATCCAATATTGTCTAGACTTAAACTACCTACCAAAGATGACTCAATTACAATATCTGATTGGCCAATGGAAGCACGGAATTTTGAGCAAGCTATGAAGAATCGGCCTATTTTTATTTCTAAGGAGATTGGTATAGTGGTATATGTAGATGTGATATATGAAATGTATGGTATGCAGATGAGTTGGTCCGATTCAAATCGCCTTGTTAAATGTCCCAGAATATGCCAGACACCGTACGCCTAGTAATCATACACCCCGTCGCGTCGTTTCTCATTTGGACTAGACCGCCCTTTATCTCGTCACATTAAACCTCGCCCCAACTTCCCATAGGACCAGTCGCTGCGGCAATAATCGATCCGGTTCCGACAGAACCACCAATATCCCAATAATGGCGCGAAGATGAGCAACTGCTCTTTCTTACTGACCTTCGCGTGCTCTGGCTAGCGCAGCTAGAGGCGTGTTTAAATAATACGGGACTCGAAGGCACAGTCCCCTTAGATCTACGCCTTTCCGTGGTGCGCGGTCTTGACATTAGCGGGTGGTGTTGTCGCACTCGTGCCGCCTTAGCAGCCGCATCTTGCATGCTAGATGAGGCGAGACTAGCATTACCAGGCGCCCCACTGCCGCTACTAGATAGTGACATAAAGCGCGACCGAAGGTACCGGAATACAAGCCTAACATCAAGCTCTTGTTCCCACTCATCCTGCGTAAAATCGTCCCCGGGATTCTCTAGCTGTGCGTGTAGGTTCGTTTGACCAGATTTGACTGGGTGGGTGATATTGGGGACATCAAGTGCTTTGAGTTGGGGTTGTGTACGTATCGTTGGTTGGAATTCGGGTATGGTGAAATGGGACTCGTTTGGCTTTGCACTTGCTGAAGTATCATTTACACCCTCAGGTATAGAGGGTAGACCAGCATACGGAATGGGCATCTGTTGCACTCGACTAAAGGTTGAGAAAGCCCCAGGATGCTCGGAAAGGCGATGTATAAGTGAGCCGAGCTCCTTAGCTACTCGTTCCAACATCTTAAGCTGCCACCCAGAATCGGCTGCGTCCTCCATGACAGCATCCGCGTGCTGCGATGGAGGAACTGTCGACACCTTCGGCGTTGAGGATAAATCCTCTTCCTCAGGTAGTTCTTCGCCGAATAATACAGAGAGTAACTTGTCGTCAATTCCCATAAGGTCACGGATAACCTTTCGGGTAATACGTCCCCAGATACTCTCTCCTTCTAGCTCATTTTCGTCGTGGTCGTGCCAAGTTTGAGATTGATCAGGTTCATCCTTTGACATATCACCTACTCCACTTAACGAGGCGATATCTTCAGCCTTCTCTTCTATCGGGTTAGGAACTGTGCTGGCGAGAGAACGTCGTCTTCTACGGGTTTCTTTTTGGATCTCCTCTAGGAGACAACGGCTTTGCTCTAATCGCCAATTTTCTATCCTCTGTCGTTTGTCCAATTCCTGGACCCGTTCATTATCGAGTTCAACCTGAGCTAAATCTAGGCTTTCCCGTCTCCTCACTCGGCGAGGGTTGTAAGATTCGAATGCGTAGAGTCGATCTTGTATGTCGGCACCCATGCCTTCCTGGTCCAATCGAAACGAACCAAGGCCATCATGGGCAGGAACAACTGGTGTCGCAAAGGGAAGGCCATGCGACGGGCCGTAGAAAATAGGCGTGGAGCGGAATTCGGCGAGATGGCTATCCAAACTGTCTAGCTCGGCATCATCTTCATCGTCTCCCTCTGCCGCATCGACGAGGCTCGCAGATTGTTGTCGGTCGGCGCTAGCATCTGACGGCGCAACTGTGCCAAAACTTCCAATTTCACTTACCCGCGACCGGCCCGGGGTAGTATTGGTCTTGTGAGTTGAGGTTAAATAAGAGGTCGAGGTGGCGGCATCGGTTGCAGGTGAGAAGAGAACCCAGGTCTGTGAGTCTTCGACAGGCTGAGGGGTAGGTTGGGGAATATGGGGGGACTCTTCATCTTCCGGTGTAGGTCGAAAGACTCGTTGAGTAGCCTGGCGCGCAGGTTGTTGGAACGCCATATTGAGACTTGGTACGGATACGAAGAGCGATGGGGATGGGGATGTATGACGAAAGCTGCCCTACTGGGGGGTAGTCCCAGCGGGAGTTCTTAAATAACACACGATCAAGTTGCACAATGATGTTCCAGCCTTGATCTGCAAGACACACCGTTCAGTCGATGTCGTAAGCAGAGACAAGATGGCACCCGCTCTTGTCTCGGGACGAAGGGTGTGTTAAATATAGGTGATGTAAAGTGCAAAGTAGGTAATGTATAGATGTATCGGATGACTGCGTCTTGCTGCGTAGGTGTTGCTGCGTCTTCGGATGTGTAGGAATTGGTGATATGTATGCTACGTATGTTTGGTTTCAAGAATGAGGGACAACGGAGGGGCCAAAATCATTGACGAGTAGAGGCTACACGTAGAGTGAGGCAGGGTCCTGCAATTTTATTCCAGGTAGGTGGGCGGTCTCGACTTGTTAGGAATTTGGGATGGAAGATCATGAGAAAACATGGAAAAGTCGAGGAGAAATCATGGGAAAACTAGGGTGAGACTACCCAGACGACCTGGACGACGCAGGTGTGACCTGTCCGATTGGCGGCGGTAAGAACGTTTAAGGGGACCACACCTGCAGTTGATGATCTCTAAGTCGCGTGGGACGTTTGGTGGTTGTGCAATCGCAGCAAAACCTTACCTCACTCAACCCACTTAAGGTACCTTTACCTTGGCCCCATGTACCCCGTGCAAATCGAATTGCCAGCCACCGACAACGTGCACCGCCAATTACACCGTCCAATCCGTTACAAAGTTGAAGCCAACGAGCTGTCAGTTAGGCCAACATGAGGCCATAGTTGGGTACCACATAGATCTGCGAATATACCCCAAAGTCATACAGTTTGTCGGGAACTAATATAAGGGTCAAGCCAAGTCGGTACAATCAGTACAATCTTATCTTGTACTTCAATTACCTCATTGTATCAATTTCCAGGTTCTTAGTTTTCTTTGATGAATCGTAGCTGCTCACGGGCAGCTGCTCTTAGGCTAGCTGAGTTTAGTGCAACTGCTTGGCTGCTAAGGACCCTCTTTTTAGGGGTACGTATCGATAAGCTACGGGCCTTCTCGGGCTATGTTATCGTAGTGGGGTCGAATGTTGGGCTTTAACTGCTCATTGGAAGTTATTCTAATATTATTATGTACTTACTATAGAACACCACCCCCATTCAGTCGATCTAGCCTTGCTATGTATTCCTGGTGTTGGTGAATACGACATGCATATTACACAACGTATGATATTAATATACAGTCGCCCAACCAACGTGTGTGTTACGAAGCAAGCGGTGGAGGCCACACATAGCTGTGTCAGCCTCATGTCTATCAACCAGGCCGATTCAACGGTCACAAACTGTAAATCAACTTCCAGAACCATGGGAGCAAGAGGAGACATACATCCTCTGGGGATGTCGACAGATGCAATTTCACATACGGGAATATAAATCGGCAATTGATATTGATAGACTTAAAGTTATTAGTTTCTAATGTAAAGAGGATGCATACGTACGTACCTAAGTATGAAAAGTCGGGAAAAGAAAAAGACGGTAACCCCTACCTTGTATCCTACATATGTATGTACGTGCCTAGGAGGCAAGTATTATAGACTACCTACTAACTAATATTAGGCCAAAGAAGCGGGCAGCAAGTCATCTATAGATATTTTTTTATCATAGGATCATGAGATCATAACGTGAACAAAGATTTCCAATTATAGGTTTGTGCTAATGACATACTAGATAGGTAGTCACTAAAAAATTAGAAGAGGGGAATTATAAGAATGATAGATAGGTATATGTATTTATTTTACTTATATCTAAGAAATGGATGTATCTTGTATACCTATACTAGGTAGGTAGGTACCTTATGTAAGTAGGAGCTGAAGGATCAGTCCGTTCGGCGGAAAGGAGGGAAGGTCGTCATATTTCTGACCCGTTGGTGTGTCGTCATGACCTCGAGAGCCAACTCATCACTGGTTACCGTGGCAATATAGATAGGTTCGTATGTATGTATGCTTTGTCAGACCAAGAATCATCTGCATAAGTGGTGCTGCCGAGCACCTGGTACACCTTTTCTACACGTGACCAAATAGACCAAGCAATTCCATCGTCATAAGATCTCATCCAAATCAAATCTACACACGCTACTATTTCACGAGTGTTCACATATCAACTTATACAATACGTCCTCGAAGTGAAAATCCGCAAGTTATTAGAAAGCAATCATCTAGAATTGTCTAGGGAAAACTACGGCAGGCCGACCTAAGAACTAGGTATCGTGGTCAAATTCATTATTCTCATCCTCACGAAGCCTGTAATGAACGTCATCGAAATGAACAACGATGTGGTGCAAATGCAATATCCGAATTGACTGTCCTGTAGCAGTGCTATGGTAACCCATTATACGCCTGTCCCCTCAACCCAGATTTGCTTTCTCTTCATGACTAAACCACCTAAACCTCGGTGAAGGCGTCAGGGAAGCGCTTCATGTTGTTCTCGAGGTTACCGTGGTTGGTAAGGAACTGAACGTAAGCACCATCAACCTTGACACGGCCAGCAGCCTTCTTCTCAAGATACTCATCACGGCGAAGAGGAGTGAAACCCCAGTTCTTGGAGATGATAATCTTTTGTCGGCCAGGGAACTTGTACTGGGATCGTCGGAGTGCCTCAAGAGCGATAGCACGGTCTGCAAATTGTGGTTAGTTACGGCTATCTTCAGAAGTCATAGGTGTAGGGAGCTTACTAGAATCACGAGTGCGAACACTCAGGATGATCTGACCGATGTTGACACGGGCAACGGTTCCGTTGGGCTTGCCCCAAGCACCACGCATTCCAGTCTGCAGTCTATCGGCACCAGCGCAAGACAACATCTTGTTGATACGGACGACGTGGTAGGGGTGAGCGCGGACGCGCAGGTGGAAACCTTCCTTTCCAGCCATCTTGACCAGGTACTTGTTGGCGCAAATACGGGCGGCCTCGAGGGCCTCGGAGCTTAGCTGTTCATACTCGTTGGAGACAAGGTGGATGCAGAGAGGGAAGTCGTCGACGGTCGCACGCTTTCGGCCAAGATCGAAGATGCGGATCTTGGGGTCGGGGACACCACGGTTGAAGCGCGACTTAGGATACGGCTATTGATGATTGATGTTAGTAATTCCGTCCACGATGGCATGATGAAGACTAATGAGATCTATGTTCGTCATAATAGAAGAAATAGGGATGGTGATTTCATCATGATTTGTAATTCGGGCGGAGGAGACGTAATCGCAATTAATTTGCGATGGATGAAGCGGGCAAATCTCAAGTGTGGGATTTGATTTTAAAAGAAAAATTATGAATATTTCCAAATGCTTCATGAGACTTACCTTGTTCTTGCAGTATCGGTAACATCTTGCGGGACGACGCGCCATCTTGAATGAGTTCGTCGATGATGTTGTGGTGGATTGAGGGTAAGTTGTTGTTTGGGGGAAGATTAAATCTAGCAGGAGGGAGAGACCTGAGACTCCTTTGACACTTTCGCGGTGAAATTCCTCACTTTGATTTCAAAGCAAGGCGAGTCACATAAGCGGATTAAGTGGGTGTGTGGCGGGGTACCTTATTGGTTCATTTATTTCATATTCGCCTGATTGAAAAGTGGAGTTAGGGCTAAAACCACTGATCACTGGAATTTTTTTAGTACAGGCTCAACATTTACCCCACCAGACTTTTTCGCAAAAGCTAATATTCAAAGTGCGACTTCTTCATATCCAACTTCTACTTCTTGATTTCTTTACTCGTTTCCGACAACGCAAGACCTTCCACGAAACGTCGAATAAATCCAACAATCAAGATGGCCCCCAAGAAGAACAAGAAGGATGCCAACAGCATCAACTCGCGTCTTGCGCTTGTTATGAAGTCTGGAAAGGGTACGATTGATTTACCAAGGAAATTCTATGAAAAAGGCGTACTTTTACTAACATACATCTCAGTCACCCTCGGCTACAAGTCTACTCTCAAGAGCTTGCGATCCGGCAAGGCCAAGCTTGTCATCATCTCCGGAAACACCCCTCCTCTCCGCAAGTCCGAGCTAGAGTACTACTCTATGTTGTCTAAGGCCCCAGTTCACCACTTTGCTGGTACCAACGTAAGTACATCATCATATCTACTTGGCTGGACATAGGAGATCAATTTTTTCAAATTTCTTCTATGTTTCCCCCTTTACTCTAGGGTTGGTAGACGGATTATCCTATCTATCAATCTTACCCAGAGAAGAAGCTGCCAAAGCTTTGGAGGGTAATTCAGCTGGCTTACTTTTCCGTTCAATATAGATCGAGTTGGGCACTGCCTGCGGTAAACTTTTCCGATGCTCCACCATGGCCGTCTTGGACGCTGGTGACTCCGATATCCTCAGCGACCAACAGGCTTAGATGTAAATAAGACATCGGCGGACGGCGTTGGGGTCTATTGGCTGGGGAAAAGGTCATCATAACTCGTTTATTCAGGGCGAGGACCGGTTGCATATGCTTCATATTTGGAAGCACCTTTCTCGGACTCCACATCAAGCTACCTTGAGTTTTCTAGATAGCCGGTTAGTCCAATGCTGAGTGTCAATCAAGACAAATCCAGCATACCTGGGAATGAATACATGTGATACCCAATAGCTCTCTTTTTATGGTGTGCGAAGTACGTTGCATACGTTTTGTCTATTATTCGGATAGTGAGAATCATGGCATATTTGATAGGTAACTGGGGGACATTGTTTTAGTGAAGCCTATCTCTCGTTGCCCACTTGCCTAGTCCTAGTCCTCTTTACATGTCGAAACATCCAATATATTAACTCGAATCTGAATTCGGAAGTCGACTCCCAATAGTATCTACCTAACCTACCTATTACCTACTTAGTACATGGATAGAAATAAGACATATTTATCGTCAATGGTCTTAAGTCATCCCACCTCATCTCGTCGAGACAAAGAAACTCCCAAGTTGTTATATGCCAATCATCTATTAGTCAGACACAAATTAGACAAACCGACATTTGATAGAGGTACAAGTGTCTATATTTGGGTACTATGTAGGTATTTCAAGGTTGCCCTAAGGTTGCATTTGCTAAATGCACGTGTCCGATATGTGTCCGATATATCATGAATATATCCGTTTGAACCTCCAAATCGTTTGCACGCACTATAAGTGTAAGATCCATCAAATAAGTTTTAGTGATTTCTAAGTTGAGCTAAATGACAACGGATGCAAGTCGCACAAGCAGGGAAGGTGCAAAAGCTGTGACCTAGCAATGACATGTAAGTTAAGCTTAACTAGAAACGTTCTTTAATTATTTATCACGTGTATGGTGAGTTATTCTTTACATTGTAGTTCTGATTCGTTTATCAAACACAAAAGGCAGAAAGGAGCATAACGGAGCATGGATATTTTACCAACAGTGTGGTGCGTCTGTGTGTATTATTCCGACTCCGGATTATCTGGGATTTCCGAAGAAGATACATGATCTGTCTCTTATTATTGCGACGCGTCTTTCTGATATAAAACACGTTCTACAAGGATCCAGTTAATCAGTCCGTCACCGAGCGCAGAGAGCGTTGGGGTTGTCAGGAGACGGACCGCGGGACCGCATGAACGCTAATTAAACTTATGAGCGGGAAAGGGGTGAGGAAGAATAAAAAGACGCGAGTCGAGTCAGGAATCAAGAATAGCAAGAAACGTCCCAAGAAGAACATCGATATTAATCGTTCTCGAAAGTCGAAAAAGCCAACATTACCATTATCACATGGCACCTATTAAATATACTACCTAGTATTCTGACGAGCGAATCAAACTTACTTGCCTCCTCGTACCTGAATAGGTACAGGTACCTTTGTATAGGCGAAACAAGTAAGCTGAGCACATCTTAAACACATCTGCAAGATTGATTTATTCGAAAGTAAGGGTTTCACACCCTCGAGTACGGTGAATCCGTGTGGCTGAGTTACATGCTGAGTTGCAGAGAATATTCCCAATAGGTTAAGCGCTCAACCCGCTTTAGCGCGTCAGACCAATCCCCTATTACAGAACCGAACAATTTTACACAATTTTACAAGGACTGCAAGGACACTTTTACAAGTGCTGTGACGCTGTTTGACCGTCTTAGTCGCTAGGTCGCTTCTGGTCACTACAATTCACCTTCTCCAAGAGAATCCGAGTCCCAGAGCGGATTATTGTGCATTTCTTGTGCATTAGACGCCACGAACCACAAATGCAGAACCACTCAGACAACAATAACAACAATAGACGGATCAAAATCACCAGAGGAGAATAGTAAAACAGTCTCAGAAGTGCATACAAGTGCATACTCTCGTCTACCGGCCAACCATACCAACCTACCGTCCGAGTATCCCATTCTTTTTTTCGCCGATCGAATTGGCAACCGACAACCAAATACCCCATACACCATACATACACCACTCACCATTCACCATTCATCCTACACCATTAACCTGTACCTGTACCATACCATACGTATCATCCCACATTATCGTATCTACGAATTATTACAACAGTCTACCAACGAGAGTCTCATTCACAATACACTCTATAACTACGTCTAGTAGTATTCTGTATATACATTTGTTTTTATCTGTGCATTCAACAAAAATAACAAATGTCCGCTACTCCCAAGAGGCCGCTGTCTGCGGCACAGGGTCGGGTTTCTAACGAGAACGCACCTCCCGCAGGACGACCTCGAGCGTCCACACCGACTTCGACAAATGGCAACGGAACTTCCACCACGCCCCAGAGGACACGATCCATTCGAGGTGGAACACCTATGTCTGCCAGAGCCGCCGCTTCTCATAGAGCATCATCATCTTTAAGCATTTCTACTACGAATGGAAATGCCGACGCACGCGCCGAACTAGTCGCACTAATCGACGACCTCAAAGAGAGATTACAGAAGTCCGATGCTACATCCGAACAATATAGAAAGCAGACAGAGGTTCTGCAGACAAGACTTGACGATGCCACTAAAGAACAGGCCAAATTAGAAGATCGGTTACATGAAAATGAGGAGCAGATCGAAAGCTTTCGAAATGACAAGAGAGAGACGGCAAAGAAGATGCGCGAAATGGAGACCATTTATGAGGCTGAGAGGAGCTCCATGACCAAGGAAAAGGAAGAGATGGGTAACCGAGAAGAGGAGATGCAGGCCGTTATTAATAGGCTAAAGGAGACCCTCAACCAACGAAATGCAGAGGACGAATACCGCCCAACAAGGCAATGTGAGTACCCAATCTATACCACCCTACATCTACATCTACATCTGCATCTACATCTACACCTAGATTTACATCTACAATACAATGGATCGCTAACCTAGACATCATCATGACAGCAAATAACTCCTCTCCTAGCGTAGATAGTGGGAACTTCGCCCCACCATCTTCCGTTCAACGTAGCGATTCTAGGAACAACTCGAAGCTCCTGTTGCAGAAGGATAAGCTGATCGAATCATTACGTCTCGAACTCGCGGAAGCACAGATTAAGCTTGTCGAGTCCGAGAATCAGGGCGGTGGCCGATTACATGAAGTCGAACGACTCCTCATGGAGGCACGCATGGCTAACGCCCGGCTGATGGAAGATAACGAGTCGTATCAGCTACTACTCCAGGAGAAGACACTCCACGGCGACTTCGGCAAGGGTGATTTCAGTTACATGAATGTGGCCGCTAACCAAGATGCCCTGAACGCCCTTGAAGGTAGATCCAACGCCGGCGATAACCCAACTACACCAGGTGCCAGTCTTGCCGATGAACTAGGCGCTCTTAACGGAGATGAATCCCCTAAAGTACATGCCGAGGATGATACCACACGCCGTCTAGAAGCCGAAGTCCGGGCTGCGAAGGACCAGAACAAAGCCCTCACGCTGTATATTAACAAGATCATCGAGCGGCTCCTTCAGCATCAAGAGTTCGAGCACATCCTCGATCAGTCTTCCGACTTCAAGCCTGGCGCCAATGTCCATAAGGATCTGCCGCCACCTCCTACAGACTCTCCTGGTGTTGGGGCCTCATTGCTCCAGCGCGCAAAGTCCATCGCTACTGGCGGGCCGCAACGCCCTAAGCCTAGGCCCATGACTATGTCCGCTTCTCACCAGCTCCAGGCGCAGATGGCTATGCTGCCCTCTGTCCTTAACAACCCTGATACTGCGCCCAGCATCCCACTCTCGGGACTGGGCAGATCGCATAGTACAGCCAGGCGTATCCCAGGCCGCCCCATGAGCGAGCAGTTAACAGGTGCTGCAGGCATCGTGAATGCGATGTACAAGGGACCCGATGGACCGCTCTCCCCGACGCTAAGCACAGCATCATCATCTGCGCGCCACTCACAGACATTCTTTGGCGGGAATAGAGTCTCGTCGAGTATCGGACATAACGGCTCATCGGGCAATTTCCCCGGCATGCGAAGCGAGACGAGCAGCGTCAGCGGGGATTCGGCGGCGGACGGAACGACAGGCACGATGACGAGCTCTAGCCAGAGCCCGCCCCGAACAGTGGGAAGTGGCAGTATCTCTGGAGAGAAGAGTACTACGATGACGGGAAACAAACCTCGCCCGTTGAGATTAGTGCAGGAGAAGAATGAATCGGAGCGCGAGCAGAATAAGAGGGCTTCGTGGCTAGGTTGGGCTCAGGGTGCTTGGACTAAGAAGGAGGGGGAGGATGTGCGGTAGACAATAAATACATACTTATGAGTATGAAGATAGAGAGTGAGAAGTGAGAGAGTGAAGGGGATAATGATGGGACTTATATATACATGCCTAGCCAGGGGATACGTCAACCCGAGCTAGGCATACGAGAAACTTTCGCATATCTGTTCTTGCTCTCGTTCAGCCTGCCACGACAACGACCGAACGAACAAGCAAAACAAACGAAACGACTCTTGCATGGAAACGAAACGAAAAGAAAAATAAATCAAAACTAACTTGACTGACGACGAACGGTCTGGGATGACACGGATTGAGACGAACCGATACGCTATACCTCTCAAAACACACTCACATGCTCAAATCATTGAAGATGAAAACAGATGAAAGATGAACTTGTTATTACACTTTTTTTTTATTGAAGAAAGCTTTTTCTTCCTTTTTTATTATTTTTTGCTTGCTTACGATTACGGCCTAAGTTCAGTCTGCGATGGTCTGGTAGGGACCGGACCGGGATGGTCTGGGATATATAGATGATATGATATATTCTATTATCGATATTGATGCTTGTTTGTTGCTCCTTTTTTTGTGTATATTTTTTGTCGTCGTTGCTGCTGTTGTTGCGTGGCGTGTAATGTGTAATGTCTTGTGCGGGAAGTGAAGATGGAGGAGGGAAGTATGAGAGATCCAAATCTAGGTTGAAGCATTGCGTTTGTTTTTGTTTTTTTGCGGCATTTACAGCGGCGAGGTAAGGTTGGCATAAAGCCGAAGCCTGAGTTTGCATATTGGGGGGATTGATCGTGTTTGACTCGGAGATAGATATACCAGTCTAGAAAAATGTGTTCGTCTCGTAGGATAGATCTCGGTATTGTGATCGCTTAGAAACAGATGCCTTGTTACTCTCAACGTACGATGAAATATTGTTATTCTATTCCATAGGTATACGTGAGTATACGTCATTGGAGACGTTTGTGATATACGTTGATCATTGTCCTGATCTTGTAACTAGCACATATACTTGCAGACCCGAGCCGCTTTGGCTGAAATCTTCATGCAGGTCACCTACTCCGTGCTGTCGATTTTATGCTTTTGTAGGTCTATCATTCTAAGTTCCATATCATACATGTAGAAGGTTTTGGGGTGCAGCTTTTGGACTTTTTTCAGCCACTTCTAGGTTTTTGCATACCGACGATGGGGGGAGTGATCAACTCAGCTGCCTTTACGTATCTAGGTATGTATTCAAAATGGGAGTTATGGCAGCCAGAAGATAGTATACGTAGGCAACTAGTACGGTAAATCGACTAATTCCAGAAGATTTGTCATGATGATGGATTAGGATGTCAACTGTCTATCCACCCTTAAGCGCCTTATATACCTACCTAAGATTCTAGGCCCGAATCGTTGTCTCAATGCTCGGTGAGGGGAAGTATAGGTAATACAGAAGATTACGTGCGGATGAGACTTTCATTCAACCATCTCACCCGGGACGGGAAAAGAATCACATTCTCTCGGGAGAGAACCTGAGGGAGTATGGCTAGAGAATAGAAGAAAGCCTCAAGCTTAGGGGCTCAAACATTACTTAGTCTGGCTTGTCTGGTATGACTTAGATCATGTATGACGTTCTACAAGTGTTTTCTGGCGTAAACCGAGCCAGTCATCGTGATGCCCAGGCTTTTCCGCGGTTGTAGAAGATATCCCTCAGGATAACTCCCTCCTTGAAAAGGGATATATGATTACCTATTCAGTCAATACTATGTGTTGTACGGTCGGCTGTTAGTATTACCTCGTATGATAGTTCGTCCGCCCAATGAATCATCACTCGGCAATTCGTCCACTGGGAAGTCATTATCGGTAAGCCATGGAATACCGTCGACGATTATACCCTTTTCTAAACTACATTGTTATAGCTAGACCGGGTTTAGCCACAGGTAAGCCCTTCGTCTTTAGTAAGTATCATATAGCACACATAGCATACAGGTATGTAGACATAGTATAAGCGATCGAGTCTTGAAGTACAGGTAAGTATATAATAAGCAGGAAATCTGAGATGTTGTAACCATAACGCCGAAAATGGCTCAAATCCTACCCCATAAACAGCTACGTGGTGTATAATACGTATGTGGCTTTCGAAATGGTTGGTAACACGGATCTCTACCGAAGCTCTGGAAGAATGTCCGGACTTAAGACCGATCCTCGTCCAGCGAAGGGTCTAAAGGATTATACTAACCAGTTCGAGACCAATACCTGGACGGATTATTAATTTTTACTATAATAACCTAGGAATATGTCCTCGGTGAAAGCCCGGACGCCGTAAAAAAAGAGCGCAGAATGGTATCCTCTGGTTCCGGGTCTCCCTATCAAAGAGCCGCACTGCGTATCTTTACTAGTCCAAGCGGCAATGTTACCCCCCCACGCTGAGAGACATTACACCAAGTCGTTGGTTACTGAGACGGTAAGGGAGGGATCATCTCAAGCAACGGACGAGAAGAGAAGTGATATTTCGTCACCCGTTTTAGGCTTTTTCTCCTTTCATTATCATCAACATCGATCGGGGTTAGGCTTTCTCTAAGGTAGGATATAAAAAGGAGGTAGGATGGAAGTACACGTGTTGGTCTCATACTCCCAAAGCTCCAATGGAATCGACCACCCCCACACTGCGCACATCCTTTTGACGGATGTTGGCATCGACCGGACCTATGGGGATGACGGGTTCCTGCGCAGATGACCACTCGACCAACCAGACCAAGTACTCTAGGCTGGTCTTTTGCGGTTGATGATACTGCGCAGATAAGACAGGGCAGGATTCTGGGCTGAGCAAATAGATCCCCCATCTATCTGGACGGCCCGCATATTATGTCTATGAGGTACAGTTCTTAGGTTGCCAGGTTTGAAATCTGACATAATAGTGGTTGCCGGTCCTGGTTGGGAGCGCACGCCCGCATTACTGAGAAATCACGACGGAGGTCCAGGGCTATTTGCGCATGTCAGATCATAGACACGAGGGGCGGATGGATTGTGTGTATTATTAATAGTAGTTAAATCTTTAGGGCAATCGGATTAAAAATACCCGGATAGTCGGCTCGTCCCGTCGACTTCCGGCTCACGAGGAATATGTCCAGGCATATCCAGGTAGTTTTCGGCTCTTCTCGCTAAGTTGCGCGAGAAAAAAAAAAAACTTCTTTTGCGATTCGTCATCAACTGACCGGTCTCTCTTCTGTTTCCCCAAGAAGGCAATTGTATATTGCAAGCTTCGTAGGATAGGTTTTAGAGGACCAGATCAATATATAGCATGCGCGATGACTGTAAGATAAAGTCATACCAATTACCAAGTCCGGAACTCCAAATTGAATTTGTGCATATGCGATGCTCCCTATACCTCGATCTTTGGAGGTAGAGGGTTACGGTACCTGGTAGATAATGCTAGATGATTGAGCTGGCAGGGTCACGTCCTGTAAGACACGCATCAGCCGAAGCATTTGCGTGCGTAGTAGTCAGTAGGTCGTCCACATGTCGATCTCTGAGAGGTCCAAATTTGCCGGGTTCCAAGGGTTCTATTGAAAAAGCGATGTCGCCATAGGCTGATGCAAGGCTGAATACAGTCCAAGCCGAAGCCTTCTTGGTTCAGTCGTTCCTAATTCGTGACAAGGAGCGCTATTTCGCACCTTTCTTGATTTTTATCCATCGAACATGAACCGTTTCGGGAAAAAGCAATCTACCTACTAGGTAGGTAGGTACTCGTCTAGGCAGCTAGGTACCTATCGAAGGAGACTCTCATTCAGTAGCGTAGCCCTTGGTCGCAACTTGGTTTGCTTTTTCTGTTTTCTGGATTCGGTACATACCTTAGGTACATGGCACACCATCTTACAGCTCTGCGGGTTGTGCCTGTTACAACCCGTTTCCCTAAGACAATGACAATCAACGTACACTGTAGGATCTCAGGCTCTATAATACCGCCATAGTCAAAGCCACAGGTCGCGGTAGACCGCTGTTTGTCTGTTTATTAGCTCTGTCGCTTAGATCGACAAGGAGCGAGACAAAGCAAAACGGCAAACTGAAATGAACCCCTCGGTTTCCTTGATCAAGCGGCGGTAGACAAGAGGACAAGGAGGACGAGAGATACAGGATTGTGTATTCCTTAGATTGTGTATTAGTGGGGATATGCAAGACATGCATGTCAACGATCAATTGGGTGCGATCAGTGATGGGTGGAAGATGGGAAGCAAAGTGGAGATCAAGAGAGAAAGAAAGAAAATAATTCGTCTGGAAGCCGAATGGAAAGAAGTTGGAAAGGACGGGGCGTGGCCTCCGGGATCCAGTGAAGTGGATCGCTGCACTGGCGAAGGCTGCTAGGCAGCTAGGTCTACGGTGTGGAGGAAAATGTCCGTACAAAATAACTTGCGGTCAAACCGGAAGGTACCTCTAGTCGACTTCCGAAACCGTTGACGGTGGAGTTTATATGCTAGTAGCTTCAAGTATCGGCTAGAGAATTTTGAAGTATCTTGCCGGGTACTTGCGAGTTGCACGAGTGTTCCTGAACATCTCCTTCCTTCCCGAGGCTTCCAAATGCTTATCACATCTTAGAATTTAGGGTATGTACATATATTGCCGCATCAATTCTTAAGACCTACATGCACGTATAATGTACCTACCTACTCAAGGTATCAATTATCCTGTCTCCTCTCTCCTATAAAGGTTTATGTTCATAGGTGTAGAATCATTTTGCCATACGTTATGGATGGTTGCACAACGTCAAAGCATGTAAATGTAGTCAGTACGAAAGTTCATAGGATGAAGCTTTAAAGCTCGTATTTCGCAGTATCTTCTGTAGAGTTGTCGTAATAGTGGCAATATTCAAACATTTCAACTGCTACTAATAACTCGTAAGTTCAAATGTTGTGGACGGGTGGGAGGTCTTGTACCTCTCAAAGCAGCAGTATTATGTACTTAGGTACTTATTCATCTCTCGCAGTTGGTGTGGTTCGTGTCACCGCTTTCATATGAACTATCCTAGGCGGATTGTAAGGCGAAAGTCCCACTTTAGGATAGATTTCTGGGGAATGGGTTTGTGCTACAGCCGGCTTAGCTTCAGGGCCAAAGGGCATGGTAAGTCCCTGAAAACCCTCACTTGCTTCGGGGCTCGTGCCGACTATCTGCTTGTGTGTAAGTGGCCGGTACTACATCATAATCCTTTCGGTTGACTATTGTCTCGGCTTTTGAATATTATTTTAGTGATGTGTCCGAGGCTCGTCGGATTGTTGAGCTCGATTTATACAAGTAACAGATTATGTAATTTAACTACAGCCCTGGAATCACTTTAATTCCTGGAGGCTAACTTCTGACAAATGACATTTTCTAACCCGTAACAGCCCGTACCATTAGTTGATAAAATGGGATAGGAGTGAATTCCTATTTTTAAAAAGACACCTCACTGACTGGGGTTACGAAATAGTCTTTTTAAATGTACACCTTTTCATATCTACGTTGAATTGGGCTTAGCTATCATCAAGCTTATTCGGGGCAGGGGAAATGCCGTACAAAAAGTGACTAATATGACTTGTTCTTTTCCCTCCATTCCTTCAAAATCTTTTCTCACATTAATACATTACGTTTAGATATGTACCTATTTATAAGAATATCTAGGTAAGTCATGCCAACTACTTAGTAGTAGTAATTTCAGAGGGTAACGTTAACATGTCTAATGCATCTATGATGTGTCTACCTTTTGCCACAATATAAATTTCATGTTTCTTGATGTTTGATCTGGGATTATTCAATGTGATTTATGTGACTTATGTACCGTATGTATGCGAATATGCATAAAAGTAGTACATAAAGTGCATGGAATAATCTAGGCACAAGTTGTACCTTCCTAGGGTTGCAACAGGGGTAGGACGGTGTGGTGGATACAGGTAGGCAGGCAGGATACGTACCTAAGTACTCAACTTCAAGTTGATCCATGAATTCGTACCTATTTGTCCCCTTGACCCACCTAAAAAAACACACGAAATACATGTGCAATACATCATTAACCTTCAACCAGACCTTAAGCAAAGCAAAATCCCAAAAGATGTCGGGACATTGAAACTTGAACATCCAATACATTTCGACTCCCCATGTTCCCTCACACTCATCAACAAATCAACCTGTTCCTCATCCACGCCTCATTTTTTCCCAAAGCACCCAAACACCTCTGACCACTCAAACAACTACTGGTATCCTCCGAAGATTGATTTTCGGCTGGTCCTTCCTCTATCTGATATATCCATTATAACTCTCCAATTTTTTACTTATTACTACGCTGTACTTCGTACATTCAGTGTCATTCAGTGTCATTCACTTCCAAGTTGAAGTGACCCCCCTCCATCCCTCATTTCTGCATCTGCAGTACACCTTAAACTACACCCGCAACACTCCACACGATTGTGTCATTTACACATTTTAGTCTCTGGTCTCCGCGTCCAATCCCGCGTTTGCAGACTTTTTGCATCCCGACGAAACCATTCACGCAACACAGTCCCAGACTTTATTCGTCAATCCGCGCATCAGGGTTCAAACTGGTATATCCATCACACGATTTAACCAAGTCGACCGGTTCTCATTTGTGCAACATTAAATCTTGGACATACATTTAATTTATCCAGTGTGGAAGGAGAGTCGCATGCGAATCTGCTGCCACATCACGATGATCATCCTCTCTGGAAGCACAGCCGTTATACTTCCGAGCTAATCCTATTCCTGGTATTTCGTGGCATGCCCGCAGTAGACGTGGTTCCATTGTTTGCGCCGGCTCCGATAATCTTCCACGACGACCAGCCAACCAGCTACCAAGATGGCAAACAATCCTCTTGCTATGGACACCAGCCTGTCCAGTCTAAACTCCGCTGACAACGACACATCAGCCACTTCAAGTGCACACTTAGACTCCCAACAGTCCAAATGGACTTCGGCCTCTACTTCTCTTACAGCATCCCCGACAGAATCGAGAGATCCGTCACCAATACGTCCTTCCGCTAACACAGGCAGAACAAGTCGTGGTTCTGCCTCGTCACCCGCAGCTAGGTCGCGCAAGAGCAGCTTTCAGAACCCTAGCCCGTCTAGAACTAGACCTAACGTCCAAACACCCTCTACGACCCCACGACAACAACTCTCTTCTACTAATACGCCATCACTTCCTCCTCCATCAACCCCGACAACTGTATTGAGAGCTCCTGTTCCGCAGAAAGCTGCCCTTGCATCCGAGTTATCGAAGGACGCACCTCGATGGCCTGTATCTCCTCGGTTGAAATCCCCGCCTCCTAATATTGGCCGACCTGCAGGTGCAGAATCGTCGACGCGGAATGAGCTCGAGATATCCGCCATAAATGCTAGGCGAGCCACACCCTCACCCAGCTTAGAATCTGCCTCCCAGTCTGCCTCCGAGAACGAGACAGAGGAGTCGCAGCTGTCTTCGGGTATGAGAACTCCTGCTCGTGGGCCGAGCAATGGGTCCTCAACTCTAGAGACCGTCCAGGAAGTCAGCCAACCCAATACGCCGCGCCCGGGTATAGATATAGCAATCGAAAAACTTGCCGAGACTGCCGCTGCTCAGTCATCTTTGCAATCCAAGAGTTCCTGGAATACGGTCAGGAAGGCCGAGTCTAGTCAGCATGGCACTAACAGCGAGAGCGGGAGCGATGGTGGGAACGCGAAGACGAACCCGAGAAGGACGAGTACCACAGCCACGCCCTCTCTCCACAGCAGACAGTCGAGCACCGCGATCAAATTTGGTGGTAAGGGTCCGACTTCCGCCGAGAGTTCCTCGAGGAACATGACCGTAGAAACGGAACAAATAAACAATCTCCCGGGAATTTCGTTGGCCCCTAGTGTAAGAGGTCAAGGAGGTAATGGAAGCCTTCGAACGAAGCCAAGTTCGGAGACAATTAAACCAAAGAAGGATAAAAAGAAGCACACAAGAAAACCTGCTTCTGTTGCTTCGGGCAATGGTGAGCCTCCCGATCAAGAACCGGCATTCAAGCTACGGCATGTCCTGTCGTATCAGACAGTTCCAATGACACTGTCATCTCAATCATCCTATGCACAATTATCGTCACAATTAAGATGCGATCAAGGATCGTCTTTCCACACCTACTTCAACAGATTTCATAGCGTCTATTCTTACAACCAGTATTACACAACTCCTCAGACACAGACACAGACAGCAACAAGCCCTAGTTGGCTTTCAAGTATAACCGACCGTTTGAACAATATACTAACACCCTACCCAGCTTCTTCTAAAGCAGATATCTTCGAGGCCAAAGTTGCCAGCGCGGTCGAAGAGGCCAACTCTTCCGATTCGGACGAGACATTCGTATACGATTCGAACCCACCGGATATAGGCGAACGCCCTCGTCGTTATCACTCACGCACACCGAGTGCAACTTCCATGGCTAGTCAGGTCGATCGGAGTGGCATGCGATCACTAGGAGGCATGATGGAAACTGGCCCCCCTACTATCCCTGTGAAGAAGAATATGAAATTCGTGAATACTTACACCAGCAGCGGAACTGATGGGCCTCTCGTAGACGACGACGGCCGAGGTACGAGCCGAAGCAATGTTGGATCTGCGAGAGGTACCAGCCGCCACCATCACCCCGGCCGCTGGGGTCGGAATAATAGTAGCAACCACACCTCTTTATTCGACAACGAATCGCCATTTCCTGGTGCGACCAAGTCGAAATTCTCGAGTAATAATCCGAGACAGTCATCCAATCCACCAAGCCCTAGATTTAATACAAGTCGGGGTTGGGCATCTAGTAAACGGCAAATGACGTTACCTGGCACCTACGACATGGACGATACGACGACGGGCGCCGATGACGAGAGAACTCCTCTCTTGACTGGTGCGGCTCGATCTATCCGATCTACTCGAAGTCGACGAAATCCTCACTCGAGAAACCTCGAGGCTCAGACGTACCAGCGACGACCATCATTCCTTACCCGGTTTGCTAGCTGCCTGGTTCTTACCATGATGTTATTGGTTGTTCTCACAGGAGCGCTCGGGTTTATGTTCGCAACATCTCAACCGCTCACTGATATTGAACTTGTCAAGATTGGCAACGTCCTAGCTAGCGAGCAGGAGCTGATGATGGACATTACCGTCAGAGCGCATAATCCTAATGTCGTTGTTGTAATGATAGACACCGCCGACTTGGAGATTTTTGCGAAGTCCCCGCACGCCGGTACCGACTCAGAATGGTGGCGACACCCTAGCGGAGATGAATTTGGAACTCTAGACGATCCGAAGAACGATCCGCCAGTCATCAGACTACCGGGAGACCGCGACGACAGCGATCCGCCTCCCGAAGATAGTTCACCTAATATGCGTCTTGGAAACATCGTCGTTTTCGACAGTCCCCTAACTTACGAGGGATCGTTATTCCAAGGCAGCATTTCTACCTCTACCGGCTCGTTGCGTCTAAGCCGACCTGGTAATAGTACCGACAGTGGCACGGAGCGATGGGAACGCATTATTTCGGACGAATTTACGTTGATTGTCAAGGGAGTTCTGAAGTATTCGTTACCTCTTAGTCAGAGGATTCGAAACGTAGCGATCTCGGGAAAGACAGTTGTGAAGCCGAATTCTGCGAATAACCCATCACTCCGACCAAACGAGACCGAGATTGCGATACAATAGTATCGACGACATGGGCCACACCAGCCCACAAACCACACCATTTTATTTGTACTTTTCACGCGATTCTGTATATGGAGCAGGTATGGCATGGCATAAAGCGGGAGCTAGGCGTTGGATCCTCGAATAGGGACATACGACGAGGCCTTGGGCTTAGATCCCAGACTAGGGGATCACATGAACTCGGTTGTCCCTTTTAGGTGTTATTGATATTCCCAAAGTCCAGAAAGAATGGTTTTTAAGATTTTTACTTGAACAGAACAAGGGCATACGGTACCAAGAGGTACCCAATAAAATATTCATTGCATAGGATGGACACAAAAGAGAAATACCCCAGATATTGAGACCTCTTGTTTTATGAGGTTTATTGTCCCCCCCCCTTTTTTTTTATTACCCTAAACATAAAAATGGGACGGGGGAACTTGTTTTCTTATTTCTAAATTTAACGAATATGGCATTAGACAGGGCGGCAGCAGTACCACTACTACTATTGTTCTCGGCACCAGATACCCAAGCAGGAACGGGGTCCGCATCTGTAATTGTTACGGATTATGAAGAATACTGTAGAAGATACCTAACCTTCTAATATAATGAAAGGCCTGCTGATAATGGCAGGTGGTGATATCGTATGTTGCTGTTTCTTATTGAGTGATCTTGAAGAGATTAAGAAAAGAGGCTCTAGACACTTAATGGTGGTATTAGAATAGTTTAGTAACAACTTCAGATATATTTGTAGGTAGGTAAGTTCTTGATCTAACAAGAGACTGTTACAACTTAGGGAAACGGAACATCGCCTATTTCGCTACCCGAATCACTTGTCTATTCTGTTGTAACTGCTCACTAATACAGATAGACAAGTATATATTTTTTCAATATTACGTTTCTCATCTTGGCATTGGTAATAGAGACACGGGAGCCTTCCGTCGGGTAGCCAACCCCTTCCGTCTGATATTAGAGGGAGCCTGGCCTTGAATTGCACCGCGTGAGACTGGACAAACAAGGAATTGGGGGCCAAAGTATGGATAGCAGAGTCCGAAATGTAGGGTTACATCGCGCTGGAATCATAAGCCCTATAGGCGGAGCATCCACTCAGCTATTCCCCATCTGTAACAGCTCCCCTAGCTCATCTGGACCGTCATATGTTTCACGACATTATATCGATTACCAAAGCAGTCAAAGTTGACGATCAATGTGGCAAACTACCTGTCATCTGCGACGAGACGGATACTGTTGTATCTCATGAAACACGGGATCGATGATCCTCTAGAATTCCCCCACTCGACTTCGACCAAAAAACCGCGTATCTCGCGTGTGGGCAGGGCTGGTGTTCGCACGAAGGTGTATACTACAGACTGGAGTAGCCGCCCACACATGCGGGCCGCGTTAGCCTTTACCCTTGACCGCACAGGCGAGAACCTGGAAGAGTCACATCCCCAGCCGTCGAGCTGAACGGGTCCTTGCCTTGCAAAGTGTAATAACACAGAAGACCATGAGCGATACTAACACAGCCACAACTGCTTTATTATACAAAGTCCCCGTAGGACTACTCCGTAAATTATTGGACCGGCTGAAAGTGGTCAGTACATACCTATATATTATGTATCTCTTTCGACGGCTTCTTCCTCTTGTGAAACCTATTATCTCTACTTGCTTTTCACATCTATCCTACATGGCTGTGATTGGTGTATTCTAAGCCGTCATATATAATTATATCCGTACTTACGTACCCTACTAACACCCCCAGCCCCTCACAATGGACCAGGCCAACCTAGCCGCAGCCTGGCTCTCGTTCGGCGCCACGGCCGTCGGTCTAGGCGGGTTGATCTCACAGGTAAGCCCTCCCCTCCTATCTTTCTCCTCCTATACCCAGCACCCGTACCTATTAACACTAACTCTTACCCACCAAAAGGCAAGCGCCATAAACGACCAGCTGGACCCATACCACGCCAACCGCACAGCAGAGTATCTCGGGATATGGTTCCAGCGACAACAGCGGTTCCCGTGGTGGCGGATCGCGAAGCCGCCGCCCCTCGGGCCCGTCATCGCCGCGCGCATGGCCGACGGCTTCTGCGGCGTTAACGTCCTGCACGTCACGCGCATCCCGGTAGTGGCGCCGGGGAAGGCGGGGTGGTCTACTGTTCTCGCGATGTTCAACCACGAAGCGCCTGTGTTAGGGGGACTCGTGGATGGGTATTCCAGCGCCGGGGTTGTTGAAAAAGGGGGTTTGAACGGGGGAGGAGGAGGAAGACCGAAGAGCGCGGGGAGCGATGGGAGTGTAGATACCGCGGAGGTGTTGGCGGTGGGGAAGAGCGCGAGTTGGTCCCAGTTGGAACGCAGGTCGTTGAAGAGACATCAGACGTATGCGTGTATTGTCATTTCGCGCACCACGCTTATTACGATGCTCGCGGTGACGAATGGACGCCCTGTGTTCCAGTATAGTGACGCCACGGGGTTTCGTGCCGGATACGCGTCGTATTGTGGGCAGTGGTGTAAGTCTCCTTCCCCCCCTTTTCCTTTACCTTTTTTCTATACGTATCTAAACCAACACCTCCCAGACATAACCTGGCCCATAGGCCAAGAAGCCATAATAAAATTCGCCGCGCACGACAGCATCGGGAAATCCGAAGTCTTCCCCCGCGCATTCACCCTGCGCGTCGACCGGTGCGGGCAGATCGTCTCCGGCGTCGTCAGCTCCCCCACCTCCGCCTTCGCCGTCGGCTTCTGCGGCCGCAAACCCGCCGGCGACTACCGGTTGCAGTACTCGCCTAAGGGGTTCCAAGGCGCGCATTCGGGGCGCCATTTGTTTAATATGATGGGTGGAAAAGCGTTTGAGGTCGATTTCCTGGATGCGAGGAAACAGACTGGTGTAGAGTCGGATTTCGCTGCTGCTGTGCATAATGGGTATGAGAGCGGGTTTTTGTTGACCGATAGTGGGAGGGATGTGGTGTTGGATCTCCCCGGGAAGGCGGACGGACAGCTTACTGTGCGGATGCTGGTTCCGGCGCCTGAAGTCGATGTCCTGCTGCACGCGCTGGACTGTCTTCCGTGGACTTCGCTGTCGTGGAGTATGCACCGCGGGCTGCGGGATATACTTCTCGCGTTTTCTAAGCCGGTTATGGATTTACACCGTGCTGCGTTGGCGTCTATTATTAGGAACACCGTGGAGAAGCACGGGGATGTGTTGCGCACGAGGGGGTGGGATGCGGATTTTGTGAGGAATAATATGGGGTTTATGGGATCTAGCGCGATTATGGCTGGGCGGGGGAACTCAGGGGATTCGGTGAGGGTTGTGACTGATGTTGTGGCGGTGTATGTCGGGGACTGGGATATCGCGAAGTTGGATGAGGTGTCGTTCTGGAGGGGGAATGTTCGGGATGTAAAGGAGTTGGATAAGCAGGCCGTGGTTGCGTTGACGAAAGTATTTGTGCTGGAATGGAGCCAGGAGTTTGATTACCAGCTTTATCATCACTTGCCCATATCACTTTATTTTGGGTGATGGGTTGGATTGGTGTGGAAGACGAGGGCATGATATTGACGAGTTTGGAAGCTTTGAGATGGTATGACGATATGAACATAAAATGAACGAGATTGCATGGGTTGGCCATGTGGTATATGTATAGCAAGCATAGATATCCCTCTTATTTATTTGTCATATTCAAGTTCTCATATGGATTGAAGTGTTGATGAGCATATGTACCTGTATAAAACACTTTCTCACAACTTTCACCAGAGACGTGATAGCACGAGTATCACATCAAAATTCATTGTTATATTTCCTCTAGCTACTAACTTTCCTACTCACTCTTCCTTCCAGAACACCCCCTAATGCAGCTCAGCAGCCACAAGCTTCAAAACCTCCTCGACCCCCCTCCTCGCATTCCTGGGGTCCTTCGCAATAGCCTGCCAGACCTCGCCGTGCCTCGGTTCGACGCCAACGCACTTACTTATAACCTCCTCTCTCTTCTCGTCCGTCCCGTGCTCCAACAGGAACTTATAGTACCAAGCCCAACTATCGCCTAGGTCCGGATCTCTGACCAGCGCCTTCTCGAACCAGTTCTGTGCCTTTTCGAGTCTGCGCTCGCCCCAGAAGATGCGTCCGACGGCTGTCAAGAGTGCCGGGTCGTTGTCCACCTCCTTGATAGCTTCGAGAGCGCGGGGCTTGCGTTGTGGCCGTGTCGTCAGGTGCCATATCTTTTCGGTCCATAGTACGCCCTGTTCCGGCTTCGGTACGTCGCGGAGTGCCCGTTCCATAAGCGATTCGGCCTGCTTCGTATTTTGCGCCCGCCTCTCCACCCGCACAGATTCGCACCATAGCTCGGCTGACTTGGGCACGGCGAGGCGCGCACGATCGAGAACTGACCGGGCTTTGGGAAGTTGGCCTAGTTTTTCTTCTAGACGGCTGTAGAGGAGCCAGAGAGGTACGGATTTCGGTACTGCCTTCACTCCTGTGCTGTATGCTTCGCGAGCCTGAAGCGGCTTACCTAGGTCTTCGTAAATTTGACCCTTCATCATCCAAAGTTTAGCCGAGGCAGGGAAGAGGTTGAGAGCTTGCTGGACAAGGTCTAGTGCTGCATCGAGATCATCTAATTGTCGTTCAAATGCAGCACTCTTCATCCAGACACGGTCGGTCGGAGCTTCTTGACGTGCAGTCTTCAAAAGACCTCGTGCCTGGTCGATTTGACCATTCTCGGCCTCGAGCTTGACGGCTGCCAGCCAGATATCCTCGTTGTTAGGATTCTGCTTGAAAGCTCTCGCCAAAACACGTCGCGCGTTGTCGATTTCTCCGGCTTGCCATTTCTCCTTCGCGAGCATCATCCACAAGACTTCGCTACGAGGTACTGCATTGACAGCCTTTTCTAAAACTTGCCATAGGTCCTCTTTCGAGCCATGCGTTCGCTCAAGATCCGCAGCAGCCAACCATATCGTTTTACTCGTAGGGAATACTCGAAGCGCATATGCGTATATCGCGCGAGCAGTTTCGTACATGCCGCGATTAGTACTGTCACGAGCATCGTCTAACCAAGTATCTTTGCGATCGTCGTCCTCGTCGAGGCCATAGCCGAGTGTTTCCCGAATGATAGCGCCGCATGTGATTATGGCACCTTCTTGTTCGCATTTCTCTGCTTCTGCAATCCATTGCTCCCGCTTTGGCATTGCCGACTCCTTGACGAGAACTTGCGCAGCACGCTTCATAACGTTGACCTTTTCTCCTTGGCCAAGTTGCTCTTGCAATCGCGCAGCTGCTATCCAAATTTCATACGAAGTTGGACAATGCTTACGTGCCTTGTTCAACACCTTCTGCGCATTCTCCGGAGTCTCTAGTCTAGCCAAAGCCAGCCACAGATCTACCGACAATGGGATAAGTTCTGTAGCCTTAGCCAAGAGTAGCCTGGCATCATCTGACTCTTCCTCCAAATTTACCGCTTCTTTCCATAACGCCTCTGATTCGGGAATATGATCTAAAGCATGTCGTATAACTCGCTTCTTGGATCTAGAATCATCTTCCAATTTCATCGCTTCAATCCACAACCGCACTGAACGGTTGTTTTTCTGGATCGCTTGTGCAGCAATGATCTTGGCATTACGTCCCTCGTTAAGTCGGATATTCTCAAGCCAGACATCTTCGTTCTTGGGGCAATGCTCGCAGCCTCGCGCTATAAGATTTCGAGCCGCGACTATTTTACCGGCAAGTTCTTCGACACGAGCCGCAGCTACCCAACCAGGTCCATTGACAGGGTTGGTTTTCGTAACAGATTCAAGTAGTTCTCTGACTCGGTTGATATCACCTACTTGAGCCGCACTGTCTGGTAGCTGAGATTTCGCAAGACTAGTTAAATAGCCTTTAGGATCGACGCTCGTGGCACTTCCCGATGTAGCGCTTCCGTTTTGTGAGGCTTGGTCAAGCCTGACTTGAAGAACCTTGTCTCTGGCTTGTCCGATTTTGGCGAAATTTGTCATTGTTCCATCTTGGTTACTCGAACCACCCGTCGACGATGCTCCACCGTCGTCCATGACGGTACTTCCAAGCTCGCCGGCGCTTCCAGCAGCAGCCAATACGCTATCTGGGACAGCGTAGAAACGTTGCTGTCGGGCCTGTTTGCTTCGCCTATTCTTCCCCGTAAGATCACCAACCTCGGGTAACGCCGCCCATTCTTCTTCTGTGACGCTTTCTAGTCCTCTTTTCAGGTCGGCGAACTGCTGTTGGATCTTGGGGTTCTTGCGCTCGTATTCCTCTTGTTCTGCCTTTTCACGGGCTTCCCTATTCGCGTAAGACAATCGTCGGTAATCTGTTCAAACTAACTTCGGGATGAACTGTGAACTAGCTGGGGGTAAAGGGTGAATTTAAAGAGGAAGTACTAACCTTCTAGCTCTCCGCCGCTTGTCCATCTTCTCATCTATCTCTCTGTATATTCTGTCGGCCTCATCATCATCTTTATCGTAAACTCCACCGGCGAAGAGACCGACTTCGTTATCCGGATCTTGGTATCGTTCATCGTTATCATCCTCTTCATCTTTCTTGGCTGGTGCCGCATCGCTAAATCCTAGTTGCGCAGCTCGTTTCGCAAGAGCTTCCTTGATCTGATCTTCGGATGGGCCTTCTCTTGCAGGACCTAAATCTGAGCGCGTGGTGAAGCCCGTAGCTCCACGTCCTAAACCGGCGACATAGTTCTCTGGCGCCGGCTGGCTTAGGAAATCACGTCGCCCAGTCATGGTAACCGATCGCAATCGAAGTCAATCCGGAACGGCGTTTTCTACTCGAGTAGCTGTATGAGATTGTGATATGGTATAGATAGTCGTTCAATAGAGTATGTAGCGCGAAAATGGTCGCCTCGAAGCTGATTATACTCGAAGTTGAAAGCTCTAAATTTATAAATTTATTAAGGAAAGCAAGGCGCGGACTAGGCGCGATGAGTTGCAGGGGTACCAGGTACATATGTACTGTGACTGTCGCAAGGATATAGATAACGATAACAAGCCACGCTCCAGCCACAACACCAAAATTTAACAAAAAAAGTTCCCAAGTTCCCAATTGCGATCGCATTGCCCCTCCGCCCCTCTATAAAAGTCCGTTCAGCGAATTTCCTATACAAACCCGATATTCCTCGACCGACCGGCCCAATTTCGAGGTCAGGAGCAGAGATGGGTAAAGCAAAGACCGCTAAGCGCGGAAACGCAAGTTCGACTCCCTACGAACGACCAGCTAAACACGCTGCTGCCGCAGCCAACAATGTCTTCAAGTTCAGCAAGGACTTCGGCCAACACATCCTTAAGAACCCGGGTATCGCAGAAACAATAGTAAACAAGGCGAACCTAAAGCCAACAGATACCGTCCTCGAAGTCGGTCCAGGAACCGGTAACTTGACGGTGAAAATCCTCGAGCAGGCGAAGAAAGTGATCGTGAGTTCCCGCCCACATTACACTACCACAATATAAACCCGTACCCAAGACCGCCGAACTAATCGCATCCCCAAACAGGCAGTAGAAATGGACCCCCGCATGGCCGCCGAGACAACAAAGCGCGTGCAAGGGAAGCCGGAGCAGAAACGACTCGACGTGCTTCTCGGCGACGTGATCAAGACCACGCTCCCGCAATTCGACGTGTGCATCTCCAATACACCGTACCAGATCTCCTCGCCCCTCGTATTCAAGCTCCTCTCCCTCCCGAACCCCCCGCGCACCTGCGTGCTCATGTTCCAGCGCGAGTTCGCGCTGCGTCTTACGGCTCGCCCCGGCGACGCCCTGTACTGCCGGTTGTCGGTGAACGCGCAGTTCTGGGCGCGCATAACGCATGTTTTGAAAGTCGGGCGGAATAACTTCAGACCACCCCCGCAAGTTGATTCTAGTGTGGTGCGCATTGAGCCGAAGCTTGGGTCCGATCGACCGAACATTAGCTTTACGGAGTGGGATGGCATGCTCAGAGTGTGTTTTAACCGAAGGAATAAGACGCTCAGAGCTTCTTGGTTGGGGAATAAGGAGGTTCTTGCTATGGTAGAACGGAACTACCGGTTGTGGTGTGCCACAAATGATATCCTGGTCGATGATACCGTGGCGGAGGACGAGGAAGATGAGAATGACGATATGGAGATGGATGGAGATGCGCAGCCGAGCGCCGGGGACGAAGGCGAATGGGGTGGCATCATGGATGTTGATGCGGAGAACGACGATACGCCTTCGTTTTTCCAGGAGTTGAAGGCGGCTGGGAGCGAGATACCCAAGACGAAAAGCAAACGGAAGAAGACGAGAGTCGCCTTATTGGTGAAGGAGAAGGTCCGAAAGGTCCTCGAAGATGTGACCGAACTGGCCGATAAGAGAAGTGGGAAGTGTGATGAGAATGACTTCCTCCACCTTCTTGCAGCTTTCAACGCGGAGGGGATTCATTTCTCATGAGCTACTAGGCTTTTAGGTGGCATATGCATGATTTACGACCGCCAGGCGTTTGGGGGCACGGCTTATACGCATAGGGCATAAGGAGTTTGGGCGTCAACAAGCTGTAAAATCTCACTTTATGAGATGTGCATGGTGTCCTACAGGTCGGCTTGATTTCGTAAAGAAAAAAGTATTAGGCACTTGATGCGTTTAGACGTCAATCATACAGAACAATCCGTTCGACCATTTCAAATAATACTTGGATCTTGGATTAGGTTACCCGCGTCTTCCTAGAACAATGAGCTTCGTCTGCTGACTAGTTTATTTTCCACCGCCGCCAAACCAGCTTGAGATACCGCTCTTGGCTTTGGACGCCTCGGCCTCGACCTTCTTGTCGAATTCATCAATCTTCTTCCGAGTGGCGGCTCCGGTCTCTCTGGCATAGGCCTCAGCTTCCTCAGCAGCCTTTCGCAATTCGGCTTGCGTCTTGCTGATCTATTCATTGAAGATGCTTGTTAGAGTCTATGACGATAATCAGGTATAATGCGACGGAGTTACTTACGGTATTGTCAACCTTTGCGCCCGCTTGTGCGCCATACTTCTCCGCATCCTTCTTCGCCTCCTCTCCCCGACCGGGCAACTCCGATTTGAACTGGGTAGAGATTCTGTGCGCGTCGGCTTTTTATTTTACATCGTCAGCTCATATGTAACGTTTTCATGTTGACAATGAAAGATCGCAGTAGAATATTGAGGATTGATAATTAAGGAGTGATCTAACCTTCAGCTTTCTTCTGAGCGACTTTGCCGTCGCCACCCGCGCTATAGAGGTAGTAGCCAACACCACCAGCAGCGGTTAAACCGAGCGCGAGGGGTAATCTAGATTTCGACATTGTGATTTGTTTGTCGAGGACGTTGTGTATAATATGATTCAGGAACAAGTCGATACTGAATGGTTAGGAACTTGGGTATTATGAGCTTCTGTTGGGCTTCAGGATTAAGGTGACAAGTCAAAGTTATCGGACATCAAGGCAAAGACTTAATTTATTGCTAATAACTACGTACAAGTACATCGAGTACAACATACGACTCTACCTCAGTTACTCCAGGTGCTTCCCGACTCAAGTTGATGGCGATTCGCTCAGTACCTTGTAAGTGGTGGTTGCTGTTACTTGATGATTGCTCCATTGTCACAAGATACATGACGTAGGCTATATTTAATATGTTAGGTAAGGTGGGGGAGGAGAAGGTGTAACAGCCAAGAGACTTCGAAACGACTTATGATCTGTGTCTCGTATGGCAGGCGACTCAGGTTCTCTTTAAGTATCTCTCCATTGAGTCTACCCCGACCTGTAATTCGGGACCCACATAACCGGAACTCTTTAGACGGCAAGCACTTTCTAGATCACATCACGCTAGCTAGGTGCTACTATGTAATAATGTTATTGTTATTATTGTCATCGAATTACATCATCATCAACATCAACAACTACACGATTGATATCTCGAATTCCAATTTTGGGGGTTTGCGCCGCCTCTGAAGTTGGATACATACCCTTTCCCTCACGATTCTAAAGAGATATCTGCATCTTAGTTTGAGGCTCAGCTAAATTAGAGCTGAACATCAATACTTTAGTTTTGTTAGTTGTTAACTAGCTTCGGAGGCTCACAACTGGTTTGTAGCCTCCTTCGTCATCATTGATGTTAGTTTCAGGCCCATACGTCTTTAGCTTATTAGCTAAGACCTAGTTTTGGAAGCACCTGCCCGAAGCATATTGCTCTCTTCTCCATTTGACGGCGACTATGTCTTAGGATCGATTGAGCATCAACAGTCGACATCCTATTGTGCTTCATAGCTAAGACTAGTCAGCTTCATGCTATTATCAACTACGCCATAGCTTTCATTATGCTGAATTTGTCTAATTCGAACGATGCCCAAAACCAAAGCGCACCTGCGCAGCTCTCGTCGCGTTCCTTCACTGAAAGATAACGAGATTGATCATGAAATTAGTCTTGTCGACCATACCGCGTTGAACGAAGAGCCTCCAACGCCTAATTCTACTATTAATATCGACCATTCCACTTCAAATCAACCCTTGATTTCGTCCGATAGTCGATCTCCGTCAACGCAGCCTCCCGAAACTGAGGATGGTCAACCGAAACCCAATGCCGATGTGGAGGCTGGTCCTTCAGGCGAACAGGACACGTCGCAGACTTCTACGAAAGACACTGAAGAATCGGTGACAGGAAAGAAATCTGTCTCAAAAGAAAATGACACAAAAAAGAGCTACGTTAGCAACAAGCGCCGTACTCGATCGCCGAAAGACTACGAGACGGCCATTGATATACTATATGAGAACCAGCGTGGTGGATTCCTCTGTGGCATCCCTCTCTTCTCTTCCGCAGCATTGGGCAATCTGGATCCCACACCATGGACCAATTTTGCGCATAAACCTAGCCCTACAGATATCAACACCGCACAAGTCCCCGATCCGAGCTGGGAATGGGCTTGGCCTGAATGGCGCATAAATCGCGACGAGACCATCCAGACAGATAGCGACGGTTGGGAATATTCGTTTATGTTCGCCAAGGTTTTCTCATGGCACGGACCTAAGTGGTATAACTCGTTCGTGCGGAGGAGAGCATGGATTAGAAGACGAATAAAAAAGGGGATTGGCTATCAGGCGAACGACGCGCATCTAATGAACCCCGAATATTTCTCAGTCACTCCTACGAGGAGGGATGGGGAACGAACGAGCATCGATCAACTCACCGCCCGCATATCTCAAGAAACTCATAGAATGTCCCGAGATACAAGGCGAGGCGCCGAAGATGATTATGAAATTAAAGTAGAAATAACTACTGTTCATGACCTGATGACGGTTCTTAGGCGGTCGCGCATCGATCGAGAAAGGCTCGAGGCTATGGAAAATTATATCGAGCATTGCTCGGATGAGTTGCGGGAATTGGACGAGCACATGCATGAGATTATGTCCTTATTCGTATTCCAAGCGACCAGGAAATTACTCTTAGCACGGCTCATAAAATTTCATGACGAGCAGGTAGACGAACGAGATAAGGGAGGCAAAGGGAAATCACCCGCGATCCATCAGATGGCCGAAAATCTTGTTGCTGCAATCAAGCATGCTGACGAAGAGCTCCGGCGGCTGGAATATTGGAGCGACATCAAGGATATGGCCGAGAGTGGCGAGTCTAGAGGCGCTGTGGACTGCGGGAAAGGTTGGGATCGGACTTGGGAAGGATTGGACAACAGCGGTCCTAAGGGAGTTAAAGACGAGAGCGAACTTCCGAAATGAGCTCGCTTATTTGCTTATGATACACGATGTAGCGCTACACTTGGAATTCAGGAGAGGCGCAAGAGTCTTGGGATACCATTAGAATGGGGGCTGAGAAGGAAGTGGGTAGGAGATAGTGTCGCACAGCATGATATCAACCAAAATATTCTTGATACCTATCGGCCGGAGGGTTTCGACCGTTCGCGATCTCCTGCGGCTTGCTGATTATAGAGGCCTGCAGGAGTCAGCCGCAGGAAAGCCTAGCTTGTGGCACACGGTTTTTATATGAGTGGCCGGGCCGAGAACGGCGTCAATACGACGATGAACGGCCATCGGCCATTTCAAGTTACGTGGTGAGCGAGAGAAGAGCAAGGTAAAAATGGTTATCTGAGCAATCCGCCATGAACGCCTCCGCATAATATTGACGTTTTTTGGCTGTTGTGACCCAATATTGGGGCGCGTGGCGTTTAAGATTATCGATTCGAGCTGAGGATGGCGCCGGCTCGAAGTCAATATGGCTTTAGCTGACAAACCAAAGAAAGCGCACCCTCGTTATCGATTTGTTGTAGAACCTCTGCTAGAATATACCTAGGTAAGAAAAATAATATTAACTATAACGAACCAGCGAAGTTCAAAAAGCTGCTAATATGCTAGGTCCCGTATTCTGTATATACAACGGTGGCTTATAACGGCCTTACCTGCCTTAAATTATCCTTTCTGTTATCTTCTATTTGTAGGAAGCTAGATGCCAGACACGAAAGGCAATATCGAGACTCTGAATGATTCTCTCCAGAGCGGGAATGGCTATTAACCCAACAACACTAGGAGTCGGGCCACCATCAATATCTCCTCCTCGGATTTCCTTGACTAGCGATGTTCAAATCTCTACAGATAACAGCAAGGGGAAGGAAAAGACCAATCCCCGTAAACCATGGGCAGACGAACCTTGGCCACTCATCGAACCTCTATCTCGGACCCAGCGCGTATGTCATTCATAAGATCGTATCCCTTTTGCCTCGTATCCCAACGATGACCTAACTTTCATCCATAATCTCACCTATTCTCGAGCATATCACTTCATTATCACTTTATCCTTCATATCACACCATGTCCTAACAAAAACGAACAGATAACACACCCAGCACACCATATAGCCGACGAAATATGCCATACACACAATGCCATGCTGCGCGGCCTCAATGCGCTATACCTACAAGCGCCATTCGTTCGCAATCCCGTCGATATATCCGACTTCCTATTCCTAGCTCAGGTGTGGAGTGGTTGGGTGCTTGATTATCACGAGTTAAAGGAGAGCGTCATGATACCGGATTTCGAAGCGGTACTAGGGTTAGAAAGGGGTGCTTTGGGAGGAAGGGAAGATGATTCCAGCGCAAGGAATATAGACGAAGCTGTGGTGGAAGGTGGTTTCAATGATGATACGGATGGTAACAACGCAGAAGAAGCAGGAGAAGACGAAGAGACAGAAACCCAACCTCAGCTTTGGGAGCTCCCAATACTACTTCAAAACTTCCACTCCTACGCCGTCGAAACACACACTGAACCATTAACATACTCACCATCGACTCTCCGCGCGCTGCTGGCTACACTCGCCTCGGTCCTAGTCCCCCATCTACACAACCAAATCGGAACGTTCCTACAAATGGAAGAACTCTCCTCCATACCACCCACCACCTCCCCGTTCCCATCCCTCCCATCTCTACCACCATCTCCCGCGCCATCACAACCCTCAACCATAAACACAACCTCAACACCCCCCTCTATAACCCCCTCCGCGCATTCCAAATCCACCGGCTCGACAACAGCAAAAACAACAGCACCAGCCATCCCACCCGCACCCCCTTCCCGTCCCCCTCCACCTCCACCCCCACCCCCCTTCCAAACCACCCCAACAACCCCCAAACACGTCTCAACCCCCTCCCCCCACGCCACCTCGCTAACCCAAATCCACCTCTCCGCCGAATCCGCCTTCAACGCGCAAATAGACAGATACACGATCCCGCCCATGTCGATCCGACTACGCGACATCGCCCACGACGGGGGCGGGCGAAAGCTGTCGGTCCCGGCGATCCACGCCATCGCCGATAGGCTGAGCGCGAGACATGCTGGTGCGTGGAGGTTCCTGCCTTGCGATGTCTGGGGACGGAGGATGGGGTTGGGGTTTCTTGGGGAGGGGGAGGGGGAGGAAGGATAGGGGTAGGGTATGTTTTTGTGTATATACTTTGAGGGTTGATTGGGGGAAGATGATAGAACGGAGAGGACATGGGGATATGGCGACTGCGTATCCATCCAAGTCTCTATACTGGAAGTCAGAGGGTAGGCGAAGAAACCGAGGGATCGAGGGGACAGAGAGAAAGGGAAAACGCACAGTCAAGCAGTCACGAGAAAACACCATACGGAGCTGGGCACGGAGGGAGATGACATAGCTCCCAAGCACCACTACTGTCATGGATAATAGCCGTCTAACAAAGGGAGACTAAGGGGTAAAAACTATGTACTATACAAACCAGAGTCAATATCACACAATTTTACACTTACTCCACGAAAATTCACCTAAGCCAATGATTATTTAACATCGTTCTCATTACCGAATATCCATTAAATACACGTCCTACCAAACCACGCAGTACCTACAAGAGCCATCCTCTCATAACCGCACTTACGTAACAAAAGCTCACCTACCTACTCCTTCGGCTCCTCCGCAACATAATGCAGATAAGCACCAAGTAGCTTAATACCCTCGATATAATTCTTCTTATCCAACTTCTCGTTAATCGAGTGAGCGCCGTCCGTTGAGGAGCCCATAGGCAACAAGAGGACGTTCTTGCCGGTAGCTTGTTCGAAGGTGAGGGTTACGGGGATACTGTATTTACATTAGCATGACCATCTCCCAATCCCTGATCTCCAGGGTTAGTTCGTATAGAAATAGAAGCAACATACCTTCCACCCTCACGCGTGAAATCCGGCTGAACGCCCCAAACACGCTCGGTAGCTTTGCCAGCCGCTCTGAAGTTCCAGTGGTTCGGGCTAGCAACCCACCACTTACCACAGTGTTGCGCGAACACCTTCAACGAGTTCTTGCTCCCGAGCTTGGCGAACTGCTCCTTGACGTATTTGTACACCAGCTCGTTCGTTTGCTCGATCTCCATGTTGGGCACGGTGCGGATGGAGAACTTGCCGATGACTTTAGCCGGGATGACGGTCTTGGCGCCGGGGGCCGAGAAGGCGCCCTCGATGCCGTGGACGGAGAGGGAGGGGTATCGCCATCGTGCCATTAGGGTCGACTTCTTGTCCTCGAAGATCGTGGTCGTGGCGCCGAGGGACTCGTGCAGGGTTTCCATCGTGAAGGAGATGTTGTCGTAAAGGCCTTCCTCGTCCTTGGTAACAGGGGCTACTTGCTCCATGATTCCGGGGACTTGGATCTTGCCGTTAGTGTCGACGAGAGTGGCCAGCACACGCACTAGATCCGTCATGGGCTCCTGTGCCGTGCCACCGAAGACACCGCTGTGTAGGTCGGCGCCCGGGCCTGAGATCTCGATGGAATAGTAGTTCACACCTCGGAGACCGTATGTCAAGCACGGCTTCTCCGTGCCTAGCCAGTAGTTGTCACTGATGCATACTGCATCAGCATCCGCAAAGTAACCCTTGCCTTCCTTCTCAATGAGCTCGTCTAGTCCTTCAGATCCATATTCTTCCATGCCTTCGAAGCACATGAGAAGGTTGACGGGGAATTCAACGCCGGCCTTTTGGTGTGCCTCAATGGCGTTCAACCAGCCTAGGACCGGGCCCTTATCATCTGTGCTACCACGACCGAACATACGGCCGTCCTCACCAACTTTTAGGGTAAAAGGTTCGGTGCTCCAGCCGTCGCTCTTCTCGGCGGGTTGGACGTCGTAGTGTCCGTAGACCAGGATAGTACGCTTATTCTTATCACTGCCATATCGTGCAAGGATGACGGGCGGGAGCTCGAGCTCTGGCGCATCGGGTTGCTTGCCGAGGGGTCGAAACTCGACGGTGGCGCCCAGGGCCTTGAGTTCGTCGGCTAAGAAGTGGGCCATGCGAACGACGTCAGGTCGGCGGGCAGCATCCGAAGAGACTGAGGGGATGGCAACAGCCTTGGCAAGACGGTCGATGAAGTGCGACGACAGAGTGTCGACTTGGGCAAAGTACCCGTCAAGTTGAGGAGCCATCTTGCGGGATTGATGTGCTCGAATCGCCGGGGTAAGGTAGGTTCTTCTGGTATTAGAAACTGAAAGCGAGAGTGAACGAAGAGATGGTTTAAAGTGTATAAAAGGAGAGTTTCTGTGAGACGACAAAGTTGGGGTTTTAAGAAGCCTGAGCTGACTTGAATGAAGTCGCGTGAGAACGGTGCGGGGCATTTGAATGTTGGAGGGGCAAATGAAAGACGAGATATTGCGAATTTACAGAAGTTAAAGTGGTTTGTCCAACTGTACCGTACTGCATTTAGAAGGTACCTAACTGCAGCTACGGCAGCTACGGCAACGAAATATTTAGAGGACGGTTATCAATGGCTTTGACATTGGATCACCCACTTATCAGTACCGTTACAGCATGTATCCATGTACCTAGGCAGATTAGGGCAGGTACCTCTGAGAGCACATGAATACTACCAGGGAAGCGCCGACTTAGCAATAAATAATGTATATAAATAGCTAAGTACCTAACATTAAATATCGGACCTTGTGTTCCTATGTCCTATACCCCTTAATGAAGACTATGACATACCTTGATGATTAATAAGTTGTCTACTCTGTCATAAGTCTCACTATGCATTGGTGACCTAGTATTTATGAATTTCACTGAGTTGTCTCTGTTCTCTATGCTAATTTTATTTAACATGGTATCATATGAGATTTTAATGTACAGATTCCTCCTTTCTACCGCGGGAGATCCATCGACTCCCATCCCAAACCTTAGTCCTAGGCCGAGGGGGGTATTGAGATCTATTATGCCACTCATCACTATCGAGAGTATGAGCATCGGGTCCGTATCTGAAAGCATGAAGCTTGCTAGGGGGTGGCTTCATATTCGGCTCCAATGGTATATCTACCGAGAGCGACTCTTTATCAACGATCTTCCCTTCCTTTAATAATCGGTGTATCTCAACATCCATAGAAATCGCTTCCTTAAGCTTAACCCCAAGTTCGACGGACGGCCTCATCCACTGCGCGTTCTTGAAGTATTTAGGTAGTATATGTCGTGTGTAGAAGCGATTTGGATAGGTTTCTCGCATCTCTGCCAATTCACTTTTCCCAATTATCACGTCTTCCCACTCCTTGAGAAATTTGTACCGATTGCTTCGATCGTCCGTCTCCGTAAGTAGTCGAGAGAGAGTATATCGCATCTTAGAGGTCGTCTTATGCGTAAGGACAGCATATCGCCATACCACTCTAAGCATGTTGGGGTAGTGTCTCTTCCAAGCTAATCTGAATAAGAGGTGGTAAGTGATCTCGTCTGGCACTAAATTTGGCCAGCGGCTTAATATCGTATGCAACATTTCCATCTGGTTCGCAAAGCCATTTGCCCGAGACAACATTGTGTTCAGAGTAGCTGCATCGGGGAAAGTATTCCGATAATCATAGACTAAGCCCAGCAAAGTTTTACACGCGTCTAGCTGGCCGTGTCTACCAAGAATTTCTAACATCTTGTTTAGAGTAATTGTATCCAACCATCCGGGTCCATACTTTTTATTCTGATTGGTCAAAAAGGCACGGATCCAAACCGTCGCTGACGGTGTCGTTGATTCTCCCGTATATGGCTTTAATAGTACGTGTGGCCGATGTAGTGTAAATTCAAGATCAAGTGTCGCCATTTCTCTACCTATCGCGCGAAGTATCATTGGATTGTGGTCTAGATTCTTCTCCATCAATTTTTCCACGATATAACGCTTGATCGTTGGGCTTTTCATCATTACTAAGAATGCGACCCAGGCGCGGCTCTGCGGGGGATAGCCTTTCCGGACCATTAGTCTTAATATTCTGTTGAAGGTATTGAGGTCTTTGGCTTTTGATGCGCTGATGAGAAATGTAGTGTATAGTTCGGCATCCACAAGCATGCGTTGCCTCCTCACACTGTTGTAGATCAACCGAGATGCGCGACGAAAGCCACGACCAGTGGACTCGATGAAGCCGATAGCCATCTTCGTTGCAGATAGGGAGATCGCTGACCTTGTAGCTCGAGTGTGAAAGAGCTCGAGAAGTATGGAAACCACTGTTTGTTGGTGATCCGGGAAACTTGGATACAGCGCTCGTGCAAGGTGATTTGGGACTTGGCCATAAACTAATGCGGCCACATATTCTTCGAAGGATCTTTGTGTCCAGGTCTTAGGAACCTCGATGTCGTCAGCTCGTGTCTTCAGCTCGTAGGGCTTGTAAACCGAATTGGGGTTGGACAAGGATGACTTCACAGTTATCGTCCTGTCGTCGGCAACTGTCTCGCCAGCCTCCCCATTGCGCAAAAGCTGTGTTTCTGGCCTCTTTTCTACAGCATCCTTCCAAACATCTAACAAGAATTCTCTGAAGGCTGGGTCGGATACTCTAACAGCGGTGATCGCCCCTACTACTCCGAGGATATCCCGAAGAGAGTTGCGGACAGCAATTTCAGACCCGGACAAATTAAAAATAAGTCGGTTATCTTTAGATATTTGGTCTTGTTCCTCAATTTGAACGAAGCTTTCGTTTTTGCGGCAGATCTCGGAAATGTGAGTATCTGGCCCTGAAAGCACTTGACGGGCATTTTCCGAGACGTCTTTCCCTATGATAACCCGAAAATGCAACACCTCCCCATGATTGGGTGTGACCAGCAGCATGAAGGCCAGGGTCGCGCGCCAATTTCTTATAGGTTTTCCCGAAGCCTTATGCGCTACATCATATAAAACCTGCCTCGCGACGCTTCTTCTATATTGGCGCACGCTGTGACGTAACGTACGTTTGTTGCGATGTCGAAATGGCCGCACTGTTAGTGCTGGTTCCATCGGCTTGGTGCCCAACCTTGCCCTAATGAGCTTTTTGCGTGTTTCATTCCCCAAAGACGATATGGACCTATATGTCGAGGACTCGCTCGTATCGTTTCCAGTCATAGTCGGAGTCGAGTACCATCGTCGGGGACTCGATCGCTGAAATAACGATGGATTGTACTGCTCCCTGGGAATTGGGGAGAATCCTCCGATATGGACTTTGAGAATTCGAGCCCTCCATAATGATTTAATTCCCAGGGACATGGGCTATAAATGTAGCATATTCTGCAATCGCTTATACTTGGGCTCTTCGAAGAGAATTGTAACAAAAGTAAACCGCCTAGCACATAAAATAAAATTTAGATTTTACATCTTATCTCAGACTAGCTCGCAGTCCGCAGATCGGCGACGAATCGGATCCGACTATTCTTAATCCGACTCAAGCATTACATAAGCGAGTATTCCAAGTTACACACTTACAAATGTGCATACTCCTACAAATTAACGGATTAATTAAAAAAAAAAAAAAAAAGGGGGGGGGGAAAGGGTATTCATCCAATTCCATATTCACAAGTGACAAAACAACTATTAATTACTCTGTACATAGATTCACCAAGTCCATCGTTGGCATTAATGCATTTTTATCAACTTGATACTTCTGCACTCTTAAAGAGAAAGATCAAAACAATGCATGTGTAAGTTCTCATGGGGTTCATACAGCATACAGAACACTCTCCAGCTATAAAGGTTTTTTGGAAGAGCCGCCATGCAATCCGTTAAGGTCCTTCCAAATCCTTCACCACAAAAGTTACAAGCATGGGGTGGCTCCAATGGTCGTATCGCGTGTCTCAAGGTCTCTGCTATGACGATCTCCCTATTAGGGAGAATATCCCACATACCGTTCACCCTCTCTCCTTCCCCTTCCGGTAATCCCCTCGTGTGCCAAAGTAAACCAAACTCGTCGTAGCTGCGTCGTACACGACCTTAATCATTTAGAGGACGTGGTGGGGGGTAAGGTAAATCCTAACAATCAGTAGGTGAACGGGGTAGAAATGCCCAATGATACGGCTCTGAATGTATCCTGCCCAGTAAAGTTGTACGCTAATCAATCTTTAGATGCAACAGCTACTTCCGATTTCGCCTCTTTAGGTTCCTCCTTGAAAGCCTGCGAGAGTTTGTCCGATGTGGTAGATGTAGAGGCGTTGGGTGTCGATTCGCTGGTCTTTGTCTGAGATTTGTCTTCCTGCTTCTTGGGTGTTCGTGGGGGAGGTGAAGGGGCTCTAGGTGGTAGTCGGCTCAGCTCAGCATCATCCTCGCCAGACGAGCTCTTAGACACTTGGCTTGCCAAGTCCTTGTCTTCCTCGGAATTGTCAAACATCTCGGTGTCGTCCGAATCGGTAAGGACTTCAGTACCGTCACCAAGAAAGATGATACGACCCTTGTACCCACCAAGCCCGAAAGACTTCGACTTGTTCTCCATATCAACATCATATCCGCTGTCACTATCGTCGAAATTATGATGCACACCAGGTCCCCGAAATTCAGCTGAGGCTCACGGTCAGTTTTATGGATTATTAATGAGACCCCGGGCTCTAAGAAGGCATACCATATTCGGGAGGGGCACAAGGGCCGTCGCCTTTAGCCACACGACTGGCAACCTCTTCGTACCATTCCTCCTTACTTCTGCCTCTTAAGAAGCCCACAATGACCATTGTCATGTTGTCACAGCCAACTCCACCAGTCTCCGAATTAGAAGCTAGGCAGTTGTCCATCATGTTTTCGCAAATCTTGTCCAGCTCCTGCTTCGCCGCAATACCTCTACGAACGAACTCAACGACTGCTTGCGAAGATTGACAATCCCAAATGCCTAGAATATCGATTAGCTAATGCGTCTACCGGATTATATTTGTGGGGATGGGATGTAAGCGTACCGTCACATGCAATAACTAAGAACTCATCATCGTCGCTAATGTCGTGCGCAACTACGTCTGGGAACGCGGTCACAATCTGTTGCTCGGGCGCAAGCTCGGCGCTCTTCTTGAATTCGAAATCTCCGATAGCTCGGGAAAGCGCGAGATTGCCATTGACGCGGCCGAAGTCAACGAAACCACCGGCTGCAGTAATTCGCGCCTTCTCGCCTATGAAAATCGAATGTGTTAGCAATTTAAAAAAATACGAACATATTAATCGATTTTTACTCACCTTCGTTCTGTGGTTTGTGGTCAAAGGAAAGCGGTTTAGCTCTGCCTTTTACTCCTAAGACACTTCGAGAATCGCCAGCATTTGCCTAGATATTCGAGTTAGTGATAAATTCTAGTCGATGAGGTGCTGAGGTACAAACAATAAAGATCTTCTCGCTAGTAATCAGACCACAGCATGCAGTACAACCAGATACTTCTTCCTCGTATTGGGGATCTAAACAAAGGTTAGACTCCACATATAATGTTGTGTTTTCCGTGAAGTATCCATACCGCTCAATATTGCTCGATCAGTCGCGAGGAAGGTGTCCTTTAAGGACTGTTCGTAATTGCCAGCCTTGAATGTGTCTTGCTTCTTGAGAATATCATATATATGCTTGCCTGCAAACTGGGCAACCTTATCTCCACCGTGTCCATCAAAGACGCCGAAGAAAGATAATCGCGAAGGATGGACCCTCTTCTCGTCGTCAGACTTGGGAGTCAGGAGGTCGAGGACGGTGCAGTGAGCATCCTCCATGCTAATACGCCACCCTTGCATAGCCGACACGCCGTACAACAGTCGGTCATCTTCGCCCTTGTCGGAAGCCTAATAAAGAAATCACCGGTCAGTAAGAGTATTCCTGATATGCGAGGGATGCACGGCCGCGTCGTCGCACGCAGAAATATAAGAAATGGGATATTGCGATGTTGTCAGGCGAGGCCGCCAGACAAGGCGCGGAGTCACGGGTCAGCGAGTAGGGATCGTGGGGGGGAGAGGAGATGGGTACGGCGCAATTGAATAAAAGCAAATAGTAAAATACTATCATACCTTGTCCACGACAGGCTCGGAAAGGGTTTGACCCATGGCTAAGAGAGTTTAATATTATGGCAGCGCGTAGGGTATACAAATTGGTCGGATGGTCATGTACTGAAGGAGTACTGAAGGAGGGGCAATATCGTGGGTTGCTTTGCTGATCGTCAAAATTTTCAATGGCCTTGAGAAAGAAAATGGGTATGTATGTGGATATAGACGAATACGGTAGGAGCCGCGGGTGGTTTCTTTTTGGGGGGGAATGATGTAGTAGTGGTTGTGTGGGAGAGAGAGAAAAGGCAGTTCGGCGTCGCGCGAAAAGAATGTGTTGAATCAAGTTTGGTGCTAGAGAGTCAAGAGATAATGGTGGGATGGGTTGTGGTATGGTAGGCAGTGTAAAAGTCTAGGTGGTAGTAGGGTCAAGTTAGGTAGAACAAGGTGGACAGGGTAGACAAGGCAAAGGCCAGAGGTACTAAGGCGGGGTTTGCGTATGCTCAAGGTTCTCTCAGAACATTGAAGAAGGGCAGAAAAAAAACCGTCCGACTCTAAAGAATATAGACAGGCAGCTGGCACCCACTGGTAACTTATCAAACGCTAGTAGGTAGCTTTTACTATTTTAGGCAGTCATGTTGTATACCTGAGGTACATAATTGTATGTAGTTTGCAGCGTACATGCCAGGTATCGATACCTAATCTATACATCCCGCACCTAGGATACATTTAGACATTACAAACATCTAGGCCTTCAACTTTCAAACTGATCACTCAAGATGTCCTAGGAACATTGAAATTTCTCACCGAGGTACTTAGGTAATTATGTACACATGTCTATCGTGTAGGATTTGGGCAATTTTGCGTGTTCACCTGGGCAATCTGCGACAGCCCAGAACCAAATAGAACCTTGGGACTATTTGAAAAAAGCCACTGATGTCGTAAGAATACAACATGCGTCACGACATATCGGGCATTTGCATGCCAGTCAGTACTGAATCCATATCCTTTGAGCTGGAATGAATGTCCCTTAGGGACTCAATGAAAGAAGATTTTTCTTTATAAGGTCACGATTCATAAGAGGACAAAAGAAGCTAGGTATTAAAACTCAAATATAATCCATACGTATCCTTAAATAGGTACATCTAGATTCTGGACAATGAGGGTGCAACATGTACCCAGGTAGTATATTGTATCCGCTCGGCTATTCATCGGGTACACGAATACCAACGTAGAATTTAGGTGACCCTATGACCTCAAAATCCGGAGTTATGAAACGGAGACGAAGGAGTTTTCTAGGTACCTATTTAGTAGTGTCGCGTGTGCTTTTCCAAAGGCTTTAAAAAAGGGTGCTAAACCAATTGGTCGATGTTTCACAGCAGAAGGAAAGAGCCCTTGGAGCGATAACCTCCGCCCAGAACCGGGGAAAGTGGGATCTCAAGGTACAAATATGATGGATAAGGCAGGGAGGCACAACCTTGAATGCAAAATGATCAAATTGATAAGAGCGCTGAAAAGTGGTTCATAGAACCTGCCTTTTCAAATATTAATGAAACACATTAAAACTAAATCGAGGCAGTTTCTCGAAAAGTATCTTCAAATTTTCATTTTCTTATTTCTCAACATTCAAGGTTAGAATGAAAAGCGCCTCGATGGACGCCATCTATGAATGTCACTGAGCTCCCGGGATAGCATGCATCTCATACCGCAAGGAGATAAGCTTCCTATGCAGGGGAGAGGCATTGCCGCCTCGCCTCACCCTCAACTCTCGACAAGAAATACGCATCGAGTATTGATCATCACATTACCAGATCACAATCATATAAGCTCGCAAGTGTCGATACACAAGCATATTTCAGTGCTCTAAACAATGCAATATGACGATAATGGCTGAATCGCCGTCGGGCAAAGCCATTGATGCCAGATGGGGATACTTATCTCCATATCACAATCCACGTGTGCCACCAACATGGCTATAAACACCACAATATAGCTGCAATTACTCCTCTTTCGGATTTCCCGGAGCGGCGATGTGAATGCATGCAACCTTGACCCCCAACCCCGGCCTCGGTTTCGGTCTGTTCCGGGCATCCCGGATCCACGAGCGTTTCTTGAAGTGACATCAAGGAGATACACTTATGCCGAAGAGGTGACACTTTGCCGTATTCTATCCATCCGGCTCCGTCTCTGATACCAACACACACCTAAATGAAGACCCAGGGGTTTTCCAATTACACGTTGTTTCTGACTGGATCATCGATGACCCTTAATCAACTACGCGGCTTACTAAAAATATCACAGATCTTCGCACCGAATTAATCAAACTACCAACTTCATAATCAACGAGATTCTCATTGCTTACGACGTATGCCCAACAGCAGACTAATAACATTACTAAGTATCTAGGTATCATATTTCCCCTCTCTCACATCACACAACAGACATCATTAGATATAAACCGTAAAGCTCCCCTCGCTATCGTCCTCCCACCCATCAATAGTCGTCGGCGGGCGTATATCCTCCCACGCGTCCTCGTCATCCTCATCGGCCCAGACGCTGCGCAAGCTTTTCGCGCTCTTGAGGCTCCTCGTCGATTTCCAGTTCTTGGAAGGCACGTTCTCAATGCCGAAGCTTGGCCCGTCTCCCCCTGTAGGGCCGTAGTATGCGTTATTGGTCCGATCTGCTAGCGGCGCTCTGCTGCGCACGGGCGTCTCGGGTAAGGGCCGGTTCGGCGCATCCCATCCGTGATCCGGTGACGGCGTCTGCGTTGCTAGACGAAATCCGCCAGGCGTCTTTTGCCTGTGGCTGCGGGTGTTGAAGAAAAGCTCGTCCCGCGATGAGTACGATTTATCAGACCTCGATGTAAGCGACGGCGTACTCTGCAGCGTAGAGTTCGGCGATGGGCGGCTCATCTCCATTCTACCTTTCCCTTCGCCCTTAGACATCGCCAGTGCCGTCGTAGGCGGTAATCTCGGCAGTTCGCTAGATGTGTTGAAAGGCGAGGTACGCGCTATTCCCACCATGTTGACGTTGACGGTCGTGCTTGGCTGGATCCATTGGCCCGGGGATAACAAATCCTGAGCTCTATTATGTATTATCCAGTTCTCGTGTTGAGCTGGATCTATGGGAGATTCTTGACGTGGGATGACCTTCTCCGGCTCGGTAATAAGGTCTTTATATGCGATGCCCAAGGAGTTCCTGGCAATCCGATCCCACGACGAATCGCTATTGCGAGGGTTTGCGAAATCTTCTAGGTTTGGCGGAAGCTCTGGGCTCGCCTGTATTACTGTTTCGGGTGAATGATTCACTAAGCCGAAGTTTCGCGGTGATTGTATGAGTGACCGACCGCCGAAGAGTGGCGAAGATTCGCTTACCCTCCTGCTCACCTGTCGCACTTCTCCCGGCCTGCTGGGTATATGTATTATAGTCGGTTTTGCGACCAAGTTCATGCTCGTTGTGGCCTCTTCCTCTTCGGCTCCATTGGTTAGTCCAGATGTCAGGATACTCGTGTAAGTTGTCTGGTCCGTGGAGCTGCTGTGCATACTATTCCGCACCTGCTCCTCCGGAAGCTGGACCTTGCTCTCTCTCTTCCATAAATTAGATATCCTTTTACCGACATCACGAAGTGTCAATCCCGTATCTTCCTGCTGTGCCGGCTTTGGCTGTGTAGCATAGCCGATTGGTGGCGGGACCGCGTCGTCTGAACTGGAATCATGTCTGCCGCCTGCGATATATGCGATCTCCGGCGTGTTTTGTATACTAAACGGCTCCGGATTCGTTGGGACTGAGAGATTACGTGTTGGATCTTGGCGAGGCCCCCGAGGGATGGTATACGACTGTGCTTGCACGATATATGCATCCCCTTCTCCGAGACTAGTATCCGATAATAGACTGATCTCGTCCGTCGCCCCTATCATCAGTGGCGGAGAAGGCTGACTACGTCCCCCGGACACAGAGCTACTCCCCTCTAGAATGACGCTATGCTCGGGCGATTTTGCCCTGGAATACATTGCCATCATAGCATGTGGCAGTATGTTTCCTGTTAAACTTGAACTCGTTTCCGTCCGCGAGGCACGTTGGTTCGTGGCACCCGCCGAGTTTCGGATATTCTGCGCCGATAAAGTCGCTTTAGAAAGGCGCGGTGGTACTACATTCACCATTGTCCTGTCGGTTTGACCGGAGCCGGAGCCCTTGTCATAGCTTCCGGGGCGGTTGGCCATAAAGCTCCCCGGTAAGGGTCCGGACACCTCAAGTCTCCTTGGCTGGTGGCGTCGCCTTCGGATGTGGAAAAGAAGGACTATGATCCCAGCAAATGCTAAGAATATCGGTATTACAAGTAACCATAGTAAGTTCTTGTTCGACTCTTCCTGGCCGTCATCTTCCGGTTCATTGCTCGGTTTAGGTGAGCTTTCGTGAGAGGAGGGAGTCGGTGAGTCGATGTGTATGTTCATGGTTTTAGTTTCAGTGTCATTCGTATGTTTTGATGCAGCATTGAAAATTACATGCGGCATTGACACGGATTTCGCTGATTTGGGCTCAGGTACCGATCCAGAGAGGATGAAGGACGATGTGTTAAATTCTGCCCAATGCGAATCCTTATCGTTCTTCATCGTAACCCGGATATCAGAAGGGTTCGAGAGATACTTCCTCAGATCGAATTTGAAGTCATCGCCCGATTTGAGGTCGAGATCTGGCAAGTCAGAGAGGAACAGGCTAAAATGAACCGAAATTGTGAGGTTCAATGTGTCGGTGTATTTGTCTGTGACGGATATGGTGATGTTAGACGATTCGGCGGTATCGTCGGGTTTACCCTTCAACACCCATGTCTTATCATCGAAGGACATCCAGGGTGGTAAGTCGACTGCAGAAATACTGTCGACATCTTCTGGCTTTAGGGGGTTGTTGTCAAGCTTTAAAGCGTTCTGCAGACCCTTAAATTCGAAGGTCTTCCCTTGTGTTGCATTGAGCTTGACTATTGGTGGATCGGCAATTAATTCGTGATTTCCTACCACGATCGAGAAAGGCGCCGAGATAGATGCGAACCCCACGACATCTGACGCAACTAGTTGGAAAGTAAATGTTTGCGGGGGTTGGACTAAAGATTCGAAAGGAGGCGTCTTGCCGGAAAATGTGAGGTCGTCGGTATTAAAAGTTATCCAAGAAGGGAGAGGTACGTTGTCGCCAGATACGGCATAATAGTTAAGCCCACCGTCTCCGACATCTGTGCGGAACGTTTGCTTGTCGAAGCTGAAAGAAAATTCTGTAGATGGATGGAAGTGTATGGATGAAGGTGCTATATACGTCCCAAGTTTTGGGAGCTGTTCTGAGAGAGGTATAGAGATTTTCGGCGTCTTATTTCTGGATACAACTAAAGTCGGGGTCGCTGTTGTCGAGCCCGTCTCGTCTTCCGCAACTAGTTGGATTGGGACTCCGACGACCTCTCCAGGCGGGACGTCTTCATCACTCGGCGTTCCAAAGAGTCGTCGCGAGTCGCTATCGATGGAAAGCCATTTCGGCGCGTTTTCGAGGCGGTACGTGATATCTGAGGGAGAGGAGAATGTTATCGGGGAGAAGATGAACTCGAAAGCTTCTGAGATTCGGGCTACAGGCGGTAGTTGAGAGTTGATTGGGAAGTTATCGATCGGGGCGGCGCGCGCGAGAGTTGCTAAAACTGCAGCTGCAGCCGCACCAAATGCGAAGCCGTTCTTACACCCCACTGCCATCGTGATGTATAACAGCCGGCGAAACCGTTAACATGTGGGAGAATCCGACTACGCCGTCGAAAGCAGAGTCGTTGCAAGATCGGATGGCGATAATGCCAGTTCGAACCGAATGCGAGGTTGTGATCGCGGTTCTCGTAACTAGGGATCGTACTTTCGTGTGCTGAACAAGAGAAGATGCAAAGAGAGCGAAAATCGGCTCAACGCCGACAGTATACCAACAAGCCATTCTTCAGCAATCACGTCGGCCTCCCTTGTTCCTGGCTTTGCCTCATCCCGCCCTGCGTTGGAAGGCCATCGTCGAGCCCGCGAGGCGCGCGGATTCGATAATGACGAAAGGGGGGTTGGAGGGGTCTCATCGCGCAGAGCAGTTTCTACACCACTTTGACAGGCAATTAGCGCGTCGTTGCGTATAATCGCGTAGGGCTGGTGGAATTCTAATGTCTTAGCCACGCGCCGACATCGATCACCTTAGGTGGGAGGACGATCGCATTCCGTACCTGGGTAGGCGTGTCTTACTCCAAGGGAGACACACTAGAAATTTGAAGCACTTTAATAAAGAAAGCCAGTCCTTCGACAAGATATCGTGGCATGGCTATTCAATATTTATCTCGTGAGCCACGAGAAGAGACGTGTCAGAGCAGGCTATTTGGGACTTGATACACTAGCACTACGGGATTCTCGAGAAAGCGGTCGTTTCACTCTAAGTTGAAGTATTTTTGGTTGGCCATTTACGACCATTGAGTTTCAGTCTCGGCGGAAGCTGGAGATGCGAGAAGATAGTCTGATGGGTTGGTTGTATGATGTAATGGAAAAGACATTGTGAAGCATGAGGTGAGTGATCTATTCGATCGGAAAATGATAGAGCATCGTGGTTTCATCCCCAACCACGTTTTTGGTGATTATAGATTGATATAGTTAAGATAACCATTTCTTGGAATAGTATGACATTTATATTCGACTTTCACATTCAAATGAGAGGCTTGATTGAATCGTGCTTTTCTAGAGTAAGCTTGTGTGACGTCCGATAAGCCCATTTCATTCTGGATGTGATCGGAGTGCTAATAGTTTCGACCGGAGTTTCTGAAATAAGTTCGGATTATTATTTCCTATCAGCTATACAACAAATCCATGACATCTCTTTACCGTTTAGATTCTTAACACAAGAAATTGAAACTATTCAGATGTTGTTTCATCCATCCCAGTTCACCTTAGGTGAGGAGTACCGGACATGGATGGGAAGAAAACCAGGCCCCTGATTGGCAGATCTTAATGGCTCCTCCAATTATAGAAAGCTTAGCTGGGACTTCACAGCATCATAAACGAGAATATTGTAGAAATCATATAACTGGCAATAGTTAGCTACATGCCTCCGAAGCCTCGTAACTCGATTCTAATGGAGCACATTTGCTGGTTGGCTGGTGGATCACCGATCGAAGAATTCCAACCAAATGTCTCGCAACGGAGTGAGACATTTATTTACCAGCACCAGCACCAGAAGCACCAGCCATTCTCGATAACCTCAGCCACAAGCTCTAACCCGTCCCAGCCATACCAACACAAAAGTTTCAAAGTGAAATCCTTCAAATTTCCGTACCCTAACCTAATTGAATTACGCGAGCGGCGGGTACCCATATGACAAGATAGCAAGATAGCGAAAATAAGCGGGCGTCGACGTTCTGGACCCCGATAGACTTTTGACTTTCAACGGGAGCTGGACCCAGTTCAGGATGCAGCAAACTCTGTTTTCCGGGGCCGGAGCCCGACTTCAAACAGTTTAGGCTCTGTCTCTTGCACCTACCCTCCTAGTAGTTTTCCCGCTTCCGAGATCCGCTCCGTCATAATCATCATCATGGCAAAGAACAACTACACCTCTAGGTAGCCAAGTACCTAGCCTATCCACGCACCAACCAACCTAGTCCTAAGCAACAGCCGAAAGAAAGAAGAAAGAAGAAAAATGCTACCACCCCAACCACCCCCGGCCCCGGACTCCCCGGACTTCAGCCCCCTAGCCATCGGCGAGGACCTGTCGCCGCTGCCGGCGTACAAGGCCGCGGGCACGGCGGAGATCGGCTTCGACGGGCTTCTGGCGGAGCCGCTGCGGCTGCGCGAGGACCTGGCGTCCGGGTGCGGGGGCCAGACTTGGCCCGCCGGGATGGTGCTGGGACGGCATATGCTGCGGTACCATCGGGAGGACTTGCGGGAGGCGAGGATGTGAGTAGTCTTTATCCCTGATATCCTTTCTATTTCTATGTGCTGTAATACTGAGTTGTGTATTGTATGCTGTATGCCGTACTTATTATATATGGCGTGATATAACGAGATGAGACATGAGCGAGTTACATACATATTTAGGTAGTCGGTTAGTCGCTAACAACCCTCGTCCACGATATAGATTAGAACTAGGGGCCGGAGGCGGCTTGGTAGGCTTGGCGGTGGCCCGGGGTTGCGCGGTCGGGACGACCCCTCTGTTCGTCACGGATCAGCTGGAGATGCATTCGCTGATGGAACACAACATCGCCCTGAACAACCTCGAGGGGAAAGTGCAAGCCGCGATTTTGAACTGGTTAGTGTTCCCCCCCTCGCGTTTTACTTCCCCACGGGGTCTCGCGCGCCACAGCGTCGTCGATCCCCGCGCCTACGTGCAGCTATTTGGGTAGCCAAGCACACCTAGTCAACCCTATACTAACACACGCCATTCCCACATCTCAGGGGCGAGCCGCTTCCCGCAGCCGTGGTAGCCCTGAAGCCGAACGTGGTCCTCGCGGCCGACTGCGTGTACTTCGAGCCCGCCTTCCCGCTCCTGCTAGCCACGCTATCGGACCTGCTTACGCTGTGTCCGGAAGCCACCATCTACTTCTGCTTCAAGAAGCGGAGACGCGCCGATATGCAGTTCCTCAAGAAGGCGCAGAAGATGTTCAAGGTGACTGAAGTTGTGGACGACGAGCGCCCGGTCTTTTGTCGGGAGGGGCTGTTTCTGTATACCTTTCAGGCTTCTACGTAGGGGGCTGTTCTGCTACCCCTCCTCTCTTTCCTCACGTGTTGCTAGAAATCATAGAGGTTACTACCAAGGCGTCTGTGTGTCTAATGGAAACAGCATGACGTCGGTTACTGCAGGTGTAAGGCCAGGGCCAAGGCAAGTCATAAAGACGGGAAGGCGCAGGTTAGAACCATCATACACGCATCATGCATAGAGACGTAGACGTTTTACTTTTATAGAAGTAGATAACCAATGGCTATCGCCGAAGTCGAGCTTACCTTGAGAAAACAATTTCTACTGGGACGAGTTCGGGCGATTCGGGTACCACTGCTTTTCATGTGTGATCCCGTAGGCGTGTATCTCGATGATTTAGGTTGACGGTTCGCTGCCTGGCGCTGGCTTTGTACTACCGTCTACTGGGTAAAAGCAAAGCAAAATAAAGCAAAATAGAATTAATCCCAACATGATGCTGGGGTATTGAGGTAATGCAATAGTGTCATTTCTCTCCTGTTCATGCAGAGCACAGACTTTCTCTCAAAGTACCTGCTGGTACTAAATCTGTTAGAGCTGAGCTTCAATCGCCTTAGGGCGTCATTGGAAGATATTCGCCCCTACAAAGAAACTGTTAGGAGCTTCGCCAAGAGGCTTGCTAAATTTATCCAGCTGCTTCTGTAGGTTAGGCATCCATTAGGATATTAACGACGTGAACGTGTTCATCGACGAGAAATGCGAGGTCACCAGCTTGATCGACTGGGAAATATCCACCCCGTTGTCTTTCGGGGCTGGCTTCGGCCACATCTACGCCGGAGGTGAGTTCTAGATCCCGGATGAATTCGAGATTATGAGAAGGTCATCGTTGCCCAGGTTATCTTGAAGACACTCTCAAAATTTATAACCCTTTCATCCTAAGGGCAAGAGCAGCCGTGTAGAGAATAATATGAAGCTAGGATAAAATGTAAAGAGAACGGAGAAGTAGCTGAGATTAACATTACGAAATTTCAAGCTACTGTATCAGCTTTCTGCGTTAACACATAGTGGCAGCGCCGCGTCGCCCTATGTCGTGGAAATTGAATTAGGGGCGGAAAAGCGGTGACTAAGATATTAGCCTATCTTGACACCTCTAGCTTCTCCATTGTCTATGGTCGAATTGCAGTTCGGGTCAATATTTCTAGTTTCTGAAACGACCAGCAAGAGCTATGAATCCAGTCTATTCATTCCCGCGTCTACGAACGTCTAGGTCAAAAGTTTAGCATATTCGCCTAGTGACCAAAACCGTTTGATTAGGAATCTATTCACACCGTGTAGTGTATTTTTCTAATGGCTGAGCTTTTTGACTTGGACCTTAGTATGCAAGTGCAAGATAAATACTATATGTTAGATTTACATCATAGTGTTGGAAGAGATCGGCGGAGAGGGGACACATCACGAAAATAAAAGGTCGGCTGATAATTTGAGACATAAATGGCGTTGAGTAGCGAGTGAGAGTTGGCACCTTCGACGCCATACTCCGGCTTCACCCGGAGGCTGGTACCATAACTTAAATTTCGTACCATCTTAACATTCTCGTTGGCGAGATATGTTTCCAGAGATTCGAAAAGCAACGACGATCTGAATTCGAGACGACCCGGTTGGTGATGATCTGTATGTGATGAGGTGAAACTATCAAGAGGTCGTACCTGGGTAAGCAAGTACCTAGATAAAAATTTTAAACAAGACCAGCTGGCATGTCACACAAAGCTGCGAAAGCCACGCTTTTAAACAGAACGCCTCACTCGCTTACTATTACCTTACTTCAGAGACCGAATGTAAACTCGGCCGTCCTATGACGACAGAGTACAGATGGCCGACATGATGCAGATGACCGAAGACTGCTCCTAACAAGGCTGCAATCGCAGTAAGGGAGGTGAAGCCCGACACTCGGGTTGCTGCAGCGTGGAGAAATTGGCGACTACCTTAGGTACCCAAAGATGTACTTCATAACCAAGGTAGAAGTGGTGGAACGGCTACAATGTCCTGCAGCGATCCGGATAATAGGACCTTTAAACCGACATTCGAATCTTAAGACTCTTACAGTCTTAGTAATATTAAAGAACCTGCAGAATACCTAGTAGACAAGTCCGGATTCCGTAGATCTCGTTTAGCGGCGCCCACACACTTCCCACAATTCCATTAACTGGGAAAATATCTCGATTGTGAAGGACAAACTAGCATCGGACCGAGTGATATCGCGGGAACAATATCAGATGCTTTTTAGAGATTTAATGCATAGTAAGTGTCGCTCCACTCACCCGACGAATTAATGGACGAATTCGTGAGTTCTCGTTAGGTAATAAATACCTCGCGATGCGGGGATTGGATAGCGAGAGAGGCTGGCTGGAAGTCGCTAGAATTGCTCGAAGCGATCTCACTAAGTGCCACAAAAAAGTAGTTCGAACGCTTCAGCCCTTCCACGCAAAGCAACGTGGTCGGACGTGGAGACCTCGTACATACGGCGTAGTCAGGATAGGATATTGCTGGCACATGCGGTAAGTTTGTAAGAAGATCAAATAGTCGGAATGGTTAAAGCAAAGGAAAGATAGCAGAAAATGGTAAAAACGATCGTCGCAAGTTGGTCCTGTGCGGTCCTGTGGTGCCTGCTTCTAATTGAGTGATTAACTTTTAAAGTTACTGGAGTCCCCCTTTTCAGGGACAGCCCGGTCACCTCATTGGCTCTCTCGCTGACGGCATCCAGGGCATCAGCGGTACCTTGCATTAATGTTAAGGTATCATTCAGGTACGTCCAGGGTACGCCCTAGCACAAGCCCTAGCTGGCCCGCTAATGACCAACATCAGCCACGTTGGACTCCTCTTTTTTCTGTCCGGGTATTTGACGTTGCTCATTGGTCAGAACGTTCCAAAAACGAGAAGGCACAAGGAAAACACATCTGGGAACTTCCAGCTGCGGAATGTTTCAACTAACTCCGACCAATTAGATGAGATTGTCAAAATTCATCAGGTACGGCTAGTGTACATCAGGCAGGGAGCTGGCAGGGAGTGGACAGTGAGCAGACAGGGAACTTACCATGTTCTTTCCTTACTCCATCTCTTGTCTTTCCGCCCCCTGTCTGTTCCTGGCCTGCTGGGCTGCTGTTTCCTTGCGCTTTTGCGCTTCTGCGGCCTCCACGAGAAGATTTTTGTTTCCCCTGCAAAATAAATAAACTCCCCTTGCATTCCTTCCGTTTTGTTAACTTCCACTTTTACTCCCTAACCTTTTGTGCATTTCCAACGTCTATAGATCTTGTCCATTCTTTTCAAGAGCAGTGCTCACTGTATACATTCATTATCCGTACAGCTGCTCCATCACATTCATTCTCTGAATCAGAGATCTGGAATTGTCACTGCTAGGTATCGGTCCTTACGGAAGTAAAAGAATCGAAGAACAACAACATCGAAGTTCTTTGTTACGCCTCCTTAACAACGCTTTTGAAGATTTCCCCCTTGGCTGGATCCTTGATTCGCTCGCATATCGCAAATCGTACAATCTTGATTTAGTCTTTTCAAGCTCATAACAAAAACATCAGTCAACATGAAGTCCGTTGCTATTGCCGCTGCCCTATTGGCCTCGACCGCCGTTGCTCAGCCCCATGGTCACCACCGTCACCACCACGCCAAGCGAGATCTTGTTACCGAGTGGGAAACCGTCTGGGAGACCGCTACCGTCATCATTGATGACGAGACCACACAAACCCTTGCTCCTGCTAGCAGTGGTACTCCCGCCCAGTTCTTCCAGCCTGACACTGGATCCAGCTACAGCACTAGCAGCGCAGCTCCAGTAGTGGAGTCTCCCACAACTCAGGCCCAGCCCTCAACGCCAACCACTGTTGTTAGCATCGCAAAAGCTACCACCTACTCAACCTCAACTCAGGCTCCTACAAGCACTTACGTGGCACCCACTCAACCGACCACTACGGCGGCGCCTGTCACTCCCTCAACCAGCAGCACTTACTCTGCCGTGGCACCGACGTCCAGCGCCAGCTCTGGTGGCAGCACTGGCAGTGATGGAATCCCGTACAACGAGAAGTTCTCTGGTGATATCACCTACTACAATGCGGCGCTAGGCGCCTGTGGCTACGAAGATACCGGCAAGGACGACAGCACGAACATTGTCGCTATTCCCAAGGCTTTCTGGGACGCTATTAGCACTGCTACTAGCTATGGTATCAACCAACCTGCGCATCCTCTTTGCGACAAGACCATCACCATCACTACATCCGACGGCAAGACCACCACCGCCACCATCCGTGACCGCTGCGATGGCTGCTCTGGCCATGCCATCGACGTCACTCCCCACACCTTCGAAGACCTATTCGGTTCTTTGGACGGCGGTCGCCTAGAGGCCTCATGGGTCATCAACGAGTAAACGAATTCGTCTATTTACCTTGTATCCTGCCATTTACCGGTCCCTTGTTTCTCGCGCCTGGGAAAAATCCTCGGCGTCAAAATCTGTTTTCCTATATCTTTGAGAGATCTCGGCGTGATAAAATTTACCCACCGGATATATGGGATCCCACTATCTGACGACTGAAAACGGGCATCGTTTGTTCTAAAACCTGGCCTTGATGACACATTTGTTCTCGCGATACAATTTTTTGAATTACGTACGTACGTGCCTTTAGCATCGGATATGCTAGGGCTGCTCGGCAAGATACCACAGGGGAATACGAAAAGATGGGGTGGTTATAACGGCTTATCATAGCCTTGTTCGGATCGGTTGGCTACGCAGGTCCAATCTGAAGGGCGAACGAATATGGGGGTGGGATATAGACTTCGATTCTTTTGCATATATTAAATTACTGGGTAGAAAGGATTAGGAATGGGAACGGTTTCGGCCGGTTTAACTTTACTTGCTCTCTTTTGTGTTTTGTGATTCGTGCTATGTGTGTTGCGGTGATTTGAGTGACTTGTATATATCTTCGTATCGTAATGTAGTTGTATTATATTCTAGCTAGTAGCGTGGGTAATACGGCGCTCTAATACTTGCTATGTCCCCTTGTGAAACGGTAGGCAAACTTTCATTCCCAGCTTATACTCATCCTAACCAATCGTCACCCATATAAGTAGTACTTTTCTCGATCTCCACGTCGTCGGGGATATCCCCCTGGACATGTTCGATGCCTGAATACGTACATAAGTAATAGCGGGCAGGTAAATAGACTCTAACCCCTTAAGTCGTGAGTTCAATAGATCAAATTATTCTACTCATAAAAGGCGAATGAATGTGAGTCGAATAAAACATCAATGTAAGATACACCAGCAAAAAGAGGAAGAGTCTCCTCCTCAAGGCCCAGCTCAGGTATTGTTGATCGGCTCCTGACTACTGCGCCCCCGCTATTGGGTATTTCTTTGCCACTCCATTTCAGGCCCCTGAGATTGCTTGGATCGATTGTCTGTTTGGATAATATTTTTCTATTTTTTTTTATAGATCTTTTCCTAATTTTTTTCTAGATTGTTCTAATTTAATTTTTTTGCAATCGTCGGGAATCGAACCCTGGACCGACCCCATTTCAGGGGGGTCTTTAAAGCGGGTAAGATGTGGTGTCTGAGGCACATAACCAACTGGACCATTGCTAGCAAGGCTGTTGATCTAATGCCGCCGATAGAATACGTGACTTTACTATGCTATTTATCCTTCACTCTGCAGACTGTGGATTGCTGCCTAGTGGATTGGCCACTTCGTGTACAGTACTTACACCGTTTTGCCGAGCCATAGTATGAATATCTACTATAGAGGGAGTGGTGAAGGGAGCATCTCTTAGGAGCATACAATTTCAATACTATTTCACTGTCAGATAACAAGAAGGCACACAGAATTCCACCCCACGATTTCGATGGCTGGTAACAAATACACCCCCGATTCATCTCTACTGGACCACGGATTTCTCTCGAAAGCCATGATAGAGAACCTCTTCAAAAAGCCACTTTCCTACCCAAACGCATATTTCTACTTCGACACCCAGGAACACCTCGCCTCTAATTTGATCGACGCTTTCACTATGTCAAATGGAAGGGAACACCAGATTAATCCTATTATCCGTGGACGTTCCACAAGATGCGAGAGGCTTCAACTCTTTCTCTTGAAGTTGCCCCAGTGATCCTGCGCACGGTAGGGTTGACTACGGTCGGCAAAGTATTCGCACACCTGCAACTCGCCTGTGTTGTGCACATGGCGGACAGCGATGCGGAAGTCGGAAGTTTTCATAGATTTCCTCAATCCTGGCTGGAATTTGCGGAGATCATCTGTATACATTTTAGGTAGGGTTAGATGAGTTAATTTACATATAGGAACGCCGGAATATGGGAAGGGCATGAAGTTAGGGGTTTTGCGTAATAAAGAAGACGAATAAAAACAGGGGGTGGGATTTTCGGAAATAATTAAGTTCAGTCGTACTGACCTTCTCCAACACGCGTGTCGACCTTTCTCTTCCTCTGCGGATGAGAGAGCTGTTTTCGAGTCTCGATCTGATCTTTATAGTATTTATAAGCACTTTGACCACTCTATACTGAAAAGAATATCGTTTTGAAGGACTCACCGGCGAAACTCGTCTTCGTAAACTCGTCGTTGGAAAAGACTAGGGTTCGTTGGCATCAGACGGAACTTAATCTAGAATATATCTGACTATATACATACCTTCGTGAATACTGGGTAACTCGGTTTGGCCATCATTAGATTCATGGCTAGCTCTTACTGCATGGGCTAGCTCAGGGTCAGGCAAACGTGTTGGCGGATGTCCATCTCTACTGCTGGTTTCTATCTCTTCCATGAAAATCGCCAGAGGTTTTGCAGAATTTTGATATCCTTTGTGTAGAGGCATCCTTTTTGCTATTTTGCTCAGGGGCACATGCTTAATAGGTAAGAGTGGTGGGTGGTTATCGTTCTGCTCTCGTGAAGACTTCCTCTCCTCCAGTGTCACAACATCTGGGCGTAAGATAACGCGGAAACGTTCGGTATCACCGGCGCCCTTGCCTCGCCTCGTTAAATGTTTAAGAGGGACATAATAGTATGGATTGATAAGATGCTGGGTTTTGCTGTGATAGTGGGTTCGCGGATCCGGAAGTTGATGACGAGCCGGTCGAACGGCCCACGGGGGAAACTCGGGACTTTTGAGCTGCTTTTCACCTTCGGGCTTCCTGTGCTGACCCGCTAGTATCTGGCTCTGCAGCGCAGTAACATCTTCTAGCATAGTTATAGCCTTCTCGCAAGAGTACCTCATTTCCCGTGACCACTTCCTCCTATTGCCCTGTCCTGGGAAGCTTGCTTGCTCGCGTAACCAACCAGTAGAATCAGCCTTCTTCAAGAAATCCTCAGCGAATGTTATAGCCAGTTTAATCTTGTTGTGAAGGGTAAGCCATGTTAGATCATGTAGCTGAGGAAATTCAGGGAAGCGTTCTCGAGCGTCGCTCGATCTTAGAAGAAGGGCGTTGACTTTTAGTTTCTTAATTGCTTCGAGTTTGTCCTTGATATCCGCCAAGGTTCTAGGGGAGGGGACTGCCTTGACTGGCTGGTGTGATGGGTCCTTTGGCTCCGGTGTTTCTTCTCCCATTTGTTGTTTTGACATCGTGTTGTAAATTAAATGATTGTTAGTTTATATAGGCACTTCCCCCCTGCCTTGTTGAAATAGTGGATTTTATGATCTGGCTGTTTGAGAAAAAATCATCCAAAAGGTGGGTGCAGGTTAGATAGGGAAAGCAGTACGGGAAATTATCGATTTTGTCTCGACGTTGAATTAGTCCTGAGTGTACTCTTGTTAGACATACGCAAGTTAGGTTCTGAGGCCTGTCAAAATGCTCATAAGTTGTATGAAGCACTAAATCCAAAGTATGAGCGCCACAGGAATGATAAAAGATGATAGTACGCAAAAATATGCCCACATGATGTGACGGCTGGCGATTATTGACAATCAACGATGCCTATGGTGGTATATCCAGAAAGCAAATGATAGGAGGTAAAAGATTGAAAATGAAGCTCTTCAGGGGAAAGTTCAAGCTATGCGGGCTATTAGGGCAGAATATTTAAACTTCCTTGACAAGATGAGTTGCTCTTTCTCTTGATGTAGATTCCACATGATAATAAATAATTAACCTTGGCTACTACACAAAGTTCTGCCCTACTACTACCTAGGCAGGTACTAGAAGGAGTAAATGCTGTTAGGGAGGACTTGGGTTCTTAGGGTGTTGTTATTGCTCTCATGCTCGGACTATCATCATTGTCCTACGCTTTGATAAAGGGTTAGTATGATTTCTTCGCATCAAGAAAAACTCACTTGGTACCATGTATCCCATATTTTATTTTAATCAATATGAAATAAATTTAAGGTTGAATTCCTTTATTCTTGTCCTTCTCGTTATCATGGCTTGGTTTGTGTTTGAACCAGCACTTATTATCATATCTCTGCCAATCTTCATAATCATCCTCCACATTGAGCTACTCTGTCTAAAACTCAGTATGTCGCTTATCCACCACGTGTCTTCCATGGTCGTGTCCCATCATCACAGGGCTGGAGGGGTCTTAGCAACCTTGCCAGAGATCATCTAAAATGCGCAATTATTCCATCTGTCATCTTAGCTTTCGCGCCAGTCTTAGCGCTTCATAGATCAAGCCTCGTAAACCTACACGGTCTCTCACCGACCCAGGCTCAATAGTCCCTCGATATACTTTTTCGTATCCACGCCAATACCCTGCGCAAGTCGACTTGCACCATCAGTCCAACCACCGCCTCCCTCGGCATACGAGCTGCTTAGGCCCCTGAGCCTCGTGTGTTCGCCCGCTCTGCGAATAAGGAATATCTCTTTTCCGACCTTCCCTCGCTTTGGCCTGCTCTGCGAGTCCACGCTCTCCGCCGACTCGCTATGTGGGATGCTTATGTCCGAAGGATCTGGTGGCAGCGAAGAAGATGAAGACTGGATACCGTCTTTTCCTATTATGCGTGTCCAGACGATCCACCACCCGCGACTAGTCTTGCAGGTACGTTCTAGTTCAGACGGATCTGTTGATGTTGTGATGTATGTGTTGAGAATTTGATGATGAGTATTTATTGCCTCGACCCGCGACCAGACGGGTTGTGCGTTTTCCTGCAGCATATGTCCCGGCGTCGGTATACTGGGGATTGTAGAGTGAACTGTCATAGCTTCCGGATCCCAGATGAGATCAAATATATGGGGTCCTACAGCCCCTATATCCGGTCTCCCAGGGCGATAAGCTGTAGACGTAGCTAACGGTTTCCGAAGCGGCGCAAGTTGATAGTGTAATGACCTGTAGAGTCCTTCCCAGGCCAAAGAGTCCGTTCGATTCTGGAATAGGAACGTATATACGAATGGCTTGTTAACGTATACCACCACGCGCACTTTGTGAGTTTTGTTGCGGTCTTGACTGTCAAAATGAGATACCGGACCCTGAGCATTCTTGTGACTAGCAAGTTCATTGTCTTGGCTTCCAAAATCCCGGGTCATTTCAGCTTCGGGCCGTTTTGTATTCTCTAGCTCTACGATAAGAGTTCGAAGCAGGACTCTTGAATTATATCCAACCTCTTCGGGTGGGGTGTCAGATTGCTCCCTATTTTCGGCATGCTCGACGGTACTAGTCTCTTCAACATCGCCGCGGAGTCCGATCAGGTAGTGGCCCGAATCACCGCTTACTTTCTTGGAGCGATGGGAATTATTGGGAGGTATCTCATCCTTTTTTGAACTTTCTATAGGTATGGTCTCTTCTTGGACAGTTTCTTCGCTTCCACCAGCGTTACCTAATGTCCAATGTGTGCCATAGCCCATCTTAAGGTAGCTCATGAATTTATTGACACCACTTTCCTCGGTCGCATCTTCTGCATTCTTTGGTGGCGCATTTTCTAAATCTTGAGGATCCGTTGGTTGGTCTTGCGTGCTTGGTTGTTTTGAATTGTTCGGGTCGTTTGCTTCTGGAATTTTCACAGAACCCCTAACCGCATCATTACTGCTTGGTGAGGTACGTTTCTTAGATTTCCTAGCTTGGCGTATCGAAGCCGGACTTTCTCTTACTCCATAGGCATCCTCGCCCCAGGTGTAGAGGTCTTCCATCCAGTAGGTAACATCACGCAGCGACTTTCGAGTGAGAGAACCAACACCTAGGAATATAGCGCCATCTTCCGCTCCAGGTTCTTCTCCGGTACCGAGCCATTTTTTGGTTGGTCCATCAGTCAACTTAGGATCTTTAGAAGAGTCTTCGCCTACTGCGGATTCCGAAGAGCCGAATTTGCATACGATTAAGTCTATTAAGCCCTCGACTCTATCGACGAACCCTTCTAGAACTTCTCTTTCGCCGCTCCCACGCTCCTCCTCGCCGACGCCAACGCCGAGCTCGCCACAGGCAGCAATTTTTATACCCCCAAATAAGCTAGTGGCAGGATTCCCATGTAACATGACGTCCCATGTTGACAAGAATAAATCCCAATATCGACTTAATATACTAATGAATTTGGACCGTTTCGACCGGACAAACAAAGCGCTTAAGGACGCCGCGTGGTGTAGTAGGAATATAGAGTGGGCGCGTAAAAGATCTTGCATAAGAAGAGCGGCCGGTTTGAGTTCTCGAGACGAATATTCGACATTCTCCGACGTATTGTCTTTCTGGTTTGGGACGGGAGCGCCGAGTCGCGGCGGGAGAGGTAGCTTCGTTAAATCAACTGACTAAGATAGCATGTATTAGCATTCAAATTTGGACAATGGAAACTACATATACTCACAGCCAAGATCCACCAGCCCGGCTCTAATTCGTGTAGAACAACGCGGCTCTTCTCTGTCTCTATAGTATCGAGGGGTTTATCATCAGAGAACCCGCGACTAAACTCGACCATACCCTGCGCCAGACCAATCTGCCTCAGCCGCTCATTCCGTTCTTCTTGGGAGATGCTATCGATAGGTTTGCCCCGCGAGCGGTGGCGCCGTTTCTTGGTCTGGGTGTTTACGGAGGCATAGTAGACAATCTGGTCATCTAAGGTTTCGTCAGTCGTCCCTAGCGAAGGATTGTATATAGCTAAAAAGCCTAGCTGAGCTGGTACGACTGTTGGTAGAGGGGGAGAGGCAATGGCCGCCATCGCGAAGTGTCGCGTGTTACTACAGTTACTATGATATCAGAAGGTGAATAGTATCTCTCGAGGCAGCTACCACGAAGACGGCCATAACATCTATTAAAACATCGGTAAAGACAAAAAGAAGGCGGAGAAAGGGCTCCACAATCAAAGGACGAGAGTAGTCGCTATATAATTATGACCTAGGTATGGTAGGATGTAGCTTAAGAATGAGGATGTTTTAAGTTAAGTTGCAGCTATCGTGGGGTATCTCGCATATAGAAATATCTTTGTCATAAGAACCCTTTATGTGCATAAAATCCTGCTATATAGTATTAACCGAGCTTATATGCCTATATAGGCTATATAAAAGCCCCTATTCAATTTTCCAACTACCTCAACTTCATGAAGATATTTCATGATATTTCTCAATTCCAGCCATCTACTCAGCTATCATATCCTCTGCCTGGGAAATACGAGGCTTCATATTTGAGCAAGAAATATAGAAATGTGTAACATTATAAAATAGCAAAAGTAAAGCCATTTCATCATACAAGATCATCCGGAGTTACACTGGCGCTGCAAGCCACAAACCTCAACAAAATAACTCATATGTACCAGCTATGTACCCATTTGTATATCTCGCAATGAGGCTGAATCAAGTACAATGTGAACCTAGAAGATAGCACGACATATAAAAGTTAAGTACTGGTTACGGACTAGAATATCAGGGATATCTGTTGCTTGCCCTTACGTAAGATAACTCTTACATCACGACCTCCTACTCTATCATATATCCCTAGTAATCATTCTTCACCACCTCTCATAATTTTCTACCACATTTCATACTCATCCCCCCATCACCAAACAAGCAAATCAACTAGTCCACCCCGTAGCCGCCCCGGGAATATCACTCAACCTCGCCACATCCTCCCACTCATCAACCGCGTCCAGCGCCCTCCCGGCACACCTCCTAATCTCCGTAACCGCATCCCCTCCCAGCGGCACCATCTCCGGCAACTTCCTCCCCTCCGCAACCCCCGTTCCCGTAACAATCTCATAAATAAGCTCACACCCCCTCCTCGTATCCCCAAGCTGATTCTTATGAAACCACCTAAACGCCTCATCCATCCGTTCATTCATCTCCCTATACGCCTCGATCCTCGTCCCACCAACCGTACTCCCAAAATTCGCCCCAGGCTTCAATAACTCCGTGCGGTAGAACCCAGGCTCAAGCAGCGTATGCCGCACCCCGAACTGCGCCACCTCCGCCGCCAGCCCGATCGTCATCTGCCGCAGCGCCGCTTTCGCCGCGTTATACGCCGCCGCGCTGTCCATCCTAAACCACGCCGCTATCGACCCCACCGTCACCAACGCTCCCCTCCCAAACCTCCCCTCCTCCACTTCTTTCTCACTTACCTCCCTCGCCCGTAAGTGCGGCAAAACAGCACGGTACACATTCACCGGCCCAAACACATTCGCCTGGAACTGGCGCATCGTCTCCTCGGGCGTCAGCTCCTCCACTGTTCCCGTCTGCACGTACGCCGCGTTATTAACGATGATGTCGATGGGGCCGTGGGTCGCGAAGATCGCGTCGATGTCTTTTTTCACGCAGTCCAGCGACTCGTTGTGGTTGAGGCGCGCGAGCGTGACTCCGGGTATGGCGGCGGCGGAGGACGGGTTCCGCGAGGTGCCGATGACGCGGTCGCCGCGCTCGGCGGCGACTTTGGCCAGTTCGAGGCCGAAGCCGGCTGTGGCTCCTGTGATGAGCCAGACTAGGGGGGTGGACATGGTGTTTTTTGGGGGATGGGGGGTTTGGGTATGTGGTGGGTACCTAGTAGGTAAGTAGTAGTTGGTGAAATGTGTAGGGATCCTAGTCCGGGTGATGAGGGGATATATATATGGATGTATACTGATGGCAAGAGGAAGGGCTAGGGGTTTCAAGCTTGATATAGACGGCGAGGATGGCGATTGCAACGTAATCATGCGGCTCAAGTATCAGATCTAGAATCCCATTTCGCCTCATCCCATGTATCACACAATTACCGGACACCATTATGCCAAAGCGGATAGGCAGCTACGTTATAATATATACCTATGACGCATACTCAAATGTGCGTTTTCGTTTTAAGTACTCGTCTACCTAACTCCCTATCGCCGAAGGTATACCCACACCTACTATCCCATGATTATACATAGATCCCAGCAGATCAGTAGTGCCGGGTTAGCTACAAGGGCACATTTCTCTAGTATGATTCGTAATCAGTAAAGAGTATGCGATCGATAGTTAAAATTCAATTGGTTTGTGACCATTGAGATAGACTATAGTCTATAGTGAGCAGGTAGTCATTTGGAGATGGGTCAGATACGACGTCGTTCTGGATCTTATAGGGCAATGCTTGCATGATAGTTACAATCACACTACATGTCAACGTCTCGTCTAGCCCGCCATGGTCTATAACTCGTCCAAATGCTGCGCCAATAGGCTATTTTATAACATCATTTCGCTAGTGTCGGGGAAGAGATAGTTGGCTAGACATTGGAGGTTCGTTCTACTGGAATTTAATTGGTAGCATCTGGTAAAGATGGTGTGGGTCATGGCAGCTCGTGTAATGCTTCCCCTTTAGACCACACTGGTTGTTAAGGATTGCCTGTAATTGGTCAACAAGTATCAATCTTCATCGTCTATAATTTCCTCACAACAAGAAATCGAACCATCCCACAGGTATCGAAATATTTTACTAATCCCATTACATAGCATATATTCCATATTTATTCACAGGTTGTTGTCATACCCTCAGAAGTTGAGGCACTGTTGAAAGTGAAAGCTCAACATGAACAACTAAAAAGCATTAATATTTACACAGAAATAGAAGAACTCCAAGTTTCTACTCTCCTCTCAAAAGTATTATCCAACTAAAACTCGCTCATGACCACAACCGAACACCCCTTCAAAACATACAAACATAATCTTATAAAACCGTAATTTGACAGAATCAATTAACTATCAACATACTCGCCATCGGTATCGACGACGGTCTATAACGGTGTGGTAACCTGAAAATTTCATACCCCAACTCCGCCAGGCCAGCTGTTCCCTGGTCTCTTGGAAAAAAATCTTTTTGAAACCCCTCGCGAATCTCCGAGTGCTAAGTATTTACAACTGCAATCCAAGTTGATACAGGTGGTGGTACGATGTTGTGTTAAACATTAACCCCCTTTCCCCTGACGACGCCTCCTGATGCTATTAACGCATTTGTCACGCCCGTGTCGTAAGGCTAGGTTCCTGGTACAAGATTTGAAGAGTATAAAAAAGGGTGGTTGGTTTGGTAAAGTTGATGCTTTCGTCAGCGGTACTGTTTTAGTACCCTATGGTCGCTTCGTTTTGAAGTTAGAAATCCTCCGCAGAGCTGTCCTCCTGTATATGCAGATCCAAGCAATTAACTCCGGCCCCATTTGTCATGATAGTAACCCCGTTTGAACAAACGCCTAGACTAAGTCTAGCTAGAAGAAACCTCCTCCCCTCGGCGTTATGACCGTTGCCTAATGATCATAACCTGCCCCTCGTTGCCAAGGACTGAAATCTGATTAGCCTATGTCTAAGAAGAATCGAACATGATTTAACTCACCTGGCGTTGTTCTGTGCTCTGTAACTGGGAGGGCTGCCGCTGTTCACTGACCGCCCGGCAGAGCTACCGCCATATGGGCTCGGTGCTCTTTGCGAACCACTGTTAGCCGGGAATAGAGGCACAGATGGGTCTACTGGAGACTGGGGAGGGTTCGGCCTGCTGTTCCTGTAACCGCCGGGGGGGCCGCCTGCAGGAACAGTCAAAGTCGAGGTGTCCGTGCGGCGGCGCATGTCGGCTGAAGTGATCGATTCGTTGTCATCATCAAGATCTAGACCGGGCTTGTAACCAGCCTTGTCGCCACGAGCGGTTGCGGCAAGGGCGTCTAGCTCGGTTGTACCAGTGAGCTGAGATTGCGACTTCATAAAAGACGCTCGGTCATCAGCCATAAACTGGTAACGAGTATCGGGGTTCTTGCGATAGAAGACCAAGGTAGTCGAAACAATGACCATAATTAAGAGGACAGTGGCGAAAATAGCATTAAGGATAAACAAAATGAGACCGATAACACCGTTAACCAAAGCAGGCTGATTGAACACATCCGAGAAAATTAAGAGGAAGATGGCGTTAATGAAGTTAATAGCACAAATGGCAATATTGAACGAATTGGTGCTCTTATCCATCCACGGTCGGAGAACGCTAGCAGCAATCAGAGCTCCGGCTTCGATGAGAAGGAATCCAATAGCCTGAGCAGTACTATTGCCCTGCGAAAATGCGAGAAACATGGCCTTAACTAGGGTATATCCGAGAATCGGGATGATGAAGTAGTAGGCGGAAGCACGGAACTGGATATACAAGAATCCCCACTTGTTCAATGCCTGAGGATCCGAGAAAAGGATGTAGGCGGGGTTTCGGTGCATGGCAACGGAACGACGAGCAATTCGAACGACCTTGGAAGCGGCCCATCCTAGAGTAATCGACATTCCAACGATGAAGAAGACAGCCAAAACCACCTCGGCAGGAGAGTCCACTTGGGTGAATTCCCAGAGGCATAGAATAGCCATTTGGGGATATCCGATAAGGGTAAGACGGAACAAGATACCCTTAAGGACCGTAAGCCATCCGTTGCGGAACTCGAGGAACGTGTCAGGCTTCATCCACTTCTGCTTAACAGCGAGCTCGCAGATTCCCTTGAATGCTGCAACGGCGCCGATAGTGAAGACTACGAGTAGACAGAAAAATGTCAAACCAGTCATGAAGAGGTTTGTCGTCTCGATGCCGGCCTTGAAGGCAACACGCTGAATACCATACACGATGTAACTACCGGAACCAGTCATGACATTGGCTCGCTTCATCAATGATCCAGCAGCACGCGGAAGAATGGCAACTGATCGTCGGTACAAATCCGCGGCAGCTTCCGGGAGAACAGACAGGGCACGCTTTTCGACCTGAACGGAAACAGTTGTCAAAGAGTCGAAAATAGTAGAAGGTGTTCCGCCAGTAGCTCGCTGATACCAAGTGAAGATGTCCTGCATGAAGTCGACGTTGATAATACCCATAGACCACTGGAAATCCTGGGTCCACGATTGAACGACAGGCGGGAGATGGATCGAAGTTAGACCGAGCATAGCCTGGGCCTGGAAGAAGCCGAATAACGAAAGAGCACCGGAAGCAATGTGAGCGGCGGCATTCGAGTGACCTAGACCGTTGATAATGGCCGAGGAGCAGAGAATCAGGCCAGCGATAATGGCGAGAACCCACTTCACAGCAATCAAATCAACCGTCTTTCCATTGGAGATATCGGCCTCAACGCAAGCCACACTCTTGCCGGTATCAGTCAAGTTCAGGAAGACGCGGACGGTGGCGTCCAAGTCGGGGAACGTATACGCGATACCGGGAATCTGAGAGGCGGCTTCTTCACCAACAGGCAAGTTGAATTTTAGCGGAATCTTACCCGCAGTCATGGGGCAGAGACCAGCCAATCCAACTTTACAGGGGTCGACAGTAGTCTGGATAATCGTGTAACCGTATGCTGAAATAGCGACGTCGAACACGACGTTACCTTCGACGGATGATGTTGCTACAATGTTGAGGAAAGCTGTATTGTTATTCGGTGTATAGACGACCTTGAACAGACTTGCCGTAAACATGGAGTCTTCCTGGCAAGCGTTCAACGAGTTCGAGATGAGCATGGGCTCTGCGGCGGTGCCCGGAAGGAGTGCCGAGAGCCATGATATTAGCAGGATTGATCTTAACGTCGAAAACCACATCGTTGCTATCTTTTTGAGGATTGTTTAGTCCGTCGTGTGATTAAAAATAATTATTCTGCCTCTATACCGAAGAGTACCGTTGTTACGAGAATCGATGCGTGTTCCTTTGTCGACCGTCAATTACATTCGTAGAAAGGTTTAAGGCCTAAACATGAGTCGACAAAGGGATATATCGATTGTCCCGAGTCAAGCGAAGGGCCTCGATACTAATCCGGAAGAAGGTAGAAAATCGTGATAGCGAGAGTAAGGCGTCAAATTGAGAATATCCCTTTCGTCGTCGGTCCTAGCCGAACACACCTCCCAATAAACGAGCGCGGTGGTGGTATTGAAGGGAAAAAAGGTTAAAAAAGGGGGTTAGAGGAATTAAGAAGGGATTCGCATTCGAAGGCGACGGGACCCGTTCGCGGAATGGGTGTTTCCTACTGATTAGTAGCAACCGTTCGATGATGTTATTTTAGAGTGGCGGATAAAAACTGGAAAGGGATTTTTTAAGAAAAAGAGAGGGTTCGTAGTGAGCGACTTCAATTGTTGATTGTAGAAAGAACAACCTTGGAAAGAAAGGGTTGAATTGAAGGAGAGTGGCAGAAGTGGCAGGGGGGTCTTCGCTCTTCCCCCCGGACTCCAGCACAATAGGGAATGCACCTGGGCAAAGCAGGGACATTTGAAATTACGCGGCCGGGACGTGTTGTAGATCCGTACTTCCCTTGAACTAGCATAAAATTAAATATTCAATTGTATTCGCTATTCTCTTTTTGGTAGTATGTCACTTAGTACGACATCGTACAGCATCGTAACTCCACCTGCACGTGTAATGGTTCGTGACCAATTTGGCCATTCAGAGTTCCCAGCTGCATGTGCTTGTTTGGGGCTCCAACCGCTTTAGGCTAGTTGTTTCTTAAAAAACATGATTTGTTACCGCCAAGATTTGAAGCCAAACGGCCAGCCCACCACAAGCATTTCGAACGTTCAGAGCACTTTGGAGGTGAAGTAATTGCATCATAGGACATATAACTAACCACCCTGCCACCTGAGCAGATGATAAATTGTCACTAGACTTGTAGGTGCATGCAGATCTATTCAATCATCGCTGTTCCCTTTCGCGATAGTCAACGAATTTATCCTAAATGGTTGAGACGAAAATCGAAACACGTTAATGACATCGTAGCTATTGGCAGATACATGTGTCGCTCTACATTTTTGGCGCTGAGACACTGCGCGTTTTAACGCCTGGCTTGAAAATTCCAAACCATTGGACTAGACTGTAACTTGTGGTGGCAGTGCAAGCTGGAACGACCCTTGGCTACACCTAGTAGGTGCCCCAAGCTATCTGGGCAAGAACCTTCAGGCATGATCTCGCAAGCCTATCGAATTGGAAGCGACAGAGATAGGTAGGTGCATATAGTTAATTGATCCTTTCGGGAACGACGGTTATACAATAACGAGTTCATCGCGCTTTCTGGTTAGGACAGCTGGGCGCCTAGCAAATTTGACTCTATTATTCGTTCTTTCGTAACGGTTATGCACCTGAGCGGTTACTAATCGAATAGCCCGCCACTTAAATAGATTTTCTTGTCATTTTAGACTTTGCTCGTACTGACAATATTTAATCATACGAGAATTCCCGGCTGGCACGGCATGTGCCATTAACAAAAAAACGAGAAATAAGACAAATCAGAATTCCGCGCCTCTCTTACTCTTCTACGCTGTCAATTCTCAAAAAAATACGGAACAGACCGGTCGTATTTTTGCTGCAGTTATGTGCAATAGTAAAAGACATGCATTTGAAGATCTAGCTGATCATTTTGTACATGGCCATCACTGATCAGTGATCTGCATAATCTGTCGTCATTTCCCTCATCGTCTTCGTCGCTTATGCACCGGATTTCGACTAGGCACCCATCCAAAACAACACCGAACACTTCGCACGTCCTAAACAAGAAGCATATGTGTCCAATAACATGACCGGATTGATTATTGCTATCACACAACTCAGAGTGAAACGAAGCAAAATCATACATAATAGGCAATTGTTCACGATGATAGATAACATCTTACTCTTCCAGTCTCAAGAATAAGATTTCCTTGGCATCCGAGATTCGGTTAGCCGGGATCCGAATCCTTCCCAAGCGGGAAAGGTGGGAAGGGTCGTCAGCGGCACAGAATGGTACAGATAGTGCAGATTCGGGTACCTGATTAATATAAACTCAGCCTCAATGCTGATTGCTGACTTAATCCTCAACTTCTAGATCGTCGTCATCACCGTCGATATCCAATCATAAGAGCCCGCGTAGATGAACTGTTTATTCCTACCAACCACTTAGGAAACTAAACGAGATCAACCCCTCGTATAGGTTCACAGAGACCTAATCACGCCCAGCGTAACATATAATTAAGGGGCGAGGATGACATACAAGCTAGTAAGTAGTATGTTGGCAACTCTTGGAATTCATTCGTAGTACCTAATCGGACGCATGTAATCTCGATATTTTCATTCAACTCTTCTTTAGGGAGTTCATAATGTAGGTAATAGTTGTTAACTATACCAACTCAATATACTCCAAATCCTCTTCACATACATCCCAAGGCCATTCCTCACCCTTAACCGCACCACTAATCCAGCAAGGACAAACCAGCGTGTACTTCCCAGGCCGGTCAGAGCACTCGCGGATGAGATACGGCATCCGTTCTCCGGATAACAGCACAACCTCGTCTCCCTCACAGACCGGCAACGTCGACATACCAACTCTCCCACTCGCAGCAGTGAATAGTGCTCGACCACTAGTTAGTTGCAAGAAACCCCTCGCAAACCTGCGCGCATCGCGGACAACCGGCGGCATCCTCGTGAGGCCAAACTGTGGTCCCATGCCATAATCGTCAAATTCCAAAATTACTGGGCACGAGTCGTAGATCTGATACGCGTTCAGATTGCACATATCAGACACCAGGGTCGCGAATTGCCATAGTTTTGGTCCGATATCATCAGTGACATCATTAGGATTTGGTGATGCCACAGCCCAAGCCTTGAACGTCTCGAACGCTTCGTCCCCGTCTTCGAAGTCGGATCTCGAGGCGGCCCAGGTTCTCTCTAGTGGAGGCCTTATTGGGAATGACTCGCTGATGTTAACCGACGCTGCGTCGACACGAAGAGCTTTTAGTTTAAGCACATCCTTTTCTACATCCTTGTCCACTATCGGATACCGAGAGACCGGCGCTGGTGTGAATTTGCTTAATTCTGTAGGCACGACGCTGACGGTGTCCCACTCCGGCACCCACGTGGGAAACCCGTCCGTTCGGTTTCCGGTACATGCGTACCTAAAGAACTCAACATTCTTATTGGCCTTTAGAACGAGGCGGGCGGCGTCTGTGAAGACGTCTTTGACGGGCCGCGAGTATTCGACTGTTAATGTGCCGAGGCTTTCGGGATACAATCCCCTAATTGCGTATATCTTATCCACAGGCAGCGTAGCTTTCTTTTTAGAGAGTGAGTCTAGCATATATTCAACAAGAACCTCCTCTCCGGCGCAAAAGTCGTAGGACAAAAAGTATACGGTGTAGCGGACAGGTATGTATACGAAGCCGAAGAAGGTGTAAATGGAACCGACTATCCAGTGGCCCAAGACAAATGGTACAGCCGGAAGCGGCTTACAAGATCCACAGTAAATACGTACGTTGGAATTCGCCGAGGCCTCTTGCACCGTCCATGATCTTTCCCAGTATCCCCTCGCCACTATGTTCTCTAAACCAGTCTGTATCCTCCGTCTAAAGCCTATCGTCGATAGGTTAGTTATAATTATTGAGATTCAGGGAAGCTAGCTAGCTAACCTTTAAATACGGGTAGGGTCCGTAGGGGCAATAGTGGCACGAGCACTATAAACAGTGTAATATAGACTAGAATGATATCACAAAATCGACTTAGGGAAAGAAAAAACGATCTTGAGCCCTGCGTAGTTGAACGGCTGGCAGCTGCATGAATTCTGCGCTTCGCGAGATAGAATGGCATAAACAGGACCCCGGTCCACCGTAGCCACCTAAAGATCAGAGCAGTTGATTCGATTGCCTCGCCGAGCCATATGTTCACATGTGTGGCTGTTGCGTATATCTCGATCATCATCTGTACCTGTGTGCTCTTTTCAGCGTCATCCTGCTGGTTGATACAAATCGCATCGATCCATATGTACCGAAACTTCCCTGGCTTATGGGGACGAAACCTTCTCATAGCATTCCTTGCATTTTCAGTTACGTATAACTTCCGACCGTTGGCGTAGACAACTTGGTCTGGTTTCTGCCCGTCCCAGGTATATGAAATAGCCTCGTAGGGTGGTGTTGGTAATGCATCGAGAGAGACTGTGATGAGATCGAAGTAGATATCATCATCTAGACTTGTAGCATCGTGAAGTTTAACCACACGAATGCTACGAAGGTCCGGGAGCTGCAAGTAGGAGTACTCGTCGGCCATGCCGTGTCAATATGCTATAACATGTCGTTATTTCTCAAGAGCTTTAGAGGAAGAAACCTCTATATCTATCTCACTATATCCAGGAGAAGAAAATTGTGGGGAAGTGATGAGAACCAGAATGGTATAGCTCAGGAGCTGAACATCTTTATACGTGTAAAAACCCGTACCATAACATAGCCACAGCATTTCCACCTAGTACCTAGTATGTATAATACCATATTCGTGAATGCCAGAAGTCGAGAAGTTATCATTTTGACGTAAATCATAATAGACCAAATACTTACCTGATCAACAGAGATCCATATTCTCGTGAGAACCCAGGCAGCCGGGTAACCCTATTCTATGATCGTAACAACCCTAAGCACAGACGTCAACAATCTAAGATAAATGTAGATGAAAATGAACGAGTAAAAAGCAAAGAGAATTGTTGAGCAAGTGCAAGACATACACATACGCCATCTAATAAGAGCCTGAAAATAAAGTTGTCCGATTGGCTGTACCTTCCGATCTTGTCCCCATTGCAAGACAGAAAGTGCTACCACACTGTGCCTAACTAAGCTATAAACTAAGATAACCTGCTAAACTATCACATACGACCATAGGAGCTAGAGAACTCGGGATCCCGTCCGCTCTCCCATAGATAAGCTGGCTACCGCCGGATCAGTAGTTGGGTCGGTGACGACCAGCGAATCCCCGGTGTTGTATGTTTATATTTTTGTTGTTGTCGTCGTTGGTTTTTAATTCCTCTCGTTGATGAAATTTCTTTTTGAAAATAGTGGGGGTTATATGTTGGGGTAGAAGCCAGAATTTTGAAATTTGGAGATCGGGTTCGCGAGAAAAATCAATTTTGCTGGTGAACATGTAAAGCTTGAATTATTTGGAAAGTAGTGCGATATAATCTTTAGAACTAATATTTTCGAAGATAATCCATTCCAATAGGTATTTCGTAATGTTTCGTTGGCTTAATATGAGAATGTCTCTGTCCGATGTATAGAGGAACGGGATTTTCTTGCCTTAACGCCTCGCTCCTTACGGCGACCACTAATCGTCGAAACACAAAATATATAACACAAATCAACCCCGTCATAATATCAAGCATACGCCTCTGTATTAAAGCAAATCTAAATACTAATGCAAAACGGATAACTAACCCGTTGTAATACCTCATTTTCGTTGTAATCGCCCCTATCACCTATCCCTATCCCCATCCCGTGAAGCATATCTACACTACTAAGGATAAGCTTAGAAGATAGGTAAGCAGCAAGCCGAGAAACCCATCATCCACGAGCGACACCAGAGGAAGTTGTCCGACAAACGGCCAACTAACTCTGCAATCCCGTGTCCGGATACCCGCGCCCATTTTGATTTTATTTTAATATTAGACAGAAACCAATGACCGGAACGCACTCCTCATAATGCCATTTTCATGCAATCATCCCTTTCCCACCTCCTCCTTACCCTTCCTCTTTTCCTACCCTCACGCCCCCTCACGCCAAAACTTCTTATAAGCAAGCTTCTCCCTCTGATTCCTCGCCTGGATCAACTTCAGCACCCGCGTATGCTCCTTCTCAATCGCCGCATCACCAGGCGCCAGCTTCTTCGCCTCAAGGATGTCCATCAGCGCCGCATCCTCATCGCGCAATCTCGCAAGCGAGAACCCACGACGGTAGAAAGCCTTCGCCCGCTCCGCGTCGCTGATCCCCTTAACAAGAAGAGCCTGTCCAGCGGACCGTTGAGCCTCATCGAATGCCTGGGTCTTGATGTTCAACAGCGCCGAGTTGCAGTTCAGCGAGAACCGGAGGTTGTCCAGCTTCTTCTTGATCTCGACGCCCTCCTCGCCCTCCGGGATATCCGGGTCCTCGTTGAGGTACCGCAGGCCCTTCTGGTATTTCTCGAGGCCGCCGAGGACGTCGCCTGCCTTAAACGCCTTGTTGCCGAAGTCCTTGCAGTCACCCGCCACCTTAAGCACGTGGGCTACAGTAAGCGGCTGCTGGTCCTCATCTTCGGGGAAGTCCTCGTATTGATCGCCGTAGGCGTCCGCGGCCTTAACGTCGGTGACCTGGGCGGCGCTCGCTGAGAGCTCCCCGCAGTCGGCGATTATGACTGCTTTGTTGGGTTTGTCTGACACTGTCGGTAGGTTCTCGACCTGACGGACGATGGACTTGCCTGACTTGACCTCGCCGAACACTACGTGCTTCCCGTCGAGGTGGGGCGTGGCGACTGTGGTGACAAAGAACTGCGAGCCGTTGGTGCCTTTGTGAAATTGGTGTTAGTTGACCGTCCAATAAAAAATAAAAATAAAAATAAAAATAGAAATAAATAAACCATGTGTACGACATGAAATCGCTAGATAGGTAGGCAGTAAAACTCACCAGGGCCAGCATTCGCCATGCTAAGCAAGAACGGACGCTCGTGCTTGAGCTCGAAGTTCTCGTCTTCGAACTTCTCTCCGTAGATACTCTCACCACCTGTTCCGTCACCGGCCGTGAAGTCACCACCCTGGATCATGAACTGCTTGATAACACGGTGGAATCCGCTGCCCTTATAATGGAGGGGCTTGCCGCCTTTTCCAACGCCCTTCTCGCCCGTGCACAGAGCACGGAAGTTCTCCGCGGTCTTGGGCACGATGTCATCGTACAGCTCGAACGTGATGCGGCCTGCCGGCTTGTTGCCGATGGTCACGTCGAAGAAGACGTAGCTGCGTTTCTTGGTATCGGACATCTTGGGTGATTTTGTGTATGAAAGCTGTGGTGAGTAAGAAGGTATCGTCGATTGTATGTTCGAGCGGGGTGGTAAGGCTGTGGGTTGTTTGGTTAGTGAACAGTTATGAAGAGGAGTGTGAGGAGATTTGAATTGGTAAAATTTGGGAAAAGGTTAGAAATGCTCACTTGTAAGTTTATTTTAAAAGGGAAATAGGAGGAAAGAAGGAAAGTTGTTGGCAGTTGTCGGAAGAATTTGAATTGGAATGCAACGACGCAACTGCATCCAGCCAACTGGAACCTGGAGGTGAAGCTTTTCTTACAGTAGAAGCTTCTAGGTGAAATCCAATCGCGGGGCAATAACGTCCCATACGTGGGGTTACACTGTTCAAACGGGAACTAGGGAGATGCCATTAACCAATCACGTCACAGCTACCGCCAAATAGGGCTGGCGGCTCGGCTTTAAGGTTCCATCGTTCCTGCTGTGCTCGACTCCTCTTCATTCGTGTATTCCTCCTGCTTAGGGTGTCTTCTGCGAAGTCTATAATATAAGAAGGCATCTCGAAGATGTGACGTTGCTTCCCCAATCTCACAGTGATTCTATCCAAGCACATAAAAATAACAGTATAAAGATTGGTAAACCAGTAAATATTCGCATAACCCTACGAGAGAGCTGCTTAGCTAAGCTTGGTAGGTATCATAAAAACTACCTATCTTCCCCCCTTTCACCTCCTCTCGTCCTATCTCATTCTCGTAGACTTGTTTTTCTACCGACATTTTGACCTGATTTGGTTTAAACCGATTCTGATCTTACGATCGATATCAATCTGTCTGAAAACAGTACGTACGTAAATGTGTCCACTCCGTCATGTAACCTCGTCTTATGATATGATCATCTCGTTAGAAAATTTGCGTGTCATGTAATGTAAATGTTAAAAAAAGAATAAAGAGCAAGGCCTGAAAAAAATTGCCTAGCCCATATCAGAAAGCCTCCCCTACTTTTTTTCTTCTACCGGAATCCCGTTTGAAAATGCAGAATAGAAAAAACACAACTCTGCCCTTTGGGGGAATATGCATCGATGAGGTCTCGGAGTCAAATAGCGAATCCGAGAAACGTCATCGGAAAGGAGCCGCCGCCGTCCTTCTAAACCCCCGGCAGTCTATGTCTCTATTTTCCCTCTCACGCGGCGGCGTGACGATGTTACTTGGCCGGCTCACTATGTCTTAATCCTAAGACGCCGGCTAGCCCAACCTCTTTTTGAGGCGGTGGCCGTTTCCTTAATTTGGTCGCGGACCGCTTCGGGGCTTCTGGTAATTGGATTTGTGGTTTCGCGGACGCGGATTCTCCTGTAGAGTTAAGGCATAACTAGTGCCTCGAGCTGGTATCGCTCTGCCAGGATTCCGAAAAGGTCCCTAGAAGACTCCTGCTGGTTTTCTCCTCCTTATCTCTGCTCTTTTCTCTCACCGTCGAGGGAGAACCGGCCGCATCCTTCCCCTTTTCCTTCTTGCCACCACCGATCAGGCCATGCAAAAAGGTTCGTGGGTTTCTCACTTGTCCGGCCTTGGCCCGTATTGTCCCCATCGGATTCGCTAGATCTATGGCTTCTGATACTTGACGTCTCCCCTCTCTTCCGAAGTTCCTGAATGCCGATCGATCGCTACTCTCCGGCTCGCTACCGGACGAGCCTGGCGCGCGGTACGGATCGTTGTCCATCCACGCTGCCGAGTTCCCATATGTGAGATTGACCGTGTCCAGAAGTGCCGACTTTTCAACCGCGTCGGCTAGGTCTTCTGTAGCTACCGATTCGTCCTCTGCCATGCGAAGCGATTCAATCCTAGCAAGGCATTCGTCGGATCGCTTCTGCAGGTCCATGCATATCACATGAAATTCCGCTAGTTCCGCGTCAAAATCCGAAGGATCCGTAGAATTTGACTTGTGGCTTGACTCGAGCCAAAGTTTAACCAATGCGGCGTAATTCCTAGGATGGTCAATCAAGTACGGCAAGGAGGGAAAACCTTCTCGGGATATTGGTGACAAGCGACCGAGGATCGTAACGGGGGTGGAGTATGAGGCGGGAACAGATGCAATGTTACGCTCGGTTGGTATCGAACACATCTGATCAATGTAGTCTTTGAATGGCTGCCTATGGATACTCAGAAACCTATTCATAGGCTCCATCCAGCTCTCTTTCTTGCCGAACGTGGACAGATTTGCTAGCGCTTGGAGACCTTTCGCTATGAGCGTTAATGTTCGTTGGGCTCGAGGTCTCGGGTTATCTCGTAGGAGCCCAAAGAGCTTTGGATTTAATATTGCTGGGCAAATGAAACGAAGGAACAAGAATCCCGAGACGCTTGTGTAATTGACAGTTCGAAGAAAGTCGCCGTACCGGTCTTCCGCAACAGCTCGGACGTATTTCAGGATCTGCCGCAGTTCAAGTGGTAGCTTAGTCGCGGAGTCGGCGATGCATTCCCATATCTCGGTAGTTAGTTGTATTAATTGGCTCCAATGGGAATGCATTTCGTCGCCATGTTGAATTCTGCTTGGATCTACCTCGCAGTCCGGGTTGAGTTCGTTGATTTCGAAAATCTTTTCTACCAAGATCTCTTCCAGGAATTCCTTTCCTAGGCGGCGCATATGGAATTCTAAAGCTTGGGTGAGTAGAGTGTTGCCTCGGAATAGAAGGTTCGCCTCTCCAGCTAGGGACTTCATGTCACGGACGAGCTGATCTCGGTCGCTCGCAGAATTTGAAGACTCGTTTGACTTTAATCGCCGGCTAAAGCGTAGTCTCTTCACGCTGTTCTGACTTCCAATCCCGTCGATTTCTTCTTCAACGAGGGCCATGAGCCATTCGCTTGAGCTCCCTGATACCTGGAAGATGTTCAAGAATAGCTCCGCGAGTCGTCGCATAGCGGAGGGTACGGCTAATGCGATTTGGCTCGTCAACCCGACGCTGAATTTATGCAGAAGTATAGACAGCGCATCATAATTCTTTTCCGCGAGTACAACAAGTTCGTCGTGATTAACTTTGACGAACATGCTCCCAATACTTTCTTGCTTCTCGTCGCAGACTTGAAACCATTGTTCATGATCCTTTCCACGCTCTAACTTATCAAGGGGTATATCCACCGCTCCGCATAGAACTTCTGTTAGGTTGCCAGTCTTTGGGAGGCCTAAAGACGCTTGTACTTGATGACTGAGGCTTTCTAAATTTCCGTCGACTCGTTTTAAGATAACAGATAAATAAGGTAATGTAGTAGGTAATTCGGTAAATTGGGTAAATTCTCGCCAAAATGGGTTCTTCGTGTCAGATTGTGTCGTTGTCCGAGACCGAACCTCGCCGTCTAAAATGACTTCGGCAAGGTAATTGCCAATTAAAGGATCACGTTCTTTAGAATGGCGATCGTGGTGCTCGAGGGTCGGGCTCTGTTTCCTTATCTTAGCCTCAGTGACTCTAATTTGAATTGTCTTCTCTAAGCGGAACAGTTGCCCGTCAAATTCTTTGTCGAACTCCTCCACCTCGGTGACCTGGTCTGTAGACGCCTTGACCCCGTATAAATCAGGGACGGCGAACGCTCGCAGAAGCACAAACCAGACCTCGAAGAGAACCCTAGAATCTAGAGCAAGGTACACGGGCCGGAATATAGATAGTTGTCTCGACGCGGACGAGTAGATCGGGAAGATGGCAATGCAGAATTCCTCGTCCAAGACTGATCTATCCAGTTGTTGTATTGCGCAACGGGATAATTGTGACAATTCGATGATTGATAGCACGGCTACGTCGTTTTCGGTCATAAGTTTAAATTCGCCATTATCTTGAAGGATGCAAGATACCCGCCTCCACGATGTCATACCCGAACGAAGATCTCGAGTCGATGGCCGTTTCACGATCGCTCGAGGTGACATAGCGGTACCTTTGTCCCAAAGCATCACCTTGCCAACTTTGATGATGGCCGCATCTTTCGAAGACGGACCACCGGCGGCCGAAGATCCTCGCCGCCTCATTTCAGTTCGACCAGAGCTAGGGGGATTGGCACCTCTACCGTTGGCGAACCTCACTGCGGTAGGACGTAGTTGTTGCCAGCAAAGTAAGCTAGCGAGCCAGTAATCGAAGTCTTCAGCTGAAAGGGGCCGAAGTAAAAGTTCCACGCCCATCTTATTGTTTAGAATCTCTAGACATTTTCCTTTGTTGTCTGGACCTTCGGCGGGTAGAACCCTGCAGCCGCGCAAGTCGGCGACCACTGGAAAATGGAATGGCCCGTTCTGGCCGGAGTCGAATAGAAGACTACCTTGATCTTCGTTAATATAACAGGTCCCCGAGTACCAGGGGCCATTTGGCTCGTTTTGGTATTCGACCTCTCCCTTCATTCGGCCGCAGAAAGTCTTCATCAGTAGGAGAATCCTATTCGCATCGTCTGTAGGGACCGGGAGCGGTAATGAATCTACAGAGGGCGGCGGGGATACTAGGGGAGATGTAGGTCGAGAAGTACCGCCACGTTTGATGAGACGCCTATTGGACGACTTTTTCTCCTTGCTTGACGACGGTGTAATTTTTAGATCGGGCGGTCTGGTTGGTGCAACGGACGGATAACCCACCGATTCTAGCACAGTCGGAGGGGTGCGCACTTCGATGTCTAGAAATGGTTGGGAGCTCGATGAGGAGAAGGATCCCACTCTATGCCGACTATCAGATTGGGAGGACGAGGCCTGTTGTCGTTGCGCAATCGCACCGTCCATGGTATGGGTGCGTGGCCTTAGAGGGACAGCCTTCTGATGCTGCTTGGGCGGGCTCGAGGAGGAGCTGTCCATGGATTCGCTAAAGGCATCATTAAATACCATTCCTTGCCTCCTCCTTTCTCCGCCAGGTATGGATCTAGGCGAGCTCTGCTGGGGAGAGGCGGTACCAAACCCCCGGGTCACTTGTGCGATGTTGTTTGTGTCCGGGGCATGGCCGTTCTCGCCTGGTTCAGGTGTAACCGTACGTATAGTGTTTTGCTGCATGTTGACATTGGGCCTGAAAGTCGTGCGCGTATTACTATTACCACCTGCCACCCATTCCGCATTATGTAGCAGCGTATCTCCTGCAGTAGCTACCGACCAGTCCGCCAGGTTGTCGATGTGGTGATGGTCACTGTGAGTTTCCCCTTCCGCCTCCCGGGGCGGGGAGACACCGCGGATACGTTGTTTCGAATGTACCATGGCGGGTGAATTGGAGCATTGGGTGCTGAGCCGGTCTCGCGCAGGTTAGAAGGATCGATATCGTTCCTCGTGGTAGTATGCGTCGTTGTTATCGCGGCCATCCACCTCATTCATCAGCAAGATGCTGCTAGCCAGATATGTATAGAAAGGTCGTCTGCCATAAACCGCGGGTGGAAGATGATTCGTTTACAAGCTGCCATCGGGGGATGGGCATTCTAGAAGGATAACGTGATTGTTGAGGGACAGACTATGTAGGTCGGTAGGTATGTCGGCGCATGATAGGTAGGAAAAAAAATTGAACTACGTAGATTCGAGTCGAGGAACCGCGACGCGGGCTTTCCAACGAATTCGGCGGGATTGTGTTTTTATTGCACCTGCAGATAATATCATAATATCGTGTGCTCTATTCTCAGACTCGCCGTCTAGTGGTACCCATGCGGCACGTGGAAATAGTGAGGATCAGGGATTGCAGGAACCGGTAAGCTTTCAGAAAATGCTAATTGTGGTGTGGGCGAGACATCGAGTGGTTCAAGATTGGTTGTCTGCCGGGTTCGGCTCGCATTAGAGGACGGTCAGGAGGGCACAGCAGAGGGCGCAGTTCTGTCGTTCTACTCGCTCGTTAGGTGGTCAGGGCTATGCGGGAAGTGCATAGGTAGATAGGTCGCTTGGAGTTATTTCTTTTGGGGGGATTGGATAGTATTGAATTGGTATTGGATTAAGTCTTGGGGTTCTATGGGTTCGACTGCAATTGTTCTGGAGCTTCTGGATTTGCACAGCGAAGGTCGGAGTATTATCTGCAGGACCGCTTGCTCGACCTGAACCATTGGGGTGAGACGATTGGATCCCCGAGCCAGGTTCAAAGGTCGAGACGGCAAGCTACCGGGCAGGTAATTTGGCGGGGAGACGTGCGACGACAAATAGGGAAGACTTGTTTCTGTAAGTAACAGCTCTAATTAAACCACTTATAAATGATTGTCTCAGATTGCCAAATTGCAAAACTGCGGTCAATGTGGGTGCAGATATGATATGGACGTTATCATGGATGGATGTGTGTCTGTAGAACAAGCCCTGGAGAGCTATGAATTGTGATTTGTGAACAGGGAAGAATTTTGAAGATGCGAAAAAAAAATAACGAAATGGTCGAGAAGGATCGAATTTCCGTTATTTGTTAATTGCTACCTGGGTAGAAATGGAAATATATCCTACATCCATGTTTAATAGAACGGACGGAAAGTCAAAATCAAAGTCAATTTCAGCTTCCATGCTTCTTTCCTTCCTTCGGGTGATTCTATGTGCTGGGGAATTGGTGGAAAGTGGTGGGAAGGATGGGTCTCTTCTAGGCGACTAGGTGACTAAAGTTGCACTTGACAGGACTAGGGGCAGTAACAAGTCGCCGTTATTATTTTTAGTCGAGTCTTAACTTCTGGTCCCCGCTAGCTTAACCTAATAGATTGAATAAACAGCTGGGAGCAGGCTGGAGCAGGTTGTAACTTTCATGTGCAGTGGATGCAACTGCCCACTGCCCAGTGAGCATGTATGTAACTTTATCACTATTGCGTCGTACTGTAGCGGCGTAGTGACGCCGTAGTTTCTTCTCGAACAATTACGCCGAACATCCCCATTACTTACATGAATACTGCATCCCTAGTACCAACACATCAACCCAGTGACTCCAGTCTATCAGTCTAAGTATCCAGTCTAACCTAGTCACAACAGAACGTAACCCCATTACTCGTTATTACTCGTTAATACTCGCTAATACCTAGTTATTGCTCGTTAATATTCGTTACGCTTATTCGTTATTCCTCGCTTGATTCTTCCTACGAATCATCGGTAACCTGGTTGTCTTATTCATCTCGGTATTGATGGGGGCTGCCAAGCGGTGAGGCTACTAATTACTAGATTATACTAATAGAGTCCAATATTATAGGAAAGGATGGATTACTTCTCAGCAGCCGAGGTAACACAAGTTATTAAGAGATTAATAGATGAGATTCGATTGTTCCTAAAAGGTAAACGATCCCTCGGTACTTCGAGAAGCCGTGATAACTTTCTGGCCGCCCTGGTATACGGTAATAATATGGCGTATGCTATTATGGTCTGATAATTGCTAACGAGCCAGATGTGATAGGTAGCCGTTTCGATCGATGAACTCCTCCGACGTAGATGTGTGAAGCCACACATCGACTACTAACCTATCCCGTACCCAGTCTGCCTGTACGCTTACGTGCTATTAGATATCCGCGTATGTATTACCCAGGAAGACCAGGTACTGTACCTAGTACCCTACAATATGTACCTAGGCCTCGAACCCCAAATGATAAGCAAAATCACCATGTCAGGGGTTTTGCTTTTTCTGTTCCTACATGACAGTTAAGCGTGGGGGGAAACCTGTGGTTTGTGATAGCAATCCTAGGCAACCGATATGTCTCAGAAAGTCTTCTCGATATCAACCTTCATTGTCTCGAATCTCGATTTTCGGCTGGATTCCGGACGGGCTTAGACTAATACAATCCATCCGGAGAGCACCTTGACTGCTTGATCAGGTAACGGACCTTGTTCCGTCACAGACAATGCAACGCGGGTCCCGTCAATATGGATGCAAGCCTTCCTAGGTGTGAAATTGGCAAGATATGCATGTTTCTCGTTCTAAGGTCGGACGAACCTATCATGGAGCTGAAGCCTCGCGTTTGGGTGTCACCGACGAATGCCGCCACCTCTCCAGGGCCTCCAGGGCTCTACCTATCTGCACTCTGCGACCTCCACAACGTGCCCGTCCTGTGTTGCCCTATCCAGCTTCCCGGATCCCTTACGTTGGTTCCATGAAACCCATATGCACCCTCGTGCATATGATTCATATCGAGCATTGTGATGTATGTACGGAGTATATACAACACACACACCTTGGCCCTTGGGTCTATCTAGGCACGTCTGTATGTCATGTATGTCACATATGTCACGTACATACCAAGATACCAAGATACCAAGATACAGACCTCGTACAATCTGCCTGATAATCGAGCATCCGACTTCCCGACTTAAGACGACCTAAGAGGATCGGCGATATGAGATGGGAAATCAACAAGTCCAGTCTCGGTTTTCTCGAACGATTCCAAGAAGCCAAGTTGCTCCGGACATTTGAGCTACTGCATACGTACATAGTACATAAAATGGATGCCGGTAAAGTTAGCTACAGAAGGGCGGGTAGGGAAATACGAAATCCAATTCGCTCCCCGGTCCTTGCCCAAAAAAAACCTGCCCTGTCAAGAAGAAAGTTGCAATGGTCCGTTCCGCAGTGATCGACCGAAAGCCACATTTCCTGTGATTACATATGCGATGCACGGCCATTCCAGGATCTACGCAGTATCGTCTAATGTCTAATGTAACATCGTCGAAGGGTTGACTTCTCAGCTAATACATACCTGGACCAAGCTTTTTTCTTCTTCGATTCCCGCGTATTCTAAATAGAGACGAAAATCGGGATCAACTGACCAACATACATCTCTGAGTAGTTCGGTAAAGTCAACTTGGAAAGCTTGGAACTTGGAATCAGGCACTGGGCTGTTAATGATGCGTGAACGACGTACTTCGGCAAAGAAGTCCTACCCACAATCTGAGTCTTTTAGTTTAGTCAGTCCCCGCCGTCCTATTTCGAAGCCGTCCTCTTCATCTATTCCCGACTCAGTCTAGCGAAGGCCGTGCCCATTTCTGCATTTCTACCATTCTACGCTACTGCATCACCTAGACAGTACCAAACTAGACAGCCAGCCACCAACAAAGCCACCAAAGCCATCGATGAAGAATAAAGTAAAAAGTGTACGTGCCTACCTAGCAGGCTAGGTACAGTGCCTAGACATGCCTTGCAGAATAGGCGAAGAAAAAGAAAATAAGGGGAAGATATTAGATCACCGGGGATCATCAGATCCGGGGATAATCCACTTCATCATCCCATGAAACAAACCCATCCTCCCAAGTCCAAACCACGGAAATGACCTCAAAAAATAAAAAAACAAAACGAAAAGCTTGAAACGCACATACGGGTTATGCCCGTTACCAAGACCCACAGGCGTTACGGGTATTCCGGCCTCTGGTCTGCTCTGCCAGTCTGCTTCAGTCCTACTAGGTATTAAGTGAACCGCCCCCACAATAGGAAGGTATCGAAGGAATCGAAGCCTTGTCGACGGATTACGTACCGGTCCATGCACATACCATACATACCATACACATATTACCTGGTACACAGACAGCCCTAGAGTGGCAGAACAGCGTCAGAATAAATGGTGACAGTGTGGCCATGTATTAATACTACTGTAACGCACTGTGACCTGATTTATCCCCTTGATTATTTGCCACCACACCAAAGGTTTGAAGCTATTCTCGTGAGGCCGGGCCAGATCATAATTAATAGTATTAATTAGATCTGTTAGTTAGAAAATATAGAAGAGCATATTTGATATAACAAAATCTTTTCAGTTCATATCGAGAAAGTTTTCGATTTTCTACAATTAATCTAAAGTAAGATAAGTTGACGATGCGATCTGGTGTTGTGGCAAAGTTGCTAATTTCCTAATCAGGAAGTATGAGGGATAAAAAGGGGAACAGTGCGTTACAGTAATATTAATACATGGCCACACTGTCACCATTTATTCTGACGCTGTTCTGAGTGGGACGTAGATAATTACATATTATGTATCCTGAGTAATCCGTATAAGAATAGCGGCCGCGGATCGGACAGCCGAAGCCGAAAAAAAGAGGATCGACGACGTGATTCGAGGACACACCGAATTAAGTAATTACCTCTCGCGGGCTGCCTCGTCCGCGCGCCGTGTCTATCGTACGGTCTCGAAACCGGGCAAAGCAGGCACGTTGACAAGGCTTCGTATTCGTGTGGTTTTTGCATATATATTGAATTGCCTACCCAAACTACCTACCTCATACCTATTATCTGCCTAGATATACGCGTATGTAGGTATGTATATATGTATGTACGTAGATGACATGATAACATGATATCCGCGTACATAAAGAAACGAGACGAAAAAAAAAAGCCGCGGGCTCTCCGAGGCAGCGGTTTCGTCTCACCCAACAAGGCAAGTAGGCAAGTAGGCAACAGATTAGATGCAGCAGGCACGCGCATAGGCAATTCTTACCTACCTGCACTTCACATACACAACCCGGAGATGAACTTTCTCTTCCAAAGCCTGCCTAATACCAACCCACCGACCAACCCATCCAAACCACAACATCAGCAGTAGCAGCAACGGCAAAGGATTCCCTTCCTCGCCCTTACATCTCCCCCCAAGTCTCGGCTGCAGACCTCTATGATTGGGCTTGTTCTACATCCACATACGGCCGGTGTGTATATGTGTGCCAGATCTCCTCGGTGACAGCCACGGTTCCTTCCTTCTTGGGTAACGTAAAGGCGTATATATGCACGAGCTCCGTGTAAGAGTTCATGCAAGGGAGCCGCAAATCTGTAGAAGTCTGTCTATTTCAGACATTTAAGACGTCTAGACGCATGTAAGTTCGGTAGATCGGTGTAGGTAGGTAGTAGGTATGGTAGAACACACATACATACATGCACGCGAGGCTAGCACATGGCAACACAGAGGAGAAAAATAAGCGGCTTAGACACCGATAGGTATGAAGCGAGGCGAAAAAAGGCGTCTGTTTAGCAGCAGCAGCAAAGCTTGCACAAGAAAGCCTGGAACGAGGCATCCTATCTGATCTGTGTACAACTCATCGACCCGCCTCTTCCTGCTTCAGCCGAATCATTGCTCGATGGGGAGGGGGATATAAAAGCCGGGATATAAAAAAAAGCACAACGGCCTGACTTCCACCCAAAGCCTTGCCGTCGTCATCATCACCATCACTGTCACCTCTTTCATCAGCCCAGAATCAATAAACCCCCGTAAAAACAAAAAGCCCGCCCCGCCGCATTCCCATCCCTAACGACCTAGCAACAGCAGCAGGGAGAAAAAAAGTTGCTAGCATGCTAGCAAAGCAGCGATCAAAATAACGTCATCAAGAATGGTATTTCCTCCACTCCCTCATCACCAGCACCCTTCCATCGATCCATCACCCATACAACATCATCGTTCGAAAGAGTACCACTCAACCAAGCATCGAAGAAGACTTAAAAAAGGCCAAGCAGAACAACAGGATAAAGCATACCCATCCCTAAACCGCATATCTACCAACTCCATGTGCCCAAACTCTCAGTTGTGTGTTTCTCCCTCGACCCTTCCCCCAAAACAGCAAAGAACAAAAAAATCAGAGCGTTTAAAAAAAGTGTCAAACGGTATCCATGAGTTAATCGCAGTTCCAAAAAACATTCGAAGGCATAAAAACTCAAAGCCACGCCTGCCCAAAAATGTCGGGGAATAGAAGAAACACACCCCTTAAATATGTCGCAATTTCTCAGTCCCACCACTCAAGTGAATGGGTAGATAAGTATTTTCCGTTCGGTTTAACGCGAGGGACCCTCGATCGGGCTGACGGGATGACTCCGGGCAACGCTGAGGTCGGTGCTAGCAGTACGTCTCAGGGCCTGGGACATGGTCTCGATGTTGAGATCGCCGTTGACGGAGAGGCTGTGTTCGGCTGAAGTCGGGCTCCCGAGAGGTTTCCTTATAGGCGACATGCTAAGTCCCTTGATAGATCCGGAAATGCTATTCGGCGGCGACGTTTCCGGTCCTTGCGAGGATACAGGTGATCTTATCGGTGACGGCGATCGGTTGACTCCCCTCGATCCGATGGAGGTTAGGCCGGCTAGGTGCATCGAGTCCCGACTGCTGTTCGGCGGCACTTGTTCTGCCTGGACGACATCTGCAAATGATATGAAGCTTAGACGCCTAACGTCGGCGGAGTCGAGAGAACCGTAGTTTGAGGCAGATTCCTCCTTGTCGGAGAAAGCGGCCAGGTCCTCGGCCCATGAATTAGACGAGGTCTCGAATGCGGAGGCACCGGTCACTGTCACACTTGCGGGTTGATGCGCATTATGAGTGACAATTTCGACGGAATCGGGGTTAAGATGGTTATCCGTGATGGCTTCGGAAGAGGCGTCGAGGACGGGAGGGATGTAGTTTTCGGTTTGTATGTGAGATGGAATTGCGGGTGAATTAGGTATGATGACAGAGCTCTCTTGAACGTCTCGTTCGAATATTTGAGAGCCAGCAGGCGAACTTAATCGTGGGGACGACGAATAGAGACCTCGGCTAGGTGAAGATGGTGTCATATTCGGGCTACCGGCTTGAATTGGCGAGCCGGTTGTCGACCGTTTCGATGATGTTTGAGGGACATCTCTTATTATTGCCGGAGGATTCGATACGCCTGATGCAGATCTGGAGGGAGATTTGTTGACAGACTTAGGGTCGACCTTCTTCTTTCCAAAACCAAACAGACTGCGCTTCTTTGATTTTGCATCGACTTTGGTTGAATCGTGTTCCATCTCCTTCTCGTTGGGTTCTGTGATTGTTGATGTGGAGCTACCGGTGGTGATATGACTCTTCCCACCTGTTTCAGGAGAAGAATCCTTCTCCCTGCTAGCTTTTATGGAAGCTGCTGGTTGAAGAGTCATAATGGTGCTCAGGTGGACCGGGAATCGAGGCTTAAGAATGGGGTGATTAACGGGCAACGGGTTAATGAGTGATATTTATCTTCTGGAAAATGCCAGGGATTATTAGCACGGGACCAAAAATGACGAAACAAACACCAACGGGATCGTAAAGACCGGGCGGACTAGTTAGACTAGTTCCAGAATGGTGAACAATGATGTTGTCGTTGTTAGTTGCAAGGATCGAGGACCAACATCAACATTGTAAACGTTGTATGAACGTTGTATGTAAACGTCTGGCATTAAAAAAGAGAGAGAGTAGGTAGGTATGTGGTTACATGAACGGACCTGAAGGTCTGGGCCTTTATGACTTAAACAAGCCAAGGTGGTATTGCCCATATACTCCAATCTCTTATTCCTCACACATAATAAATTATCGGGGTATTTCAATATGGATAGTACGGATATGGATATAAATAAACTGGCACTTACCCTCCGTAGACCCAGACCCACGTTCGCGATTGAGACGAGAGGAGAAGCTGTATCGTCGGATTGGTCAAGTTGCCAAGTTCGACCAACGATAGAATCGAATCTGCTTTTCTCGCCGCCGTGGGAGGAGTAGCAGCAGTGGGGGAATAATGTGTAATAACGGTAATAACGGTGACGATAATAGGAGAATATCTTTGCGTCTGCCTATTGCCCTACTGCCCTATGGCCTTAAACTGCTGCTACCGTTACTGCTACTGCGGCTGCGGCTGCGACTGCGACTGCGGATGCTGCAGATATGTAGGTGCAAGTGGATTTAGAAGTAGAAGTGGATGGAGTGGATGAGCAAATGCGAGTGCAGCACGATGCAAGAGAATGCAAGTGTGCAATTCGGGGTAGGAGGTGTTGGAGATCCTGTCGACGATCTTTTCGTTCCAAGTATATACGTAACAAGACCAGACCCAAAAGAGGAGGAACCAGATGATAGGTAGCGTCGATCAGCAGTCCTGCGGTAGGGGTCGATGACGCCGTTAACAAACTGTCCTGTTATGCCTTGACAGTGGCCTGTACCTTAAAGGCTAAAAGAAGTAAAGAGAAGTCTGTGCCCTTTTAGAAGGTTGAAAATGACGATGATGGCCGGGAAAGACGCAAAAAACCCCAAGGACGAGTTCGTATAAAGTGGCCTGGCCTGCCTGGATTAGAGACGCAGCTGGACTAGGATCGGACGGACTAGCCGGCCATTAATTGAGGCCGAAAAGGGAATGTTAACGAGGTGATTGGGAAGGGAGGAAGAGGGAATTCAAATAAAGAATGACGGGATCAACGGGAAGCTAAAGCTCGGGAGATGTCTCAAATAATATCTGCGAATCTTTACTCGTCAGAGATTCAACAGTTCGAGGTGTTCGAGGTGTTCAAGGCGTTCAACGTTGGATAGCAACGATCAAATTCCAATGTAGGAACAGCGCGGGTGGTGCTAAATGATTGCTTGCTCTAAGCTTGCTTTTTCTGATCCTCTTCGGGTCCCAAGCAAGCTTTGCTGGGTCACTTGGCACTTCTTTTTTGGCCTTTTTTCCCAAGGGTTCTTAGCTTGTGTTGTTAATATTGTGTCTGTGTACTATGCAATGTACGAAATGTACGAAGCATTTGTCAACTGAGACACAAAAGCTAATAAGGGTGACTAGAGACCGGACTAGAGACTGGAAGGACAAATATCCTGACTCTGACTCTTGACTCTGAACTTTGATATTGAAAAGTTGGGGGATAATGTAATGATAATAATAAGATAATAAGATAATAATATCGGTGTCACGCTGTCACGTCAACACGAGTGGTACCTTGACTGCTTGAACATAAAGCACAACCTGGAAGGCATAAGTTTAGGATATGAATAGAATATGAAATAAATAAGAGCAATGAGATATTTGGGGAACCATCACAAGTCTTGCATATCTTGCTCATAAAACTGTTCTAAAAAAGGGGGGAAACTGGGCAACGATATGCGACGTCACTTATGGTGACAGATCCCCAATGATCTTCGAGGAACGCGAATAAGAAAATGGGGCAAGATGATGCCAATCTTTTCTTCTTCTTTTTTTCTTATTTTTCTTTGCTTTTTTCTTTTTTTTTTCTTCCAATCTTTCTTAAGCCAAGACCACCATTAAGGTTCTTATTCTTCAATAATAAGGTCAAATATTAGCTGTCGGTCATGGTTAAGGGAATAGTCACCGTAATCCCACTTGCGACTACGAAACTGATTATGAGCCAGGACGAGTGTCAAAGGGAACGATGACGACTATTGATTGGACCTGCATCAACCCGGTGCAGCGTCGCATAAATTCAATGCAATCCCACGGGCTGAAAATAGGTAAGACGATGAAAAGTTGAGACGACCAGGACGACCAGGACGAGACCAGCACCATTTAGTTGCTGACACAGCCCTGATCGCATCCAAGGGAAACCAAGGGCAACCAAGAGCAGTCGAATCAAGCCACTAAGCCACCGAAGAACTATTTCTTCACTAAAAGATAATCTGATATCTCATATTATCTCATATGCCGGATGCCATTATCCACTTCCAGCTGATCCAGATCGGGAAATAATAAGATAGAATCATATCAATACTTCATCGAAGCCTCGTGATGATGAACAAGGGGTAGACAAAAGAACTTCATCTCATCCCACGCAGCCATCAGCCATCATGATGTTAAGCCGTCTTACGAAAAACAAAACTTCAGATTAGAATACAAAATGAAGATAAGAATAACCGGACGAAATTGGCTCGAATCTGGCTCGGGCACATGAAACGTCGAATTCGACCTAAGGTGTGCGCAGGGTACGAAAGGTACGAAGAGTACGTCGAGATACGTGGGCACTTTCATGAGGGGTCGTCTTTCCCCTCCTTCTCCATTGGACGAAAAAGGATGGTTAAGTCAAAGAAGGGGGTATTCGAGTAGGGGGGGTATTCGATACCCCCACTTTTTGTGGTGAGACCTTAATCATATATGGTATAACGCGGTACATTGGGACCAAAAAGCTAAATTCTCAGCTTTTTATTAGTTTATAAAGTTTTTATTATTATTTTAAGTATAATTTTTTAATAACGATTAATTAAATTTTATTATTAAGTTTAATTAAAATTAATGTATTTTTTTTTTTTTATTTAACGCGTATAATATTTTCGATTTAAATAAAAAATTTATTTTAATAATTATTAATTTTTTTAAATTTAACGTATTTTAATTTAAATTTAATTAATTAATTTACGAATACGTTAACGCGGATAAAAATTTTTTATAATTTTAATATTATTACGTAATATTTTAAAAATAACGAATTAATTAACGAATTTTATTAAATAAAAATTAACGTAAATTTTATATAATAAAATTAAAATAAAACGTAATTAAATAATTTTATAACGATTTATTAATTAAATATTTACGTTAAACGAAAATAATTAAATGTAAATTAAAAAAAAAAATATTTATATAAAAAAAATATTTAATAAATTTATTTTTATAATAAAATTTTAATTATATATAATATAACGTAATATATTAAAAATTAAAAAATAAATTTTTAATTTTTTATTAATTTATAAAATTTTTATTATTATTTTAAATATAATTTTTTAATAATAATTAATTAAATTTTATTATTAAATTTAATTAAATTTAATATTTTTTTTTTTTTTATTTAACGCGTATAATATTTTTAATTTAAATAAAATATTTATTTAAATTATTTTTAATTTTTTTACGTTTAATACGTTTCGATTAAAATTTTTCGATTAAATATTTACATTAATTTTCGAACTTAATTAATTAATTTATAAATATATTAATAATTTTTTTTATTTTTTTAAAAAAAAATTATTTTATTAAATCGTTTAAAAACTTAAAATAAACATGTTTAATAATTTTAATAATATTACGTAATTTTTTTAAAATATTAAATTAATTAATAATATTAATTAAATAAAAAAATAATAAAAATTTTAACGTTAAAATAAAATAAATATAAAAAATTTTATTACGATTTATTAATTAAAAATTTACGTTAAATTACGTTAAAATAATATAATTAAAAATAAAAATTAATAATTATATTTTACGATAAAAGTTTAAAAACTTAAATTTTTTAATTAATATAATAAAATTAAAATTAATTAATTATTTTTTTATTTAAAAATAATAATAACGTTTTAATAAATTAAAAATTTTTACATTAAAAAATTAAAAAATATAAATAATATAAAATAATAAAAATAATAATTAAATTTTAATTTAAAAATTTTTTTATATAAAATTATTTAATTCGTAAAAATTATAATTATTAAAAATTAATAATTTTTTTTAAAAAAAATCGATAAAAATTAATTTAAAAATAAAAACTTTTTTTAATTAAAAAAAAATAATTTATTCGTTCGTTTAATTATTTATTAACGATTTAAATCGTTAATTTTTAAAAAAAATTAAATTTAAATAATTATTAAATTATTAAATTTATACGTTAATTTTTTTAAAAATAATAATTAAATTAAAAACTTTATTATTTATTAAAATAATTTTTAAAATAAAAATTTAAATATATAATTTATTTTATTAACGTAAAGTTTTTTTTTTTTTCGATTAATTAATAATAAACCCGTTATTTTTACATTTTTTAAAAATTTTTATTTTATTAAAATTTTAACGATTTAATTAATTAATCGTTTAAATATTAAATGTTTTATATTAATTAAAAAAAATATTAATAATTTTAAATATAATTAATTTAATTCGATTTAAATTAATTAAAATTAAAAAAAACGTTTTAATTTATTTATATTAATTTAAAAATATATAAACTTAATTTTTTTTAAAAAATTAATCGTTTTCGTTTATATAAAATAAACGTATAATTAAAAATTTAATTTAATAATATTTTAATTTAAAACTTAATTCGTTTTAATTATATAATTATATAATTAATTTATTTTTTTAATTTATAATTAAACGTTATTAAAAAAAATAAACTTTAAAAATTAATTAACGGCCGTTAATTTAATTTTAAAAAATAAAATAAAAAACGTTTTAATTAAAAATAATTTTAATAATAAAAATATTATTAATAATAATAATTTTAATTATTTATTCGAACGTTAATTAAATATAATTTTTTTTATAAAATATAATATATAAAATTAAACGTTTTAATTAATTAAATAATATTAAAAAAACTAAAAAAAAAAAAATAAAATTAAAAAAAAAATAAAAAAAAAATACATTAAATATATATTAAAAAAAATAACCCGTATAATATATTTATTTTTTATTAATTAAAGTTTTATTATAAAAATAAATTTATTAAATATTTTTTTTATACGAATATTTTTTTTTTTAATTTAAAAATTAATTATAATAAAAGTTTAAAAATTTATAATTTTTAATTAAAATAATATAATTAAAATTAATTAATTATTATTTTTTTTAACTTTATAAAATATAACGTATAATATTAAGTTTTTTAATTAATTCAAGTTTTTTAAAAAAAAAAAAAAAAAAGGTACGTCGAATAAAGTGGACCGTTTTACTGCATTCACTTCTCATTGGTTGAGGTCTCACCACAAAAGTGGGGGTGTCGAATACCCCCCCTACTCGAATACCCCCCTCTTTAACTTAAATTGAATTGAAGGACTTGGACTCTTCCCTTCCTGTCTTCCAAAGCTTGTCAGGGGTAGGGCCGATACCTTGGTACTTGCAGCTTTAGGGCAGCACGGGACCAACTGCATTTTGAGCTGAAGACTCGGCCATCGGCTCCTTTCGACTTTTTGGGTTTGTGCATTGAACACGGTGAACAGCTTACGTTATGTAAGCCCACAATTTTCTGTGTCGAGCTGTTGGGACCTGGTCCCTGCTAGATGATACCCCACCTTAAGAATATTACATAATCAATGACATGACTAGTTTTTATCACGTGACTACGCATCCACCCCGGGCCGTGAAAGATTCCGATAAAAATTATAGCACGGCATCACCTAATCCGAGTTCGACCCGAGAAAATAATTTGACGGCACATCGAGCTCCCAGGTCGGAATCGGAGGCAAGAGGAAGACAGCCATTCAATACGACCCTCAATTAGGTCAACCTCTCTCCGAACCAACATTGATCACTTTCCATACTTCGTCCAACATCTAAACATCCAAATCTTCACAACCGCCACCATCAAACCAACCGCCAAAATGGAACCGCGATCCCTCCACCCACTCCTCCGCACCATCGCCAAACCCCGCGCCTCGCCAACCCTCACGACCCTCTCAAGATCCTCAATCCAGCGGCAGCAACGCCACCAATCCACCACAGCACGCACAAAGCGCGCCCTAAAAATCGCCCCTCACCCCTCCTTCCTGAACACCCCGCAAACCGGCTCGCACGTAATCTTCAACCCGCCCTCGTCGAAGCCCTCCGTCTACCACACGCCCTTCAAGTTCCTCCCGCGCAGCGACCCGCGGCGTCGCGCGAACCTAACCCAGCTCTTCCGCTCCTCCGCCGACGTGCCCAATGCCTCGCCCACAACCGCTTCTGGCACCAACACCGCGGACCTCCCCCCGCAGCTGCCCGAGCCGGAACGCAAGTACAACGTCACCAAGGAGCAAGTCGCCGAGATGCGCGCCTTACGCTCGCGAGACCCCGAGCGCTGGAGCGTGCTGAAGCTTGCGGAGAGGTATGATTGCCGGCCGCTCTTCGTCATGATGTGCTGTCGTGCGAGCGCGGAACATAAGGATAGGGAACGCGAGAGGCTGGAGGCTGTGAAGGCTAGGTGGGGACCGATGAAGACTCTTGCGCGCGAGGATCGGAAGAAGAGGAAGGTGCTTTTGCTTAAGGATGCTTTATGAGGTGGTTGAGATGGGTTGGTTGGGGGCTGGGTGCGTCTACGACTAGGCCTGTGGGTATGATCATGGTCACGGTGAAGGTTAGGGGTGGTCTTGTCTGTCTGTCCGTCTACTCACTTAGGTTATTGGGTACCTCATCTATCGATTTATGGTATTCGGCCGGTAGAGTCTGGGAGGGAGGAAATATGGGACATGGTACCTGGGACGAGGACCGAGATTTAAGGAATCGACAATCTCCTCTATGGTGTTAAGGGAGGGGATACGGTTTATATCTATGAAAAACAAGGGGCTTTTGACTTGAAGATAGAAGGTTAGCCTAGGGGTCAAATGAGACAAGATGGAACGACTGCAACTCATGGCCGTAAGAGAGAATATGTTGATATATATGTATACAAGAACTAAATAAACAAAACATGAAGATATAAAGTGTATATCACTGATGAAATATGGCATCGTCAGCATCAAACGAAAATCAACGCATCTCAGAATGCTTAGTCAACGCACCTTTAAATCCACGAGCACGTTATCCCGAGATTCCGGGAGTCATCTTTGCCTTCCATTTTAGCACATTATATCGCCACCATACAAAAGTGAACTTGCCTACTAGATCAGTATACTAATATCCGCAAGTATCTATCACATCCAACAACACCAAATCCAGCCCATGAATTTTTATTTACGTGGTCATATATCATTTCTATTAGTTACCCACGCACCCCAAGTTCCTCATGTACCTATTCATACTGATACGTAAGTACCCAGGTCAGTCGAAGCCCAAGCTCTCACCCCAAACCACCCATGATCCACCCATCCGCGCCCTCATATCCGGGACGCGATGCAGTTCGGTTCAGTTCAGTTCAGTTCGGCTCGGTTCATTAAACTCTATATGCATCAAGACTTTTCCCACTCCCTTTTCTCTCGCCTCCCAAAATGCCCAAATAGTCTCATATCCTCATAACTCAACACCGTATTCCTAAACCTCACTCTCACTCATTCCCTATCCTCCTCCCCAACCATCTTCATCTTCCCCTTCCCCTTCCCCATATCCCCCCTCTCCCCCTCCCCAGCCTTAACAACAACCCCCTCCCAGTCCTTCTTCCCAGGAATAACCCTCCAGCACCATCCACACCAACTCCGACTCTCCCCCCTAACCTCCCGCCCCAAAATCTCCCCCTTCTTCTTCTCGTCCTCCCACTCCGGCACACACGCCCCCACGCGCACCATGCGCATGAGCTTAGTCTTCACAACCCCACCAATCCCCTCGATCTCGTGGCGCGCGTACCCGGGCCGTAGCTGCGGGCTAGGCGTCCGTCGTTCACCCGGAGGAGACCCGGTGACGGAGGAGGCGGGGGAGGGCGTTGTCCAGGGGGATAAACTGCCGTTGCCGTTGCCGAAGTTACTATTAATCTCGTCTTGCTCGCGCGCGTCCGCGGCATCGCAGTCCGTTTCCTGCTCGCGTTCTTTGGAGCCGCAGCACGCGGCTTCGCGGCCGCAGATGACGCCGCGGTCGCCTTCGCCGATGCCCGTGCCGAGGCCGCCGAGGACTTCGCCGTATAGGTTGCGCCACTTCCAGATGCTGTGTTGGGTTAGCTTCGACGCTTAGGAGGTAGGGGGAGTGGTCATGTGATGGGGAGTGGCAAATGATGAGAGGAACGTACGACTTGTAGTCGTGGTCGGCTCCGCGGATGCTCTTCCCGCAGGGTTGGCAGAGCCAGACCCCTTCCGAGTCGCAGGTGCATATCGCTAGGCGCATCTCGTCCGCGTCCGCTGTGGTGTCGGCCCGTAGTTGTGGTTTCACAAGGCTTCCGAGCGGAGCTTTGCTGCACGGGACACAGAGTCGGCGATGTCTGTCCCGGAGCATGCTTCGGGAGGGTTGTTTGATCGTGCAGTTCTGCCGGACGTGGTTATCAGTGATGTGTTCCGACGGTACTAGGTATGTTAGGCATTGACCATGTGACCAGAATGCTTACCCGGCAGACGACCGTCCCGCACCTCCTACACTCGGCCACCATATCCCTCGCGCAGCTCCCGCTCTTGCCACTGGGGTCCCCGATTCGACCGTCTTCCGTACCAAACAAGTTCCATGCGAGGGCACGATAGCGGAAGGTAGCTTCGGGGTCGATAGGGACGTCTTCGTAGGCGCAATGGAGTGTGTGCGCGAGGACTACGCTGCGGTATTGCAGGAGGGCCTGGCGTACCTGACGACAGGTTTTGGATAGGTTATCGAGAGTGTTTAGATCGATGGACGACGCAATCGCCATAACGATACTGGTGGATGTCGAGTCAGCCTTGTCTCCCCCACGGCCTCAGACTCGAAGTACTGATAGCCGAAAGGGGAGGATCTGCAAGTAGAAAATGCCATAAGTGAGGTTGCGTCTGCCTACGGATAACATCCGAGAGCCTCCGCCATCCCATTATGCTCGTTGAGGTTCTCGGGTTCGCGGTCTATTATGTTTGGCTGGCTCTGTCCCTCCTCATTCTTAGCCGGAGCTGTCCCTTCAGCTCCCGACGACAGCTGTTGTAGCTGCTGCTGTATTCTCTCGCCATTCCACTGAGGTTTCAGGCCGTAATGATGCGTCTGAGGTGGCTCAGCCTCCTCGTCGAGGTCTACGAACAAGGCCATGTTTGATAAGGATGAGGAAAAAGATCGACGTCACGGATTGGTGAGATAGGTGAGATAGGGAGATAAGAGTAAGAAAAAGAAGAAGACTACTTTAGACGCCGGATTAGAAGAAGAGAAATTAAAGGGGAAAGAGAGAGTAATATGAATATATCGGCAAAAAGGGCATTGAATAGGTAATTTGTAAAATTTGGAGACTCAGAGACTCAAAATACCCTTGAATTGTCTTAAACGAACAACTCCCGAGCCGGCAAACCCCAACCGTTGCGGTTTATGGATTTATGTTTGGACGATGGGACATGGGATTGACACCGCATCATCCAAAATTTCTACGACACGCCAAGGAATAACCCAATTGCTGATGTATCTATTAGATGTACTGTACGGTCGCGGTACTTTCACTTTACTAGTCCATCATTACATGGACGAACCTGAATGAACGTACCTGCTTCGTATCGTCATTATCAGATCCATACCTGCATGTACCTACACGCTTTTAATAGAGTTACCGGCTCGCCCGTAGCGGGTAAGTGGGGTGAGCTAGTTCGTTACGGCGGAGGCGTGAGAAAGCTCCAGGGCTGCCTGAGGATCAGCGCTACCAGGCGCTAGTATCGCTATGATTTCTCCGTTACCTAACAGAATGGATCCGTCGAATGTATCTATATGTAAATGAACAGGTACGATTCTTATTTCTTTTCACTCAATTGCACATGTATAAATAACCTTACTTCACGGGATAATTTCAATTCGAATTGGAATAAGAAGAAACGGTCAATTGACGAGAAAACGGCACGACGAAACACGATCCTTCAACCCCAAATCCAAGAAATCTCACGATGTTAACAAACACTACATGTGTAAACCAACAATTGGACTCCCCCCAAAACAGCCCTAGACCGTCAAAGTACACGATACCATCCTATACTTCGTAAAATATGCATTCATCTTGACGCCATTCTAGTCATCAGGGGCAACGCTGCAGTCCGCTCCCCATCTAGGTTAGGTTCCCCCCTCTCGCTAGAAATCCGAAAGGGCACGCCTTAGTCCTATGGATGTACCCCTAGCTGCTAGGGAGGTAGCTAAGCTTAAGGGTCCCCAACATACATTGCTCACTTGACCTGCAGCTCGAGCTGTCGTGAGACCACGACGGCATGGCAGGTCTCAGTTCGCAGCTTCACACCGTCGAATCGCATTTAATACAGGTACCTAAGTTGCAGACCGCCGGCCGGCGCAAAAAAGAAGTACCCGGACGAATAGCTTTCTATTATCATAAACGTGCTAGATCGTCTCAGACATATGTATGTATGTATATCCATATGATCGATCGTCTTTTATGGATCCCTTAACAAGCTTTCCCCAGCCAACTTTTCCTCTCTTCTCTTCCCCGTCTCGATTCGTGTCACGTATTTTGGATACATAGACAGATGTGACGAGGCATGTGATCTCGGGAAGGCATTATAAATAGTAAATATCATAGCGTGTTTAACGTATATAATTCATATGCATATCTTCAATGCCAACGCAGGAAACCCCGGATCAGTTACCGATTTCAGCTCGCGAGGAGATAAAATTAGTCATAGTCGTCGACCCCCAGTTCCACATCTCCCGCGTGACAGACTGTTTCTAGAAATCCAAATTAAGTACCTAGGTATTAATCTCAACCCATCATTTCTATAACGTAGCTCCCTCCCCCCCCCTAAAACGCTATGAGGCAGACTATCTACTTTATATACCGCAGCCTAAAAACCCCCACGTAAATCACCAAGCGAACACCATGAGCGCAGGGTTCAACGCAACCGGTAGTAAGAAGTGGCACCCCACGATCCAGGCGAGCGGCCATATGGACGCTAAGTGCTTGATTCTCCACTCGATGGGGAACGCGAAAGCGCCGCATACGAGTAAAGCCGTCATCGCAGCGCACCAAAGAAAGGTACCCTTGAATCGGCGGAGCAGGCGCGGTATCTCCTCGAGGAAGTTGACCTCTTCGTACTCCTTAGACGTCGCACCCCAGGTCATGTCGATGCTGAAGAAGTGACTAAGGAGCGCTTGCGACACATGCAGAGACAAGCCGCCTAAGAATATAGTCATCAACGGGACCCATTTGAGATTGCTCCAGACTAGCGGTGAGTGAACGAATAGTTAGTCTCTTTCCCTACCGTGATGCTTTTAGGTATAGTAAGGGGATGGAACGGAACTTACAAGCTGCAATGAGCCCTTGCTGGTTCAGCCGATACCGCAGGACGGCCAACGCGAAATTGCCAAACCCTGTAAAGACAACAATGACAGAAATGTATATGGCAAACGAGTCTATGTAGAACTTGTCATATAATCCAAAAAACCAGCCGGATAAAAAGTAGTTCATGAGGGTCAGGATCCAGCAAGCGCCGATAGCATAGTACGTGCCGATATAGGTGCAGATGGTGAGCTTCTTGGGTAGGTGAATGTTCGATGATAGGAACGTTCTAAAGAGAGGCGTGATAGGACCGCGGGTGAGCCAGTATCTAAGAGGATGAAACATCAACTCATTGCAGCCATATGCATACTTCTCCCATCGAGCCAACTCATCGTACACTGTTAGAGAGACACCCTCCTGGAAGCCTTCTCCGGTATAAGATGCGAATCTGAGATCATAGCCGGCACACTGGAGTCGAAGAGCCATATCGAAATCTTCCGACACATGAGATTCAGACCAAAATTTCTCATAGTCGTCCTCGTCCTGGTATGAAGCGGCATCTTGGATAGCAGTCCATCGCAGTATGGCGTTGTGACCAACAAAGGGACAGGCATCGCCATTAGCCACCACAAAGGTGATCGCCGAATAAATGAGGTTGGTAAACCATGTAACACTACGAGAATGTTAGTAAGTTTGCATATCTTTCGTTTCTGAGGATTATCTTAGCTTACCCTCCCTCGAAGAAAGAAGTAGTTACCCGCATGACGCCGGATGTAAATTGTAATATAGCCACTTGTGGAGACTGTTCCATCTCACTGACAGCATCTAGCAGGCAATCATGTGGCACACGAGTATCCGAGTCGATGATGAGGATATAGTCGCCGATACGGATATTTCCCTCGGCCCAAGTGCGACCATCATCCTCTTGTAGGACTTCGGCAAGGCATTGCTCATATGCGACTAGTTCATCCGTTTGAGACCAATGCGGCGTTCTAGGAACTTGGACAAGCTTGTCCTCAACACGGTTGCTGACCATCATGGCATAATTCATGTTCGATGCCTTCTTGAACTTTCCACGCCGAAGAAAAGGTCGGCTACCATCGTCTGGTTTCGGATTGTGCTTCGGCCGAGAAACCCAACCTATATTATGCTCGTCGTAGAAGTCGCGTCGGGTTTGGGCTTCCTCCTCCGGGATCAGTTGCATTCCGTCATCATTCACGAAGATGTTAGCCGAACCGCCTTGCAACTCATAGGTCGATATACATTGCTTGAGTGATTGGATGGTCGGCATGATGACACCCTTCAAGCCTTCCTTGTAAACAGGCATCTGGATGGTGACATGGGGTAGATTTTGGGTCTCTCGGTTGATTCTCCTTGGCGACTTTCCAGAATAAAACCTCGAATTTTTGTCGACGGCAGATATTGGACCAAATGTTTGGAAAAGATTGGTAATCAGGGATTGGAAGAAAAACATGGCCACCCACATCTCGACTGGGATGACAGCAATGAGTGCCAGTCGAACATACGAACCGTCCGTTTCGACCTCGTAAGCTAGAGATCTCAGACCAAGACCCATACAACATATACAGAGAGCCAGAGTTGCGCCCACGATGCATGAACTGCTCAGTTTGATCCTCCTTTGTTCTGGTTCGGGTGCTGCCGCCTCCAAATCCATCCCTGTAACCTCGACATCGACACCTGGATTCTTTTCAGCTCGCTCGGCCTTCTCCTCCTCTTGCTCCTCCTCTTCTCCCCCATGACCCCAGATCATCTTCATCAGTTGTGCTTCCAGGGCATCGGCCCTTGCCAGAACTTTCTTCGGCTCATCGTCCCAAACAACTAAGATCTGAAGATCCTGGATGAATGCAGCAAAGTGATGCTTCTGGCATCCAGGTAGCTCGCGCATACTGGGTAATACCTGCAAGCGAAGGCCATCAGAAAGTGGAATATAATCGTAGGTCTTCCTTTTCGAGGCAAGGATAACATTAATAACTCTGGTGTTAATGGTCATCGCGCACTATGGGAATGTCAGCATCGAATTCATTGGATATGGAAAAGGTATATATGTACCCGGACATTCAGTTCCATCGACATGTCATACAGGCCGTATGGTATATCTCGAAGCTGTGGCGGGCAACATGTATAGTTATTTTTTCCCTTTTTAAGCACGACACCCTCACCGGGGAGCATGCCGGTTGCATATTGCCTTTCTAGCTGTTGTTGGTATAACCAACTACAAACAACATCGGCTTTGACATGGAGGATGCTCTCTTTATCATTCCTAAAATCTCCTGTAGGAAATATGGAATTCGTAGATACAGATTCCGATCGCGACAAATACGGCCGTCTCGATGCTGTTACGTCTGAGGCAAGAACAGCGTCTGGGATCGGAGGGGGGACGATAGATCCTGGGCTATTCAGGCCAGTTTCCTTGGGTTCTGTTGCTGGTTGATTTTCATGATTTTCATCCTCCTTGGCACGACCCGGCGCAAAGTACGATTTAATGAAACCCATTTCAGAAGATCATGGGAGGGAAGAGAAATGACTACCACGCCGACTTTGGACGGACCCATGCAAGAACGAGCGACAGAAACGAACGAAATCTTCCTTTTGAAAAATAATATATGATAGGATCTTGGCGACCTGGAAGGGATGATAAATGCGAGGAGAAAAGTGGCCCGAGAAAGGTCTATAGCTTTTGATTTTGCGACGCCATGATCTTTTTCCTGAGGATACTTTGCCTACAGCTGTAAAACCAATAAGTCCTTAGGGCGTAATAAAAGGGTAAGCTGAGAAGGGTCTCTAAAGGGCTAGAAGATAACGTTCAAGAATAATATCCGTGAGCAGCTCGAAGAATCGAGGAGCATGCCCGAAGCCACGAAATGGATACACGATAAGACGGAGAAGGGTTTTGACTACGGAACTAAAGCCATATTCTATGCTGCGACAGTTTAGCAACCCCCCACTTGGCCAGCTGGAAAAGATAATGTGTACGAAGTAACTCCGTATTGATGTTGATACGGGTTTTTGTGCGTTAAAGAGCCAGCTGGTAAGCATCGGTGGGTAGCAATAGGAATGGAGTTGCTGCAGAGACTTGATAGTCGCAAGGGGTGGCAGAGGCTAGCCTCTGGCGGCTCGTAGTTCTCGACCAATCTGCCAACCGATCGATTCCATTAAAGGGAGAGCGTGCAATAAACTGCGAATACACCTTGCATGATATCGAACAGGGGTAGTAACTGCATCATTAATTCAGCAGTACTACTATGTTGAATTTGGAAGGCCACCTATGGCCGTTCAGCCACAAGCGCAACCCTAGGAGCGAACAGCATCGAGGTTTGCTCTTGGCTCGTCTACTAAGTGGTCAGCTTGAAAACTATTGATACAGGGCTGGAGATCCTAGCATCGAAATGTTGGATCTATTTCACGCCGCGAACGTCGAAAGATAAACGAGCATGGCCTAGAAGGCCTAGATGCCATGTACAGAGAAGCTGGATGACCAACCCTCGCTTCCTGCACCGTTTAGAATTTGGTGAAGCGGCGTGGAAATTTATTGTCTCCATTGAAGCGCCGGGTCTTGACTAATTTCAGAGTGGCCGGTAATGCGACGCTGACCATTCAACAAGACTCATTAAATGATCTATCATTTTTTAGAAAGGCTGCGAGATAATATCTGTTGGATGACCGTAGTTCGCTAAGATAGCCGCTTCCATGTAGGTCGCCTTAAATGGTAAGATGAAAATGGAAGTAAAAGTGAAAGTGAGAGTGAAGAGGGTTGCAATCCGCAAACTCGGGTAATATCTAATAAACTGTGATAAGCTCCCGCGTGACCCACAATTAGAACCCCTAATACCTGCCTGTAGCTACAAATTTCTAGGCGATAGGTAACATTGAGCGCGGCCACTAGCGGCTCACTTGTGATAGCTGGGTAGGCGCTCTTTAGCACTACCGGCTCTAGCGCCCGGAGATCGGCTCCTGGATGAAGCCGGATCTACGATCCTACTGCTATTAATATATACTTTATAGTTGATTGTAATAGAGTTGAATTAGACGAATTTCATTTTCACCATATTTTCCTTTGACTTTGAAGATGAGCATTACTTACCTAATCTACCTGATATATACCTAGAGTATGTTGAGTCTTAGTCTAACCCTAATTTTTCACTGTTCTCATAGGCTAGGTACCTACCTGTGGACTCGTACGGACTCATACATATACTTGCACCCCATTCTTTCCATTTGGATCTTTCTATAAAGAGCAACACCAAACGCAATATGAAATAGTACTTGATGAATTATCACGAAGTCATCAAGGAAGTACCTAAGTATGAGGTTTCATAGACCCCGAGCGCTACCCTATTCTTATGAGATTATCATTTATTTGCATGGCGAGGAGATGGGAGTACACACGCTTTTATATTCATGGTTCACAAGTATAGCGATTCCGTTAAATCCCTCGTTCCAGATCACTTAGCTTCGCCGGTTGCGTCTCGATACCCACGGAAGTTCGTCGATGCCGATCCCGCTTTGCGGCTTGAAGCCACATGCGTGTTGGCCGCGGCGTCAAGCAGGGAATTCGCACAGACGGATATCGTCTTCCATTTGAAGATCGACATCTAAGATTCGGACCGGCGATGACATGCTCGACTTTTCTAGGGACCCGCAATCCGAACGGGTCCAGATACGTAAAGTGATCTAACCACAGCGCACGACGCAGACGCAAAAGTTCCAGGCCCGGCGGATGGTCGAGGAGGCGCTTGAGAAAGGATAGCTGAGCAGATCGCATCCGCATTTTGCTATAAGACCATGTTCAACTTTTGCTTTAGGTCAGTAGAATAGCGCCACAAAGATATCGGATGCTACAGTTGATGATCCAATATAAGAGCCTTAAATCATTATCACAGTGGATATACCATCCACTTTACGGAGCGCAGAATCCAGGCATCGAATCCAGCAATAGTAAGGGTATGAGACAACCAGGGCTCGTTCGCTTGTTCAAGTCCCCTAGTGGAAGACTACCTACCAGGTCCTACCTACCTATGCTTGGGCGTGTATACTACCCTTTTCTTGACCGTGACACAACTAAAAGCCGAGGTCTGAGCAGGAAGATCCTACAGGTATAAAAAAGCCTCAAACGCTATATCCACCTGTAGCAATAATAACGGGAGGGAAGGGAATCCTAGGAAAATTTGGGAGAGTATCAAGAGCCTTCTTGACTAGATTTCAAATAGGTATCTATAGCGCTATTCTAATATCAAGGCATTGGGAATCCATGGTTGAATACTCTAAAATAAAGATAATATAAAAATTGTTTCTGATCGAGCATTTGTGGATGTATACTGGGTGTTTACCCGCGTGGTTATATAACTATAACGTTGCTATTAGCACCAGCCAATCCTCTGTGTATGCCAATTAGTATCCAGCTCTCTGGGCCAGTATAGTCCAAATAAGATAACCCTCAACTCAACTAGCTCAACCATAGGAACTTTTGCCACATGTCAACTTAGAAACGGTCCGTTTAATAACAGTGGAAATATGAATTCATAGTCACCCGAAGAGGTGGAGTTACACATCATATTTTGACGTTACGCGCCCCGTTGTTTCGTCAAAGATCGGAGATCTTCCCTGAGACAGACTTATCACAACTAAAAAGGTGGTATAGCTTTGAATAAGATCGCGTTCTATACTAGACAACCAGGACAGCTAGATTGTGATATAGACACGCATCGCATAGTACCCGTAATTATATTTTTCTTATCGCATAGGCTCTCGGAATGTTACCGAGATGGAGGATAATCAACGATTCGATTGGACACTAGAAGAATTAATATATTTCGCTTTGGTAGGGTGGGAGCTTGAGCGGGGCTACGCCGTCATCCTGCAGTTCTTGTTGAGCTTAGTCAAAAGACCCTGATATTTGTGATACATGATAGTCGAATAAAAAATGATAGAATATATTGATTTTTAAGAGTGTAAAGCTGTTTATATGTTGATATCTTGACTTAATATTTGGATGGATTGATATAATCTATAGCCAGGTATGGATTGAGTGTCATAATCAAATCGGAGTTTCTGTATCTAACGTCGTAACAAAGCTTGTAAGAGAAAGGGATTCATTGTTGAGGCTAACTTGAGGCAAGAGAGTGAGAAGCAACCCTTGTTTAATTGGAAGAAGACCCCCATGCTACAGTGGACACGTGCTAGGCTTTACGTACAAGTCTAACTCGGATTGGTCAATTAGGTCTATCAAGTGAAGGTTTGGGCGGTTGCTTGCCGTTTCCGCACCTACTCTAGCAGTCTACTAACCTAGAGGTGCTAGGTATCAGAAGGCATCTGACATCATACCCCTGCTCAACTAAATCTGAAGCAGATACTTCCCTGGAGACCTTGCTAATGTCTTCTATTTCTTAACTTCAACTTACTTCCTATCATCTGATCCTTTACCCTACGACCCCTAACTCAACACAAATACAAAAAGTCGCCCGTGTGTAATATTGATTTTTTGATTGGGTTCCAAATTGACGATAGAGTCTCGCCCTCAATCCTAGTTGGCTGTCAGACGCTTGTGATTACGCAGGGTCCTTGGTTTGATCTGTTCGTCTGGCGGTCACCAACCAGTGCCCTAGCTTAAAATCATCCCAACTGTCCCACGGTCACGATCCCCTCGCCCCCCGCGCGTCTTACTACTTAATCCCTCGGATTCGACTTAATTGACTCGCGCTTTCTTACTTTCCTGTTGAAACTGCTGGTCACGGAGTAAGTTGGTTAGAAAAAAAACATCGCATTTAGGGATCTTCCGATATCTCGATCACAAAAAACGCAATAGAATCTCCGGAATACCCCACTAGCCGCATATTCGATCGAACTATTCCATACCGCTTTTACTGTATTGCTTTCTCTTTGACCCTTCTTATCCTCACAACGCCTGCGAATTGCCATCGTCAACTCGCCATGGCCGATTTACTAACGTCAGGTGTCACGAAAGGCCACCGACGCGATGTAAAAGACGGAGTCCGCGAAGGAAGTGTCGATTTCGGTGTATTCGACGATGCTAAGACATACTATACCTCCGATGCTCGGCATGGCGATCGATTGAACAAGCGGAACCGCACACTATCACAGGTATGCTGTGCTATGTATTACCTCGTACGATAATTCGTATAACATAGGCTAAGGTGATCTAGAATGGTATAATTCAAGAGATGGAGCGGATGGGACTCCACGAACCGCATAGACGGGGTAGTCATGGTACGGGAACCCCCCTCACTTGATGTAACGAAAGAATGGAACTAAACCTTCTTGCTCCAGATGAGGGTAGCAGGCAGCACTCGCGCCAATTCCTTGTCGATGTCGATAGTACCCTAGAGAGTTTACAGGCTCAAGAGGACACCGATGGAAATATGCAAATTACGATTGAAGATGCTGGTCCGAAGGTTAGTCCCTCGAAATCCCATAATAACCTATAAACCGTAGATCAGCTCCTAAATTGGCTTAATTAGGTGATGGCCCTTCGAACTGCCGCATCTGGCGGTTATCACCGATTTGACATTCGAGGCACATATATGCTTTCAAATCTCTTGCAAGAATTATATATGGCGAAAGAATTCGGCCGGAAACGAATCATCCTCGATATAGGCCGCCTCAACGAGAACCCAGTTAGCAGATTATCTAGGCTTATCAAGAATCAATTCTGGGAAGGCCTAACTCGCCGTATTGATGCTTCGAGCATTGAAATAGCTGCGAGAGATCCTAAAGACTGGACGAGTGACCCGCGGCCTCGCATCTATGTTCCAAGAGGAGCTCCTGAGCAATACGAGTTTTACCAAAAAGTTGCCCTCGAGCGACCAGAGATTCGGCTAGATGTTCTTTACCTGCCTGAGAAGATCACCCCTGAAGTGGTACGAGATATGAATGACAAGCCTGGGCTGCTTGCTGTTGATATGGAGGAAATTGTCGACCCGAAGACTGGGGAGAAGACCCTACGCGGGCTTCCGTTTGTGGTTCCGGGAGGGAGATTCAATGAGTTGTACGGGTGGGATAGCTATATGGAGTCTCTTGGGCTGCTAGTTAATGACAAGGCGTACCTCGCTAAGTCGATGGTCCAAAACTTTTGCTTCTGCATTAAACACTATGGCAAAATCCTCAACGCAACTAGATCGTACTATTTATCACGATCACAGCCGCCCTTCTTAACCGATATGGCTCTTCGTGTGTACGAGAAAATCCAGCACGAGCCTGGCGCAATTGACTTCCTTCGCACAGCGTTCCTTGCTGCGATCAAGGAATATTACTGTGTATGGACCGCAGAGCCACGATTAGACCCAAAGAGTGGTCTATCGAGATACCGTCCAGAAGGGTTGGGTGTACCACCGGAGACTGAGGCATCCCATTTCGTTCATATTCTCGAACCTTATGCTAAGAAACACAACATGACATTCGAGGAGTTCGTCAGGGCCTATAACTACAGGCAAGTCGACGAACCGGAATTGGACGAATACTTTCTCCACGACCGAGCGGTGCGGGAGTCGGGCCACGACACCTCGTACAGACTCGAGAAGATCTGCGCCAACCTTGCGACCATCGACTTGAACTCGTTGATCTACAAGTACGAGATGGACATCGCGCGCACGATTCGTAACGTTTTCGGGGATAAGCTAGAAATCCCGGCCGAATGGTGTGGAGGCGACATGGTCCCCGGCCAAGTGGAGACATCGGCAATTTGGGACCGGAGATGGAAGAGGAGGCGGGCGGCGATCCACAAGTACTGCTGGAGCGACGAAAAAGGTATGTACTTCGATTACGACACTGTCAAGCAAGAGCAGTGCACGTACGAGAGTTGCACGACTTTCTGGCCGCTGTGGGCGGGCGTGCCGGACCCGGAGCGTGCGGCACAGGTGGTCAAGTTCGCGCTACCCAAATTTGAGGCGTACGGGGGTCTACTATCGGGCACAGAGGAGAGCCGCGGCGCGGTCAGTCTGGAGCGACCTAACCGACAATGGGATTACCCGTACGGATGGGCGCCGCAACAGATGCTGGCATGGACTGGGCTGTACAGGTACGGATACGCGGATCTAGCACAGAAGCTAGCGTACAAGTGGCTGTTCATGGTGACCAAGGCGTTCTTCGACTTCAACGGCGTGGTGGTGGAGAAATACGATGTTACAAGGCCGGTAGACCCGCACCGCGTGGATGCGGAGTACGGTAACCAAGGGCTGGACTTCAAGGGGGTTGCTAAGGAAGGGTAAGTCGAAGAAAACGATTGAATGGTAAAAGAGAAAGTAAACTGGCGCTGACTAACATCTGTATAGATTCGGCTGGGTCAACGCAAGTTACGTCTACGGCCTTCAGTTCATCAACACAGAGATGAAGAGGGCGTTAGGCACGCTGACACCTTACGAGACGTACGAAAGGGCTCAGCAATTGAAGGAAGAGAAACTGTTGCAGGAACTGGCCTAAACTCTGAAATAAGGCCTGGCTAATGTTATGCGAACGGGGATGACAGATACCGCTCGCTTAAACTACCTACTGATTGCTTGGGATAAGCATTGCTTCTTTGTGCGCTTCTAGCTACCTACCGAACTTGCATTCTTATTCTATGCATGGTTACTACATACATCAATTATCCAAGGCTAATGGCTGGTTTGCGGGTGGAAGAGGGCAGAGGGAAGTCTCGGGGAGAAATAGGTTGCATCCGATCTGATGTAGGTAGTATCGTAGTGTAGGGCGATGAATAAGTATTGTTTAGTCTTTAGTTTGGGGGTGTGGGTTTGGTTTATTGGTGTTTTGAGTGATGAGATTGATGATTTATGATTTGGTGGCGATACTCAGCTCTACCTACCTACGCTAAAACTATGATTTATATTATATTCATTTTTGTTCTTGGGATTATGGGTGCTTGAATGATATACACTTGAAGGATGCCATCGAGGAACAACTGAGCGGCAGTATGGGTAACACAGGATACGAGATTATCTAAGCGAGTAACAGTTCCAAATTTAACAATGGACTTCAGCAGCGGCTCGAGTTATCAATTACTTATCTGCTCACATGGGAGATGGAGTTTCATTAGAGCGGTTCGATATCTAGCTTGTCGAATATCCATCGTCGAATGTATGTATATCTCGTCTAAGCTCCCACGAGCCGAGGCCCGGGGACCAAGGTTCGAGAGTCGGGTGCGAACGGGGAAAGTTCCGTTCCTTTTGCACAGTAGTCCTTTGCTGCGATGGCTTTTAATAGTTATGCAATTTACCTCTTTTCTATTGGATAGCTTGGGCTGGGTGGACTGATTCGTACGTTTGATCTTCACATGTCAGGCTCTAGACTGTCTGGTTGATAAGTCGCCCTACATACCCCAGAATACATACGAAGTACGAAAATGCCCGGCTTGAGACTAGCTTTCTTTGTACCAATTACTTTTATCTAGTATCGATTCTTAGGTTACATGTATTCTATGAAATGGAATTGATTCTCTAGAGTAAGAATTTGTCAATTGATTTAAATAGAAATTTCGTAAAATTAATTATGTCTTGAAGATAGAAGATAGTTAAATCTATATAACGTCATTATCAAATGCTAAAAGGAAGCCCTCCCCAAAATCCCCTTAATGCCGACCCCGGTTCTTAGTACTTAGTGGAATGTACCCGACGTGGTACAACCCCAACGCCTCCAATTGCGGGGGACCAGGGGGAGTGGACCAGCGCCCGGGTGGGTTCTTTTAGCGACCTCCATAGCTTTCCTTTCATTCTTTCTCCTTCTGGGCTCTAACTCGGCAACTCGGCCAATTACGGCAAACCAGACTCATCACCCTTACCCCCATCCAGACCCTCCCAGCTCCCCTTGAGCCGAGAAGCCGCATCGTTTCGACGTCAGAAGCTCTGGGAAGAGTAGCTCTGCGGCTTGCTAACCCCATGTGCTACTCCTTAGTTCCGAGGCGCACCGCTGAAGGACGCAGTGAGAGACGGAGAGTCTGGCCCCTGCGGCCAATGGATACGCGCACCGGTACCGTGGCCGACGGGGAGTCAGAGAGCCAGTCATACTACCGATGGCAAGATATGATGGAAGGTTCAATACATAGCCGCTTGACCGATCGCTGCCGAGCCTCTGGGCCTGTGGTAAGTTGCGAGGGTAGGTATTCTAAGCCGACTGAGATGCGTCTTGTAGATCAGATGGGATGATTGGTTTTTCTTTGGCGTGTCAGCTTATGTATATACATATACATAGGCCGTCATCTCTCATCCGTCTATCTGCATCCGTAGCTCGGAATCTTCTTTGTTGATAAAGATCCACATGTAACTTGACTCTTGACTCATTCTTAATTCCTATTCTTCATATTAGATCTTCCTTCCCCGCGTAAACTAAGGTAACTGGGAACAAGTATATACATACATACCTACGTATACTCATCGTCTCGTCGACTTCGGATCTAAGGATTGGACAAAGACTTCCGTTCTAAAACATCTATACTTACGGTCTATATCTCATATCTCGAGAAGACCTGACATCATATATCATCATTGGCCCCTCATCTTCCTTAACCTACATTGCCCATTATGGCGTCCAACAACATGATCAATCCGGCCATTGACCCGAACGCCGAAGACGAGCTGTTCTTGAAGGAGGTCGAAGCCGTGAAGCAATGGTGGAGCGATCCTAGATGGAGATACACGAGACGGCCATTCACCGCCGAGCAGATCGTCTCTAAGAGAGGCTACCTAAAGATCGATTACCCGAGTAACGCCCAATCCAAGAAGCTATGGAAGATCCTCGAGGGCCGCTTTCAGAGCCGCGATGCCAGTTACACATACGGCTGCTTGGAGCCCACCATGGTCACGCAGATGGCCAAGTACCTAGACACTGTCTATGTCTCTGGTTGGCAATCATCGTCGACCGCCTCGTCATCTGACGAACCCGGTCCGGATCTAGCAGATTACCCATATGTAAGTCCCCTATGCATGCTTTGGTTATACATACCTAGAGAGACAAAACATGTGTACTAATGACAACAGACCACCGTCCCCAACAAAGTCAAGCACCTCTTCATGGCACAGCTCTTCCACGACCGCAAGCAGCGACAAGAGCGTATCAGCACGCCTAAGGCCGAGCGCGCCAAGCTCGCCAACATCGACTACCTACGGCCCATCATCGCAGACGCAGACACAGGCCACGGCGGTCTCACAGCCGTGATGAAGCTAACGAAGCTATTCATCGAGCACGGCGCCGCGGGGATCCACATCGAGGACCAAGCCCCGGGAACCAAGAAGTGCGGACACATGGCTGGTAAGGTGCTCGTGCCCATCTCCGAGCACATCAACCGACTCGTAGCCATCCGCGCGCAGGCCGATATCATGGGCACGGATCTCCTCGCCGTCGCGCGCACCGACGCCGAGGCCGCTACTCTAATCACCACCACCATCGACCCCCGCGACCACGCCTTCATCCTCGGTAGCACAAACCCTCAGCTGCAACCTCTAAACGACCTAATGATCGCCGCGGAGCGGTCCGGCAAAACCGGTGACCAACTCCAAGCCATTGAAGACGCATGGCTCAAGCAAGCGAACCTGCGGCGCTTCGACGAAGCCGTCGTCGACGTGATCACCAGCTCGCCCTCGCTGCAGAACAAGAAGGAACTCACAGCGCAGTACCTCTCCCAAGCTAAAGGCAAGAGTCTACCCGAGGCACGCACAATCGCGCATGGCGTCACAGGCGTAGATGTGTACTTCGACTGGGACGCGCCGCGGACGCGGGAGGGGTACTATAGATTGAAGGGCGGCTGCGATTGTGCGATTAACCGCGCGATTGCGTATGCGCCGTACTGCGATGCCATTTGGATGGAGAGCAAACTGCCGGATTTCAAGCAGGCGGAGGAGTTCGCGAGAGGGGTTCATGCGGTTTGGCCTGAGCAGAAGTACGATCTCCGCTATATCTTTTTCTTCCCTTTTTCGTTTAAACGGTGACAGAGTAACTAACATAACGGAAAAAAACAGACTAGCATACAACCTCTCCCCGTCCTTCAACTGGAAGACCGCGATGCCGCGCGACGAGCAGGAGACGTATATCCGACGGCTGGCGACGCTGGGGTACTGCTGGCAGTTCATCACGCTAGCGGGCCTGCACACGACGGCGCTGATCAGCGACCGGTTCGCGCGCGCGTACGCCAAGGACGGCATGCGCGCTTACGGCGAGCTCGTCCAAGAGCCCGAGATCGAGGGTGGTGTCGACGTCGTCAAGCACCAGAAATGGAGTGGTGCTACGTATGTCGATGAGTTGCAGAAGATGGTTACCGGTGGAGTGAGTAGTACCGCGGCTATGGGGAAGGGAGTTACGGAGGATCAGTTCCATTAAGTGTGGATGGATGGAGTTGTAGATGAAAACCCTTTTGTATAACGGGTTTGGACGAAATTACTTACACACATATATATTTGCCTGCATATAAGGCTTGGTGTATAACGGCGGTAAATCTCATGTCTGGCTATATATTAGCTCTGGACATTAAGATGATTAGGATATGACGATAGTTACAATGTTATGGAATTATGATCTCTAGCGACTCTGGTGAAATATAAGATCCTTGTGAGTGAAAAAACTTGGCATAAGATAGATAATGTCAGATCTTGTTGCTACTTTGGCTAGACATATAATTGGATTATAAATGATAGGTATATCCGTATTATATCATCCTGCCCCCGTGAGAAGGGTGTCAGAACCTTGGTTTAACGGTGGACATCCCCATGGGGAAATGAATGAATATCTGACAATCAATACGGCGCAGACGTTTTCCTTTCTCCCGCCTTCCGTTGGAACCACGGTCGAGCCCACGACCTCCATCTAGCTACACGTTTCAACGGAGAAAGCTCGATAGAGCATTGGTGCGTGTCAATCGATATTCGACCGACCTGCTCCCTTCGTTGACGGTTAAGCCATCTAAGTTTCAGTACCTCCCTTCCCAGTTGTGTGAACATCCTATCGATATTTTCGCCCATCTTCGCAGACGTTTCGACAAAGGTGCATTGGAGCTCGAAACTCTGTGCCAGCTTGTTACCTTCTGCCCAGGACACCTCCCTTTCTTTGTCTTCGTGGTCGGATATGTTTCCTAGGAGGACAAGGCCATACATGCGCTCTTCGTCGACCATGGCGTTGATGCGGTTGTGGATTTCCGAAGCGAGACCGAACGATGCCCTTGATCGGACGTCGTAGACTATAACCGCGGCTTCTGTGATCTGCACGGCTTCCTTGAGCCGCTCTTCGTTAGAGAGGTCTTGAGAGGGGAGCTCTAGGACGTTGAATATGTATGTCTGGTCCTCGAGTTTCATGCTGTGACGATACCCTCGTTCCTGATCGTTGGAGTCGAAAGACTTATTCTCTTCATCTTCTTGAGCGAATGTGTCGTGGCAGAACTGTTATGAGTTAGATATATGAAACATGTTTCTTCTATACAGTGTCTACCTTCTCTAGTATTGATGTTTTCCCACACCCTTTGGCTCCCAGAACTAGGAACATGAAATGTCCTGCAGGCTGCTTCGGAATATGGGGTATCTCTTGAATATCTTCATCGTCATCGTCATCTTTGTCTTCGTCGTCCTCATCACTTGGTTCCCATGAAAGTAAGGCGAGGAAATATCGAACTTCCTCCTCAGTCAAAACCATCAAGTCGTCCATCGTGGCTGCGTGGGTTAAGGATAGCATAGAAAGAAAATATGGCACTGACAAGAACTTACTGGACTACATCGTAGTCGGGGAAAAAGCAGGAATCTTTCATGTTATATGACAAGGAGGCATCGAGGAGTTACAGCATGGCGGAAGAGCATAGCACAATTACGAAAATGGAGATCCTGTAACGTCCCAATATGCCCGTTAAATCCTGTTGAATGTTACAGAATTGTCCTCTGTACAACAGGAGAGTCGCAAGTGATCGGGTGAATATGCTCATAGGAAAGGACATGATCATGTGTCGGTATGGTCGATATGGTTGACGAGGCTCGTCGCGAACATCATTTCTTATTATCGGGCGATAGCAGGCCAATCTGATCGAGGCTGGTTTCCGAAGCGCATTTCATGATACATTACCCGCCTATCGATCGGTACACGTATCTCATGTAATATATTGAGATCAAAGTCCGAAGTGACACGGCTTTTTGAGGGGAGATCTAGACGATGAAGATATCGACGATAACCAGGTTGGTGGATGATGGATGGCTTAAGTTTCGGTATGTTCGATCCGAAGATATTGAGGGAACTGAAAAGTCGTGGTGGTGGTGATCGTCGTGCCTTCCTTCAGCTAGGTGGATGAGGATGGAAGCCACCACCCTTCCAGGTACCCCGGGCGTTCAAACCCCTGTCATGCCCAGTAGGTGCTTCCTTAACTGACCAATCTCTGGCGCTGAGATTCGGCTGTTACGCTACTAATGCGGCTACGAGTGCTGCAGGATGGGGTGGTAACCCCTCCATATGTTCAGGTCCCCATTAAAAATTGCGCCCCGAATCGCTTCCTCTAACTCTTGGTTGATCGTTTATGCTGCGTTGCCTAATCCACAGCTGAAGACGGCGTCGGCACCATCGTCAACCCTGCTTCCCTATTAGTTCAATTATTGGCGAGCTGAAATACTTCAGCCTTTAGTGAGTCAGTAAAATGTGCTTTTTCGAAGATTCCCGCGCGTGGTGGACATGCCTGCTTTATTTCCTTCTACTGTTTGCTAGAACCTACCCACCTGTTGTGTCTGTCCCTCGTGCAATACTCAAAGCTAGCAAGATTTCACGACTCTCCGAACTCATACGGAAACGGTTTGGTGACTTGCCTTCGTGATACCTACCTACAATCATAGTACCTACCTACCTAATCTACCTAACCTGCCTAACCTACTAGTCTTTTTCCAATTTCTACACACCTAGTTCACCGAGATAGAGGCTAAGTTTTCTCTATTCCTATTCTGTCTCGGTCTAACTACACCTTACCTACGCGTTCAATCTGAGAATGACCTCAAGCTGATTGTCTTTAAGACGACTGATAGTATCTAGAGAAAAGTTAAGGTCATAAGCAAATCACCTCATTCGGTCTATTACACTCGCAGTGTTCCAAGGTTCTTCTTCGGACATCAGCGAGTGCGAGCAACCGTCTTACCGCAGCATGAACCCTTCCACGACCTGTGGTTGCTAGGAGGGCTAATTACAGATCTGGAAAAGTGAGGGAGTTAGCGGGGTACACAAACTCACCCAAACCTCGTCCCTCGTTTCATTAATCGAACGTGGTGTAAACCAAATACCTGATACTTAAGTATTTCGCCCGTGGCAGAATGCGCGTCTGACGATGGCTTATAACATTACCCACTATGATCCTGCGCCGCCGTTGCCTCCCCGGTCCGGACGGCAGCCTGCACAACGACACCATTATCTGAATCACAAAGTCTCCGATCTGTCAGACGGACCGTACGACGATGCTGCGTCGCCCACCGGCGTCAGGGGACGTGAGTCCCTCGTGTCACTCCAGTCGTCCTACGAATCTTCCCGCCTGAACGTCACGGACGACAATGCCTCTAACGGCAGCAACGCATACGATCCAAGGTCATCGTGGTCCGTCCCCTTCGTCGGCTCCGGCGGCGGACGGTACCAGCCCGTTTCGTCTTCCGGTCGCTCCAACTCGACATATGCGCATCGTTTCAAGAGTTTCCGTACCAGGGCTAACGGCCGGGACACGATCCATGAGGACGAGAGTATCGATATGGCGCTACTGAATTCTGCGGCGCAGCCCGGTCTCTCTAATAATAACCATAGCCATAATAGGCGTAGCCCATATGCGCCAGTTTCTAACCATCAGCCGGCACCCGCCGCCGTCGATATAACCTCTTTCGAAGGTCCAATGTGCGCGGAGAACCAGGAATTCTTCACGTCGATACAGGCCGCGCAAGAGGCTAGCGGCAAGCTCACCGGCGGGTTAGGCTCTGGCTTGGAACCCCCGAAGGCTAGGATCAACGGGGTCCAGCTCATGGCGAGCTCGCCGCTGAAGCGCAGCTTCACCAGAAATTTCTCGATGCGCAGATCTCCTGCGCGCGCGGACCTGCATGTCAGCTTGAAGGAGCTGGGACAGATCGAGGCGAATCGCAGGGGCGAGGTTATTGAGGTTGTGATGGAAGAGGGGCAGACGCCGGCGGATGTGGATATAAGTACGATGGTTGGCCCGAACCCGGATCGTGATCGCGATCGCATCCGCGATTCGGTGCAGCCACGACATGAGAGGAAGACGGAGGTTTTTTACCCACAGTCGAATTGGAAGCCGTTCTTTATGCGATGGCCTTATAGTGAGTTTTTATTGCCCGAGCTTTGTGACCCTTTTTTGTTGTCGATCAGCGGGATGACTCTCACAAACATGATTGAGCGGCACGGGCTTATGAGACAGATCTTGCCTTATGAGGCAGTTGCACTAAGACTTTATTGAACGACCGGAACTGACAATCGGGATTTTAGTATCGTGGTTAATTCTCCTATCTGTTGGACTCGCCATCGCCCAGGAAGTTCTTTATCAGAGATCGGCCCAGGTACCTCTTGTCGAGTTCCAACGAGCCACTGATTTAGGAGCCGGCTATTACTTCATCTTCAAGTTCGTGCCCACAATCATCACCGTCACTTATGGTGTTTTGTGGCAGAATACCGATTTCGAAGTTAAGCGGCTCGAGGCTTTTTATCAACTCTCGAAGGATGGAGGAGCGTTAGCGGCGGAGTCGATTAACGTCGACTATATCACCCTGTTCAACTTCACAAGACCGTTCTTGGCGCTGCAACGCAAACATTATGCAGTGGCCGTATCGTCGATTGCTACTATCCTCGCCGTTTCCCTGGTCCCTACGCTTGGCTCCGCTGCCTTGGTTGTGTCAGACGTTGTGCTCGAAGACGGCAGCACCGAGAAAGCGATTGGCATCAATCCTGTGTTATCGCGCATTCTAACCATGGTATTCTTTATTATTGCCGTCCTAGGATGTGTCCTCTTCTATCAGCTTAATACGCGGCGTTCAGGGCTTCTTTCGGATGTGAAGGGTATTGCTGGCCTGGCATCGATGGCCGTTGTCAGCCATATTATGATGGATTTCAAGGATATGGATGTAGCCACACCAAAAGACATCCACAACCGCCTGAAAAACAGGCGATACGCACTACGTAACTCGTCGCTCGTCCCCGAGGACTCCCAGTCATCAGCAATGTCCACTAATGCCGAAGCCGACAAGTACAAGGACACACACCTGCCGGAGAATCCGCACCCGCTGATGCTGCGCGCGGAAGGCTGCATACCATTCATTGTATTCATCCTGCTGTTTCTAGGCTTCATCCCGGTGTTCCTCTTCACGCCGGCGAGCGTAGTTACTAACAAAGCGCCCTGGTTCGTAACTATGCTAGCCGTGTGCATCAAGCTTAGCTGGAGCAGTCTCGAAACGGCTATCCGCATGATGGAGCCGTACTACATCCTATCCAAGAGGCACGCTCCCGCCAAGACCCTGACACTGGATTACACGGCGATGCCGTTCGCAGTCGTAGCTGCGCGTGCATTGTTCAACCGGCACTGGACCGTATTCGCGGTCGGCTTCGGCACGATCCTCGTCGAAGCGCTGACTATCTTCGCGACCAGTCTCGCCTCCGTCGAGGGCAAGGACTTCCTCTCGATCCTGAGCCACGCTGGCCCTGGCAACGATAAGTTCTTGCAGAAGGGCCTCGGCTCCGGGTCCGAGACCGTGCTATCCTTCTCAGTAATCCTCGTCCTAACTGTAGTTATCCTCGTTTACCTCGCCATCGTCGCGACCACGGTTTTCATCCGCAGGAGACATCCCTTCCTCCCCAGACAGCCGAACACGATTTCCAGCGTTCTCGCGTTCATGCACCAGAGCAAGATGCTGTATGATTTCGTCGGCACGGCGAAGTTCGATAACGCGCAGATGAGGGAAAGGCTGGAGGGGCTCGGGAAGACGTATGGCTTGGGCTGGTTCGATGGCAGAGATGATATGACGCACCTGGGCATCGAGCAGGAGGAGCTTACGGGCGTTTATAAACATGGCGTTAATTATGCCCAGGGCAATAAGCCGTGGCTTACGGAGTGGCAACTCTTTTGAGGGAGTTCCGGAGGGGGATTTGGGGCATTTTGCTTTTGCTAGTTGTGATGGGGAGGGGTGGGGGTGATGTACATGATAGCTGTTGATGCGTCGTGTAATATTAGAAAACTACCTAGGACCCAGATAGGTAGGTAGGTAGAGAGTTGCTAGCATTTGCATTTTGAAGGCATTATGAAATATACTTAAATATTGCTGATTATTTGGTTTGATTGATTATGTGCTTATTTGCTTGATTTCTTGGAGTTGTCTTTTTCTTTTCGCTTACTGATTGCCTCACGTCATCTCTTCACATACATACCCCTGAATACTAGCGCGAATCTCCTAGTTTAACGAAGTTCGACCAAGTTGCATGGGTTCATTAACGATACAATCGGTATTGTCCGATTTTCTTTAATAAGTCTTCAGTGGAATCTGTTGATGATCGAACTGATGATTGACAAAGAAGTCTCAAGAGGACTCTATTAGGTTACACACAAAGAGCTGTGGCTGGTCATCGGCTAAGAGACCTCGTGGGCTTTTATTGTCCTGTGATATGATGCTGTATGTCTCAGACTAAAATGTGGCGTTGTATTCCGCTTGAGTGGTTAAGGAAATGTCTGAGATCGAAGTCTTCGGCTGATATTTCTATAGTCATACCTAAGCAAGTTATAGTATGGAGAGTATACACGTGGGCTATTTGCCGGCTTATGTTTGAAATACTGGAACGGTATCGGACGCATCTGTGTGTTGTGGTCAAGTAGTAGGGTCACCATCAGGTCGAACAAAGGCCTGGATTCGATTTATATGAGTGGCTAAAATGTTGAAGTTACTCCCGCGTGATGTGTTGAAAGATCGAAACAGAATCGAGACTGACCAATTGTTTAAAAATGTGGGATTTTCCGTGAGCTGAGTGGCGCAATGTGGCCAAAGTGGCTAATCACTTCCATATCGGTATCAGGTCGATGTGGTCAATGCAGGGGTTTAAGGGGTACAAGGCAACCACGAAGGAGCACAGTACCGAAGGGAGGGACCAAAAATAGAAAGGGATGATCGGCTGTACATCCTTCCTCATACAAACTTCAATGGTAAACCAGGTTCCTGTTAACAGCGGTCGACAACCGATATCCCGTAAGCCTTTAACGTTTTAAGCTAGACCCAACATTTCAAGGATTCCCACTGACAGCAAGGATCAAAAGCGCAACTCAGCCCCCACCTACATACATAAACCGTCTTTACATAGAAACTGCTAACCCTCTTACGCATCTCTTCTCCCAAACATCCTCACAACTAGGCGCAGCAGCTGGACTCATACGTTGTCTTAGTATGTGGAGGATCAATTGATGGCATTTCCTTCTTCTTATTAGCATCATAAGCCTCTCCTTCTATTTCTAACAGCCCACCTTCATTCAAATTCCACGGTCTTTTCGGAATCCCTGTGCGCCATATCCGGCCGAATCGCTCTCTTTCAATAAACCATCTCTATGATCTCACTGTAAACCTAGAAATATATATCGAACGTCTCCCTTTTCGCCGACGTGCTATGCGCATCGGTAACATACTATACTTTCGATGTACCATCTCCGTCGCTTGACCATCGTCGCCGCCGTCGTCGGTGTCGTCATCTTCCTAGTCACCTTCTTACCTCAAGCCCTCAACCCCGTTCCGCCGAGCAAGGAGAAGCGGGAAGCCGACCAGGCATGGATTAATACCTCACCGCATTGGTTAGATCGTCAAGCTTGCCGCTGGTTTAGTCTTTGTGGTCTATTGCACGTTAGGAGGGATCCTCCGGAGAAGCCGAACCACGATGACGATGGCCATGAATTGAGGCTTGAGCTGAGACAAGTCTTAGATGAGGAGTTATCGGTTATATCAAGAGGGGGGCATAAAGATAACAAGTTAAGGAGCATTCCTGATTACGTTTTGAACTATGCTCCGCTGGTTCACCTCTACTCTAAGGAATTCTTCTGGCCCTCCGATATTGCCGATCATATGCAACATGTAGTACCGGACCTCAACGAAGATAAATGGCAGCAGTCCAACGAGTCGCGATCTATTGAATTATCGAATTTGCACGAACTAAGTTCTAAGTTAGGCTTTGTGCATCTCAACAGCAAGGACGACGTCGAATCTCGTCCAGAATGGCTCCACAGCAAGAACAATATTCCCGTCGCTTTTAGTGACGACGATGACAAAATCGAAGGACCGGATAGAGATTCTGAGCCTAACAGACGATTCGGTGAAGATACGACATGGTACGAGGTGGACCGGGATCATCCTCTACACCGCATCTCGGACCCCCGCAAACTACCGGCTGGCCTGTTCAAACCGTTAGGCTTTTTAAAACGGTCACGAGACCTTAAATCTCGCCAGCAAGAACAGCAGAGGTTGTTATCTCAAGAAGCGCAGGACAAATTAAACAATATAAATAAACCCGATGAGTCCGGATACTCTCGCGCACCAGCCACCCTTGTTATGGTTGACAAGGGATCCGGTATTATCGACGCCTTCTGGTTTTTCTTTTACGCATATAACCTGGGACAGACAGTCCTAGGAACCCGTTACGGAAATCATGTTGGCGATTGGGAACATTGCATGATCCGATTCGAGTCGGGTGTTCCTCGCGCCGTCTTTTTCAGTGAGCACGAGGGTGGACAAGCATATGCTTGGCATGCCGTAGAAAAGCGCGGAAACGAGACCGAAATACAGAGACCGGTGATCTACAGCGCTGTAGGGTCGCATGCGATGTATGCGACACCTGGAAACCACCCATACGTGTTGCCGTTCGGGATGCTTAAAGACGTCACCGATCGAGGTCCTCTTTGGGATCCTTCTAGGAATCTGAGGGGCTACTGGTACGATTACGCGGCTCCCGAAGATGACGAAAGCCTGGAGCCGGCAAAAGAGAACCCGGACGAACCGACGAGCTGGTTCCACTACAAGGGGACTTGGGGAGATAAGCTGTACGGCCTAGACGACGTACGGCAGTGGCGATTATTCGGCCAATACCACTATGTGACGGGACCGCAAGGGCCTAAGTTTAAGAATCTCGGTAGGGAAAAGGTCTGCCAGACCTGGAGGTGTCGGATCATACACAGCATAGCAGAGGGCAAGAAAGGGAGCTGGCATTCATAAGAGAAAGAAAGAAAGACATGGGGCACGGCATACCGATATACCAATACCAATACCATAGAAAGGCGGCGTTAGGTTTTTCCAACGGATTTAGATACCCCAGCGGTAGTTGGGCCTGTTTTTTTTTCGATGTTGTCTGTTTTGAATACTTAGGTATCTATGTATGAATCTATGCTATGTATGACGAAAAAATTGAATATTGAATTGTTTATCTAGGTATATCTTACGAGGTACTCCGGCACTCCGGTTCGTGGAGATGGTGCAATGGTGTTTTGGTCTTGTGATCGTGAGTGCGACTGGGCTAGGTAAGGCTAAGATGGACTACTCGGTTTGGTCGCTTCAGCTGTGTTTATACGACCAATGGAACTCCATCCATACTCATCTTAGTCTCAGCTGCTAGTACCTACATAACAGCATCTCGGGTATCCTAACGATACGATACGAGCGCATCAGCAGTTTCTGCCGAGAGAAGGGGAAAATAAAAGTTGGGAAATCGAGGTTATCTCCGCATCTTACAGATACCCCGGATTCGTACCCCGAATCTACCCCATAGCGGACACGCTCTAGCGAGATGCGCCGGGCGCTGATTGGTGCGGGTGTAGAAGCCACAGGGCTTAACCACGCTGGCGTCGCTGCATCGGCGTCGCAGCACAGATTTATTCCCTCCACTCAACCCGCCCAGACTGCGTGGCATGTGCAGGAACGGATTCCGCAACCCTGGGATCGGGGTCGTATCGAGTAAGTGAGCTCCGCGAAGACGAGGATTCTCCAATGCATACTGCACGTATGCTCGGGCGCGTGGAGTGGGGAACGAGGTATAAGATGGCGTGGTGCGACGTCGAGTGAGCTCACCGAGTTCACCTCGCCTTTTATCGTGCGAGGGATTCAGTAATATCTAAGCAAAGATGAAGCCTCATACTTACCAGGTACGTGTCTAATACCCCCTTTGTATTTATAAAAATATCGACCACGAACTAACGAACATTACAACAGTTCCTCGTCGGCGTTTTCGCCTCGATGGGCTCGGTGCTCTTCGGCTACGACTTAGGCGTCATCGCCGGCGTCGTCGGGAGCACCTCGTACGCAGAGCTATTCCACGCGAACGCGGCTCAGAAGTGAGTCTCATCTCCTCTCCCCTATCCACCAACCACAAACACACATCCAAATAACCCAAACCAAACCGAATTAACACTCCAACCCCAAAACAGCGGAGCCGTAGTATCCCTCTTCACAGGCGGCGCCTTCTTCGGCGCCATGTTCGCCGGGCCTGCAGGTGACTATCTCGGGCGTCGTCTCACCATCATGCTCGGGGCCCTCGTCTTCCTTCTCGGCGGGGGCATCCAAACCGGGGCCCAGCACCTGAACTACCTATACGCGGGACGCGCGATCGCCGGTCTTGGCGTCGGTTTCCTCACCATGATCATCCCCGTGTACCAATCGGAGATCGCGCACCCGTCCATCCGGGGACGCGTAACAGGGCTCCAGCAATTCATGTTGGGGATAGGCGCCTTCCTCGCGGGCTGGATCACCTGGGGCTGTTTCCGCAACTTCACCGACTCCGCGCAGTGGCGGCTTCCTCTCGGGATCCAGAATCTCCCCGCGGTCGTTCTCGCCGCGCTGATCCTCCTGTTCCCTGAATCCCCGCGCTGGCTCGTCGACCACGACCGCGCGGATGAGGGGTTACGGACTTTGGCGAAGCTGCATTCGAACGGGGATATCGACGACGACTGGGTGCGCGCCGAGTTCGCATCGATCCAGGAAACGGTGTCGTTCGAGCACGCGCACGAGGCGAAGTCGTACCTCGAACTCTTCACGAACCCGAGCGCCTTCCGGCGGTTATTCCTCGCGTGCTCGATCCAGGCTGCGACGCAGATGACCGGTGTTTCCGCGATCCAGTATTTCTCCGTCAGCATCTTCGCGCAGATCGGTATCTCGGCCGACGACGCGCTCAAGTACCAGGCTATCAACAGTATCCTGGCCTTGATAGCGCAGGCGTTTTGTATGTTGCTGATTGACAAGTTCGGCCGACGACCGACGATCATAGTGGGGAATTTGGTGAATTGTGTTACGTTTGTGATCGTAACTATTTTGCTGGCTAAGTTCCCTCCTGTGACGAACTCTGGGAGCACGGCTGGCTGGGGGTTTATAATTGTGTAAGTGAATGAGGATACCGTATCAAGAGTTATGGTTGACTAACGGATGTTTTGATAGTACTTGGCTTTTCAATATTTCATTTTCATTTGCATGCGGTCCGCTTTCATGGTAAGCTTCCTACTCCTCCTTCTCATCTACTTTCCCATACCAACTGATATCCGCAGGATCATCCCCGCCGAAATCTTCGACACGCACACGCGATCTAAGGGTGTATCTTTGGCAACCATGATGTCCTTCGCTTTCAACACGCTCATCGGACAGGTAACCAGCATCGCTGTCGAGTCCGTCGGGTGGCGCTATTTCGTCGTATTCGCTGTGTGCAACGCCACCAACGCATTGTTCTTCTACTTCGTCCTACCAGAAACTAAGCTTGTACCCCTCGAGCAAATGAGTACCGTCATATTTGCCAAGGACGCTCCGTGGATCGTTGTCGGGAAACGTTCTGCGCATTACCGCGCCGCTGCCGCTGCAGCCTCTATTGGGAAAGGTGATTTGGAAGCTAAGAAGGAAGAGATTGAGATGTAATGCAATCAACCCACGGATCAACGCTACTTTACGGTAAATCTTTAAAATAGCCCTATCTTAAAACGAAAATACAAATTTAATGATATTCAGTAAGTGCTCTAAGATTGTCCTAGGCTAATATAGTTCATGATGAATCTCGTCAGTCATTTGCTTTCATATTTCTCTAATTGATGTGGTATGACAAGTATATCATAACTAAATAGTAACAGAAACAATGTCTGTGGGGTATATGGTTTTATAGATTACACAATATTCGTGGAAGATGCCTAAGCCTTGAAAAGAGAAGGTCGATGCTCAACGTTCTCCAGTACAGCATCAAGAGCTTCTTGCACATCTGCGTGGAAAAATGGCCGATTGAGGCCATACAAGGGTAATTGACGAACGGTACCCTCGGTTTCGTTGGTAGAGGTCGGCTTTGATCCAATTTCCTCATCACCGCTCACACGCTTTCCCACCGATGCCTTTTCACTCGATAGCGGTGAAGCAGCATCTGCTAAATCGGCAACACTGAAGATTGATTTCCAACGGTATCCGGTCTCAGCATCACCCTTGGGTTGTAGGAATCCGAATCCAGCGGCTGTTAGGGCGCGGCGAGTCCAGCGATTCCTAACGTTGGCAAAGTGCCACTCAACTATGTCAGGTTGAGCGTATCTATCCAACTGGTTGCGAACATCTATCAAGGCTTGCACGGAAGTTACATCGACGTTATTCACAGCAGAACAATCTAAAATGATTGCTCTGAGAGTAGGTCGCTCTTCTGTGTCATCGACGACAACCTTGCCCTTTCGCGGACCAGGGTTGTTCCAAGGACGGTCCTAAATTAAAATAAATAAATGAAGCCAGAAACAGTATTATATAGAAAACTTACGCCTAATTTTCCGAGAGACCCGGGGTCGGTTCTCCGTGTTTGTTTAAAAATCCCAGCCGTGAGACCGTCCAAGAAACGAGTCGCATTTGGGTAATTAAACAGTTCCGAGAATTGGTAGATAAACACTCCAGGATATGGATGCTCGACGGATACCCGAGGGTTAGAATTATCATCATGGTCGATTGGGATGAACAAGTTGCGCTCGCTGGAGATTTCGCCTTGGCGAACAATAGAGGTGGTCTTCTGACCGTGAGAACTTTGGCTGGTACGCCTGCTGGACCTCAAATCCCCAACTGTACGGACCTTTGCGATTCCAAGGAAGCGACCCTTCGCCTGGAACATGCGGAAAATGAAAACAGCGAACGATATGCATACAGTCGTATAGATACCATCCTCAATAGTATCGAAGAGAGTCACCAGGACACCGGCGAAGAAAATAATAACTTCTAGTGGGGATACTCTCCAAAACTGGTACACCACGTTCGGTGGGGAAACGACATCCAAAACAGCATGAATAATGACAGCAGCGAGAGAGGCCTGAGGAATGTACCAGAAGACAGCTGTTAGCGCGTATATGGCGAGGAGCACAACGATTGCCGTAATTACACCAGCAAATGGTGTACGAACGCCGGATTTCGCTTTGATGGCGGTACGAGAGAAAGACCCGGTAGCCGGATACGCTCCAAGGAATGGTCCTAAAAGATTGCTAACACCTATTGCGACTAGTTCCTGAGATGGGTCGATAACATAGTTATTGACACGGCCAAATGATTTCGAAATAGATATATGTTCAATCAGGACAACGATGACGGCCGCGGGAAGCTCGGAGGTAAAGAAGGAAAGGATTTTTGGGTCGAGGTTAGGAACACCGGCGTGTTGGAACCCTAGATTTGGTTAATTGTATGTTGACAATATTTGGCCTTGGGGGTATTCTTACCTCGCGGAACCTCACCGAGGACACTGAAAAGAGGGTGGGTCCGGCGATATACGTTGACGCCAGCACTGATACCAGTGTACAGCAATATAACAAAAGCTGTTCGAAGGGTATTGATGAAGAAGAGGGTCTTCTCTCGGTGAGGGTACTTCTTGGCCAAGAACGTGCAAGTCCCCCTTATGATGTATAGCATGAGCAAAGCGGTGAGTCCCATGGCCGCATCAATCGTGGTATACTTGAGATTCTTTAGGGTATTAATGATGACCAAGTATGTAGCATCTCGCGTCGAGAATCTCTTCTTTTTGGAGTTCATGCCCATCATGGTAGGAATTTGTCCGACTGCGATACTGATTCCGGACCCGGTCATGAATGCCGCGATCGAAGGCAGAGGGATGAGATCAACAATCCAACCAAGTCTAGCCAGACCTAAGAAACACACAATGGCGCCAACAATTACAGCGAGGGAAGACGCTACGACGTGTCCCGGAATATCGGGGATAGCTGCTTCTGCTCTATTGACAATCCCACCAGTAACAGTCGACATAACCGCAACGGGCTTTACAAGAGTCAGTTTAGAGACGATTTAAAATAATTACTGGGAATAAAATGAGGCGAATGACATACTCCTATCGTGATGTCCTTCGAGGTAGCGAAAAACCAATAGAGAAGTACACCCATAAAGGACGAATAGAGACCATACTGAGGTTCAAGCTCGGCCAATAGGGCGTAAGCCATGCCCTGAGGCACGACTACAGCTCCGACAGTGACGCCTGCAGACGGGAAGTGTTAACTTTGGTTGTGCAGCGGGGGCTTGGGTTTGTGCTTACCGGCAATCAGATCGCCGATAAACCATGTTAGATTATATCTAGTAATCCAATGCAGAAATGGGAATAGACGGTAGAAGTATTGGAAGATTCCTCGGGGTGTCGGCGTAATACTCACGATCCAGCTGATCGCAGTCGGATCCTTTTCATCGTAGGGCTCGACATCAGGATGAGATTGAGACGCGTTCCTAGAGTCGTTAAGCTCAGCTTCGCGTTGGCCATAAGGATCGAGGTTCAGATTGAAGAACCAGGCAAGGCCATGGCCAATCTTTGTTCGAGTAGACGACATGTTTCAGTTCCGTGAACTACCCAATCCTGTGTGACCAAAGAGATAGGGAACCAAAAAAAGTTATCTAGGTATATTGGGGCGAGCCCCTGGAGCTTATCGCTAAGCGTCCGCAGAAGTCTTCCTTTCCAGGTAAAACCACACAGTTGGGCCTGTGATATAGCTAAATTGACTTCATGAGATGGAATGTCGGGATGATCGAACTAAGACAAGAGCTGGTCAACGTGCCCACCAGGAATGTATCATCGGCTCAGATGGGTCGGATCTGTTCAAATAAGACTGCATGATGCGGTCGTATTTAATAAGAACTCAGACGGGGAGCTGGATGGGCAATCCATAGTTGAAGATGGGGGTGGATTGAAGTGGGTGGTGGTGGATGGCGCTACGACGCGAAAGCATTGTGCAATAAAGGATTTGTTTCCCGTTGTAGAGTTCAAATTACCATCAGCTAGCATCGATACCTGGACTCTACCTGGGACTTTCCTGGGTCTGTTTGCTCTTTCCAGACTCTTTCCTGCTCTTGCTTGCTCTTGCCCTTTCGTGATGGACGAACGACAGCTCTTGTAGATGACGAATAGTGGGCCTCCGATGATGTGAGCCTCCTTCCTACAGGGGTGGCCTTAACTAAGACCCGTACCATGTTGCTATCACTGCATTTCCATCACCTATAGTTTCATTACGCCATCCATCTATTGTTATCAGCCCTAGGCTAATTCTCAGCTTCGATTCACTCCCTGACCAATAGAGGTCTCTCTATTGTCTTCTAGACGTCGATACAGAAGAGTACAGCGAATTCGACATCGTTACTAGCTCGCGTAGGAGTAACACCCGACTTACCCAACTATTTGGGTCCAGATCTTAGTTCCTCTCGATGCCTTTAATACGCCTATTAACGACCTAGTTACGAAGCTGGATCTACCTAATGTCATCATGCGTGGGGTACGGACGAAAAGAAGTACGGAGATTATCACGAAGCTGGCTTCTCCACCGACACTTGAACCCGGGGAACTTAATAACTATGAGGTAAACACGGCTTGTCACTATTCTTAAAATTTCCCGCGTCCCTTGGATTTCATAGATATTTACTGTGTACTATTTTTTCAAGGCGCCTTGGCGACGAGCTTCCAAGAAATCACACGTCCCGGTCACCCTACATCGGTCCAGCAAGCACCAGTTTAGTTACATGGTATCTCGTACGATATAAAGGTACATTAGCCTTCTTGAAGATCCATTCTAGATCTGAAGTCTAGGGAAGTTCCGTAACTTTTCATCTACATACATCTATTCTACGAAAATGCCCCCTAACGAAAGCCACCCCCAAGAAATTAGCTCACGGAGCTTCCGCGACAAGGTCTAGATCTCAGGAAAGGCGACGTCTTCCTATTTGATTTCATTCGTAATGAGATAGTTTTCATAAACTAGTAGATCTTAGTTACCGATTTTGATCTGGCTAAGTAACTCCTTGTAATACTTACACTTCATCGTGTGCTATTGGTTCAGATTTTCTTATCTGGAAAGACGATCTACATAGAATCATATATTAGTTGAATGATGAAACAAAGCTGAACAAGCGACATGTGAGTTTCATTCTCGGCCGATTACTTGTGGGAATATCTTGTATTTCTCTCTTACTAGGACCCAAACTACAGAAGGCGATTCTACATTCTGAAATTCCTTTACTGGCCTCATACCTGTATGTTTGAACCGGAGAGGTAAGGCCAATCACACGTACCTGTGATTCCAAAGTGTTTACGGCTGATATAAGTACCTACTTGTTTGAGCGAACGAGGTTTATCTCCTAGGGATCTTGGTGGGCATCATATACACTCGATATTTACTTAAAAGACAACCACAACCCAGTTAGATGTCATTTTTCACCACTTGTATATGCACACAGGTATCATACGTCACAAACGGTAGATATATTTCACTAAGAAAACAAATGATAGGTATGTAATTCTACAATTATTTTTTACCTATACTAAGTAAGTTAGATACCCAGAACAACATTATGGACAACAACTACAATATAATATTGGAAAGGGGGTTAAGACAAGCTTTACCTAACTGAAAACCCAATTCATAGAGCTATTCAAGCTCATCTTAGTAAAATAGATACATAATACATTTACCAATAATTATGCCTAACAAGTATAACCAAAACACGATATCAAACGCCTACGATAAAACCTCACAAAGTAACAACTTAAACCCATCCCTCGAACGAACGATATTCCCCCTCTAACAACACCTCATACACTCATCCCATCCCACCATCCCTCACTGCACAGCCAAATACTCATGCCTCCCTAACCCCCACCCCTTAGGACAATGACAACTCCCACCCGTCCCAGGCCCACACGTCCCCGGCGTCTTCTCCCACATACAATTATTCTCCACGGAATGGACATCACACGGGACCTCTACGATCTCAACAGGCGTACACGCCTGTCTGTCCGAGGTAAACGTAATCGACGGCGTCTCGCTCGGACACGCGTACGTGACCCCGTTCTCGAACCCCCCGAGACAGTACTTCCCACAGCTCCACTTCGTGATCGTGAACAGGCCCGCGTCTTCGTACCGCGCGGTTCGGCCGACGTGGTTCCCGTCCGACGCTTTGTTGAGCCAGCGGTTCCCCTGCGTTTCTGAGCTCTGCGTTATCGTCCCCTGGATGTCCCGGATCCGGATCGCGTCGTTGGGGTCCACGCTGCTGCCGGGGGTGCATCGCTCGTTCTTGCACAGCTTGAATTTGCCGACGCGGTGTTGGTTCGAGTGGTCGGCGGCGCTGTAGTAGGTTTGCCCGCTGTCGAAGCCGAAGGTGTGCCCGTTTTCCATCTTGAAGAGGTAGCATGATCCTTCAATGTCATTAGTCTTCTAGTCTTCCTGGTTGAATGTTAGGGAGGGATATATACCAGTAGTGATTCCTGAATCGCAACCCGCGAGCGCCTTGCAACTGCCGTCAGCAGTCAATGTTGTTCCCACGGGACATACACATTGCCCATCAACCATGACCCTTCCGTTCTTGCAGACACCGCTGCATCGTAGTCCGTCGTAGGACTGTCCTAGGGGGCAGCACCTATAGCCATTCCTGTCTGTTCCAGTTAAGGTATGACCCGGGGCACAGCAGTCAAATGCGGTATCCAGGGTTCCGAGCAGTCTTTGACCGGGATGACAGCAAGCTGCGACAGTATTGTCTACAGTGAATGTAAGGCGTTTCCCGCTAGTTCTGGTGCATCGGAAGACATCCTCAAAGTCGGCGCCTTCCTTGAACACAATTTCTTGGTTCTCATGATCGATGTGAGCGTTTTTGTCGATTTCCGCAACTTCAACGTTCCTACGTTGGAGGTCGGTTCTGATAGCCCCTAGGGCGAAGGGGAGCCAGAGGCTGGCGGCGATGACTTGGCGTTGTATGAACTTCATGATGGCGGTAGGTTTTCGTTTAATATGTGTATAGAGAGGAGTGCAATAGTAATCATGTTTCTGGTATTAATATCGATAGAATGTTCCTGTGTCGAGGCACTTCAAAATTAGGAGATATATGGATTTTTGTTTTGGCGATGAGTTGAAGGGAGAATTACATAGGGGTATCCAGCACAGTGACGCCTATCCGAGCGTTACTGGCCACATATTGGGCCACCCAATAATTAGAAAGGCTATATCACTGCCGTATACCCCATATATGGGCTCTGTACGGCGATACCGCCGCCAATAGATAGAAGACATACAAATGGGAACGTGGATACCACCCAATAAATCACTACCGTCACAACACATGACGCCGAAATCGCTTGGTCGTCAAGATAAGGTTGGTCCCGCTTGGTTGTATTTTTAGAATCTGGAAGATCGCGGTCGATCCGTGTAGGAAATGTGATTTCATGATAGGCCCTGCATAAATTGCGGGCTACGTGTCTAGTCACTAAATTTCACATAGGGTTTACCCTACTGCCACGTCTCTTGATATTCAGCTCACCAGCGAAATTCCTGTCTTCCATCGGTAATTCTATACGAAGCTAGCAAAACATACCGTGATGTGTTATTCGTCTCTAAGTTGTGATATGGCTTCTAGCTCAGGATCTAGCGGCGCCAGGGGAGTTGCTGGTGTCACAACGCATTTCTCTGGATCGTCAACTGGGGGGCAACGCGAACATGGCAACTGTTTGTAGACAAATAATATCAAAGTGTGATCAGAGAGCATACCTGTCGTACCCATAGATGATGGCAAGTCTCGGCACCGTCATATCCTTGCCAGCAAGCACATGGCTTGGGGTAGATGCGTACGGTCTACTTAGGCATTGTCAACCCAAAGAGCCAAGCCAATTATGATTCTACGGTGAGTGGCTCAATTTATAACGGAGATTTACTCAATGTACCTTAATATATTGATTATATGGCCATAGCTTCCTATTGAAGACGATTGGCCCCCTACCGACAACAACCCTTTGGCACCCTAACTTCAGCCCAGCCACCGTTTACCTTACATTGATAGGTACCTTATAGTTATATATCACGCCGTATTTCCCCTGCTGTCCACCTTGCACTGATCCGTGTTTGGGGGAAATATTTTGGATTGGTTACAGGTAACATATTCAACCCCTTTTCTGAACCTACCCTAACCCTAACCCTAACCCTTGTATTACCGTAAGTCACCGTCATAATTCCCGATCGAAATAAATCATCTAGAAATCATATTGTACTTTATTGGGTGAAATTAGAGTAGGGAAGTTCCATTCATAATCTAACAGACGGATTATCTCCTGCTTCATTTACTAGAGTGGTGATGTTTCGTCTCCTACCTACCTACCTATCTAGGTACCTAGTGATACCTACATAGACAATATCAGGGGTTCAGGGGGTGAAAACCACGAACTTTCCCATACCGGTGTGTTCCGCTCCCACATCAAGAGCTTCCTTCCAATCCTCCAACTTAAATGCCTTTGTGTCAACGAAATTCTCCCCCCGGGGAAACAAGCCTCTTTCCAACATCTTAATGAACTGCAGGATATCCTCCCGCTCATACATCAACTTCCCCTTCAGCGTTATATTCCGACTCACCACATGCGGAACCATAACCGCCTCATTCCACCCCATCAAGCTAACCCTCCCATTCCTCCTTAAAGCCCAAATCGCACTCTTAACATGCGGAGCCGACTTCGCCGCCTGCGGCGGCGTAAAATCCACCACCGCATCAACAACCCCAAAAGCCTTCATCGCATCCGCATCTACCATCTCATCACCGACCAACCTCACCGTCTCAATCCCCGCATTCGGCGACCCCCTCTTCACAAGCCCCTTCAACCTTACCAACTCCCCCTCATTCCTCCCCACCGCAATAACCCTCGCCCCCATCGCCACCGCCGTCATAACCCCCGCACCCCCAAACCCGCCCGTCGCCGGCACCACAATAACCGTCTCCCCCGGCTCAACGCGAATATCCCGTAACCCACCATACGGCACCAGCAAATAGCTCATATACAGCAGATCCGGGACCGTGTATTTTAACTCCCCACACAACCTCTCCTCATCCAGCGCGAAGCAGTTCTCCAGCGGCACCCTTGCGTACTCCGCCCAAGTGCCATCACGCCAGATCTCCGAAATCAGCTTCCGGCTGCCAGGCGTCTGGCCCTCATGTATCGCCGTCAAGAACAAGTCATCGGGGTCGTCGCGCGAGTGGATCACGCAATCGACATACACCAGCTGTCCGGGCTTCAAGGCAGTTGAGTCTGGCCCCAAGGCAGCGACGCGGCCGATGGCGCTGAGACCGCCGACGATAGGCTGCGGGAAGGAGTAGCTGCGCGCGCCGTTGTAGACTTCGCGGTGGTAGGAGATTATGCCGGCGGCGGCGATGTGGATTATGGCGTTGCCGAGCCCGGGGTGCGGGGTTGCTATGGTTTTGACGCTGAAGCCGGCTGTGATGGATTCGAGGACTAGGGCCCGGTGGGTTGGGGGGAGGGGGGTGGACATGGTGAGGTTTGGATAGGGGTATGTGTGATTTTGGAAGATGGTAGGTATTGCATTTCTAGATAGTCTTAGTGTTTCTAGGCTTCTTGGCGGTTATATAGGTACTAGGTACCTAGGCATATCGTAGAATGCGGTTGTGACTCGGCCGGCGATACACGGATATTAGTATTTTCTCCGGTGAGTCCATGATATCTACACGAAAAGTGCATTCAGCTGGTATCTCAAATGGGACAGGCTAATGGAGATAAGGGTAGACGGACTTACCATGATGTATCATGGATATAGGTCTATGAAGAAGATGTAAGTCTGAGACCTATAAAAGGGGGTAATAAATATTAGAAATTTAGACCTGTGCTGACCTACACAAGGTTCACTATGTCCTTTGAATCCCTCGAATGGCATTAAGTTAAGTTTCTCTAATATGTGATATGGAGAACTATGACAATATACCTACTTGTAGTTACGTAGACATGAGTGTTGGAAATTTTGATCCAACCCCTCTATCATGTTACTGTATTGAGTTCTAGCAACATCCCTCCTAAAATGATCAATTATTAAGATAGGTACTTTCCTATCATTGGATAATATCTTCAAACACATGTCAGTGTACTGAGATACGACTTGTTTCCTATCTTGGAAGTTAGGAGCCATCACATCCAATCGGGTTTCACGACTTTTCTCCGGGGTCGTATGCCGGAATCCCCGGGCGTGATGTCCCCGGAGAAAGATCACGAAAGCCGAAACTCAATCAGGGGTCAAATAGCCAGGGGCTCGACACACATAAAACTCGTAAAAATCTAAAGATATCGTTATAGCGTTGCTTTCATTTGATTGAATTGTTGTTTACTATGCGCGTAAGATTTCAACGAAACTTGACCTATCTTGAATATATTTATACGGACTTGGAACTTAGTTGACTCCGAGCTATCTCATTATTGGGACTCAAATATTCGTTAATATTAGATAGATACTTCAAGTAGGATTACTTAGGTAGTAACCTACATGAGGGTGGATGATGTTGGTCTTCATAGTTTAAGCTCGTGACGAGAGGGGAGGCACGTTGTCCTGGAGTTTGTGCGTGGCTTCAACCCCTTTTCCTGCCGACAGATTATAGAAATTGATCGCATGGAGAGATTCTATTTAATCAAGTTCAATTGATCATGAACATTAGTTGTAACTCCGTACTTAGGAGTTTGGGTCTTCAAAGTGTTTGCTGAAGTTGCATTACCGATCGTATGGGTAAAGATTGGCATACGTCGCATCACCGAGAGGCATGTTGAGGTTGTAGAACCTTAGACTATGGTATTCCGGGACGCAATAAAGAGAATACTACCATAACAAAAGGTGCAATCAATTACATAAAAGTAAAGTTCCGGATGAAAAGGAGGTATTCGAGATCGCCCCCAAATTCTGAGATTCAACGAGACGATAATATGAGATCCCAGGTAATTGGTAATGATGAGCGAACGGTATTATACCGTCTATAAGCGGATGCTTTCTTAGAATGGCGTTTATCGTCTTACGTTCATCATATTCGTATATCGTATGTTGGGTCGTGGATTTAGGGAGACGTGGGACGAGATAAAAATGGTGGAATCCTAGGACAGAAGAAAACCGGCACTTAATTATCGGCGGATATCCCTAAAATAACGCTATAAGTTAGCTCATACGTTTGAAGGCGTCTTGGTTTAAGCATATTTCATCGTACGGACATACATAGATGGGCTAAAGAGCACTACCACCACCTGAATTGATTCCGGACACTATATATCTATCGGGATCTTCACATCACATTATCGTAGCAAACTCGGTCGCTATCCTATTGATGGGTGATCGTCATTCACCATCATACTTCATCCCACTATATTGAACACGACGTTGAATTCTGCTGTGCTCCGGCGGTAGAACATTTGATTGGTGCTACTCATCTGTCGTCGAATTACGAAATACGGTTCCTGCTAGATAAGGAGCGGGTGCGACTGCAGTATCGCTGGTATAAATTTAGTCAAATGAACATTGAAGGCTAAGAAGCTGGCTAAGCAAGACTAGATGATGGTGGTGGTGGTGACGACGCCAGGACGACGTCTTGGACGGTTTCCGGAGCAATCAGTCTCCAAGAAAATCGTCGTCATGGAGGGGTGTTCAGTAACCCATGGCGACGATGCTTCATAACTGACTCATACAACCCATAATGGTGGGCAATATCAACAAGGTACCGTAGAATTGCGATAGGTTGATAGGTCGAAGCTGAAGAAAATGAAGGAAAATACTCCGATTCAATTAATAGCGATCGTATATTAATAAACAAACAATTCCAACAATTTGGATCCTTTATATTTTCATATTATAATTCCAAACTTAATAGTCCGGCCACTCCCGGATATCATAGGTCTGTTTCTCCAACTTACATAAGCAGGGGAACACTACCTACCTAGGTATCCATGTTGTACCATGCATTCTGAGCGGTAATTGGTGCACTAAGAAGAGCGCTAACGGCTGTAGCTCCGTCACCCCAATCCCAGTGATATCGCAGCAAGCAGCGAATAGCCCCACCCTCCTCCCCTGCCGCAGAGGTACCGACTGAATTGTCCCGGCAATATCACTGCCATAAGTGTAAGTACCTTTGTACACCACATGCACCACATGCACCTGGCATTCCTGGACGGATACTGGTCGGTCACTTTTTGTTCTTGCTCCCCTCTCAAAGTCCCCAAACCAAACCGACTACGAACGACAGACGAACTTCCCACCTTTTTTCTTACAAGATATCCTTCTCATACACCACCGACAATTTCGCGCGACCAGCGATACAGGCCACCTGAATCTGTTTCTTGAGATTCGTTCGTTCTATCAAGGCAACTTGTCAAAATGAACCCTCATCAGAAGAACAAGATTGACGTCAAGGTCAGTTTCCACCACCACCTTTCCCCCACATTCGCACGTTCATCGTTGGGTTGGACACCCATTCCTCGTGCCCAAGTTAGGGCAACGTTATGAAACCAAGCAAAACTCCATAGACGACATAAAATACCTCGACTGGATAGCGAAATTAGTCGAAATCTGCTGCAATGGGGTCTAATTGTTACGCCTTTGTCTTCGTTACCCTCGTCGTTCCATATATCGACCCATATATACACCGCTACGCCATATACATTCACACAAGCACAGATATGCACACATGTTCAATTATATATCAGCATTAGAGATACTAATTCAAAATCACATATAGACGCTCACCCCCGATGAGCAGCGCCTCTTTCGTCTGTACGGCAAATTACCGTCGAAGTCGGACCACTTCGCCAAGCACCTGAAAGAGCGCAAGTACTTCGACAGCGGCGATTATGCTATGTCCAAGGCTGGCAAAGGCGACAGTGTTGACGCAGGAAGTGTCGGAAGTCAGCATCCCGTACCCGAGAATATCCCCCACCTAACCTCGCCCAACGGCCAGAACGGCGGCAGCACGGTCGGACACCAACACCATCCTAGTCTCCAACACGGTCATAGTAGTCAGCAAGTCACATCCACTGGCAGCCCTGTAAAGGAAAGTAGCTTTCTTCAGCGCGAAACGAGCGCTGAGGAAGAGGACACTCCCAACAAGGAAGCCGAACAGAACAAGGCTGTACCTACCGCCCTAACCTCGGAGAATGCCGAGAATAAAGCTATCCCAATCCGAAGATAGGATGACGAGACGCTGCTCTCTAGAAAGAGAAGGAGATTGGGCTATACAGGAATGGTGGACATGCGCTAAGGCTGCCGTAATGGCGTTGCCTATGAGAATGACCATGCCTTACCTAATCGCAGTCGATTCTGAGTTCTACTAGGGTGTAGCTACGCATCTTTTATCTTGCGTTCATGCACCGCTATTTGCGCAAGGAGAGGGAATGGGTTTTTGTACGAGGCGACAGTGGCCCCCTTCACGATGGTTATGAGTACTGCTCATGGTGTTTTCGTTTCACCGCGGCGTTTAGGGATGGTCAATGGTACCGGCAAGGGAAAGTCCTTTTTTTTTCGCAGTTACCAAAAAAAATGTTACGGGACGATGTGGCTTCCCCGCCCGCGTCTTTTCTGCTGATCTGAGAACTCTCGCTAAAGACCCTTGGTTCTTAACCTTTCATGACGGCTCTTCATCGTACATTTTCAGTTGCTGCCTTTTTTTTAATCTCTCAATATGCGAATGCACACGGGTTTCGGCATTGCTATGGTGTCAGTGTCGGTGTCGGTGTCAGATTAGGTAGTTGATTTGACGACCGGAGTTCGTCTCGGAAAATATGAGGCCTTAGTGTTGTATTCGCTAACACTTGATACCATCTATGGATGCCACCACTCTACTGTTTATTTATTCGTGAAGCATACATGCATTCGAGATGCGTTAGGCGTGACTGATTCCTCTATGTACCTACCTACTTAAAATGCGCAGGCCTTATCCGCTAACGCCTTTGCGCCATCAAATGTCTTATTCCCTCCAATAAAACCCGCCGCGTGCACGAAGATACCACCAGGGATCCCCGAAACCTCGTCGAGCTGCGCGTCCCGCGCACCTCTCCATGGTTCTGGAAGCGCCTTCCGGCTCTGGAACGAGCTCTCGGTTTCGGGCACCGCTTGGATCCTCCACACCGCACCCGGCGTCGGGCTCTCTGGGTACAGCACGTAGAGCACCTTCTTATCCGTCCCGTCTTCCTCTTCCAGGGTGTACAGGTGGTCTTTCCAGGGCACAGACTGCCCCTCGAACACCATAATACGGCCCTCGGGGTCATATTGCATCCGCTTGGAGTACGCCTCCTGCACGATAGTGCGCGCAGGCAACCACGCACTAGTATAGAACTGCAGGTCCCGCGAGAACTCCTCGCCGATACGCTGACTCGCCATCACGAACCTCGCATCCTCCGCCGCCTGCGCCTCCACCTTATCCGCGGGCCTAGGGTCGTTCCAGTTCGGGTTCAGCCGGCCGACCATCGCGCCCAGCGTGAATGCTCCCGTGCTAAACCGCTTCTCTAACCCTGCTTCGGCGACTTTCACGGGGTCGTACGAGGATATCCCGTTGTCGTGCGCGTCCAGGGCTTCGATGAAGGACTCGTAGATCTTGTTCCAGAGCACGCTGACCTCGGCGCTGTCTTCCGCTTTCTGCATCTGCTGCGCGATGATCGCGCGCCCGAAGTGCATGTACACGAGCCCGGCGCTCGATAGCTTCGTTGCGCGGCCCGGGAAGGTCGTGGTGAAGGTGCGTTGGTGGTGGTCGTACCGGTTGCGCGTCGCGTCGTACTCGCCGCCTACGTCGACGACTGTGTGGCATGTCTCGAGCAGTGCCGGGTCCCGCGTTCGTACGAGCGAGCTGTTGGCGTAGGTGGGGAGCAGACGTAGCATGTAGACGGCCAGAGCTTCGTCGGCGTGGAAGTGCCCGTTGTGCGTGCCGATGCGGACGCCGCTGCCTTCGGAGGTCTTCAGTCGCTTCGCTGCGTTTTCAGCCATCTTTGCTGTCTGTAGGAATATACGCCGGAGCATACAGTTTTTCGTTGGGGTTGGGTTGCTGGTTTCGTGGACATGCAGCTTCGAAGATTTCCAATTGTGGTTATTCTAGTGGATGGGATGTGGGCTGGTGGGGTCCCACGGAACGGTATCGATAGAGCTGGGGAGTGAGGCTTGTATTTAATATTTGGCAGGAGTGGGTTTAGTGGGAATGTCGCATTTGGAGAACTGACTTTTTTTCTTAGCTCCGAAGAAGGGCAGATCGTAGAAACGCGTGTTGTTGGAGGGAAGTTAGGAGGCGCGGTCGTCAGGTTAGCAGGCTGGAGGCAATTGCCTACATACTTCGTAAGGAAGTAACCTACGCCCGACTCACCAAATCGATGCACTTTCCTTCAATCATCAGATTTCGAAACGTCAACCCCCAAATCATCGTCTTTTCCTTTTTATTTTTCGGACGGAGGAGCCACTGACCTTTTTTATCTTCGTTTTAACAATTACCGTTAAAATTTTATCTCTCATCTACTCGCATTTATTTCTAATCTAGCTGCGCAAAATCATTTAAAGTAATTCAATCTTTCTTTTCTTTCTTCTACAAAACCTATCCGCAATTCCGCACAGCCAACCATGGAGCGTGTCAAAGCCGAGTTTGACAAGGACACCGACCATGGCGATTTGCAAATGGCGGATGCAAGGCCATCATACAAATCATGGAAGAAGAAGTATCGCAAAATGCGCATCAAATTTGATCAGCAGATGCAAGAGATAGAGAATCTCCATAAGCTGGAACAAAAAGCCATGCGAACAGCGAAACGTCTTGCCATCGAGAACGAGTAAGAATCATCTCTTTCTTTCGCATTTGGACCAAGCAAAAGAATAGAAGAATGCTAACCACAATTTCATAGTCGTCTAATGGATCTATTGATGGATATTAATGACTCACCTCAAATCCCATTCGAGCGACGTATCGACCTGAATCTAGACGAGGACTCGGATGAGAATGATTCGGACGCTACGCAGAAGCCTACACGATCTCTCAGACGACTGGAGTCGGACGTGCCTCACAGATCATTCGCCGCTAGTGCAGAACAATTCCCAGAACTCCTGGAAGACCTTGAGCCTGAAGATCCTCAGATACACCCCATCTCGTTCCTAACTGCGGACGACGTCGATGAGTATCTCTACGAACTTGACGCGCGATTGAAATTGAAGCCGAAGCCGACACTCGCCCCAAGCGCTCTAGGGAAGGAAGTCTCTAACCCTGCCGCTAACTTCGCCCTGCGAAACCCGACAAGTGTCTACAACTGGTTGCGAAGACACGCACCAAAGACATTCCTCCAAGACCTCGAGAAGGAGAAGGAGAAAGATAAAGACAAAGGGAAGAGCAAGGATGACGACCATGAGAGGGATGATGACGGACGAAAACGTAAGAGTGGCACATCCGCGCGCTCTAAGAGGCAATCAGCCGCTACTCGTAAAGAGAAGGAGAAGGAGGCAGCAGAGTCCATGGATTGGGATGACGACGGTGGTTACGACATGCCCACGGCGAAGGGAAAGAGAAAAAGGGACGATGATGGCGGATATAGACCCAAAGGGGGTTCGAGCCGACCCACTAAGAAGCGTAAGAGCAAAGACCTGGGATCTCTTCCGACCAAGGGTTCACGAAAGTCGAACGCCTAAATTTCTTAGTGTTGATAGCCTCACCATCTAGGAATGATGGTGTTGGGCTTTTCCTCCGGTGTATTATTACTTCCTGCTACCCGCAACACATGACTTCCGGTCAGTCATGGGGCGTGGTTGTAGTTTGCCTGGCATGGCAATAGGTTTCGTGAGATATAGAGTGCGGGCGATATCCTCATCCTGCGATAAACGCATGGTGGAGGATCATTTCGGAGCATAGCAAGCATCTTCTCACGCTAATAAAATCAAGTGCGTTTTTTTTTCAAACTAGAAGCTGATTTACGATTTTACATATCTATAATGTGTGTAGAGTGGGTTGAGATCGAGGTGACATAAGGGGGTCGATCTAGGAGCTCGTGGTGCCTCGATTGATTGGCTCCCGCACCTTTTAGTGGAATTTTCCTCGGGAGCTACAAATTCAGTACTTGCTCATGCTTTCCTCATATGAGCCAATATATTTATATCGTTTGATTCCACACGGTTTATTGTATTGTCTTCGTCGAGTATTATTCGTATCAGCAATTTATACGGATTTCCGGAATTTCTGTATTGAAGGAGACGGACGTTTACAAGTCATACTCAGCACGTATTTCACCTAACTATACCTATACTCTGGGGAAACACACCTTTTTTCGAGGGTTCAGCCACCGTAGTATTATTGGGGTAAACCTAGCAGACGAATATACAGAGGTACACTCAGACAAAAAGGCCAGAAAATGCCACTTCGCCAGACCTACATAGTCGAGCACCTGGACCCGGAGCTAGGCCAGTGGTCGGAGCTCGAGTACATCGCCATCGCGCGCGAGACGCAGGCGACGGGGAACACGTTCATGCTATCCTCGCTTCCGGGAGAGTTCAAGGTCCCGGCGAAACTAGCTGAGATCCCGGCTTTTAAGGCGGAGAGGAGGGGCGTTGAAGAGATTTACGGCGAGGGAGAGAAGAAGTTGAGGGTTTGTCTGCTGGATCCGCAGGCTGACAAGGATTTGAACCCTGAGGATAAGAGGGAGTTTGATGTTTTTCTGTTCGGGGGTATTTTAGGTGAGTTGGTTTGTGGATGTGTCGGGAATGGATGATGGCTAATGTTGTTGGTTGGGGTAGGTGATGATCCGCCGAGAGGTACGTATTTACTGTCTTCCCTGTGGAAAGATAAAAGGGGAGGAGATTGGAAAAGATTTATGGTGCTAATCGTGGCGGAATAGATCGTACTTCCGAGTTACGCAAGAAAGGCTTTCAGGGCCGTCGCTTAGGTCCCGTGCAAATGACAACCGATACGGCAGTAAGGGTGACACGGATGGTGATCGAGGAGCAGTGTAAGTATCTTCCCTACCCTGCTTCTCCTTTTTATTTCTTCCCTGTATCGGTATCCCCGTAAGGATGTTGAAATATGAGAAACTAGGTAACTAATACGATATAAAAAGTCACGTTGAACAAGGTCCCTTTCGTCGATTTCCCGGAGCTCAAATTCAACGAGCACGAGAGCACGCAAATGCCTTTTCGATATGTAACGGATGAAGACGGGAAACCCATCATGCCCGAGGTGAGACCTTCCTTTTTCTATTCTTCCTTGACTACGATGTGTACCTCCACTGTTGAAATAAACAAATGAGTAGCTAGCTAACGTGTAATTGTGTTCTCAGGGCATGGTGGACTTAATCAAGAAAGATGCGGATAAGAGCATCGATGACTTATTTTAAGGCTGTATAGGTACCTTTCAGGGGTTGGGAATATGGATGATCATCCGTTCAATAACTTGAAAATACCCCAGCTTTAAGGGATTCCGCCCTCCCCAGCTGTAGCGCTAGAGGGCATCTACATATAGGTAGATTCTCAAATGTTCCACAAACGGGAATAGATAAAATGCAACCTATTCCAAGGACATATATCACTTGCCACCCCCGAATTGAACCTCAAGCTAGTATGGCGAAATGGTAGCCGTGAATTGATCAAAGTACCTGGTACAATCACTATGGTTCATCCAAGTCCATAGCTTCAGCTGAATCACCGGAGTCAGACCCACTTTGGCCCGAATCTTCGTCTTCCTCATCACCATCCCCTTCACTCTCATCCTCTTCGTTCTCGCCCTCTTCATTGATATCATCCATCGCTTCATCATCTTCACCCTCATCTTCTCCCTCCAATTCTTCTTCCTCCCCTTCTTCCACCCCTTCCTCTTCATCCTCTCCCTCCTCACCCCCAAGATCCTCCCACCGCCTAGGCGTAGGCGTCGACCCCCCACTCCCCTCACCTACCCCCTCCACCTCACTCTCCCCCCTCTCATGAATCGACAACGTCCTCAACAACTCCGACCCCCTCGCCCTCTTCGGGCCTCTCACATGCGGCAAATTGAACTTCCCGCGATGTCCCTGCTTCCCCTTCTTCAACCTCTTCACCAACCTCCCCTTCTCCCCCCTCTCCACCCCCTTCGCTATAACCGTCACATCATCCACCTCCCCCCTCTCCTTCTTCAGCGCAATCAGCCGAGCCAGGAAATTCCCCTGGTCAACCCTCTCCCGCGTGCTCCACCGCTCCGCAGGAGGTACTAGCGAGCTCAACGCGCTTCGCTCCCGCGGGAGCAGCGCGTTGCGCTGTCGTTCTAACGTGTCGTCTTTTGGCCGCAGGGTTATCTCTCGCACGGTCACACGCGCGCTGCTCGCTGCTAGCAGCTCCACGTCGTGGTCGAGATGCCGTAGCGCGGGGACCGGGGCGTCGTCTTCGCGCCGTGTGAGGAGCAGCTCTGTTCCTACGTTCGCGCTCCAGGCTCCGGTGTAGATGCGCCCTTTGTACGAGATTATGGGGTTTTGCGAGTGCAGCTCCATGATCTGTACTTGGTGGTCGTCGAAGTCGTCGGTTGGGTCGGGCGCGGGCTGTGGGGCTTTTGTTGGTTTCGGTTTGGGGGGCTGGGGAAGTTCGTTGTCGGAGGAGTTGGAGGAGCTGAGGTCGTCGTCGATGTTGTTGGCGTTGGCGTTGCTCATTCGTCGGTTTAGGTACATCTTCGCCCGTTCGACTTTTTCGCCGCCGCGGTAGCCTGGGCGGTTAACCGTGCTAGCGTCGCGGCTGGTGAAATCGGCTTTGGAGAGGTCGAGGGTTACGTAGAAGGTCTCCGTCTCGGTTGTCGAGTATTCGTATTCCCATTCGGATTCATCTTCTTCCGGGGGTACTACGCTAGGTAGGTCTTTTGGAGTGTTGGTATAGGTGTGAGGGCTTCCCTCACTCACACCGTTACTAGCCATCGGATATTCGTAAGATGTATTTGTGATGGTTTGGAGGTCCGCAGCAACGCATTGAGAGATAATAGTTTCGTACGTTGAACGAGATCAAGTCTGGGATTTATTCGGGTTTCTTCTATTAGAACAGTGGAGCTGAAGTTAAATGTAGAGCTTCAACAAATGAAGCGACGTCAATATGAAATTTAATGAAGGTGCTTTCCACTTTTAGCAGTCGGTCCAGGCGGTCACTAGCGGCATTACACCGTAATCCCCTAAAATTTTGGAGGGGCAGTCACCGGCTCTGTACCTGCAATATGCCCCTCCTGCCCCTCATCCGCTGAAAATTGCATGTGCTATATCCTACAAGAGCGCCTTCCGTTGACTCACTGGACAACTCCGGTCCCCGGTTCCGCGCGTATAATTCTTAAAGTCGCCAGGTCTTCTTTAGATCTTTTGTATATTAACCATCTATCGTGTTGTGTTCTACATACAATCGCCTTTCACCTCACGCTCTTTTAGTTACCTTACTTGCGCCGTCGAACCCCTCTAGTCCACGATGCCTACAGTTCACATGCTCGACTATGTCGCGGGCAACGTCCGATCCCTCGTCAACGCCATTGAAAAATGCGGATACATGGTAGAATGGGTCCGGACCCCCGAAGACGTCTCGCGCGCCGAGAAGCTGATCCTCCCCGGCGTCGGCCACTTCGGTCACTGCCTAAGTCAACTCGCGGGCGCGGGTTACCTAGCACCGATACGCGCACACATCGACGCCGGTAAGCCATTCATGGGGATCTGCGTAGGACTACAAGCCATATTCGAGGGCTCCGTTGAAGACCCCGCGACACCCGGCCTAGGGGTAATAAAAGGGGACCTGGACCGGTTCGACGATACAAACAAGGCGGTGCCACACATCGGCTGGAACAGCGCAAACGCCGGCGGCAAGAGCCTGTACGATCTGCAACCCACGAGCAAATACTACTACGTCCACTCATATAAATACCCGTACGTAAAAGGCAAACTAGAAGACCAAGGCTGGACCGTAGCGACGGGTACATACGGCGGGGAGGTATTCGTGGGCGCGGTAGCCAAGGCAAACATACTAGCGACGCAATTCCACCCCGAAAAAAGCGGCGTTGCAGGTCTACGAGTATTAAAAGCCTTCCTCACCGGCTCCGGCGCCGAAACAGTCGGCCAGGACATAGCCGGGCCAGCACCAACAGGCGGTCTAACACGACGCGTCATCGCGTGTCTAGACGTGCGCACGAACGACCAAGGGGACCTTGTAGTGACGAAGGGCGACCAGTACGACGTGCGAGAGAAGACGTCCGACCGAGGCGTACGGAATCTCGGCAAACCGGTCGAGCTCGCGCGGAAATACTACGAGCAAGGCGCCGACGAAGTGACCTTCCTCAACATCACCAGTTTCCGAGACTGTCCGCTAGCCGACCTGCCTATGCTCGAGATCCTACGTCAGACCTCGAAGACCGTATTCGTACCTCTTACTATCGGTGGCGGAATCCGGGATACCGTCGACGTAGACGGGACCAAAGTCAGCGCGCTCGAGATCGCAACCATGTACTTCAAGTCGGGGGCGGACAAAGTGTCTATCGGATCAGACGCCGTGCTCGCGGCAGAAGAGTACTACGGCCTCGGACGCAAGCTCTTCGGCGCCACGGCCATCGAGCAGATCTCGCGCGCCTACGGGAACCAAGCCGTAGTCGTCAGCGTGGATCCGAAACGGGTCTACGTACCGAAAATCGATGCGACGCGCCACAACACGATCCAGACGAAGTTCCCTGGACCCAAGGGCGAGGAGTACTGCTGGTACGCGTGCACGATCAAAGGCGGGCGGGAAACGCGGGACCTCGATGTCGTGGAGCTTGTCCAGGCCGTCGAGGCCATGGGCGCAGGCGAGATCCTATTGAATTGCATCGACCGGGACGGGACGAACAGCGGGTTCGATCTCGAGCTGATCGACCAGGTTAAGGGCGCGGTGCGGATCCCGGTTATAGCGTCGAGCGGGGCCGGGAACCCGGGACACTTCCAGGAGGTATTCGAGAAGACCCGGACGGATGCTGCGTTAGGGGCTGGTATGTTCCACAGGGGCGAGTACACTGTTAAACAGGTTAAGGATTACCTAGCCGAGAAGGGGTTGGAGGTAAGACAGTTCGAAGGGGATTTATAATATCTAAAAAGTGGGATCTAAGTGAGGTAGTGGTAGGGGTTCAGATGGGCATAGGTTTTGGCGTGTTTGTCTCATTTAATTGCACATGTTAGAATAGGCGTTGAAGGATTAGATGCGGGAGGAAGAGCATAAAAAAAGGAACGATAGAAGTTTGTCTATTGATAGTAATAGTAACTTCTCACTATACCATTGTCCTTGCAAAGCAAACTCATTCGCGAGTTTAGACCTCTACGCCGATGCTTTTGCCCGTGGAAGGAATGAAGCAACGTGCTACCGTGGGAAAGAAAACGACACCATGCGCCCGAATCGATGGGATGTGTGCATGCATAATTCCGACAACTCCAAAATGTAACCCAACCTCGAAAATACTGCATAGACGTCAAGGGTTCCCTAATATTTAAGTAGAGTCAACCCCATTTTAACGATCGTCAATGTTCGTATGCTGACAACTAGACTTCCATACCCATGAATAGCCATTTGTTGCTAGTAACGTCGATGTCCTTGGCCCAATGATCCAAGGTAGTCAAGTCGAAGCCAACCCACTGGAGACTCCTCATCAACGCCTTTGCGTAATCGGCAGGCATCTTGCGATCTACGCAGATGACGACGTGCGAAGCCCCCACTGGTCCATCAGCTAACTCGATCAAAGCGATGAGTCTGTGATACCGTTAGTACGACCTAATGACATAAGGGACGGGTAGGTACATACGCTTGCTTAAGATCGCGGCCGACGAGTCCGTCATCAAAGAATGCGAACAACGATTTCTCGTCGCCGTCTTCCGCAACAAAGGCTCGGAAGCTAGCGCCTCCAGCATAGTCCCAAAACTCCATCCATCCATTCACATTAACTCCAGTCTTGGTATCGATATCCGAGAAAGATGATTGAGGCGAAGGATAGTCATCAGGTGGCGTGAGTGCGTAATTGTTAACACCAGTCAGGCAGGAGCCATTACCGGCCATGTTCCACTCAACCTGGAACACGGATTTCATGGTCTCACAGAAGAATCTCTCACATTCTTCCCTGATCTGAAGTGTTGCCCCCCCTCGGCGGCCGCGGCTAATTTGTCCGTTGTTGTTGCTGCTGCGCTTCTTGTTCTTAGGTTGAAGAGCGAGCTCATTTGAGGAGGTGAAGGCCGCGAGGGGGGGACTTGATGGAGGAGATGGTAGACCTGAGATAGGGACCTCAGGAATACCACTCGGCCCCTGTTGTGAATACTGATCAGCATAAAAATTTCAGAAGTTGTACATCGTAGAGTAGAAAGCCTTACCGGCAGCCCCGGTAGTGCAGTAGTGAAGCCCCTTTAGGGAGGCAGTGGGGTCTACGAGGTAGCAACTGGCGAGGACATTGACCTGTCGGGACACGGCCTCGCCATAGTTACTACTACTAAAATTGTTTTTATCGTTTTTCATTGGCGCCATGACTGATGATGGAATCCAGGGCTGTTGTAGAAACTGGGTTGATTTGTTGAAGGAATAAATCAGGATCCGAGAATCCAAATGAGTTAATATGATCGAAGTTGGGCTTTGGTAATAGATTTTGCTTTAACTTTGTTGGTCAATTGACTAGCGAACTTTTCTGTAGAGTTTCGTTGCGGATTGACTATTTCGAAAGTTGAATTGTATTGATTTCGTTGTGTGTGTTGGAAAGGCGTCGAAAGTTGTAAGTGGCTTGAAATTTCTTGGTGTAAGACGGAGGCGGCAAGGCAATTCTAATACATTAATTCTCGGTAAAAGACAGCAGCGGTCAAGCGCAATTACATCTTCCAAAGGGCGGGGACTGGCACCTTCCCACTTCTGGAAACAGCCAGATTCTTTTAGTTTGACCAATCACTTCAGAGAATTGCGACCGTGCCACCCCGCATGTCATCACGTGTTAATCCGCCATCAATTGAACCAATAGTCTGGGAGCAATATGATTGGTGGTTGGACTCTTGTGCATCTTGGCAACTTCATTAGGCCAACATTGAAAAGCCGGTCAGCCCATAGACGAAACTTTCTTGCCTTCGATGTTCATACAGAGGTAGAAGTCGCACAGTTTTACCTCGCGCAATCTGATAATCGTAATCTACATACGTGTGCATACCCGCTCATCAGTCCCGGCATCTTCATATGTATTCCTTATACGGATAGTAGAGCCGAGTAGAACTGAACATTTTGTCACCGGCAACTGCCGGTAGCTTAGCTGCTTAGTTCTTAAACTACATGGGCTTCGTTAGGCGTTCAGTAAGCAAACAGGCTTTTCCATGCTATCATCAAGCAAGTAAGTAAGGGAATGGGTCTAATGTATGTACTTTAACAATATCACATTTGTTAGATAGCTCTATGAAGCTTATTCTATGTTCTTACTAAGAAGTCACTATTCCGTATTTGGGCTCATCATTGACTCACAAATTGTTAAGGTTAGCTCTGATGATTCGTGAGACGGCATCTTTAGTCCGGAAAAGTTGGGTTAAAGCTCGATTATAAGTGGCTACAACATACATAGAAGCCTTACATAGTAATAACATTGAATGATACCACACTTGTAGATGATGAGGCGGTTACCCGTCCGCGAATTAGCACGTGGAGAAGCGAGTCGATCTTTTTGATCAGAGCCTAATTGTCCACATCTGACACTTGGTGCATTTCGAGGGTTGTGTTCATTTCTCATTAATATTATGACATTAGTAATGATTTAATTTTTTTATAATTATTACAGACAGCATGAGAAGTTTCCCATTCACGATTGCAATTACTAACAATGTCTATTAAACCCCCCGAATCAATCGCATTCACGATCCAAGTGACAAAGTCTAAGTTGTGCAGGGATCACCCCTCTATCATGCCGCACAGTTCCGCCCTACCCATCCTCTTACATCGTCTTAGCCGCATCGGGCTGTAGTCGATAAAGCCGATAAAGCTGGGGGTGGGTGACTCCGATAAGGGAATGGATGCACCTGCTTTGAAAATGATGCGATGCGATCACACGGGGTCAACTTTAAATGGTTGTGGGAGTGACTGCCATTTTCCGAGGTCACAGCATGAGCTCTGACATGGATAACGCCCGTAGATTCCGGGATACTGCGAGCCTTTTAAGTCGTGGCACGCCTACCCAAGTAGATTTTAATGCGACAATACAATTCAGCAACTGGTCAGAAACGTCCTTTGTCGCTGTTCACTGCTCTTCTTTGATGCGGGGCTCGTTTGCGTTGCATAATACACTTTATGCCCATCATCCACCTTAAACCTAACAAACTTAACCTTCCATTTCCCAAGAATCGAGCTATGCTCTTCTTATGATTACTTACATAGTAAATCTCTTGCTCGATCCACCTAGCACTTGTTAACCAACACACAAGCTCTCTATTATCTACTTACTGCGACTCATCGCGATATACTTACTAACGGCGGCGAGATGTATTCCATAATGTTCAACGAGATCCTCCCGGCTCCCCCACCACCTCCGCCACCTCAAGACGAGTCGCTAGGCCCAAGATTCCCCGTCTACCTACTCCCGAGCCTTACCATGCCGTTTCGCCGAAGACGACAAAGTTCACATTTAAATTCCGGAAGACCTAACGAAACGATACCGTCACTAAGCTCAACGCCAACAGACTCGACAACGTCAAGTCCTGTAGAGAGTCCGACGACACCCTCGTTCTTTCTACCAATGAACTTATTCAAACAGAAAGACAGCCGCAAACGATCATCCCTAGAGCCCCTAGAGACTACGAAGATCTCGCGGACACAACCCAACACTATAAGGTGTTCTACATGTGCTTCCGATTTCGCTTTCGCCTCCCAGATCGTGAGCAAAGGTTTCACAGGTCGATACGGCCGGGCGTTTCTCGTGTCACCTCCGGATCAACCATCTCGCAAGGGTACGAAAGGAAGAGACCTAATCAATATTAAGGTCGGTAAGTCTGAGACTCGCGTCTTGGTTACCGGATCACATGTTGTCGCGGATATCGTTTGTGCCGTATGCCATACCAAGATAGGCTGGAAATACATAGACGCCAAGGAGGAGTCGCAGAAATACAAGGTCGGGAAGTTCATTTTAGAGACTCAGAGGGTTGTGGTTTATCGTAATTGGGAAGATATTATGGTCGACGAGATCTCTGACATTGGGATGGAGCAGCAAGAACTACAAACGGGAGATGACGATGAGCCCGTCATATTTGACTCCGACGATGAGGATGAATGCGAGGACCTTTTCCAAGGCTCTTGGGATGCTGAGGTGGTAGCTAAAAGACGAAGCCGAAAGGTTAATCGACGACAGAAGAAGAGCACCGATTAAACCCTCCACTGTGATAACCGGGATTGGGGGAGTTTTCATCGTAATAATACCCGAGCATGGTTTCGTTTGAAGGAGAAGGCATTTGACATTTCGATACCCTGGTAGGCATGTGTTCACTCAACAAAGGAGTTTATGGGTCTGAAGTGGAAAGCCGCAATATGAGCGGATATCTGAGTTTTTGTTTTCGTCATTTACACTGCATGGACACCAAGCCTAATATTGATACCCTCACTACGGAAATTGAACGATACCATTCCTTATAGCTATGAACATCGGATCTTATACACCAACGTACAAAAACAAAAATTCCCACTGAGTAGCATGGAGGGAAAATGCATTCTAATCTATCGCTAGGCAGAAAGTCATTAGACGAATCTACTATGGCTATTTACTTGGCCCCGACACTGGTGTTGGCGTTTCTTTGGGTGTTGGTGCGGGTGTAGGTTTCTGACCAGCTGACAGCTCCAATGTGACCTTAAAATTATGAGTATATTACTTGGGGCGATAAACAAGAACATTAGGGGGAATCTAAGACATACAGGCCCATCATTTACCAAGGCGACTTCCATCATGGCCTGAAACACTCCGTTCTTTACCTTATCGGCCACATAGCCTTGCTGGACTTTTCGGAAAAAGTATTCATAGAGTCTCTTGGCCTCTTCTCCTCCCATTGCTCCGTGGAAGTCGGGCTTGTTGCCCTTCTTAGTAGAGGCAAGTAGGGTGAATTGGGAAACTGGTAGCATGAAAGTAAGATGGTGAGAATTAATCGCGGTTCCTTTACAGGGTCTAAGACCTACCGCACAGTACCTCACCACCAATATTCACCACGCTCTTCCTCCACTAAGAAGCAACCATCCGTCAGACACGGCTGTAAATACACGCGTATGAGACATGTCGCTGGTAGGGGTGAGGGAAATGGGAGTGAATATTTCACCATACTCTTCCTCCAGTATCATCATCCCATAATCTCAATTTCAGCACTTTAGCTGCGAGAGCCTCTGCTTCCTTTTCCGTGTCACCAGGGGCTACGGCGGCGAAGACTAGGACTCCTTTGCCTATTGAGGAAACCACCTCTTTTTCTACCGTTACCGAGGCAGATAAGACACGCTGTAGGATTGCTGCAATAGATCTGAATATTGAGCAAGCAGTCCTAGTATAGATAGGGAGGTGATTGGATTAAAGTACTGACCTTTCATTTTGGGCGGCGGGAACTTGCAGCGTCGTTCATGAACTTAGGGATAAAAGACGTGTAAATATAGATTTAATATTAACATGGAGGCCGGGTGCAATATACACGATATGCGATATACGATATACTAATACAACAATAAATATACCAACTTGAATTGCGACGATATGAGGAGGTAATTCGGCGAAGAAATCAATCTTCACCAATACATCTATAGCTCGTCTATCAGGTAAGTATCTAAGTACCTTTCAAAAGAGGAAATACATGTACAGATGAGCGTCAAGTGACAGTCATCTGGCTGTCAGGTGGGGGACGGGAACAAGGTGTTCCGTGTTTTGTGACCCGCTTCAAGCGTTAAACAAAAGTATTTATGTACTTAGGTATCTGAAAAAAAATCAAGATAGAAAAGCAATGATATATTAAGACGAAGTTGTACAAACAGGAGAAATGACACATAAAGAATATGGTAGATTTGTGAAGAATTTCGGTGAATATTATAGGCGGTTTTTGTTGCCATAGCCTTGAGATTTATTGATCTGAAAGTAATATCATGTTACGCACACTTTATCTTTAAGGCTAGGACAATATGGATACATGAAATACATGAATAGGGCAGTTACAATTACCTAGCCTGCTAGCTGGGAATCAGAAGCTATTACCTGTAACTTTGCCCTATCACATGTACCTAACAGTCCTTTAGTTGATGTTGGGGTTAGGGAAGGTTAGGGAAGGTACAATACAATACAGTACGGTACGTAACGCAATCCACAGGCAGGCTGAGAAGCTGGGCAGCTGCAACCTAGGGCTGTGCTTGCATCGCAATCTTTCGCATCTCACCCCAGTTTTTAGTCGATTCAGCCTTCTAACCAATACGGTCAACGCTGCCACTACAAAAATATCACGTAGATAATCAGCAAACAACAACCATGTTTTAAACAACACTCCATTCTCGTCTTCTTCCCTCAGCAGCATTGAAACTGCAGCCTTTTGAGGAAAACACACTAAGAGGACCTTGCATTAAGACCGTACCTGACTTCCTTTCTTCCTTCAGATGTACATGCATCGTCAAATTAGTGCGATCTGCAATCCTATTAACTAACCTACGCACCTACGCCATTTCGCCATTTCCAAACCGCCTACACACCTTATCGACCAGATTCCTCGTGCGCCGATTCCCCTTTAACTCCTCTCCCTCATCGATACCCATCGACACCGACTAATCGCATCCCTTAATTCTACCCGTATAAGGCGCTTACATCAATCACAAATATTGATTTACTGCTCAGGTCCATCCTGAGCACCCCCCAATCTTCACAATGGCAGCAAGGAAACTGCAACAAGAAATAGATAAATGCTTCAAGAAGGTAGCTGAGGGTGTCGCCGAGTTCGATGGTATTTATGAGAAGATTGAGCAGTCGAATAACCCCGCCCAGAAAGAGAAGTTAGAAGATAATCTGAAGCGCGAGATCAAGAAGTTACAACGGTTACGCGACCAGATCAAGACATGGGCAGCCAGCAATGATATCAAGGACAAGGCTCCCTTGCTGGAGCATCGGAAGCTGATAGAGACGGTATGTGATAGGATAGGATGGTAATCGCAAGTTCTTTAATAGTGTCGCTCACGAGTCTATTAGCAAATGGAACGGTTCAAGGCCGTAGAGAAGGCCATGAAGACTAAGGCGTACTCGAAAGAGGGTCTGTCAGCAGCTGCCAAGTTAGATCCGAAAGAAAAAGCGAAGCATCAAGCCGGCGAATTCCTTAGTAGTATAGTCGACGAGCTAGAGCAGCAGATTGAGATACTCGAGGCCGAGGGCGAGTCGATACAAGCAACGATGAAGAAGGGCAAGAACCAAGCCTCCAAAGCCGATCGCATGGCTACCATCGAGCGCATAATCGAACGACATAAATGGCATCAGGGTAAACTCGAGCTTATTCGGCGGTCACTTGACAATGGCGGCGTCGAGACGGAGCAGGTCAATGATCTTGAAGAGAGCATTAAGTACTACCTCTCGGACGGTATGAACGACGATTATATCGAAGATGAGGGACTCTATGATGAACTCAACCTACAAGAAGAGGAAGATGTTTATGGTATGGGCCAGGAGAACGACCGAGTCTCGTCGCAAGATACACAATCTATACAGGAGGACATCGCGGAGCCGGAATCACGATCTGGTAGTCTGGCAGGAGGAAAGGCACGAAGTGTTGTCGATGCCGCAGCAGCCGCTGGACGGCGACCCTCGACTCAGCTTAAGTCCCCTCTTCCGACTCTGGCAACATTGCATAACCCGCTGGTAAATGTCACTAATGGTAGTACTGCTAATGCTGGCATGAAGCCAGCGTCGTTACCGACACGGCCAGCTGGAGAGGGATTAAAGTATGCTTCTGCTGCCGCCGCCGCCGCTGCGAGCGATAAGAATAACGTCGGTATTGCGCCGCTTCCTCCGCCACCTGGTTCACAACCAATTTCTTATTCTCCGGGCATTTCGCCCTTACCACCTGCCGCGTTGGCGAGAACGAGCGCGGCCAATTCGCCAAACACGGCGTTCTTACAACCTGCCCAATCGGAACAAAGGTCCGGGAACTTATCTGTCCCAACGACAGTCCCTGAACCTAAGGCACCTGAACCAGCTATCTCAGCTCCCACGCCGAAGAAGTCTGAGAAAGCATCTTCTAAGGCTGCAGGCAAGGTTCCCGCTTCCGCGGACCACGCCGAGTCTTCAAAAGGTAGATCTTGCCATGTGAAATGCCGTTTATTCAATGCTAACTTCACCACTCAGCATCCCAAACGAATGGTGTTGCTAATGGCGTGAAGCCTGCGGAGGAGAAAGAGGAGGAGTCGATATACCACCTCCCCGCTTCTTTGAAGGATCTAGTAGAATCCTTTGAGATTACTAAGAAACGATCCCTGCCAGTTAACAGCCCGTCCCATCTACGCATGATGGCGGCTTCGCAAGCAGGCGTGAACATGCACGACACGTTCGACTCAGAGCCTCCCCGGACGTATAGGCCAGATTCTCGTTACCCCTCCACATCAGGCTACCCGCAAGAAACGTTACCCGTTTTCGAAGACCCTAGACTGTACTCTCGGATAGAACCCGATACACTGTTTTACGTCTTCTACTACAAGCAAGGAACTTATCAACAGTATCTGGCGGCCAAAGCCCTCAAAGATCAAAGTTGGCGGTTCCACAAGCAATATCAGACCTGGTTTCAACGACACGAGGAACCGAAGAGCATCACAGAAGAGTTTGAGCAGGGAACCTACCGTTTCTTCGACTACGAATCAACTTGGTGAGTTTCTTCATGATCATATCCGTAACGATCTCTGCCCAGACGAATTATGTCTTGATTCTATTATGATATAAGCTTTCTCATAAACCATGAACTAGTTGCTAATATTATTTCTAATTTTTAGGATGAACCGAAGGAAAGCGGACTTCAAGTTCGCCTATCGGTTCTTGGAGGATGACGTATAAAGCTTCGGCTTCTTACGATCGAACTCTCACAGGCATTACTGAGTCGATAACGGGGTTCACCTGCCTCCAAGGGCTCAATGTATGCAATACAATCGCGTTGCCAACCGGGGAGGGCCGTTTATGCTAACGGCTTCTACTCTTGTCGTAATATTGTAAACAAATACATACAAGGCCGTCATGGCACTTCTTCTGATGACTGTTAAACCTACCTGACTTGGCTTCGATGAGACTTGACACATGCCATTACTGCCAAGTGCACAAGAGTTCTATTAGGTTAGATAGTCTATCAATGGATTCCAAATGAATTTAACGTTAGGTTTTTGTTAGGGGATGAGTGTGGTTTTTTTTTCTTTTTTCTTCTTTTTTTTGTTACGACTTGCTTTACCAACTTTCTAGAACGGTAACAAGTCTTCTCACCGCTCAGCGCCTCCGATTCAAGGCAAACCAGACCGGTCGAAGCCACCGTGTTCGGGCTGCTGACTAGAAGCTCTATTCACGAATGAAATACGCCACGCATTTTATGGCTTTTACTAAAAGCAATCATATGACTTCGGCATCCTTGGTCTCGTGGCCGAGTTCTTTGAGTCGGGGACGAAACGTAGCTGGAGATCTGACCTATCGGATGGCTTCCCCGGCCCGGTCACAGGTAAGGTACCAGGCGGTTGGGTGCATAGTTACGGTGCTAGTGTCGGATACGTTCTAGAAGGGCCTTAGCAACCTGGATTTGTGCCTTTTTGTTTTCACTTTTGCTGTTTTTGGTAACCCCCTTGGCTCGGTAGGTGGTAGGTTACAGGAACGAGGAATTATGGTAGAGAGAGGTAAGGTCAGGCAAGGTAAGCTGGGCAAGACAAGGTCAGATGCGGCTTCGCTCCGATGGCAATTCGAATATTGGCGTGCGTGTTACCGGGGATCGGTGCGGTATAAGTGTACCCGCGGCGTGTCCCGTTCCCATTTGTCCAGAATCTCCCCAACGAAGACTCCAAGCTCTGCGCTGTTCTAGCTTCCGCGAAACGGACGGACTCAACTACGGATCTTGGGTTGCCAATCTTTCGCCGGATCTTCGCTTTTTTAGGGGCTGGGAATAGATCCGCACCGTGCCTGCGCTCCGAGGGTTGCGTTTAGTAAACTCCAGTCGTACATATGTATATCGGTAATCGTGCAGTTACGCCGCTAATCCTTCCTGTTCTCATCCCGCCACGCATGAGTCTAGCGTCCGGGGCTTTCCCCTCATTCGTTTATGCGCAGGAGTTATTCCCCCCCAAGTTCCAGACGGATCGTGGAATGGCTACGGTGGACTTCGATATCGTGAAGTTTTAAATGTCATACGACGGCACTACGCGTTCACCGTTGAAGAAAAGGTGAATTGTTGAGGTAGTGTACGACTCCGATTCCCGGGCGAGGTTCTGGCATTTGCGGATTCGAATGAATAATATCGTCCTGCCATTGGCGTTTGCACCATTGCTGCGGGCGAGCACGCGGGAGTTATAAACTTGCACACGCTCCCAATCCCCCGATTCACGCTTGTAACACATTTTCGAACTTGGTTTTAGCTCAAATTACCGTTGGATTTGGAATTTCCAAGCCATTGGAGCTGCAGAACCCCCGTTTTCACTCCCACTTCCGCTTCATATTGCTTTTATCTCACCTACATCCTCCCTACCTACCTACCTCTTCCCTCTCACCTCCCCGTCCGCCCACAGGCAGCGCAGCCAAACGCCACAATGTCCCACCCGCAAACCCTCTTCACACAAACCTCCTTCCACGGGCCCTCGCTGTTGCAAACCCGCCGCACAACCATAGCCCGCACGACCGCCAAAGCCCAGCTCAAGAAACTGCGCGACACAGGCCGATACGAGTGTTTCTCGCTGCGCCACCAACCGGTGTACGACGACCGTTCTCGCTGGCCGTGTCCGGCGCCTGTGTACTGGGACAGCGATGTCGCGAAGTGGATCGAGGGCGCGTGTTATTTGCTCGCCGAAGAGTACGATGCTGAGGTCGATGCGGCGGTTAGGGAGATCGTGGGGATGGTGAGACAGGCGCAAGCAGAGGATGGGTATTTGAATACTTGGTTTTTGATCACGGGGGAGGAGAGGTGGGCGAATGTTAGGGATTTGCATGAGTTGTGAGTTTGCCCCTGTCAGCTTTGTGTCCTCTTTTGGTTTTTGGGTTGGGGGGGAGGAAGAATATGTGGGATGGGTCGGAAGAGAGAGGGGAGATGATGAGGGAGAGGGTAAGAACGAGGGAAAGGTCGTAAGCGTGAAACTGGGCGGGTTAAGAGATAGCGTTTGAGGAAAGGTTGGCTGACAGGTGCGTGAAAAGGTATTGTGCCGGTCACTTGATCGAGGCCGCGCTGGCGCATAGCAAGTACTACAAGAACAATCTCTTGATCGAGCCGATCGAGAAGTACGTTAAGCTGATCAGCACGGTTTTTGGACCGGGTCCAGATCAGGTGAGTATCTCTCTATTGCAGTCATTTTGGCTATACCGGCGCTGATTTCCGAACAGAAACACGGTTACCCGGGCCACCCAGAGACAGAACTCGCTCTCCTACGTTTGTATGCAGTAACGGGAAACGAAAGCGCTTATGAGTTGGCCAAGTACTTCGTCGAGGAGCGCGGTAACCCAACCGGCCAGGAAGGTCTTCCATATTATGACTGGGAGCGAATACGGCGTGGCGATAGTCCTTGGAAGCGCTCGGATAGTTATCAAATGCATACCAGCAACTGGTATAACCAGGCCCACGCGCCAATTCTAGAACAGGAATCTGTCGAAGGCCATGCTGTGAGGGCAATGTATCGTAAGTTGATTTCGAGTTGTTCCTTTTTCCTTGATTTCCTATGAGTTCTAAACTCTTGGAATGTGATGAAAATGCACGCCCCCTCGAACTAGCATTAGGGAAGTCCCTAATAATTTGATGACGACAACTAGTGATGTCTAGTGGCAAGTAAGGCTCGGTATGCTCTCTCGCGAGTTGAGGGGGGCGCTCTTTTGTCACTTAAGGGGTTTCAACCCGGAATCGCGGCCCGTTAGTACAACCACCTCCGAATCATGATTACTAACATAAGATATGCAGTCTACACTGGGGTTGCCGACTTACTATGTTTAGACGAACTTGGTGTGAAGTCGTACAATCATAAAAGTGAGTATTTCGGTACTCTAAGTAAACTATGGAACAATATGGTAGACAAGAAGATGTACCTCACCGGAGGTATCGGATCAATGTGGCAGTGGGAAGGCTTCGGCATTGACTACTTCTTGCCGCAAGGATCCGACGAGGGTGGATGCTATAATGAGACGTGTGCATCCATTGGCGTCATAATGTTAGCAGAGCGGCTATTACATCTTGATCTCAACTCTAAGTATGCCGACATAATGGAACTATGTCTTTACAATGCCGTGATGACAGGGTTAAGTCTCGAGGGAACCGCTTTCACATACGTGAATCAGCTAGCGAGTTCGGAGGTAGATAGAAACCGCAGAGAGGATTGGTTCGACACCTCATGCTGCCCACCGAACGTGATGCGGCTGTTTGGCTCTCTCGGCGGATACCTATGGGACTACGGAGGCACCGGAAAGGATGTCTACGTCAACGTACATCTCTATACGACAGCCAAGGTCAAGTTCCAAGTAGAAGACCAACAAATAATTCTCGAGCAAAAGTCAAATTGGCCTTGGGAAGGCAATATACTATTCCAACTGGAGGCGGCGGCGGCAACAAACGTCACGATCAGGTTAAGGATCCCTTCCTGGGCGCAGGGGAGATTTACGGTGTGTCCGGGTTGCTCCTAATTAAGAGTCCATCGGGCAATCTCGCTAATGTATCAACAGCTCACACCGAGCCATAAACCTGCAAAGATCGAAAAGGGTTACCTGGAACTTCCGCCAGCTTATACATCTTCAAATCACGCATTCTCGATCCAGATCGACGGGTTCAAGCCTCGATTTATATCCCCGCATCCATATACCAATCAGAATACTCTGACGCTAGCGCGCGGTCCTTTAATATACTGCGCTGAGGATGTGGATAACGCTTGGGAGCAGGACCACTTCCGCAACGTCGGGATTAAATCCGACTCTCCCGTCTCCGAGAGCGACGAGGAGCTCGTCCAAATAAGGGAACGATACGTTGCCCTCCGGTCGGTTGGCTGGATCCGTAAGATAGATGATCGGACCGAGTCAGAGTCCGGAATGCTCCCCGGCTCGTCAGTCGCTCAGACGGTTGTGACGGAGAAGAAGGAACTCACTTTCATCCCATATTATCTCCGTGCTAACCGTGGTGGCAGGGGTCACATGAGGGTTGGTCTCCTAAGACTATGAGACTATGATAGTGACCCATGATAAAGACCCTGAGGCAACCCGTGTTGCGGTAACATCGTCTTCCGTTCCTACCCAGCTTGACTGCTCGAGCGTGGGATGTTTGCTGGGGTTAGACGTTGGAATAGGCACGCCGGCGGTATCGTCATATGTCGACCCCTTGCATACCCTATCGGGAAAGATGCATGTTCGGATCTTTCTCCCTACCTAGTCTAGGTACCATACTGCTACGCTAGCTTTAGTTGAAACTTGGATCCGGATACCACTTTGCTTACCTCAACCTTCGATAATCACAAATCTATAGTATGAGCAGCTGATTGACACTTGCGACTTGCGGTATAATCGGTATAACCCGGTATAATCCGGTATAAGCTACTAGGTAGCCCAGCGCTGGTGGCTCTTATTGCTCTCCTTTTCTAATAAGTGATAGGCGATCCAGTGGAACGTGGAAATCCTGAATCCTGGATAATATCGAGATCCGCTTAAGGCCCCTAATAACACAAGTCGTTTTAACCATCAATCATCAATCTGCCAGTCCGCCCAACAAAGCAACAGAGCTCATTCCGACAACTCAATCGCATAGACCACGGAGCTGCTCCGCGAACGAGTCTATAGGCAACTTTATAGCCTCAACTTTGGACCAATCATCTGCACTGCTATATCGGTCCTTATTCGCAATCTTGACCCGAGCCCCTTCAGTCAGCAGCATGGATATATCTACCTAGGTATCTAATGCTTTGCGGTGAGACCGTCTAAGCCTGCACTGGCCCACCAATTACGCTCGTGTCTCCTCACTCGCTTTAATCAATCGGTTAGATATTCCGACGAACCATGGCACTAAGCGCACCACCAATGTATCATCTTGGCCCTCCATGATCTTCAGAGGTCTTCGCATGGGATTAGAATTCTTCTAGAAACCCACGCTACCCTTTTGGCGCCCACGGGCTGCTTTTGGGTTGCATCGGATGTGATTAGGTCTCTATATGCAAATCGCACATATAGACGCCTTCGCTGCGGCTTATAATACGTCGAGAATGGCTAGGTATCATGAGTCGAAGGGCTAGGCCAGAAGAACCCACTATACGCCCATACCGAAATGGACATGGACGAAGTCGCAGTCGATGCTGGCTGGCGCGAGGACCCTTCCCCCGGGAATGAGGCTCAAGAAAAATACCAATGTTCGCGATGTCCCAGCAGCTTCAAGAGACCCGAGCATCTAAAGAGGCATCAACGAAGCCACGACGGCCACAAGCCGTTCATGTGCTCTATCTGCTTGAAACGTTTCTTCAGGAGGTATATCGCATTGCCTTTTTTTTTCCTGTCTTATCAGCGAGACTTAGACTAATTTCCGAAGTGACATCCTGACCCGACATGAACTGATGCATGTTGCGGCCCAAAGAACTAATCACACCGTCAGCCGCAAACGAGCGTGTACGGAATGCGCGAGAGCTAGAGAAAGATGTTCTAGGGACGAGCCTTGCCTAAGATGTTCGACGAAATCTCTTCAGTGTCTGTATCCCGACGACGCAGGGCAGAAATCGCATTCCTTCGGAAGCGATGCTCAGGGGTCTGCTAGAATCGAACACGGACAATTCGAAGACCATCTCCAGCTAGCACCGCAACATCCGCCAATACTTCCAAAACAAGAAGGGTTCATGCCATCGTCAAATCCGATGCACAGGCTATCCTTCAACGAGGACGACACGCCTCTCCGTGACTTCACGAATACGCTTAGATCCCCAGCTACCGCCAGTACCTCGTCTTACTCCTTAGACCCGTACGGAAGCAACGCTTTCAACGCAGACGCATCAGGCATCTCGCTCAGTGGTATAGGGGGCGAGTCCACCACCTTCGCACAACCGAAACCCCTCGCACCAAACCAACGCGTCTCCCTCTTCGACCCACCGGCAACCTCCCCCTTCACTCTCCCCCGCATCCACAACGCCCTCGGAGACTACCACACCAGTCTCCCCAGCGACCCATCCTCCTCCGCCTCCTTCGACTTCTCCCCCTCATCAATGAATCCCTCCTCCTCGCACTCCCACCCCCAACCACAAGACCCCTTCTCCACCCTCCCCACCAACGAAAACGACATCGAGGCCGCCCCGAGAGGCCTTCTCACGCTGTCGGATTTCGGAAACAGACCTATTAATCTGAAGGAGTACGAGTTGATCGCGGGACAGTTCAAGGAGTTGAGGCTGGGCGATGCGGCGGTCCGGTGTGCGGGGAATAATAATATCTCGGAGAGCCAGCGGACGGCGCAGCATGAGCTTTTTGTTAAGCTTTATTATGAGAGGTTTGAGAGGTCGGCTTATTGAGGGGTTGGGGGTTAGGGGGAGTCAGGGGGGTTTCATGGGAGGCGAGACTTCCTAGGGGGAGAGCTAAGAGTTGCGCCTCCCGGCTGGCCTGGAGAGACCGGCCTCGATACGCGAATGCTGGTGCCTGGCGGCTGACGACTTCGCGGCTAGGGCAGATGGTTCGCAATCCGCCGAGCTTGAGTCGAGACGTATGTGTTAGGGTCTGGTGATTTAGGCAGCTCATATTCCACCTTGCCACGTTGTCTAGGTACAGTACACGACGTATCACTTGTTTGACGCCCGCGCAACGAGACGTGGTTGTTTGCCCCGGATCCGACCCCCTTCTCCAGCCGGCCTACGCCAATGAACTCCCCTCCTTTCGCGGGTAAGGGGACTGATGATACTATGGGACGTTGTGGAACATATATACATACATACGTACATACGAAGGGGTAGGCCGTTTTCTTGGCTCTTGGGTTCGATTTAATGGTGTGCCATTGAATCCTAGGAGATGGTTGTCCAATGGCCGCGTGCGGCGTATCTTACTTAATAAGGGGTATTTTAAGGGGCGAGTTGTGATATACACGTATACAGTGCCTACCTACCTTAGCACAGCAATTCTGAGCAGGTATCTGACTCTCGTGGTTCTCGATCTGGTAGACTTGCTTCGTGATGCTGGTGTGGTTTAGGATCGGCGTCTCTTATACCCCTTTTTGGTCAGGTGCGTCTTCGTGACCGGTTGAGTAAATGTTCAGTTTGAGGAGCAAATCTGGTGGAATCACTTGCTATAGCTATAGCTACCTACTGCGAAAGACTCAGTTCCCCACTACCTAGTACCTAACGTTAATTTTAACGTTAAGTTTATTTCTAATCGTTGAATGTCCATGGCAAAGATGAATTGACTTTATGGTTGCGGGTTACAGGTATTATCCCCGCATAACCTAAGCTTATTATTACATTTCAGGCTAGTGAGCAAGCCACATAGAGAATTTCCAGATATCCCATATCCGCCCGGAAGGTGCATCGTCGCAATTGCTTCAAGATTGTGATGTTAGTTATAGGATGGGAAGGAGCCATATTACAGACCGGGTGGAGGCCTGGTCATTGTAAGGTTTAATATTGTTTCCAATTTCGTTCCTAATTGAACTTCGATTTCTTTCTCTTTTCATTTCAACATCGATCTCAATCAAGTCACCCATCTCCTCATATAAACCCTAACACAAAAGCAATTATTATAACGAACGTGGCACCAATGTGATCTCGCCAACTCATCACAATGCATAGATGCCCAGGTGCCCAATCTGTTTCCACCCGTGCTCAGCACATGAGTATATGTACGCGGAGGTTGCCTTCTTTTTTTCCTCCTTTGCAACTGGACCTTTATTCTGCGATGATACCTTTTCACGCCGAATTATAATTCTGCGACATGTCTTACCTACCTAGTAGGTACTCAGGTCGTGCTTGACATGGCCCGCGGTAGCCCGTGATAGCCCGAGCTATTCGGCCAAGGGATTCGTCCCTTGGTTCCTGCATCAATATTCCTTAGGCTGAGAAACTCTCAGGTCATCTGCAAATGGGCGCATCGTGGGATTCGGCCTGCATAGGAGGAAAAAGCATGGTCATCAATGCATAAACAACTCAACCGATACACATGGGACCATGGTGGATTTGGAGATTTAATCTCAGGGCAAAAAGATGCAGAGGTGCAAAAGACACGATCTAGGTATAGCTGAGCCTTGTCAATTTGTCATGCCGTTCGGGGTATTGACGTCCGCGAGATAAGGTTGCTTATCCTCGAATGGGATTTCGGTCAAGCTGCCTTGACCGAGCGCTAAGCGTATTATTTTCTCAGATCTCTATTTAGTGGGGAGCTATCGCAGGGGCCGTGGACCGGACCTATGCTCCTGTCGTGCAGATTTCCCGCAATCTTCACACAGATTTCCACTTGAAAGCCTCACTTCTAAGCTAGTGTATGCGCAACTGGGGCGCGGACTCTCGGAAAGACGAACTATAGAGCTATCTCGCTACCTATCTGACGGGGGCTGATCAGGCAGCGAACGGCATGCAAACAAAAATTCTGCGTTGGCAAGGCATTCATTAGGCGGACTGGTTCGCCTGAGAATGCTAGAGCTTTAGGATTCCGCATCCCAAGCTCGCACCTCATTCGATAACTTATCCCTATTGAGGCTGAAGTCATACCCTATAGTGGCTGTGTCCTACGTGTCTTTTACAAGCAACCAACGACCTTTCGTCTGATGTCGTACAGATGTTCTCGAAACTCCCAAGACAGGACCCCCCCCTCCTTTGGAATCGTGACGTCTTCACATCTGCCAGGGTCACAACATTGTCCTAAGGTAATGTCTAATCCGTCAGCGCTTGGTTATTGATACTATTTACCCCAAAGTAATTTTCGGGTTTCTACTGTCCCCGGTTGCTTGCCAGACTGTGAGTTTCAGCACAAGTTGTCAATCCCGTCTTATCATCTCCAACTAGTCCGTTCGAGTGCTTACGCTTGGTCGAATGCTTCCACAACGTGCTGCACTTGTCAGCCTTACCCAACGGCAGCGATCTGCTCTCATATAGTATATGGAGCATCTTTTCTGGGCTGAACTCTTGGCTGCAATGGTCCACCTTTGTGTGGCATTGTTATGCAACTACTTAAGGTCCGCGACTAAGGCAGTAGCTACTTGTAGGATATGTTCACCGAACCCAAACGAGGTGTCTCACTTGCGAGATTTCTCACAGAATTTACAAGATACCCCGGGATAATTATAGGAGCCATTCACAGAAGTATCGCTCCGTCGTTGCATCCTTCTTAGACGGAGCACGGCGGCGTCGGTGTGGCTTGCTTTATCGCATACTTAGTACCTAGTAACTCGGATATACAGCCCGAGACCTCCTCCATATGCACTACCCCGGGCGATGCTCTTAGCTATCATGAGCTTGTGTATTCGCTTATGTTTTCCGATTTACGTACAGTTAATTTCTTACATCTTAGCAATGCTCTACCAGAAATTGGAGATCTCAGCATTGCATCTATTCACTCATCTGGAAGCCTCAAGCTAGACTCAACGTTCGCCTCACAATATCAGATTTGCAGTTTGAGCCCTAATTTACTCCACCGACATTTCCTGAGTGGTTGTCACACTTATTAATCCTTAGCATGTATTGGCCAACTTGAGCTTCTGGTAACAATGGTAGCAGAGAGTATTTCAACAGCCCAATGAACATCTTAAACCAAACTTCCCAATTTCTAGTTCTGTATCACCGCATATTTCCACGATCAACCATTAGGCAACTCTATCCTGTCGTCTGCTCTACATTTCCGTCTCCAACCAAACTAAGTTTGCTTTTTGTTACTCGGTTCGTGTCTCCTAGGGGAGATAGCCTCATATCAGTATAAGTACGACTCCGTTCCGTGGATCGTGTGCTCGTTCTTTCAAGGGCAAGGCCGGTTTAACGGAACGGTACACAGCACGACAGAAAACCAAAAGATTCATCAACTGATTGACTCAGTCATGGACAATACATACTTCTCTGGGCCATATATCGATTACAGCGACCAGAACTACTGGCTCACTAGCACAGCTATGGCACGAGATACGTCACACGATAGCAGTTATAGCACCTATTCAGAGTCAAGCAACGGACAATATGATGTTGCACTATCTCCAGCTTCTGAAGGTATAAACAACTATGATCTCCTCAATGTGGCCGATGCAGGGGCCTATATAGCAGCAGACACACAAGAGTATAACACGAATAATCAAGTCGAGGGGTCCGTGTTTGAGTATCAATTCTACGATTTTGATATAGGAGGGGATTCGGGACAAGGGCCGCACTGGAAACTAAAATCTCAGTACACCCCATCTGAAAACTATCCAGCTATCATACCTTTCGACTCTATTCCCGAGGTGTAAGTGGGCCTGCTGAAACTCTCATAGTAGGTGAATTTACAATCTAATATTCGCATCTAGGCCACCTTTTGCCAATGACGCTTCGGGCAGGCACGTCTGTCTCGAACCCTACTGTAACGCAACACCATTCAAACGCAAAGCAGATCTACAAAGGCACTACCTCCACAGGCACCGCAACGCCAACCAGAAGAAGCCATTCCCTTGCGACTGGAAGAAATGCCAGAGATCCAAGGAGCCCTTCTATAGGCTCGATCACTGTCGGGAGCACTATCGTGACTTTCACATGGAAGACTTGATACCACGCGGGTCGAGCAAGGAGGCTACCGAGTGGTGGAATAGTCGCAATGTCGACCCTAAGTGGTGGCGGTGTGCTAAGTGTCTTAGCCGCATCCCCATCGACAGCAAGCGCTTCGAATGCGCCAACTGCAAGACAACATGCGAGCCAGAGAGGAGAAAGCTCAGGGGTTACAAATGAGCGGTGGCAAGATAGCTACTAAGCTCCAACCTACATTACTCGACTTCAGCGCGATAGCCGCTGGAAGAGCCTCAATTCGATTTTCTAGTCAAGACTACCAACCAACTTCCCCGCGCTTATCACGACTTCTGCCTTGTTTTCGGACCAACATGCAGCTGGGAAGCATACCGCTATACTCAACCATATCTTTTCTTGCTATTTATCCATCCATTCTCTCGCTCCGCCTCACTACCCCAGAGTGGTTTTCCCTTTCTCCGCAACCAACATTGTTTGCACTTCCTGTTTTTTGTTTTGTTTTTTATCGATCCATGGCGGTGAATGGCGTAGGGCTAGAACAATATCCTGCATAGATGGCGGCGGGATCCGGCTGGCTATTGGCCCTGCTACTGTTCATTGCATATAGGGCTGAGCGGTAGATTACCTACTTGCCTAAAGTCCAAGGCGGTCTGGTGTTCGCTTTTCTTTTTTCTTTTTTTCTTCAAGGAGATTTCCCCTTTTCTTTTCTTCATTTTTCCCTTTCTCCCCTTTTTTTCTAATCCATGTCGAGACGAGTACGATGTAATGAGGCTATGCTATGGTTTTTTGGTTCGTTCATTCGTTTGTGATCAGCGAGTGGCTCCCCCCCTTTTTGGCTCGAGGCGTTTCGTTACTACCACATATCTACATTGTTACCTGTTACCTACTACCTACCACGTCATCTCGTACCCTGCCTATGGATATCAACCTCATGTTACATTATTAGGTTACGGAGACCTCTCGGTGGCGCATGGCTATATTTGGCTCTTTTTACATTTGCTAACTATAGAAGATGGAACTATTGCTTTTTTTCTTCACTTGTTTTTGTTTTGCTTTTTGGGCTTTTCCTCATTTTCAGGGGTGTCCTTTTTGTTTTTGTTTTTTTTTCTGTGGGTGGGTGGCTTGCTTGCTAGCGGTTTATTTTCTTATTTCTTGCCCTTTCGCTTGATGAGTCACATGAGTCACGGGCGCGGGAGTGCGGCTTGCGGAATAAATAGAAAGTCCTAGGCGCGCGGGGGTTGAAGTTCAGGGTTTCCCGGGGATCCGGTTGGTTCTTTTCTTTTTGGGGGGCTTGCTTTTGGTTTACTTACCTGCCTAAGGTAGGTAGGTATCTTGCGGGTTTTTTGTTTTATTTTAAGCTTGACGTTGTATGGTATGTACTTAGATATGCAAGGACGGATGGTATTTACTGTATGGTAGGTAGGGCTGCCGCTGGGTTGGTGTGCTGTTACCTGGCGGCAGCAGCCCACGGGTGGGTTACGTTTTAGGGTAGCTTGACTGCCTAGGCAGATGTATTGCCGACTTAGCGAATTAATTAATCAATCAATAGGTTCGAAACTATACTTGGGAGCTTTATTCTTGGTCGATGGCTAGGCAGACTTAGGACTTGGGGACTCGTGTGTCGTACCTCGGCAGTTCTCTGTCGATCGATTTGGGGACTGGGGAGTCGAGTGTCCTGCATACATACGTACGCGGCCGAGGCAGGGCTACGTGCATTTCCATATGTGTACGCGTAGGGCCGCTGTATGTGGCTAAGCTGGGGATGTCACCCGGAGAGGCTCTGCGGGTATGTAAGTAGGGACGGGGGGCAGCATTATAGGGCAGATTATTATTGGGGTCTGATTTGATTTGCTGGGGAACGGGTTGGAGTTGTACTTTAAGGCATCGCTGTTCCTGCGTTTGTGTTGATATCTGGTATTGCGAGTTATATCACGGGGGTTATGGGTTTTGGTCATACGGTCTGGGTAACTAGGATATATATTGTGATGACATGTGGTTGTTACTTACCGGCCGTATGGTTGAGTCATTTTTAAGTTGCATAGGTATCTTTGTTACATTAAGATCCCATGTAGGTACTATGAGCAACTACATGTCGTTGGTTGTGATATATTAGTGACATGTGCTAGGGTTATATAGGTATAGTTGGGTGCATAGGCTATGCGTAATACTGCTTCTAACTACATACTCTACTACGTTACATCTAGGCAGTAACCTGCATGATATAGATTTTCTTATTCTAGTTTAATATGTAGGACGCGAGTTAGACGGTGAGTTGAGTCGGTGAAGACGTTGGAGTCTGGTGAATATATTTCTAACTTAATTTGTCACTAAGGAGATGGTTTCAACATTTAGTATACAGTATGGCGGTATGACACATGAGTCTTTGGTTAGTTACACAAGTTGTGTAGTAACGCTATTGGTTAAGAGACAGTCATATTGATCCCCGGAGGCATAATGTTGATCAATAAAAGCCAATGCTAAGCTACCTTGATGAGTCTTTCATTGTCAAGTTGGAGAGAAATCGTGAAGCCTGGAGTTAATTAATCAAGAATGAACACCGTCAGATGGTCAGTCTGTTTTTAGTTGGGGAAAGGCGTTTCGGTATCTTTGATATTAATTTTGTATTTTCCTATTTCTCTTAATACATTACTTGTCCTTGACTAATTGGATGGGCTTAAGAGTAATCAATGACTCTGAAGGGTTCATTCTGATTAGATTTTCTGTTGCCTCTCGTGTCGTATAAGTCAACAAGGACACACCGAACAGATCAAGGGATTTCCAAGAAAGTCCACTTCGTAGCCTCTCGGACTCGTAAATCTTCGGATGATAAAAGAAGTAACTACCGTTCCAATTACATAAACAGCCTCAGTCAATACTTGATTAAATTTCACTTTGTTTTCGGGATGTGTTGGTTTTGTGATCAAATGGAGATATCTCGGCATGGAGCTTGAAACAAGTAGATTAACTTACATATTCCAAGGTTGCTCATACCGAAGTCAAAACCAATATTACGTGCATGTGTCATAACGCAGTAGCCATTCGGGGAATTCAGCTCTGCATACGCAACCCACACGCTTTGTAAATATAGCAAATAACAGCTTTCCCTGAGTCTCGATGTAGGCAACATCCTTGAACCACCTGTCTCGAGTGTGATTGGTCGCTTTGACCAAGCTGACTTGAATAGAATTAATCCGAAAAAGATATATCACTGCAGTGAATGAAACAAGGGTGGTGGCATCGGTGTCTGCCTCACGTAGGTAGGCAACTGGTCAAGGGGATGTAAGGCTGGTACCTACTTACACTTATGCACGGCTCGGGATCCCTTCCCCGTCATGCGCGAGAATTGCAGATCTGGGATCGAGGCGAACACGGTGTTGAATGTCGAGATAGAGTCGGCTCGCACTTTGCTTATCAGGTTGTCCTAAATTTGGAGAGATGTGTTGCAGTAGTAAAGTAAGGCGTCGTGGTCCCTGCCGTACTACGGTGGGTTGCCTATGCTACCCTCTTTCCGCCTTATATGCATCGAAGCTATATAGGCAAGCTAGTGAGATGCAGGGTGAGTGATAGTACTGACGTCTGGAACGCCTGCGTTCTGGGTCGATATATGATTCCATGATCATTGATGATCGTCTAGGGATGCTGCCTTTTTTTCGGTATATGTATGTAACATTGTGAGACTTACTCTCTCGCAAATGCGTCATTGAAGGCTGTAAATATTTGCGCGCCTAGAGCCTGACTCACTTTTGCGGAATTGATAAATTCTGTCAAATGCGCCTTTAGTTGTCAATGAGCAATATGCGTCGAGGCTTGAATATAAGGCATATGATGAGGCAAAGGGCACTGTAAAACCTTGCGGAGAAGTTCGTGAGCAAGACTTTCTTTCTAGGGGTCGGTAAGATTAGTGTCGCCATACTTGGGTTAGAATCTAGAGGCTATTGCGGAGGGCTACCAGATTATCCGACTCTCCTGCCGAATTGCTCGAATATTGCGCATTCTGGAGAGTATGGAAACCTGATCATCCTTTCTGGGCTTATTATATCTTGGGGTTTTAATGGCTCCACGAAAATCCAGCTACGCTTGCAGGACGAGTCCTTGAGGCATTCCCATCGCATCTCGTCTAGCTTCAATACGCCGCCTAGATCGAATTCGTCAGCCAAGCGCAATGCGGCTTTTATGTCAATTAGTTTAAACCCGATACTGTCTCCTTGAACGTAAGGCCGATCTCGCAAGAAGCCCTCGTCAGTGGATGATGCAGTTGCAGCAGCTAAAACTAGTTCTGCATTACCGTAAACCCTCACCATCTGCGCTGCTTCTCATACCCAATCGACGTTGTCGTCCGGGATGATGTAAAGGCTATTGATCCATATACTATAACCCTGGACCTCTGACGATCCTGATCGTATCCCTGAACATTGTGGGTAATGTTCTAACAGGGGTTCCTTTAAGAGGCTGAGAACCACCCTAGCAATGACTCAAAGCGCCATATTTGACCTCATCTTGGGAAGTTCTAACTTCTTCACGTAAAACAAGTTGAGTTCGTCTCCGTTGATGTAAAGAAGGCCCTACTTATGCGGCATAATCTGGATATTTAATCCTGCAGGTATTCATCTCCTTGTAAGTCCAAGCGTTTCTAGTGAATCGCTGTCGACTGGAGCTTGCTGCATAGCTGATTAGTACTAGTCAAAGAACTGATCCAACGTATAAACAACGCATTAGGATATACGCTTAGTGGGCTAATTAGTATGGTAACTGCCTCAAAATATCCACGGGAATACGGGCGAATGCCTACGAAACCGGTGTAAGCACCGTCGCCGAACAAATTTGAGATATGATCTGAGGCTAGTAGATATGAAATGTTGGTTTGTTGAGATGATGTGTGTGCTGATGTCCGGATTTTCTTGCAGCGAATAATGCCGAGATACTGTCGCGCAAACTACACGACAGTTACCATGTAAGAGATGCAGGTTCCGGTCGTATGGTGGGTAAATTGTAAGATTCGGAGCTGCGAATGGGGTAATTGGCCAAAGGTATCGTTTATCTCGTTCCCTTGGTGCATAGGAATGCCTCTAGTCTTTGGGATAGATAATCTTGTATACTTATACATAGATTCATCTATCTTTGAGTAAATGACTATTTTTCGCTAATGAATAGATCGATTCGGACGATGGATTAAAATTGTTGTAGAAGTGAAACTACGGATCAGATAAAGAATCGACCCACAAGAGCATGAGATTAAATCTGCCTGTGTTTGTGTAACATCCAACTCCTCTTCTCCGCATATCGGCAGAATTTGTGGGGGATCTTGATCCCCGGCACGAAAGATGATTGGATAATTCCCCTCATCCTAAATTTTTGCCTTTGCTACCCGTGCGACTGTACATGACACCGGAAACATCATATTTAACGTATATACGCAGCTACATCCGGGAACTTTTAACGAAGCTTAAAAGTGCTCAACTCCGGCATTGCGGGCATTGTTGTAGCGCCTTTTAGAGTTCTGGACCTCAATTACGACAAACTTTCCCCCAAGACCGAACCCATATTAAGGTTAGCTACATCGCATCAGCTACATCTACAGCTTCCTCAGCTCTAAGTTCATAGCTCCTTAGCTTCTTCTTCTTTTCTCCTACGTATAATTATCGTATGCGCAATCGCGCCCTTGTTCTCGAACCCCTTTCACGATGAATGTTGCCTGTACATCCGCGGTCCGATCTATTCGGCCGTCTGCCTTCACTAGATCGGCAAGGCCACTGCTCAGATCGACTCCTATCGTGGTAAGACCTGCAGTGCCAGTGGCGTTTTTCCACCAAACCAGGTATAACCTGGCTGCGCAAAAGATCAAGGTCAAGAATCCCGTGGTTGAACTTGACGGTGATGAGATGACGAGAGTCATCTGGCAAGTCATCAAGGACAAATTCATCTTCCCCTATCTCGATATCGACTTGAAATACTACGATCTAGGATTACCATACAGAGATGAGACCAACGATCAAGTGACGCTTGATGCCGCGGAAGCTATTAAGAAGTACTCGGTCGGTGTCAAATGCGCCACCATCACTCCAGACGAGGCCCGTGTAAAGGAATTCAACCTAAAGCAGAGTAAGCTACAATCAGTATTGCATGCATCTCGTCCCACTGACTTGCCGTCCTGCACATGAACGCCTCCAACTCCAACCCCGCACCCCCTACATTGCTTTTCACCGGAGATCTCCAACAAACTAACCGACCATTCTCTCTCTGCATAGTGTGGCTTTCCCCCAATGGCACGATCCGTAACGCTCTTGGCGGCACTGTGTTCCGCGAGCCTATCGTCATCCCCCGTATCCCGCGATTAGTGCCTGGATGGAAGAAGCCCATCATTATCGGTCGTCATGCCTTCGGTGACCAATACCGGGCGAAGGACAAGGTTATCCCTGGACCTGGAAAGCTGAGCATGGTCTACACTCCTACTGGTGGAAAGCCTGAAGAAATTGAGGTCTTCCAATTCAAGGAGGGTGGCGGCGTCGCACAGACCCAGTACAACACCACCGAGAGCATTACTGGTTTCGCACATGCCAGCTTCAAGCTAGCTCTTGACAAGCAGCTTCCCCTATACATGAGCACCAAGAACACCATCCTCAAGAAGTACGATGGAAAGTTCAAGGATGTCTTCCAGGAGCTATACGACACCCAGTACAAGAAGCAGTTCGAGGCTAAGAACATCTGGTACGAGCACCGCCTAATCGACGATATGGTTGCCCAGATGATCAAGAGCTCCGGCGGATACATCATGGCGCTAAAGAGTGAGCCCCCTTTTCACCCCCTTAATTTTTCACGAGGCGCGTGAACATGAACTAAAATCAACTTTCATTAGACTACGATGGCGACGTACAATCCGACATCGTAGCCCAAGGCTTCGGCTCCCTCGGCCTTATGACCTCCGTGCTCATCACCCCCGACGGCAAGACATTCGAGTCCGAAGCAGCGCACGGCACCGTGACCCGACACTTCCGCGAGCACCAGAAAGGGAAGGAGACGTCGACAAACCCGATCGCCAGCATATTCGCATGGACGCGAGGTCTAGCCCAGCGCGGCAAGATCGACGGAACCCCAGAACTGACCGCTTTCGCCGAGAGTCTTGAGAAGGCCTGCGTCGACACCGTCGAGATCGACGGCGTGATGACCAAGGACCTCGCGCTCGCCTGTGGAAAGTCCGACCGCGCCTCCTACGCCACCACCAACGAGTACCTCGATGCCGTCGAAAAGCGGTTGAAGAGCACGCTTGCAGAGAAGCTATAGATATCTAGGCTATATGGACGAATATCAGGTCGCTAGACATAGATCTAGATCTAGATCTAAGATTTTCTCGTAAGACTAGATATACACACATATCAGCATAGCACACATGGTTGGTTTGGTTAGCTAGTGCCAAGAAGGACTGGACACCAACCTCTTCCAGGGCTCGGTTCCATCAGGGGTCCGTCGTGGCGAGGATACGGACAGATGTGGATGTGTTCCGCATACCCTGTTCTTGCCTTCCTAGATATCTACATACATACCTAGGAACTTGTAAATAGATAGCATGCTAGCATTTCCCGCGCGGAAGCACTTGTATAGGTAAATCACAAAAAGATCTAAGGATTTCCTCATAACTTACCCCTATATATCTACCGATTTCGTGACGTGTCTACGCCAATCATCAAACCAACCGGAGGAACAAGTAATTATTTTAGTAATTAAGTACCGACTTTATACACCCCTTCCCCCAACCTAACCCTAACCCTCCATGCGTCTGGTTATATCTACAATAACTACCTACCTATCCAACCAATAAAACGTCGGAAGCACCCATTTCCATAACGCCAACATTAGGTAACACCGGCCTTTTTAAAAAACGCAATGCTAGCCAGCCAGCCCGAGGGGGTATCATCAGCTATGCCTCTCTCTCTCTTTCTCCCTATGTCAACCCAACTTCGACTTATCTCGTTGGAACCGTTCACCTTTCCATCCATCACAGCCTAGTAATATACACCGATCCCATTATTCCCACGCGCAGTGTAAACCAATCCCGATCAAGACTTCTGCGCAGGCATAGTACTAGGCGCATTCTCCGCCGTGACACCACTATACGCAGGTCTAGCTGCGGGGCCCGCGAGCTGATCCGCCATCGCCTCGTCGTAGCTAGGCGGCGCGTCGTCGAACATAGCGTTGGCGGGCGTTCCCAGCTGCGGGGGGTACAATGGGTCGTGAGGGGGTCTCTGCTGCTGCGGGCCTTGCTGTTGGGCGGCCTGGGGAGGAAGCAGATTTGGTGGGTTGTGTCTGTGGGGGAGTTGGGGCGGGCGGGGATTCTGGACGCCGAAGTTGTGGGCGACACCGGTGCCGCCTACGATATTGCCATTGGTGCCGTGGCTGACGGAGTTGAGGAGTTCTGGCGGCGGCGCAATGCCTGAGAAGACCTCGACGTTGGAGAGTTTCAGGGGTAATGTTATGGTCTGCGCGATAGGCTGTCTGCCGGGCGCTAGGGAGATTGAGGATCCGGGTGGTTGCATGCCCCAACTCAGCGTTATCTTCATCTGGATATCGTACCGTCTCATTAGATTACACGTCCTGAAGGATGGTGCCACTGTATTCGGGAGTCTCCGATCTGCCCATAGCGACTGCGGGATCTCGAACTCGGTGTCGACGGGGTCGGAGGGTGAGCTGAAGAGCGCGATCGGGGGCGAGAGGCGCGGGGCGCTGAATATTGGGAACGTGGTGACCTCGGTGTTTTCGAGATTCTGCACTCGCACTTGCGTGTACCCTGTCAGCGCGATCTCGAGCGCCGTCACATATACCTGCTGATCGCGCGTCGTCGTTGGCGCAAGCTTTCGGGCTATTATGCGCAGCGGCAGCGGCTTGTTGCAGGTTAGGATGCTGGGGAATGGGAGGCGCGCCGACATCTCGATGTTCGGTGGCATCTGGTTCGGGTCCTCTGCATTAGGGCTGGGTGATCTATTACCGAAGATCGATTTGCGATGGTGCTGGGGGGCACGCGCACGGAATGTAAAGGGTCGTCGGGCGAAGGCTTCCTGGCTTGTCTTGGCGGGCCGCGGGGGTTCGATAGGTAGGAATTTGAAGCCAACTTGGTACCGCCAGTTTTCTTTGAAGAAACCCGGACGCTGGATGGTCACTTTTAGGTAATATCGAATCTCGGCTTCCTGTGGAAAGCCGGTGAGTGAAGGAGGTAAGGTGGATTTGACATGTTGTAGCATGAGCTGCTTCGTGCCGTCCATAGTACGGAATCCGGTGCTACTGCCGATACCGCCGAGGCCCAGCAGCGCGCTCATAGCCTTCTCATCATGGCAGATGTTATTAAGAGGGAACTTAAAATTGAATTTAAATTCGTGCATGCCAGGTTGTAAGGGTATAGAGCCACCTTCGTCAGGGTAGACCTGGAACACACGATACAAGATCTTGTGGTTCTCGGTGATGACGTCGCCGCCCATAGCCCCGCCAGGAGGACGTGCGTGGTAGTAATCGTCTCGGTCGACAGGCGAGGGGACGGTAAGGGCGGTGCGAGATTCGCCCTCCAACTTGACGATTACATTTCCAATGCTTTCTGCTCGGTTTAGAACGAGGATTACGCGGCCGCTGATAATATCGAGATTCGTGTAGAACTCGGGCGGAGCGTCGAGGGATATTCGGATTGACATCGCAGGAGTGTATTGTCTACCGAGGTAGAGAGGATTCCCTTCTTTAATTCTTTATGTAGGTTACTCCAGGCGACAAAGGTTCGTATGTGGATAATTAAAAGGTTGGAGTTGTCGGTGCCCGAAGGGAATGGTGTTGTGAATTGGTTAATGTAGATAGTGAATAGAGTGAATGGTGACTGGTGGAAGCGGATCGTCGGATTGTTAGGGAATGATTACGAGACAATGGAACCATGAGCCATCGCTACCTAGCAGGTCTTCAGCTCAGCTACCCAAGGTATCAATTACCTGCATCCTACTGCACCGTTGACTGTTGACGATGCGACCCAAATCAACGTCCAATGTATTTCAACTTTGATCTTGCCAAGTGGTAGGTAAGAGGTAAATTGAAAGCACTTTGTAAGGTAGTAAGATTGCAACTTTGCTGAGCCTCTGAGCGTCGTCAGAATCGATGTCATAGGTCATTGCCCTTGTGGCTTGGCACTTGTCAGCTTATCGTTTCAGCTCCTCGTACAGTATGTATTCGGCACTGTATTTGTACGAGCAGGTACGAGCCGCTATCCGACCAGTCTCAGTACTTCTACATTACACAAACGGATGCCTATTTTCAAACACGATACTTACCTACATACTTTAATCACGTTAAGCTTAACATAATTGAACTCAGAGAAGGTCAAGTACTATGGTTTATGGTACTTACACTTGCCTTATCCTATTTAAAACATGAAGAATGAAGCAATAGGATCCTTGTCGCCGTTTGCAAAAGCATGCGGATGAGTACCCACTTGCCTATTTAGGAAACTATACACATCGCAATGATCGATTACACTGACAGCTGAGCAAACTCAAAAGAATGCTGTTGTTAGAAATATAGTCAAATAAGAAAATAATTCCAAGCCAAGAAAGGCTGAAATGTCGATCTTTGAATTTCAGTTCCCAGATTCATATACCAGCCAACGGACGTTCAGCCATCTCTATTACCACTTCTCCACTATAGTCTCGTAATGAAATATACCGAATACAATAGGTATATACAAGATAAATCCAGACGTAGTACAATATATGTACGTCATAACTAACCAATGAGCTCCCAGTAAAAGTTGATGACCGGTCAGGTCGCACCGTTACACAACTCCGGCGCCGCTTTCTCCGCATCGGATGTACCACTAGGACGGTAGTTGTTTGTCTGCGTATGTACGATTTGGAGATCTATTTTCAACTTCATCACAAACCAACCTCGCCATTGGTGGGAGGCAATTAACGTCACTCTTTCCCCGCCTGACGGAATCATGTAAGCGATCTTTATATCATAAATATGTAGAAAGGGGTTCCGTCATCTTGATATATCAACAGAGTAATAATTCCCATTGCCAAATTCTTGATTGCCGAAGAAATCAACACTAATACAGAATGTCTCCCTCAGCAACAGCCCCCGAGACCGCACCTGTGATCCGCGAGAAGTCCCAGGATAATGGGTTTAACGGAAAAGACAAGGTCGAGAACCCTCCGCAAGTTCAAGTCTCCGGTAAGACCAAAAGCGGGAAGAAGTTGAACATCAGGACCTACCCCAAGTTCGAGAACCTAGAGGACGAGAGGCTTTACCGCAAACGGCACCTCGCAGCAGCATTCCGAGCATTTGCTGACCGTGGCTTCGACGAGGGTGTGGCCGGTCACATATCTGTCCGGGACCCTATCCTCACTGACCACTTTTGTACGTTGAGTTCGGAGTTAACCCCCCTTCAGCTACTGATTAGGGGTATAGGGCTGAACCCACTCTCGACACACTTCTCGCTTATCAAGGTGTCGGACCTCATCTTATGCGATGAAGATGGGAATGTAGTCGAAGGAAACGAGCCTGTGAACGCAGCTGCCTTTGCGATCCACTCACAGATCCACAAGGCTCGACCGGATGTCCATGCTGCTTGTCACGCTCATAGTGTTCATGGGAAGGCATTCTCAGTCTTTGGTCGCGAGTTAGAGATGATTACTCAAGACTCATGTCGCTTCTATAAGAGCCATGGCGTGTACCGAGATTTCCGGGGCGTTGTTCTTGACAGTGAAGAAGGTAGGAGGATCGGGAAAGCCCTTGGGAATGGAAAAGCAGTGATACTTCAGAACCATGGTCTTCTCACTGTTGGAAGTACCGTTGACGAAGCGGCTTTCTGGTTCATCAGCCTTGAGAGAACTTGCCAAGCCCAACTCCTTGCAGATGCCGCATCAGCCGCCGGGTACAAGAAGATTCTTATCGACGACGATGAGGCTGCATACACATCTCTTCAAGTTGGTGGACCAGATAAGGGATGGTTGGCCTTTCAACCATGTAAGTTTTCGATTGATTGTTTTTTCTCATCGTTTGCCCCTATGCCCCTTATTCTCATTTAACAATGATATTGTGCGCATTATCAGTATCTAACAACTAGCAGATTACGACGAACAAGTTGCAAAAACAAAAGGCGACTTCTTAAATTAATTCGCATAGGTGTTTTCGATTGTGAATCTACAGAATGAATATGTGTACGGAAATAAGGGGTCAGCGTGTTTTTGTGTTTCGACAGGCAAAAAAGATAACTAACCAAAACACTCGACAATTTGACCGAATAGTCTTATTTGTCAGGTTAGTCTACCCAGTAGGTAAGCTTGGGGAAACACGATTGTCCTCGTCACCGACCTGACTACAGGAGATTACATGGGATACTGAAATGCTAGAGATGCGATTGTATCCCAAGCACAGCTAGTGAGAATTGTGACTAACAAATTTATCTAGTGAAGAAGTGTCAAGGGGTCTTATGTATGGTACCTAGTAGCATAATGTTACACTTTCCCTAACGTGTATAAAATGATACTGAAAGAAAATAGCAGAACTGTCGAAAATCAGCAGCATGAAATACACCAAGTACGCCAGCAATGTTGTGGTCTGTACTTGCGTGTATCCTTTCCTCTGGCTGTATGTTGAGTTGGCATTTTGAGTGTATCCATGCTCATGTTGTATAACGTCCACTCACGATAGAAGTCCTAACTATGACTACTTCTTAACTAATACAGTACAAATATAAGCATATATAAATGTAAACCTACCTACAATCTCCTGTCTTGAGTTTCCCTGGACCAAGACAGAAGGCACGAAGTCTAAAAGGCAACAACGCCTTTATCGTCCCTAAGTCATTCAACCTTGAATTCTTTCTACCTCCCACTCTAAGAAGAGTAGCAACACCAAACACGACATCGCCGTTGTTACCGTCGCTACCAACACAGTTTATTACATTGACAAGTCTCACCAATGTCTTCAGTCACATCTTTATTCCTCCATTCGTCAAGTTCGACTTTATTTGCCCCGACGTCGGCTTCGTCTTCGTTCGAATTCTCCCGTCGTATCTCTCAAGTACCCATGGCGCCACGACCGCTTCCCCCGGCCCCTTCCCCTGAGTGGGCATCTGTCACCGAGTGCATCAGGACACGGTATACGCGAGGTGGACCTTTCATCACCCGCCATATTCTCCAGCGTGTTGCAATGCAGATAAGTCTCTACCAAGCCGGCATGCTCACGAGCAAACCCTTCATCCTGTACGACATGAATAACCACGGGGTTTCTGTCGAGATCGACCCAGATAAGGAGTCCCCAATCTTTAGGGATATGAGATGCAACCACGGTGACCGAAAGTAAATTTCCCTTTTCCCCAAAACAACAACCATTCTTCCCCTCAAATACTAACCTCCTAATAGAAAGGGTCCCTACATTTACTACCGGAGCATCCAGGTCATGCTCTCCCACAGAGACATGAGGAAATTCGATGCCGAGATGGCATTCCTGCCTCTGGTAATAATGTTCCCCGCGACCCCGGGCCGTTGTCATAATCACCACACGCACGACGAGAATAAAGGTCCCGAATCATTCTACCCCTCCGAACTCACCACGATCCTCAACATCGAGCGGCAATCGTGGGAGGAGTCGGAGGAGTACGGACACCTGAAGGCGGTGCTCAAGACACACACCGACCAGCTGTCGAAGATCGATCGCGTCATCGGGTTCGGGTGCGGAACCCTCGCGGATGGCCGCACGCGCTGCCAGTTCTCAGCGACGCAGCACGCCTTGATCTTTAGCCTGCAGAGGATCATCTCGAAGATGCACCCGGAGAACAACAAGGTGCGCCAGGGCCTTCGACAGGCCTGCAACAAGGACCCCGTCGAACTGGTCGTCCGGGGCATCCTCCAAGACCCGGCCTACACCGATACCGACAAGGCCGTTCTCAAGGGCATGGGTATGGAGGTCATGGGAGATCCCTGCGGATTCCTGGAGATGGACGAAAACAGCTTCGTCGTCTCCATCGACCTTAATACCCCAGCCCAGCAGATCATCGAGAATCTAGCGCGGCCGGCCGCGCTGATTCGGATGACTCACGTGGAGGAATTCAATGGGGAGAACGCCGGCATGTGGTACGTTTTATCTGCCGAATCTCTTGAACAAACATAAAGCTGACCATAGTCGAAAAATAGCACGGATCCCTCATCCTCACGAGTCGACAAGATGTTGCGAGAGGAATACGATCTGGTGAAGCTCAAATACCACCCGAACCTTCGCAACATCTGCATGTACATCAAGAAGCCGAGAACGTAGTCGAAGGTCGACTCGACTAAACATCAGCACCTTCGACCACAAATCGACTCATCGAACGGGGAGGTGCCCAAGCTCCATGGTGTATGAGTGAGCATTCCTCGTATACAATGCCTAGTACAGTACCGCTGCTTCTAAGCCCAATCTACCTATCTACCCCTATTCCGATTGCTATTACAATAACCCGCTTTCCCTCCTAGCTAAACCTGCGTCGCAACGAATACAAGAAAGTTATACCCACAAATACAATCCCAAACCATTAAACCTCGCTATCTCGGCAACCCTCGCCGTAACAAGAAACCACAATCCCTCGTATATATATACCCTCATCCAATTAAGTCCAGCTCTACCACCTCATTAACCAGCAATGCACCACCCCTCCCCTATCCCTTATAAATTCTCATCCTCATCCTCATCCTCATCTTCACCCTCATCCCACCAAAACGAAAGCCCCATCCAATAAAAATTACTCAGTAATAACCACCTTCCGATTCAAACAAACCCACATCGCAACCATCAGCCCGGTGAGCCAACACTCTCCAGACATATCCTCGCACCGGTAAAACTGCACTCCCCCAAAACACCCGCAACACCCGCAACACTCACGACATCGCGGTCCACACGACCACAGCCGACAGTTCACGGGCCACTGCCGCGCGAGTCAGTTAGTCCCGTCGCCGCAGATGTTCTTCGCCCAGTGGTAGCAGCACCCGAAGGGCTCCGTGCAGCAGTTGCCGGTTGCGCCGCCGCGGATACAGGATGGGTTATTCGGGCTTGCGCTGCTGTTTGTGCTTCCCGCTGTGGGGGAGCTGGAGGCTGCGGATGGCGTGCTTGTTGCGGCGGGTGGGGGCTGGAGGCTCCCGCTTGAGGTTGTGGGAGCGCTGGTGCTGTTGGGGGGGTTAGTTGGGGGCGGAAAAGGGAGGGGGGAGGGGATAGGGATAGGGAAATACCTGAATGAGATTTGTCTGCCCGAGCTGGGTTTTAGGGGCGTGTTGGTCATGGGCGCTTGGGCCTTGGGTTGTTGTTGGACGGTTTGATTCATTGTGGTGGGTTGGAATGGATTATATATGATGTGGTGTTGAGTAAGGAGTGTATAACTTGTTGAGTAGCGATGGTGTGTGTGAGTATGCTGGAATTATCCAATGCTTGCCAATATTAGAACGATAGTGTGTCAGTTTGGTTTGCTTGAGGGAGAAACGAGAGAATGAGTCGAGAAGACACGACGAGAGAGAAGAGCACTTTTAAGATCCCATCTCCCTCTTGGTCCTTCCGTGAATCATCCAGACCGGTTGGAAGTCATGACCGGTCTGCTTGTCACTTTATATGAACGGAGAAGGCATGACCATCATCAACACGTCGGGAAGGTAGGCTCGGTGACGTGTAAGTTAGCCAAGTCATTATATTTATTCAGTCTCGTTCTAGGTCTGATTGTAGAATCTACAGTCACCGTTCACGGAGTGTCCGTATGCGACTTCGACGTGCCGGAGTCTCATTCAACATCGCCTTCCGCAAGAGAGTAGTAATGCTTGGAATATAATCTCGATTTCTAAAGCTAGAGACCCGATTATTGGCTGGCCTTGCAGGATGATTATATATATGGACATATCTGGAGCGCATATCCTCATGTTCTTCTCCTAGTAGATCTCCTATCTTTCGAACCGAAGCTCGAAGATACAGCGTTCGAAATCTCGTGTTTAGCAAGCACACAAGAAACGTGGAGTCAAGTATAGATCGTGATTAATGGTGATTCGAGTATCACAAATATCTTGACTGGGGAGTTCACGTGCAGAGTGACAAAAATAACCTTGTCTGGTCGGATGACACGCATATCGACTCCCAAATGGGAAGGCCCTCGGGTGACCTTCCGCTTCACCTCACAACCGTTTTATGTGGAGGCTCATTATTGATGTCTATTACTGGTCTTCAAGTCCATCTCAAACACGATCCAAGTGTCACAACAACTTACGATCGATGCCATTATTGGGCGCATTATATATTGGGCTCATAAGGTATATATAGAATATTCCAATCTCCAGTAATGTATAATCATTCCTGTTGAAGGAAGGTCTGGGCCGTGATAGATTTCTGATACGTAGTTGTAGCGATAGACCGGTTGTTGATCCGAGATGGCTCTTATCCATATTCTTTACAGTGGTTGTGTGGTTCCTAGATCCTGTCAACATAATCAGATCCGCGAAGAATGTTAGTTAACCAATAGGAAATGGAATCATTACCTGAAAAGTAGTACTTCTGGCTGCCATTTACATTCCTCTCTATATATCTAGCGACTTCTTAGTGCCGGAACGAACCGTAGAGTATCCTCCTCTGAGGATTGCGAAGTAATGACTACAAGAGAGGACTTCCCCGTTCTCCAATTTAGATTCGCGACTGAGCCTCCCATTTACATGTAGGGTTACAGATTGTGCCTCGCTTATTCTCTAGGTCATGATGTACTCCATACAGCTGAGAAGCTACATCCTATTGAAAATCGTTTCGAGCAATCATTAACATATATGATATGTTCGTTTTTATTGGCCGCCCGGATATGTCACTACGGCTGTATTAGGTCAGGAGTTTTGTATCAACATAGATGATTTGTCCCTGGTACGAACAGCGAATAGATAATCGGGAGGCACGAGGTCTAGGCCAATCCAATATTGCAGGCTCTGTCATGAGGTTCGGTTAGGCATGCCACACATAAAGTGTGCATTTCACCCACGAATTTCATCTGTAAAGAGAAAACAGTTCAGATGAAAATATTACAAGTCGCCTCCAACGTTCCTATTTCGACACCCCTGTGTACTCCTGCTTCGCTGTCTTTTCTACCGGTAAGAATACTCAGACTACCATTGTGTCTAACGAACAACATGGCAGGTTGGTCTTTAGAGTCTAGACCAGGTACTCTTATCTGCAGATATGCCTAACGAAGTTTGCGAAAGTCCGAAAGTCCTTCGGCGACTTTAAACCTACGATCACCGGGGAACTGGTGTTGAAAATTCGGCGCGCAATTCCGTGTTAGTTTGGAAGCTTTGATTTCAACTTCCCAAGTCCCTAGTGAATGGTATGTAGACAACGACTCTCGCAGTAGCGTGGCCCCCAAGTGGTACCAGTCCGAGACTAGACTGGCCGTGCTTCTTTCACGGACCTTGGTACGCTACCTTAGGGAAGGACATTATTTGCGTAACGAACTAGGTAAGCCAGATAAGTTAAAGAATGGGACTGCCAAGCATATCTTGGAGTAGGTCTTCTTGATACGGTATCCAAGTGATATGTGTTTAAGTGACACATTATCAAGGAAATATAATGTATAATAGAACAAGGCGCACATGTACTTTTCATATGTCGAATAGGGGAAGTAAACGAATAAGCGATGATATGAAGGGTTCGTCACAGTCGAAGGGACGGGGGTGACAGCCACAATTGGGTAACACTGGCTCCGCTTGGTGGAAGAGGCCTTCCGTACTGCTCTGCCCTACCCTGCCCTATGACCCAGCGATTCGTAACCCTCATCAAGCGTGCTTCTTCTGCAGGGCAAGACTTTGGATGTGACAAGGGTTCGGACACATGGGCATGATATCTATCGATCATCAGTGATAGGCTGCATCTTGATTCGAGCTCATTGCCGTCCCGGGCTAGACTAGACCGCTTATGTTCCCCTCTTCTGCCTTTTCTTACAGTGTACCTTTACTCATGGGATATTCGGGATTTGGGATTATATGCAGAGGACATACCTGGAATATCCTATTACTCCCTACTTGCTTAAGATAGAGAATATATCCAATAACACCTTTCAAGATACCTATCCAAGGACCAAATCACCACCAACGCTTAATTCCGTCTATCCGTCTCTCCGTGTCAAAAATGTTGTAACCGGTCAAAGATTATCAATCACAAGTCCAGATCATTTCCTAATTCAGAATACGCCGTGTACTTATAACCGCCACTAATGGTACCCTAATGCTTAGCTGCCTGGATCTTTTTAAGGGTCGAAAAAACATTAAACCGGGCAGACCAGGGTATGGTAAGCGATATGATTGGGTACATAAGGTTATTATGTAATGTTCTTTTAAAAAGCGGGGATTTAGGGCGGATATTTGGGGGCTATGAACTTTCCCCCCTTACTTTAGCTCCGGTAGAACTCCAATCTGTCCAATTTCTTCAATATCCATTATCAACATGTGAGAATAATTGGAAACGAATTACTTCATAATACTTCATGTCATATGAAAACAGACCACCAACAGTCTTCTCGATCAGACGTTTCAATAAATGCAGATCGCCATTATACATATAATATCTACCTAGGTACCCATACATTTACCCGAGCAAGGGGATCTCGTTTCGTAGCATGTACCCTGCCAGAATAGCGTCAGAATAAATGGGCCATGTGTGAACCACCCGAAATGGTACTGTATTACACTGTGTTTTGGTCTATCCCCAATATTATCTAACTAGGAAATTGTCAGCTTTGCCACGGCATCAAAGAGTCTAGGGGATAGTAAACTTACAGTGTATTACAGTAGTATTAATACATGGCTCGCACATGGCTCACTTATTCTGACGCTATTCTGCCTGCCTCAACTTTCAAGTGTAGCGTATCATGCAAATACCGACCTCGATGGCTTCTTATTCGATGCTACTCAAAAAACCCAGACTAGCCTTGATAACCGGGGCGCTGGAATACTACCTCCTGCGTATTCATTCCCAAGCGCGGGGATATGTATGTTCTCAGAATAGATCCCCATCGTCCAGCCTTATCAGGCTGCACATGAAGAGAAACAAGACAGAAACCGTCCATTCCCTTCGCCACCTCCTTGACTTGGCTAGGTATGTCATGGTTATTAATCAACTATCAAACACTACTACGATCCATTGAGAACTAGCCCTCTTTGATGTCGTGGAAGGATCTTACATTTACCTGTCTGGGGTAGCTGAGTAGCTAAGGCAGGTTATGAATTAATGACGAATTATAGAACGATAGGCCACCAAAGGATTCCCGTTTCATCCGTCCTACATGCGAACTGTAGTCGCGATCGTGGCCGCCATACTTCGTACCTAGCGGGATTTACGTGAGTATCTCCATGACGGAAATGTCAACGATGAGCCGGCGGCGGGTGTGGCGCACTCTAGGGAGAACAGTACCAAGATGCAAGACACGCCTGTTCTACATCAGGTATCCTCTCCGATACGATAATAAAGTCCTACGCTCCCAGACTTATTATTTGCCTGCCGCGAGACCCCAAGGGTCTGGCGCACGGGAGAGCGAGTGGTGCAGCGGTGGTGGACAGGGTCGCAAGCCTAGCCCGCTGCAGCCCACCCAGGAAATGCGGGATGCTCATCCTTACCCGATGCCGTTAAGCTTGCTCGTTCTTTGCGGATCTAGGTTACCACACCTACTCACATACCTTGTCTCTCCGAGGGGACTTGATACGTTATTTAAATCTAGGAGGAATGCCTCACCGTGTCAAGTTTCGTTCGTCGATGATGGGGAAATGGTTCTTCGGTAGCGTTTCGTGCGCTTTTTTGCCCACATTCTTAGCCTGTTGATCAGAGGCGGGCCAAAGTCGACGGTCAACTATCATATGATAGCTTCAACCTAAGCTTCTGTCTCTTACTCATACACGACATATCATATTGGTATCATTGTTTTTATGCTTCCCTTTCGGCCGAGACGAAATGAGTGAAAATGCGGTGGTCCCGAAGTTGCCGGCCGAGAATGGTGTTCATGTTTGGAGGACGGCGGTGGTTATGCCATTCATAACCTTCGCTTTCGTGGCCGCTAGATTCTACTGTCGGAGTTACGTAGTAAGGAGATCATTGGCTCTCGATGATTGTAGGTTTTAAGTCCGATGGCTCTACCTGCATTGCGCTCACCGACGGGATAGATGTCGTCGCTGCGACGATGGTCACCATTATCATTCACGCAGTACTAATGGCCAATGCGACGTACCACGGTATGGGTTTACACATATGGCAATTCACACCAGAGCTCAATTCGGAATATTACCTCTGGATCGGCATATCTTCCGAGTTTTACGTGTTAAGCTTAGCCGGGTTTAAGACTTCATTACTATTACTATACTTGCAGCTCTTCGGCGTCAACCGCAAGTTTAGGATGGCATGCTATATCACCCTATTTTACACGCTCGGGTATCTAACATGCAACGCTCTCACCGAATTCTTGGGCTGTAATCCGATCGCGAAGAAATGGCAGTCGAAGTTACCGGGCCATTGTATAAATACCGTCGCAGCGAACATCGCGTACGGAGCTGGACATATGACAAGCGACCTTATCATCGCCATCCTTCCCATAGTGATGGTATGGAAATTGCAGTTCCCGACAAACAAGCAGAAAATTGGGCTCAGTCTCGCTCTAAGCAGCGGTTTTATGTAAGTGTCTTATAATGAAACAACTTATAATAGATGACTAATAAGTATGGTAGTGCTTGGGCAATTGCTTGCATTCGATGGGCTATCTCAACATACAACAGTATGTAACATCCAGAGTTATTTGTTCCCCTTCTAGTATCATTTCTATTTCTACTTTCTTGGAATTTATAACGCCTGAGACATGCATTAAATGAGTCAATCCCCTACTTAAACAAGCAATTACTTACTCCCGTTGTTATAGTGTTAAGTTATGATCGACCTTGGTGGGCTGGGATCAGTTTTACCTTCTCGATTCTAGAAGTCAACACAGGTCTCATCTGCGCATGCGCGGCAACATTTAGCCCGTTATTCAACGTTTTCACTTCACAAGTTAGGAATTGGACGCATCGAGCATCGATGAGTTGGCAAAACCACTCCCAAAGAGCGTCAATCAGCTGGCGCAACTCCCGAAGTGAGAAGGAAAACCGTTCCTGGAGACCAATAAGCATCCCCGACGATTCTGAACCACCCGCACCGCCGGAGCCCGCGCGCACACTGCGAATGTCGAACGATAGTTTAGAGGGTAGCGAGTTCAGCCTGGAGCCGATTGTCACGGCGAATGCCATGCCGTGCACTAGCCCGGACGACGAATTCGCCCACTACGATCTCCAAGGGTTACAGGCGCTCCATTCCGATAATAGGGGGACGGTATGACAGGCTTATCATTTGGACGGCTTAAACATTTCAATTCGTTGAGCGATTCATCACGCCATTATCGGGATAGGACGGATGCGTCACGGCAGTCGATGGTGATTCCACCGGGAATTACACCGCTACTCCATAGACGCGTATCGCTGGTGGAGACTTCAAGACATTGAGAGACCCGCTATGAGGCTTTTGAATTCGCCAACATCATCATCCGCACTTGCGCCACGATGATAATAACGAAGTTGCTATAACCATCTGTGTTGGTTATATCTGTTTCGAATTATTCTCTAGCGTAACTGGAAAGAAGGAATTTCTGGACGAGAGGACACCAGCGAAGATTTGGTCGATATTATGTCTCATTCTATAATCCATCGAGCTGGAGTCACGACTCTACGATCTTATCCTCGGAGATATGAGGTGCGAGAGGCTGCAATACGACTCTGCGTCTTCGCCTCAATCGAGGCTACCATGCAATACGACCTACCTTACCATTCACGCGCATATTCTACGAAAGGTCAATCTAATTAATTCCTCCTTCATTTATTCGATGGCGTAAATGAGGCGAGGACCTATCCGAGAACATCGCCATCAAGGGCTTCGTTTTATCGACCTCCCTGAATGAGACATATACTCCTTTTAATTAATTTGCAAAGCTATAGATACCCATATGTAAAGCTTAAATATAAAAATAGTAAAATGTGTTCAGGTCAATTGCCTATGAAGTTGCTCGATGAGCTCTGAAGTGTACCGTTATAGATTGTTCGTGAAATGGGAAGAAAACGTGTTGTTACTGAGCAGTCTGAAACTCCCGATTCTCTACCGTATGAAACTGTACTCAGTTCTAGACGTGCCAAGATATTTTGTAAACGGAGTATTAAACTCATTTTCACACAACCCCGAATCCCCTCGACTCAAAAGCAAAATCTAACAGCTTAAGTTATTACAAGATAATCATTCGCATGTAGCTGGTTCTGTTACATAAGAAGTACTAAGGTATACAATTGATACCTTCTTAATTGCAACTCGATATCATTGACCCGTCACTAGAAATCTCCTAACTAAGTAGCTACGGACAATCTAGCTAGCTTCACGCAGCATATCCGACTCTCATGAACAGAGCAGAGAGCTTAGGATACACACGCAGCGAGTCCTCAGCACCTACGCCCCAAGATGCAGCCCCTCCTCCGCAAGGCCGCTACAGCGAGCATCCGCCCGCAAGCACGCCGCGCACTAAGGACAGCCACAGCGGAAGTCCGTACCCCGCGCTCAACAGCCCTACATGCAGCAATTAGGACACCATGGGTATGTCGGACTTGCTCGCAAGCGAGGCCCTTCAGCTCCGCATCTAATACCGCTTCACTCTCATCTTCATTGCCGAGAAGTGAGAGCGAAGGCAAAGTCAAGATCGCGAAGAAATCAGAACCCCTACGCATTCTGTTCTGCGGCTCTGATCACTTCAGCTGCGCGGCGCTGGAGGCGTTGAATCGGGAGCGCGAGAATGACCCGGGGCTGATTGAGTCGATTGATGTTGTGGTGCGCCCGGGGAAGAGGGCCGGGAGGGGGAATCGGGATGTTGTGTATCGTGAGTATTGACTTTTTTGAATTTGCGCTTGCTTTTTTGTTTGGGGGTGGGCATGAGATGGGGGTGGTTATGGTGATACGTGAAAGCGGATATGACAGTTGAATTGATAAGGAGAACTGAGGGAAGTGAAAGTGAAAATATACATTAACGAAAATCTCACCATATAGCACCGATTAGAGACCTAGCCACAAGCCTCGGCCTTCCAATTCATGAGAGGGATACTTTTACGGGATGGGATGTAAGCATCACCCCTTTTTCACATCACATCCCCCATCTCATACACGCAAAAACTCATCCCCTATCCCCTTAGATGCCACCCCAAACAAACATCATAATAGCCGTCTCATTCGGGCTCTTCGTACCCCCCCGACTCCTCCAACAAGCCCGCTTCGGCGGCCTCAACATCCACCCGTCCCTCCTTCCGGACCTCCGCGGCCCAGCTCCACTTCACCACGCCCTCCTCTCCAAGCGGGAGTCCACAGGCGTAACATTACAGACCCTCGACCCAGAGCGTTTCGACCACGGCAAGATCCTAGCGCAGACACCAGACTTACCCATCCCACCTAAATGCGACTACCAGACCCTCCTAGACCTAATAACCCCCACAGCAGCCGCGCTCCTAATCCGCGGGCTAAAAGACGGCGTATACATCCCCCCCCTAGAAGAAGTCCAAACCGCGCCCAAAACAATAAAACCAAACCCCCTCCAACACGCCCCCAAAATCACCAAAGCCGACCGCCAAATCCTGGAACCCCACCTCCCCGACCTCCCGCACCGCTTCCGCGTCCTCGGGCCCTTGTGGCTATGGTCGCGCGACCGGAGCGGAGCACGTAAGCGCATTATCTTCGAGCAGATATCCGCCGTAGACGCCTCGTCTTTCGTACCGTGTCTGAGCGGATCGCTGTGTTCGCTTCCGCTTGAGGAGGATATCTCCCCTTCCCCTTCCCCTTCCCCTAATTCCCTCTCCCAGGTAACCGATCCCAACACCAAAGGGACCAGCGAGGCGGAAACCAAAACAACCCACCTAGCGATCTGGGTTCCCAAGAACAAAGAAGTAGACGACGCGGTGTACGTGGGGTCTCACCGGGTCGAGATGGCGAAGGTGGAGGGCGCGGAGGCGAAGCCGGCGGTGCGGGCTTTGAAGAATTTCTTGGTCCGTGTTGAGGGGCGGGGGGAGGTTGGGTGGGAGGATGCGAAGGGGTTGTTTGTTCTGGAATGAATTTATGGCTAGGTAGGTTTCCTCGCTTCGGGAGGGTGATGCGATAGTGAGGGCCTAGTAGATAGGTGTCCATGTTAGACAGTAGTAATTAGAGAAGCTGAGGGAATATCCGATTGGTAATTAAATATTAATGGGAGTCTATATGTACATTCACGACAAGAGAGCTGCGTTTTGGTTGTTGATACAAATGACAATTGGGTCTATATCACGACAGAGCCCATGTCTACATGTGGTGGTAATAATACATATGATGATCGGTGATCAGTGGGCCTCCCACAAAATCGCCGTCGTCGGAGATGCTCATGGTCTCATAAAAATCCCCTAGGAAATCCCACGAAGCCAGCCCGGAAGGTACAGCGGCAAGATCCCCAGACAATCCTTTCAAAAATAATGGTTTAGGTTTGGGTTTGGGTAAGTAGTCATAGTCACACATAATGGTAGCAATTAGAGGGGTTGGTTGTTGTTAGTGGTGGTGATGAGGGATATCTTTCCACTCATCAAAATGGCGGAATAGCCCCGGGAATGCGGAGGATCTCACTTATGCTCCTTCTCGTCCGCCGAGCTTCCTGCACTAGAGGAAGTCTCGGTCTTTGAAAGAGCATTCTCGTCTTCGATCTCCGGGCCGTGGATGCTCTCCTCGAAGACAGGCTCAGGCTCGTTGAACTCGAACTTCGTCTTGAAGTCATTAAGATGGTTGGAGTAGCCACTGCTATTGGAGCGGCGGCGGGCGTTGGAGAAGTTGAAATTCTCGTCGACAACCTCTTGACCTGCTGAGCCCCTAAACATATTTGTTAGTAACCGATATTGATAATTCCATGATAAACCGACGCATCATATACAGCCATTGATATAGCCGATGATGCCAATGATATATGGGATATATGGAGGTGTTGGACCTACCAATTGCCTTTGCCTCCACCGTTCTTCTTGGTCTTCTTTGGGTCGACGCCATCGAAGCCATTCTTGGCAAAGAACTTGGGTACGTTCTCGTGAGGTAGAACAGTACCCTCAGCAAGACCAGCGTGGTCCTTGTCGTTGTACTTGCGAGAACGAGTCACTACGAGCGGTATTGTGTTAGCAATTGCTTTGTATTAAATAAGATGTGTTTAGATGCCATGTATATGGTAAGTGTCCAAAACATTGATCCTCTCGACCAGTTGGTGTTGATGCTGTCTGTAGTTGTGACATGGATCATAGTAGTCACCAGGCGAGCACGTCACACAAGGATCATGCGGGGTGAATAGGACTAGGAGAGCTTGTTGGACCTACTTTTAACAGAGAGTTCGAGATGATGAAATATGAGAGGATTTACAGGATTAGGCCAGATAGATGATGATGGATTCCCCAATGGCTCGTAGATGAAGGTAGATGATGAAGATGAGATTAGAGGAGGAATCTAATGTCGAAGAGAGTAGAGTAGATGTATGGAGAGATGTATGGGGAGAGGTGGTGAGGAGTTGAAAGAGGAGAAGATATCAAAGTCCGGTCTAAGATCTAGTAGAAGTAGTCGTACAAGCAGTTGAGCTCTTCTATAATGCCCGGTAGTGGTCGAACGAACAAATAAAGAGTGGATGAACTGGATATGGAGGTGGGGTGGTTCTGGTAGTTATTAGTCGAATGAGGAGTTGGGTTGCATCAATATGTCTTGTGTGTCAGTCAATGTATGAACGGTTTGGATGTATGTATGTATTTGTTGGAGACTTGGAAGAAGCTCAATGGATGGGCAGGTCTGCTTTTAAGACAAACCAAACGTGAGAGGACCAAGAGACCAGCTTCCGCCATTTCTTCGTCGTGGTCCCCTGATTTGATGCTTTGAGTCAGAATACATGCTCAAATTGCTCAGATCTGGCCTAATGGATGTAGCGACGTACCGGCGATGTACCGGAGAGGTTAACTTGTGAGGTGTGAGGTTAATGTCAACCTCTTTTTACCAAGGTTGGCAAGGGAGGCACGCGATAGATGCTAGCTCTCGAACGACCTTCTTCCATTGCGGGTCAACTAGGGGTGAGCTGATCTTTTGATGGGGCAATTGAGAGTCGACCAGTCGCGTGACCGGTTGACGCAAGCTTTAAGGCTCAAGGGTGGTGTGAGCACTGAAGCAAATATGAGCCAGAATGACCCTATTGGACAATTGCTTTACGTTTTAGAACAATCGTAAAGCAACAGCGCCCCTCGCGGCCCTCGCCGTTCCAGCCGTTGCAACCTTAGATTCCCTTTCAACCTTTCCCAAATCTTCCATTTCCCTTTCTTCTTTCATGGGAAATTAGAGCTCGGGGCTTAAAACGGCCTCAAAGAGAGTTCAAGGACAATCGACCATACAGTAATTCAGGCTTTCCACCATTCCGATGTTCCTCTTAGCTTCGCTAGCTTCAGCGACCGGGTACGATTACCGAGTGGCTTAGCGCAGGTTGTAAGACAGGGGTCCGCGGGCTTTTGGGGGATCGTGGATTCACCAAATTCATGAATTCGTACATAGAATTCGAGAGAAGCAACAGATCGTTTGGACCAATAGGAGATAATCGGCACCTTAAGATAGTCATCTGAATGGGAACTTGATACACTAATTACCGACAAGAGGCAATTAGGTAAGATGTTTAGGTCCATCTTGTTCGCTTGTTTCAATCTTGATGGTCTTGGGCGTCTTAGGTTTAGTTTATTTTGTCGATCTCGAATTATCGAGAATTTACCCGATCAATCCGGGTCCGAAATATTGGGTATCCAACTTCTCCATTTCGAGATGATGTTCGGCTTAATTCGTATTGTATTGCATCATAGCATTACATCCCCCCTTTTGTTGGGAATTTGTTTTCTTCACGTCCCAGGATATATGAAAAAGGGGGATGAAGAGGTGGTAGAAATGGAACACGAAAAAGGAGAGATGCAGGTTTATGTCACACGCGCAGAAAAGGGAACGTACTGGCCCACTTCTACCCCAGGTATTCAGTCCTAGAGATGGCAGGTACGACACTGTTGCTGTGCTGTAGGTGCTCCAGGTGCTCCAAGGTTGTACCAAGTACAGCTGATACTGAGCCCGTAACTTCTATCCCAGGCGATGATGTAGGTGCAGAATGCGGGGAAACCCACATTAATTCGCGGCTCACTGTTCGTGCCCCATAACTCCCCCCGTCCCCCTCGTCACCCATAAACCTTACGTAGAACTGTATCGAATCTACTCCCACATTCCTCTCGCCCAATCAATCTATTCTACTCGATTCTACAACTCCTGGGGGATGCAGGATGTGGCAATTGTGGTCAGAATGACAGCTCTGGAAGCCGGGCTTATGAAGGTTGTAAACAACGCAAAGAGTTACAATGAAGATCTTACTATAGGTATTATTTATCTACGTTGGCAGCTGGTTGGCTTGTCAGCTTCTGTAGGTAGGCAATTCCAGTGTGGCCGATCTCTATTCAAGAGATTAAATATCACGGATTACCCCTAAAGCTGTCCAGGTGTGTTTCATCGAACCCTACATTAACAGCGTTGGCGCTTTAAGACAATGTATGTCATCTTCGATCGCCATCTCGGCAACACATAATCACCGGGGATGACGCAACCAATCAGACCCAAGAATTTGATAATATCAGTTGCCTACCTACCTACCTAATAGGGTCAAAACTACAGCGTCCGTCAAATCTAACTTTGTTCGCTGCCAAGATGATGATCGTACATCAAGAATTCCGGTTTCCCTATGAACTGGATCTGACGATAAGATACAGGATGTAAAACTCGATCTTCTGGCTATAGATGACGGAGGATGTGCACTGTATTGAGCTCAAGACCGGGATTTCTTTGAATGTCTCATTCCAAGATTAAACAACCCGATCCGCTGATCAGCTAGCTAGAATCCCCAAGTTCTAAGCCACACGATGGTGGCGCTCATCCCCTCGTAACAATAGCGGAAGGCACAGCTGTGTCCATTGTATTCTCTGTACAGGATTTCCATGACCCGGAAACCGGGTATGGTTCTTGTGGCAATGTTCGCAACTAGGAGTAGGACGTCAACCGGCTTGAGTGACTTCAGATCTAGTTTCACGCCAAATACTAGGTAATTATAGAGTCTTCTGAGATGGATATAAAGCGTTCATCGCATCAAAAATATAGGTAGATAAATGCTTAAGGTATCGACTTAATTTTTCCAGGGCAACATGAAGCATACCTACGGCATGTTTCATCTATATTCGGTACCTACATAGAATTTTTTCAGCTTTTCTTTACCGACCTATCAAGCTTCTAAAAAGATGCCCCATAACAGTTGTATTGATTATTCGATATCACTGTACTCAAATAAGAAACGTGGTGGCTACATTCACTATGGGTAGCATCTCGGTAGGTACCTAAAGGCCGGTACCACGAGTCTCCGGGCTATATAAAATGCCAGCCCCTGAGCCCTGCCACCCTACCCCCAGCTTCCGACATCAGCGGACAACTGCACGACAACAATTAAAGCTCACTGGCAATCCGGGAACGTCAAGGCTCCAAAGTTCTCATAGGGTTCTGGGTATGGGTTATGTGCGAAATGGAGAACTACTCAGAATCACTCGGCGAATATACGCATAGCTCAAACCTCAACCGTCCCTATCCAAATTGCGAAGTCTTTTCTATTCACCATAGGCAATAAACAAACCAATTATTGCGAGAATAAAGGCGTCGTTATTTCTAGGTAATTTTCATGGCATCTGATGATGTCCCATACCGCCCATAGGTGCAAGTATCAAGCATAACGTGCAACCCAATATGCTTCACTAGCTGCCTTCTCGACCCTTCTTGATCCTAGCGAAATCTAATAGGTCCTGTTGAGATAATACAATCCGCCCAAATTGTTTTTTCTTCTAAGGCAGCATACCATTCTCTACATAGGGGGAAGATAGCAGTCTTTCTATCGAGAACCAGTTTCGGTAGCATTAGTTAGATTTCGACTAGAAAGTTCGTCCAATTAATCATATTTTTATAATTAAATATAAAGATTTATTTCATGATGATAGCAGCAGTATAAAAGCAATAGCTGCAGATGGGAGGGGAAGGGAAAAGGGGGCGTTCCGATAGGCTTTTATTTGGCGTTATATTGATTAAGTCTTTGCTGTCTCGAATTGATATGTTCCCTCTGTGGCAACTCCGAAACCCCGGTCACCAGAATATTAAGATCTAGTAGATGAAAGCTGCAAGATACTAAGCTCATTGATCAATGTAGCAGTGTAGTATCATCCCAAGTCAATATTAGTAGATTGTATAGATACCCAAGTTCCTTTTAGGTCTTCTCATCTGTTCTACGATTTGCTTTTTAGATTTCCCCTCTCTTTGTGGACCTGTGATCTTACCGATATAATCCCGAACCTTCGAATTAATATATTGGGCAAAGTATTGCTTGCTAAGGTATCAAGAGCCAACATACATACCGTTAAAAAAGAGGTTGTTGCGGGAGTACAAGAAATTAGAAAGGTGCCCGTCATAGGTAGAAGAACATCAGGGAATTTCTTTGTCAAAGTTCTAGACCAATCAAAGTACTAAGTAGTCAAGGGTAGCAGACACCGTTAACCAATAAGGTTACAAGTAATACAATGTATCACATGGCATTAGTAAAGGCAGGTATCCTTGGGCATAAAGTTTCTTACAGTACGAGGAGATACTGTTGCGCCGCAATCGGATCTGATAACAATTGCGCGGAGAAACGTTCGTCATAATCAATAAATTTTCTAGTCTGTGAACAAGCGCTACTAATAGGCGGGCGGTAGGTACCACCTGGCACCTGGCAGTGAAAGCCCTTTACTAATGCTGTGTTACCAATACATACATCTCCGCTCCATTTCTTAGAACATCATAAATCTAATTTGTAATCCTAACCTACATTCATTCACCATTATCCTCTTTCACCGCCCATATACAACCGTCGGAACGGCGAAATTTGTGTTATAATATTGCAAGTTCTGTTTAAGAACTCTCCGTCCTCGTTGCCCCTCGTTTTTTTCAATTAGTGTTACCCCACAGAAAAAGATATCTCGTCAACTTCGCCGCCTTTCGAATTCATCAACGTGATAATCTTTTTTACCACAATTCTCGACTTTGGAGGCGCAACGAGCGCACGACACCTCCACTATGTCGCCCTCATTCGTCACTATTGACAATACGTCAGATTTCGATGTATTCCCGTCAAGCGTAACACAGAACGGCTCCTCCGATGCCCGAACACTTCTTCTGGCCCCGCCTTCCATCGCTAGCCACGAGGAGAAATTACGAGGTGTCCTAGCTGCCCATGATCGATCTGTTACCGACCTGCAGATGCTTGACCGCCTCTCAGCCGGCCTTGTTACTCTACCCGATGCTACCTACGATCTCATCCTAGTCTTGACCGATGCCGACGGCACACGATCCGAATCCATCCTCCTCCTCAACCGTGACGTTTTTGCCAAGATCGTACCGACACTTAAAGTGGGTGGCAAGATCCAAGCGCAGGATGGATCTCTAGCGCAGAACAGCCAAGCCCCTGATGCGCGAGAGGCATTACTCTCTGGATTAATGCCTGGGACTGACGGCTTCACAAAGCCTGATGATGGAGCTGCTACTGCCGTTCCCCTTAAGCTTGGATTTGGTAAGAACAAGAAGAGAAGTGCTGCTGGTCCTGCTACGAAGCAAGTCACCATTCACCAAACCAACGGCAAGGATACAAGCCTCAAAATGGTGCCCCCCGCTGTCCAACCGGTACCTGCTGGTGTCGGTTTCGTGGATTTCAGCAGCGACTTTGGCATTCCCGAGGACGAGGATGACGATGAGTTGATCGACGAAGATACCTTGTTGACAGAGGAAGACTTGAACAGGCCATTGGCAATTCGTAAGTAGTTTCTAGTATTGCTATTTTCACCAATCAAGTCCTAACTAGCATCCCAGCTGCGGAATGTGTACCCAAGGTTGGAAAGCGACGACGTGCTTGCAAGGACTGCACCTGTGGTCTTGCCCAGAGAATCGAGGCCGAGGACAAAGCCAAGAGAGAGCAAGCAGACGCGAAGCTCGAAGCCCTCAAGCTCACCTCCAACGACCTGAACGAACTCGACTTCACCGTTAAGGGCAAGGTTGGATCTTGCGGTAACTGTTCCCTAGGAGACGCCTTCCGCTGCGACGGATGTCCGTACATCGGATTACCAGCCTTCAAGCCCGGGGAGGAGGTACGACTGCTCAATAACGTTGTGCAGCTATAAACATGGGCACGGGGCATCGGGCGTTTTATTTTTCTTCGGTTCGGTCAACTTGGTCTTTGGGAACATATACCCGCCAAGCCACGTGGGGGGACACGGACTTGACAAAGCCAACCCCGTCGGAGCATTCTGCAAGTTGGGGCGGCGGCGGCGGTGGGAATTTGGCTCGCGTTACACGCATGAGGAAACCGGCGTTTTACTAGGTATCAAAAGCACTGGTGCGGATTACACGAGATGGTTCGGTAGAGCAATCATGGGATAATGCGGGTTCATAGGGCTAGGGCTGTGAATGATAGGTCATATTAAAATTGATTTCTGACTATGCTTGCGTTTTTGGATGTGTGATGTTTGCCTTTGGTGATAGGTCGGGTTTGTGTGGGTTGGTTACTCATGCCATGTTGTGCCACCTCTCCTTTTTAATACTCTTTCAGATAATGTCACTTTGAGGACTAGACAGCTTGCAAAGACCATCGCCATCTGGAAATGGTTTATGGGACTTTCTGAGGAGACCTATTGATATCTGGAATCATATTCCTATCGTTGCTGCTTGTAGTAGGTACAGAGTAAGCATGCAGACACCACATTAAATAACAATATCGTGTTATTTAGTAAAACCAACCATATAAGTGTAAATATTATATCTGAAGATGTGATCTATAGTAAATCGAAGGGATTATCGTACGTAAGGAACAGGATATAAACTAGCTGCCTGCTAGGTAGGTAGGTATATAATTAGGTAAGAAACAGGTCGCTTTCTGATCATCGAGTTACTCCATCACAGCTGCATATCCGCTGCTTAACATAATCCCGCCTATAAAATGAACGAGATACCGAAGAGCTCATCTCACACATTTCTAACCCCCAACTCCCCTTATAAGGATATGATCCCGAGTCTGGTTACGTCCTATATCCTCCGCAACGACCACCTAGATAACCGGGACATTACTAACCTCACAAGTACGGGTAGCCAATACACAACATAGATAGTTCTTACAGCCAGATAGGCCCGTAGTTCTAGACCGAATATATATAAGCAATTATCTTGGAATAAGGACAACTTAGATAAGCGCTAGATGTGTAGATTGACGAGATGATGCGCGTCCCTATTGACCTATTGGTGGCAGCGACTGCCGAGGATTAGTAAACGGTATATGGACGGGTGCGGGTGAGAACTAGATATTGACATCTGACATCATCTTTGGGATACCGATGCATATGTAGGTAGGTATGTAGGTTGGTCATCATTGGCGGCTATGTCGATGTGGATAAACCTGCGATTAACTACCATGGGGGATGCACGGACCGGCCACACCCTGGTCCAGCTACCCACTTTATACCAAAACATGTAGTTTTTTAACGTAAATATTTTAATTAAATAATATCGTAAAATTATCGTAATTATATTAATCGAAAAAAAATTATAAATTTAATTAATAAATTTATTTAATAATTTAATTAAACGTTTTAAACGCGTATAAATTAATAATAAAATTAATTTAAATAAATTTACATTTTTAATTTAATTTATTATTATTATTATTTATTTTTTTATTTCGTTATTTTTTTTTATTTTCGTTTAAATTTTTTTTTAATATTATTTCGTATAATTTAAAAATTTATTTTATTTTTTTTTATATTATTTTATATATTATTATAAATTTAACGTTTAAATTCGAAATTTTTTTTTCGATTTTTTAATTTATAAATTTCGAATTAAATTTAAAAAATTAAAATTTTTTAATTTTATAACGTAATTTTTAATTTAACGTTTATAAAAATTTTAAATATTATTTTAAAAATTATTTAAATATTTAATAAATTATAAATCGTTAAATTTTTAATTTTTTATATAATAATAAATAATTTAAAATAATAATTAAATTAAATTTTTTTATTAATTAATTTTTTTTTTCGAAAGTTTTTTTATTTTTTTAAATTTTTAAATAAATTAAAATTTTAATTTTATTAATTAATTAATTTTTAATTATTTTAAATTTAATTAAAATGTTTTTTACGAATAATTTAATTTTTTTAATTTTATTATAATATATAATAAAATTTAATTTATTTATAAAAACGATATTAATAATTTCGTTTAATTAAAATAAATATTTATAATAATAAATTTTTATAACGTTAAAAAAATTATTATTAAATAATTATAAACCGTAAAATATATATATAAATAAAAAATAAAATAAAATATTATTTAAAAAGAAAAACCCTGGCCGCGCAGTATGGGTACATCGTCAGATCCGCGCAGTAGAGCTAATTCGAAAGAGGTATAGCTTGAGGGTACCTTTTGCGCCATACAAACTTGTATGTGTCAAGATGTATCTTTTTGCGCAATGTATCTTTTTGGAACACCTAAGTCTTCCACCAGGTTCAATCAATTGTTTCTCCCTCAATACGCGCTCAAAAGCTTTATAATTATAATGAATTAGAAGCTCTCAATCTCCTTTAGTTGTAATCGAAGTTGCATCCCATCAAACTGCGGTGACGTCACAGGAAGTCAGTTTGAACCTGTAGGCGCTACAAGACTGCGACCGGAAGTCTTAGAATTCTATCCCTCTGCCCGAATCTTTTCAACCTTGAATAGCTCCTTCATTCTGAATTATGAACACCTGCAATTGAAGCGAAAGATGAAGCCGATTGAGCGCTTTTGGATGATTGTAATTATAAGAAATTTGATCGCTTTTTGATGGAGAAACAATTGATCAAAGTGGATTGAAGGGAAAGGGGGCGTTCTGGGTACCTTTCGAATGCGCTAGCGCGGATTTTAGCGTTACTGCGCGGATCAGCCGATGTACCCATACTGCGCGGCCAGGGTTTCTCTTTAAAAAATAAATTTTTATAAAATTATTTTAATATATAATAAAATTAAAAATACTTCGTAATTAAAAATTAAAAAAAAATCGTAAAATTATAAAATTAATTTAATAACGTAAATATTAATTTAAATTTATTATTATATAATTTTTATAATTATTTAAAATTAATAACGTTTTATTTATTAATTTTACGCGAATTTTATTAAATTATTTAATAAAAATATTAATTAATTAATTTATAATAATTTTATTATTAATTTAATTTTTTAAAAACATTTAAAAATTATTTAATGGTTTTTTTAAATTCGTTTTTAAATTATTAAATTTATAAATTTTATTTTTTAAAAATAATATTAAGTTTAAATATTTTATTAATAACGTTAATATATTTAATAAATAAAGTTTATAATTTATTTTATAAATATTTTATAAAAAATTTTTTTATTTTAAAAAACTTAATTATTAATTTATTAAATTTTATTACGTTAATTAATTAATTAAATAATTAAAAAATTATATAAAAAAATAAAAATAATATTAAATTTTATTATAATTTTTTTTTTATTAACGTTAAAAATTAATTTAAAAAATATATTAATATTTTATTTATTTTTTTTAACATTAAAATATTATTTAATTATTTTTAATATAAAATTATTAAACCGTTTAATTTTAATTTTACGATTTATTTTAATTATTATATTTTTATTTCGTTATATAAAATTTTTAATTTAATTTTTTTTAATTAAAAAATTTTAACCGTTAATTTTCGTAAAATATTAAATTATTATTTTTATAATATTATAATTAAAAATAAAATTAAACGATTTTTAATTAATAATTTATTTAATTAATTTTTTTTTATTTAAAAATTAATCGTTAAAAATTTTAAACTTTTTTAATAAATATAATATCGTTTATATAATTAATAAAAATAATTTAAAAAATATTTTATTTTTAAAAAATTATAACGAAATAAATAAATAAATGTTTTAAACGAAATAATAATCGTAAAATTAATCGAAATTAAAAAATTATATTATTAAAAAACTTTAATTTAAAAAATTAAAAATAAAATTTTTCGAAATTTTATAATAATAAATTTAAATAATTAAACATTACGTTAAAAATTCGATTATTAATCGCGAAATTTTTAATTTAACTTTTAATTTTAAAATTTTTTTTTTCGTATTATCGTTATAAATTTATTTAATTAATTCGATTATTTAATTATCGTTTAACCGTTTAAAATTAAAATAATTTACGATATTAATTTTTTATATTATTTTTTTTTTTAAATTATTAATTTTTAATAATATCGTTTTATTATTTATAATAACGAAATAAATTTCGTTTAACGGTTTTTTAATTACCGCGTTAATTAATAATATTATTAACGTAATAAAATTTATAAATTATAATTATTAACGATATTAATTTTTCATTTCGTTTAAATTTTATTAAAATTAATAATAACGTTATAATTTTTAAATTTTTATTTTTTCGTTATTAAAGTTTATTAATTATAAAAAATTTTCCGGATTTTTCGATATTTTTTTTTTTATTTTTTTTTTTAATTTTATTATTATTCGTTAATTTTACCGTTATTATAATTACCCGCGTTATTATTTTAAAAAAATATTTATTTAATATAAATTTAAATTAATTTTTTTTTCGTAAATTTCGAATTTTTTATATAAAATATTTTATTAAACGTTATTTTTATTTCGACATTTAATATATCGCGGAAAGTTCGAAATTCCGCGTTTACGTTATTTTAATTTATAATAATTTATCGTTAAAATTAATGCGTTATTCCGTCGCTTTTTCGTTCGCGTTAATTTTATTAAATTTTTACTTTATTATTAAATATTATTTAATAATTAATTATATTTTCGAAAAATTTCCGTAATTTAATTTTTAAATATATAAATAAAACTTTTTTTAACGTTAAAATCGAAAAATTAAAATAAAATTATTTTTTATTATAACGAATAAATTTTATTTTTTATAACGTTATTATTAAAAAAACGCGTCGTTTTATTTTTATTATTAATTTTTATCGTAAATTTTTTCGTAATAAAAATTTTAAATTTTTAATTTTAATTAAATTTATTTTTTTACGCCGGTTATTTATAATTATTTTAAACGTTTTTTTAATACGTATAATTTTTATTTTTTTTTCGTATTATTTAACCCGAATTAATATTAACGCGTTAACGGTTTTATTTATAATTAAAATATTTTATCGTTTTTAATAAAATTAATATAATTCGAATATAATATCGATTATTTTATTTTAATACGTTTAAACGCGTTAATAAAAAAAATTATAAAAAATAAATAACGGTAATTTTACGAATTATTCGTCGTTTTTTATTATTAATAATAAAAATAATTTAACGTATTATTACCGTAATTATTTAATTTATAAACGGTTTTAAATTCGTTAATTAACGTTATTTAAAATTCGTTAATTTAATTAATTATT